GGACCCACGGCAACACTATATGCTACGATTGCATGCTACACACTAGTCATAACTTCCTTTGGTGTTAGAAAGACACGAGGTCATCTTCCGTCCCCTCGTCATCTGGACCATCGATGCTCTCACCATCGTCGTACTCCTCTTCGTCTGTATCTTCATCTTCTTCGCCGTGTTCGTCTTCTTCCTCCCCTTTGGGTCCTCCTTCATCGTCATCTTTGCCCCCACCCTCCTCGCTGTCGACATCGCAGGGTTGAACCTCATCGTCGTCACCCTCCAATTGTGTGCTATCTGCGGGGTGCACGTCGGCGCAATCCCTCGCCATCTCGCGCAGGGCGGTAGGATGACCGATCCCATAGGGTGTGTAGCGCATGTACATATCCCGGTCGACAAATCTGAGTGTTCACCAACTTGAGTAGGGACAGCAGGATAAGAGATAGCACTCACATGCCAACGTAGTACGCCTCCCAATCATCTAACTTGTCATCTTGACGTGCAAATGACTTCCCATGGCGAAGTGAGGTTGTTCCGCGCCCAGAAACGAAAGCCGGAATCAAATGGGCGCCTCGGATGACTTGGCCGGGATCTAGAAACCCAAAAGCATCACAATCAGATTCTTCAACAAAGGCAACCTTCGGAAGTCGAGCGCAGGTCATCCCTGACCGGTGGCCAGTTACGGGTGCCAGCCACCTAACATATAAAACCTCGACTTGTTGCTTTTTGACCGGACCTTCAACATTCAGGCATACATCCAGATAATAGATGCCCAGAACGCGGGCATACCAGTACGGATGTCGAGGCCTTGTTTCTCCGGATAACACCATAACATCACAGTGCGTTCGAGGGTTTATAGTATCATATTCTCGTCGAAGGTCATAGGTCGTATAATAGACCTGTGAAGTTGAATGGTCGTACACTAATAAGCTCTCAATATGTGTAACGTACCTGCATTGTTTGGACAGCATATAATCTGTTGTCCAAGATGATCACTGAATTGCGCTCCTCGTCGGTGAACACATGATCACAATGGGTAACGTCTAACTTTTGAAGACGATATAGTATATGGTCCTTAAGTTTCGGCACGAACGCCTGCACATTGTCGTAAGCGAGGTGAGCAGTGACGGAGACTAGCACCTACTGTTACAGCTGGGTCATTATCATGGCCACGAAGAAAACGGAAGATATCCAATGGATTATTACAGCTAAGCGTCGGTATATAGTGATGGTCCTTGAATGCTGCAGGCAGGTCGACTGACATTTGTTCGCTGATGGACGAACTATGAACTGTTTCTGACACTCGCCGAAGGACGCGACGACGACGTTCGTGCTTGGCGAGTTGTGCTGGAGTATCAAGTTTACTGGTCAGAGGATAGAATGCCTTCAGCGCTCTATGTGCCAACTCTCCCTGCCCCAAAATGAAATTGAGATAAGAAAATACATATAGCGGAAGTTGACGTACGATTTGCGATGTAAATGAGTCAATTGTGCCAAAGAGCCGGATTGAGTGTAGGATAATCCCCCATGGCGTGAAATTTGTAAGTATTCATATTAAATTTCTTGGTCCTTCGGGCACCACCCTCCTCCGCACCTGGATTGTCCGAGGCCGAGCGCTGACTGCGCAGCCTTGCGCTCGCGAGCATTCTTTTCTTTCGGCAACTCCACGGTGGTGAAAGCAGCACAGGTAAAACGCTGAAACTTCCGTAATTGACGGGAGAGGTGCTTGAAGGTCTCATCTAAAAACGACAGGGTGCTTTCGGAATGCATCCTTAGTTTGGCGAGAGCGTGCCATTGGGCAAACCTGAACAAAAGCGACTGTATGATCTTATCGTGGTCCCCTGGAAAAAGTCCTTCGAAAACGGGTATAGCACACTGAGATAGATGTCAGTAATCACACTAGCAAATTGGTCAACTAGGCGAACCTGCAAAATATCTTCAAAGTCTCGCGCTGCAAGTCTTTTCATCTCGGAGGTGTTATTAGCGAATTTGCGTATGACTCCGTTGCCATATGATGGGACACAACGAAATCTAAGATTTACACATCACTTTGAAATCCGTGAGGAGAACAATGTGCAACAAACCTGCTGTCTAGAGTTGCAACTAGGTGCTCACCGCCCGGAATCGCATGAAGTAGACGGATGAGGTGTGTGAACAAAGCCTTCCATGTACCTAGTTCACATTCGTGCATAAAATCGACAACCAGCATGCGAAAGGCGTCAAAACCTAAGGGCCCGAGTTTTTCTACAAATGAGTTCTAGTCAAAAGTCAGATACTAATTGAAGGTGTTGATTTCAAAGGCACTCACCACAGTTGGCACCCATGAGCCTTCCCCAAGAATTTTCTGTACCTTTGAGCCGTCAACAGTGTTTCCAGATGTATAAATGAATTCCCGCGCGCTGTTTATCCGCTCCAGACAGTAAGTTCGAAGTTTAGCTAGGCGATCTCGCATGTCCTTAACCAGGCCAAGAAGATCAAATGCGGCTTTTGGCATGAAACAGCGCGGACACGGGCAAGAGCCCATGTCCTTAATTGCCGCTATTAAAACCCTGAAATATTGATCATGATCTCAATAAAAACAGAGAGAGAAAGACCTCACTTTTCTGGATAATCAGCCGAGTAAGTGAAGATACGCGGAAATACCCTTCTTAATATGCCATCCGGACAGCGGAGTACAATCCCATGGCGGTATGCTTCAAGGAAGTCCGCATCCAGCAAGTGTTTCCAACATGCATGAAACAAGTCCCGGCGACAATGAGTGTGAAGGGCTGCCACACCACTTTTTGACATCCGAGGTAAGACACTGAGGACGTCCTTAACACGATCTGGAAGCTAAAAATACAACGTCAGAGAGACATGCGTTACACGAGAAAATTAACCTACCGAGGGAAAAAATCCGACAATATGGCACGCACCAGATTTGGGTGCCGAGCGTGCATACTTCGTTAAATTGCCGAAGAACAAATAAAGGGGCCAAGCTTTGGCAGTTCCGAAGGTTGTGAGGTGAGTTGCATCAGAAAAAAACATCAGTCCAGCAATGACGCGTTCAAGCGAGCAGCCGGGTTCTTTCGGCTGCCTCTGCAGGTCATCTTGAGCTTCGAGCCACGAGTCAGAAGTATAGAGCTCATCAAACACTCGTTCTTGATGGCCGTCTAAAGGGTTCTTCCATAGGCGCTTGAAAGGGAGGAGATGGAATGAGCTGGCTTGGATGTCAGCGAACGCCGAACGAATCACGCCTACAAGCGGTCGATAATGAAAGCCCGGAATACGAAATGACGTAGATGGGTCGTCTTTCGTTTTTGTGGGTATGTCGAGGGTGATGTCTGTCTTTAACCAGTCGTCTGGAAACGTGACGGTCTCCTTTCCTCCGCTGTCCAATGCACGCAAACTCCGCCTCACCGAAAACTCATCCAGGTCGCTGGGATTGAAGTCCTCAGCCTGAATGACATCTTTAACAAGACGCTCCACTTCAGTTTCGGATTTTTGATGGCTGCCGGAATTCATCCATGTCATGAGCCGGTAGGTGGTCATGTTAGGGAAGGGATAAGGCGGTTCGGGGGATAGTCCGGGTGTCTGGGCATCGTGTGCATCGGCAGTCATCGGACACGATTTAGATAATAGGGAAGATGGGATCAACCTATCAGGCTCGAAGGAGGGCAACCTAGGATATTGTCGACAAAGCCCAAACACGTTAAACGCCGTTTGGAGAGATGTACGCAGCGTCAAAATCACTCTTTGAATTCTACGCGGGGGGGGATCCGGATTCTCGGTCCCAGGAGTATCACTCCCAGAAGTGTCCGAAGGATTTATGTCTTCATCAGCAGGTAGAAGATCCGTAAAGCCCCTCGGGACTAGCCCAACTGTGTGTTGCGAACCTGAGGGATGTTGACGCAGTGGGTCTAGTGATTCATGAGTATTATGATGCGGCAACAGACACAAAGTGTTAGGAAGGTGCGCACCTGAAATATCATTATCTTGTTCAGTGATATCCGAGTCATCCATTACAGTATCTAAAACATCCGTGTCCTGTAACACAGAAGTCGAGGCGCTAGCATGAACGACACCATGACTGGCTGGGTTGCTAACTGCCACCGTTGGCGGCATCCAAGCCACGCCAGGCTCGCAAGATGCAATGGGTTTCAATGGTTTGAATATCATCGGTCCGAACTGTGCCAGATGATTGGAGGTGAGTGAACTTAGAAGGTTGAACCTATGACTCACAAGAGTACTCCTAGTACTGGTGCTAGTAGTTGTGTTCTGTGGTGATGGTTGCAATGATTTAATCGATTCCTTCGCCCGGTCCCTTCTTTTCTGTGCTGCCAATGTACTTGCCTTTTGATAATGTTTGCATGTTGAGCGATGCCGGCTAAGTCCACGAAAGTCCATATCCCTCTCCCAAAAGCAACGCGATGTACCGCAGGACACCATTGAAAGAATTGAAATTATCACTAACAGAACCCAAGGCGGCTGAGATAAACGCATTCTCAGGCCCGCAGGCTAGTGACTACTACGCCGCAATAATGTGATAGAGTATGAGATTGGATTACTGATTTTTGCTCCAGCCTATCCGGCAAAAGTGGAGAACGTGCCAGCAGTTTTGGTGATGAACGTAAGTTAGTATACTACTCAGAGTAGTACTCTGGCAGTGGTTGACATGATCATGTGATCTGGTGACGTAGTAGCACTAACAAAGTCGGAAATTTTACTAGTGATTTTGCATTGTAGCTTTCCATACTTTACAGTACTATTGGGGATCTCCGGTAACAAATCCATGCAACAGGACCTGGTATATACAAGTAACGTCGACCGCTTTGCGGGCTAACAACCATTCTGAACTTAGAGGTTCATGCTAGAAAATAATGCTCCAAGATTCACCCAGCATCGTCCACATTGTTCCATATATTTGTCCACCGTCTTCGACATCACCCTGAGGAATGGGTCGTTATTTGCTGCAACAGCCTCAATTTCCTCTGCATGCAAAAACGTCAGATATCTCGGTCAGTTAATGAACTACATAAACGCCCACCCTTTCTCGCGCTGCCTTGTGCAGCCTTGATGATTTTCTCAACGTCAAATAGCGTCGAACAATACCGGAGCTGGGTGTACAACTCGGTGTCCCAATACTTGAACTGCGCTCTACCTTTACAGCCTCCCGGCGCTCCGCACCGCCAGCCGTACATCCGCATCGACCGCGTCTCGTACCCGCAAGCTGGGTCCTCGCAGACAACCCATCCCTCGTAGTACTTAGCGACGAATGACCGAATCTGGACCTCAAGTTGTGTCTGCAGGCTCGCCGAACCCAATGGTGCGCTGCACGCAGGGCACGTCAGCCCCGATGACAACATAATCGACGCCTGTTTCACGTCAGACAGTCCTAAACACAAATGGGAATGTGGGCACATACATCTCGATCGTACACCGGGGTAAACGCCATCTGTCCTGCGCATCCACGACAGCGCACCAGGAACGGAGCCACGTCGCGGAACCGCTCTGCGTCAGAGACGAGGGAGTCTAGTGTTGTGAGCTCTGATCCGGCCTGCGTGCTTCCACTAATACGATAACGTCCCGGGTCCAGTCCTGTTGGAAACATTAAGTCAAGTTCGCAGGCTTCAGTAGTTCGATGCTCACCAAGACACTCAGCCAGCCGGGCCCTGTCTGTTCCTTCAATAGGCTCACACAGTCGCTCAATTGGGTAGGACCTGATTCGCAAGGTAGTGTTCGTAGTCCACGACGAGCTCCCCTGCAGCCTTCTTGATCTCGTCTGGATGCTTGGCACGATCTGCTTGTGCGGTCTTCACAGTTTCTTCACCAGGCGCGACGCAGAACACGTAGGGTATAACGTCGCCGTTGCGGGCACCTCCACCCTTTGCTTTCAATCTCAAAGCGACTTGCACATGGGCTGTGATTTAGTAATCCTCTGGGTTCTTGCCTAGGCGCTGAGTTATGATGCATAAGATGAACCACGAGCGTTGAAAGGAGCTTTTGGAGGGCACCTTGTATACAATGAAGTCCTCTAATTTAATCTTTCTGCCACGAACGTTTTCGCCAATGGTATTAAGATGTTCATGAATGTTCTCCACCACAACCTCCGTTGGTTCACCAGACAAGATCTGCTCCAAGACGTATCTAGGAGGTGCAGGGTTGAGCCAAGTCAAGACAAACATAAAGCCCAACTCACTGAGAGACGCTCTTCGATAGAGCGCAGTATTCTCGGCGCTTCATATCCAGACCTTTAACTTCAGTGGACGTCCGTGATCCCTCTTCCACCTTCAAGGCTGCATATTTCTTTTTCTGCAAAAGCAAGAGACGCGCAAAGACGGCGTCGAGGTCTATCTCAAGAAGCTTATACCGGTCGTTAACAGCTTTCTTGAACTCGGCGGAGATTTTTATCGCCTCGGAAAGCTCTATCACGTTGAAATTCACGAACACCGAGTCGGTGTCGCCGTACACAACCTGTAATGAGTCAGACAAATTCCATTGACAGGGATCAGATATGTGCCCACGTCTAGCTGTAAGCTCTCGGCAAGCTCCCTGGTGTGCGTCAAGATTTCACGGCCCTTGAAAGTGGTTAGGGCAGCCAGAGGCTTGGCGTAGAATCGCGAGTACTCGAAACCAAGACAGCCGTACATGCTGTTCGCCGTCAGTTTGAGCGCGTGTTGCTTGATGTCGTACTACGAAAGCAAGTATGAGCAAGTGATATGGGGATGAACATAGACTGGCAGACCTGCAATAGCTTTGCGTGCGATATAGAACGATCCTTCATTAGTGACTTCACCTGACGCCGCCGGTTGACGAGGGTTGCAATAAGTCGTGGAAGGGCACCCTGAGGCACCTCAGGTGGTGGGGGGTCTGGTATCTTGTCATCGTCATCCTGCATCCAGGTGTCAGTATCTAAGCATGGGCAACAAAAGTCCAATCATTTACATCCTCCTGCGAGCGCTCCACAGTAGTGAAGTCAATGTTATACTCCTGGATGATACTCGGATACAGCGAGTTGAAGTCCATGACGAGGATGTACTTGTCCCAAAGTCCACGCTTCGGCTCAAAAACGAGACCGCCCTTGAACTTGTCCCGTTTGCCTTTGCTTGACTTGACTTGCCGCCACCGCCACCCTCACCGTCCGCATCATCTGCTTCGGGCTCTGCTTTGGGCGCTTTCTTGCCGTACGTCGTGTCAGGACAGATGTACTTCAGGCGGTGGAACTCGTGCAGAAGAATGTACTCATTTAGCTCAGCTCGACCACCATTCAACGTCTTGTTCCTGAGACCTAGGTCCATGAAAGTTCAAATCACCAACCGAAGGAACTCACTATGCGTTGCCAGCAAGGTTTGTGAGCTGTCTCGTCAAAGGCAGGATCTGCACCTTCAATGCGATGGCCATGTGATAATGAGCGTCGAGCTCACAGTGTCGCACGAATGTCATGAGCATGTCTGGGGATGATACGGTGCCATTGAAGTGTGCTGCTGTGTCATCTGGGTCAATATCCTGCCTATCAGACTTGAGATGAGTCTTACACATCTCGGTGTGGGACCACGTCGTAGAGGCAATCATGCTCTGACGATGATCCATCAGTCGCTGTACCTCTGAAGCTGATATGAAACCTACCCGTGCACCACCGCTGGCAAGGTCACAAATCAGGTGCCCAGTCAGAAAGCGCATATTTGTGCCCTGCCGTCCAATAGGCGGCCATATTGAGGCCTCTGAGGGAGTCACGGTGTCGTTGAACCTGCGAGCCCATTGTCATCAATCGCCATCGCGTCATCAGCCACGGCGTAAAATATTGTGGCGCGGGAAAGTGTCCGCATAAGGTAATTTCAGACTTGGAGTAATATTCTCCGCGGCGCTAGTAGTAAATGCGCCTTGCAAAGGATAACGGTCAAAAGGGCGCTGGCTGAAAAGACAAAGAGAAGAATGTCCGTTGGGAGCTCAACAAAGTCTACGCAAACGGTACGCTTTTGGACGAGGACCTCCTCACAGACGAGCAAGTGGGGTATTGTATTTTCCTGTGCCAATCGAGGTCTAGTAGGAATAGCATGAAAATCTGATCGTAGTAACTGTCCCTCGGAGCAACGCTAGCGCTGATCTACGTAGAAAACATTGGTGTACAGTAATAGTGTCACTGACATATATCTGTCAACGTATTCAAGACAAGTTGAGCGTACTCTTTCCAGCGACCGAACAGCTCTGGGTTAGGGAGAATCTCCTTATCGAAATAATCGCTGAATGAGTTGTACGAGGATCTGAAATCTGAAACGCTGAATTTGATTTCCTCCCTTGTCGAATGTTCCTGCAAGGTGCACTTGACAGCTGTGGACGCTGTGAAAAACAAGGTCTTGAGGGTAGGATCTGTTATGTATGGGAGGTAACCCAGTTCTACGACGGTATTCAGAACGACATCTAAAATGACATCGTTTTCGAATGCCCACGACCTGCCATCTTCGTCCTTCCAGAAGATGAACTGCGGGGGGAACGAAGCGAGGAGGTTTTTCGCCGTCTGCGTTTGGTGCATGCGTTCGGAGATGCGTAGCCGAACAGGGGGACGTAGTCCACACCCCCGTTGGACGACTTCACGCGCGACCTTCTTAGCGGTCGCCATGATCTGAGCGGATGGCATTGGGCTCAATGATCTGTAGAAGATCTGGGTGTTATTTTCCGCCCATTTCTTCCCAGATTCTTGTGCGAATGTCAGCTCTTATCTTTGAAGAGAGAACTACTTACCATAGTGAGACGCAGCATTTATTAACGCCTGCTGAGCGGCTTGCTTCTTTTCGTGTTCGGACAAAAAGGGTGTGATATTCACGGCGTCCCTGATGAGACTTTCTTGCGCATTTTTGAATATTCTTTGATGAGTTTTACTACATTCGTCATATATCGAGGGTCCAACGGGCAGCAACGTGGCCTGTGATGGCACAGCCTGCGTATCTAGAGTCACGGTATCCTAGGAGTTAGTTAGTAATCAGTGTTTTGAACGACAGAGAATGACCAGCCCCACCTCGGTGACTGCGGAAAACCCCCTCAGCTTCGCCTGAGATACACCGGCGTATGGATGGAACTGCATATCTGATGACTTCGAGGCACGAGTTCGTGACCTACCGGCGGACTTCTGGCGTGTCGGAAGAGGGGATGGTTCTCCTAGTACAGGTAACGGAGGTTCGAGAGGCTGTAAACGTAGTATCTCATTGGGACGAAACGACCGCTCCTCAAAAGGTACTGGCTCTCCCACTGGTAGAGAAGGTATCTCTTCTGCGTCGATAGGAAAAGTAGACATGCCATCAGTGGACACGATAGCCTGAGGCAGATTATTGTCCAAATTATTGAAGTATGAAACGAAGGATGGATCGTATGAGGTCGCAGAGTCGATATAAGGTAAGTTGATGTTTTGGGATGGGCCGCTTTGAGCTTCAGCGTAGAGATGGAGGAAGTTTGAAAAACGAGACGGGTCCGAGTCACGGGAATATAGCGCTAGTGATCTTTCACTACGCCTGGCCGCAGCGATGGAGGGGTAATGAGCTTCTGCCGCAGGTTGCACACTAATAGCGACGAAGTTCTGATTTGCAGAAGGGGGATAAGTGTAAGAGGATGATGACGGCTGGCTGTCAGCACGAAAACTGGAGGTATAACTTTGATCATGCTGACTCTGGTCAGCGGCAGTCAGATTTGGCTGGCTGGAAGGCTCCGGAAACGTCACGGTATCATTGTAATTGAAAAGGATCCGAGTGGACGCTGTAACCAATCGTCAGAACCGCTAGGGTTACCCTCAGGCTGGGCCATTGGTGTACCAAAACGACTGTCAGACTCTTCCGAGTACATCAGAGTCACGGTTGAGTACTCAATGGTAAATCAGCCTGTAGGAAGTCCTTAGGTATTAGTAAGTTTTATATTCGCGCGATCTGTACTAGAACACTGATAGGAAATAAATTTGATGAGATCGTCTGCCAAAAGCCGCACGGCCCCGGAGCCATGAGGCATGGGCGCTATATTGCAGATCCCTGATTTGGCTTTCAGTACTGGTAGGATTTAATAACCCTTAAAACTGACCTTCGAATAACATCACTCTCGCTGCCTCGTAGTTAGGAGGTGGCTTGCATCGGATCAAGGCGGAACAACCTCGTGTTAATTCCATGCGTAATAAGACATCTGCACAATCCGTCACTCATCAGTAAATTTGCACAACCCCTGTGGTCGCTTGTTTGAAAAATTGAAACTTAATTTCACTTGTTCACTTGCGCCAACTTAGTAACTAAGGAGGCGCATGTCGCACAAAAGCCGAAAGGTAGTACAAGAGCACAAGTTGAACACACGAACATGAAAAGTAACTGACGAACGACAAAGTTGGCAAGTATAAAGGAAGTAGTAGGCTGCCCGCACCAATACTACTAGTACCTCATCCCTGACCGGCGGATTGATCTGCGTGACGCCAACTAGTACATTAGGCCTGGGATTGCTTCCTCCGAGTCTGCACAATAAGACAAGTACCGATAGTGTCACTGGCAGCATCCTGGAGCCTTGAGAATCTTGGCGAAGTACTGAGCATCCTCGACCTTGAACATGGCCTCGAAGTAAAATTTGTCAAGAGGGGGGAGATGTTAGGTGTAATTAGATGATCTGGCCATTAGCAACGGACTGAGGATTGAATTGAGGACTAACCTGAATGTTCTGCCATAAGGCAGCAATGTCATGCGCAGCGGTCATGATGCTATCTCGAAGGCGTGGTGATCGGCGTATTTGTGGAGACTTGTCTACCGCTGAACAGATACTCACGCAAGAGATTGACGCCGACGCCAATAACTAAACTTCAAGTCCTTGCATCCCTTCAGCGCCTGGATTGGTGTTGATGAACACGCAATCAGTTACGGGCGTAGACATCTGAGGCGAAGCAAGATAAGGAGTTAGATAAGGGTCCCGTGCATCGCAAGCCTCGAAGCAGTGTATGTCGAATCAAGAAGGAACGACTGTCTTCCTTCTATATCATATGGTCTGGATGTCCGGCCCCCTTCTACCGGTGACGAAAAGTCGTAGCTGAGCGTCTTCAGCAAGATTTACAAGGTGTTCTGCCAGAATGCGATCATGATGGTCCTTGTATTCGTCCAAGGCGTCGATCACGAGGACCGGTAAGTAAACTAGCGTAGACACTTCAACAAGAAGAAAGCAAGATCTGTGGGACATAGCTCGCTGTCCTTTTGCTGCTTCCATAGTTTTCGCAGAGAAACAGCTTGCCAACTTGGGTCCCGTGCGCGTTCGGTTCTTGCTCCTTGCCCATGGTTATCTTGGTTACCAAGTCGTCATTAGATTGTCGAAGCAGTTGACCACGGAAATTGCAATAGAAATAATTCTCTGGTACAGTGGTAACTAAGACATAAATAAAATAGTACCAGTACGGTATTGCGAGGGCAGATCGAAATATCATGATAATGTGTACACGCTTGGTACAACCGACTTATCCCACGCGAACAAAAAATTGAACTTGTAATCATGATACTCAATAGCTTCTGGAAATGTGTAACCAACATGAGATAAAATGTAACATTTGAGGCAGAACGTACCAGTCATCCATATGATTTGCACGGCTCTTCAAAGTGGCGAGTACGGTGTCAGTCCGCGAGATGGATATCCTATCCTTGTCGCGGGCGGCAGCGATATCTTGGCTATCCTCGGTAGTTTCATTAGGCAGTGATAGGCGTTGAGACAAAATGTCCAGTACAAATCGCAACTCCCGCTCTACCGCATGGAAGTCCGATTCTGACTTATCACGCGCGGAAAGGGCGACAGCTTCCCGCCTTTGGACTACTACGACATCCCAGCATGAGGTGTAGTAGCGCATGCGTTGACGTTCACGAACTGCTTCCAGGTAGCGAATAATGGAGTGGAAAGAGCTCGCACTAAGTTGTCCTAAATGCCTCGAGTACGCCTCCATCACCTGAAAATGTACATATATGAGAGCTATATTATATGTATGAAAATTAGGACTTAACCTTCTGTTGTTCGGTACTTTCCGATGTACCCTGGTCACAGTTGAGGTTGTCTAACAACCCATCAAAAATACGTTCTTCATACGAGCTGGAGTAATGGGGACGGGAAGCGTCGCTGTGTTGGTCCTCAGGAGAAGGACTTGGAGTCGGCGATGCAGCCTCAACAGAGGGGTGACTGATACGGCATACGCCGCTGGAACGGTTGGAATTAGGTGTCAACGGGAACTCCGGATCTGAGGTGGTGCTGGTCGCTGTCATATTTATATTTGAGTCTACCTGACCAGTAATATATCATAAATCGTCACTACCTGATTCCGTCACAGATACAAAGGAGGGACTTGGAGAGTTTGGGGGAGAGCTTGACCGGACGCTGGGCATGTTGGGACCTCCAGCAAAGGAAGAATGGACAGGGTGTTGAGGAGGTGTAGATGAAGGCTTGGTGCCGTATGGAACTTCAGTTTGAAGTTCATCAATGCAGGACACTGACACTGGGCTTAACATTATACTGTTTGAAGGTACTATTTTCATGGTGGGCAACTTCACGCTCGGTAAATAGGTCATCGGAGTTTGAAAGGAACCATCGCTGAAGATTCTCCCTGAACCAATAGCGCTCTCACATCGGAAAAGCTGTTAACTCATGGAGCCCGTGAGCCAGGAAGGAATATTCCTGTGGGACTAGGCACATCCAGAAGAAGGAACATTGGAGTGCAACTTTGGATTCTCAACCCTGTTCAAACCCAGCCATGGCATATCATCACTGATAACATATGTTTTGTAAACTAGGGCCCTGTTCAAACCCAGCACATACCCAAACTGGTAACTGCAAAGGACCTGGGAGAAAGTTGACTTCGGACCCTGTTTAATCGTGGTTTAACTTGTTTGGCCTAGTTGAATCAATTCGCGACGCCCTCGAAACCTTCGTAACTCAGCCTCAGCGGCTTGTTTAAACTCAGCACATCCCAAAACTGGTAACTGTATCATACCTCGGGATTACTGGACGATATTAACTGTCCGACGTGACCCACGTCGAGCACCTGTTCAACATATGCGTGTACACGTCAGAGTCACTTCTCTATTGGGTATGACATGCATGCTCTGCCCTACCGTACGTAGTTGGTTACCAGCAGCAGTGACTAGCTAAACTATAAGAACTCACCAGTCAGGACCAGGCTCAAACTTTTAGATCATAACCACCTTCAACATACTAGTAGCAGCGGCTATGTTTGAATATGTTCATGATCGAGCGTCTGAATCTTCTTCATCTGAAACCAGTGACGACGACGTACTCGTAATAGACCCTTTCACAACCCACGAGTCACCAGCAGCTACCCTGTCATCTCCCACTGGAAGTCTCGACTCGAACACTCAGGCTGATGCTCCGAGTCAACCCTCCATTATGATGGTACTCGACCCCACTAGTACTGTTGTGTCATGGCATGCTAAACCACCGTCCGCATCAACCACTGTCACGGTTCCTACTAACCTGGGGGAGATCTCTCTCAGTCTCGCACCCGACTCGGACTCTGAGGTAGCTGCGCTCGTGCAGCTTCCGAAGTATCGAGAACTTGTAAGCGATCGATAAAAGACTTTGCTTGGAACATGCTCACGTATGTTTTAGTTGTGTTCGGACAAGATATTGAAAAATCAAAGGCCTGACCAAGCATTAAGAACAGTGGGTGTCTTCACCCGCATTCTTGATTTCGTCATACTGATCATGAAGTTAGAAACCTGAAGTCGGCCCCAGAGGCTGTCACGTCATGGGAGCTCGAGCTTCTTGTATTGCTACTCGACAGGCTTGCAAGAGGAAGATCGACAATCACGATGGTGTCGAAACTGACAAGGAGAATATTACAATATCTCTGAGTCATACTCCGGCCATCAAGCGCATCTGCCGGGAGAAATCGGGGACTGACTGGCAGACTGTCCTTGATATTGATGAGTATGGCGAAGAACAACGAAGGAAATTTAAAGACACAGTCATAGTAGTGTAAATTATTACAAGACTGGAATTCGCCTACTTTGCACCTACTACTAGACAAACGTCCTTTACCTAGTACCTTTTGCACATCAAATTTCTGATTCACAACTTTAACGGTGGCCTGCCTCAACGCCCGAGACAGGTTCCTCGCTCGCTATACAAAATGACAACGGTCAAAATAAATGGCACAAGTATATATGCTACCAACCTGTATCGGCTGCGATGTAGGAGCGTCACAAGGTTGTCATGGACTCGCAGTGCTCGTGTTACTCTGGATTCGCGTACATCGATGGCCATGTATCTACAACTCAAATTTTTCACGGTATAGATCTTGATGATATTTGGCAGGAGCAGAATTGTATCCTCCTGTAGCTCCCACGGCGGCTACATCCGTTCACTGATCATCGATCATCGATCGCATCTCCAATCATCATGATTGCGTGACAACCACATCATGTGACCGTTGATTCATCCATCGATTCTACTGCACAAACACTGGATTGTTGTGCACCCCCAACATCCCCCACATCCCCCACGTCCCTCGAATATGACCATGGTCTCAAATAATCCTAGTTTGTGGCCGATAATACCCGGGTTTCGCGTACTACTCCTTCGAGGACGGCATAATCAACCCCTCCTCCTGACCCACCAGAAATTACTCCGCTGCCCAAAGTGTATTACCATGCATCGACAAAACGGAAGCCGTTACGCAACATTTTAGAACTCGACCAAAGATGCCAGTGGGTTCCGCGTTAGCATCTTATCGCGGTATCAGGTGGACCAAATGCCGACATCTCTACAAAGTCACGGTGATCCGCCAAGCGCTTTATCTTCAGCTGTAGACTCACCTGACAGTTTTCCATGCCATAGATCATCCGGTTGCAACCAGTCGCGTTGTGAATCGTCTTTGAAAAGACACAAGCTCTCCAAGACTCATTGTTTCAACGCAGCTGGACTCTAAGAGCTCGGATGAATCGATCGGTATTCCGCTGTATTTTTATGCATCCTCTTTCGTGACTCACAGATATATAGGTTGACGAAAATCTCATTACCCCTGGATCTGCATCATACAGCACACCATCGACGACTCTCCCGAAGTGCGACTCTGGACGTATTTATTAGCTGCCTCCATTACCCTACCCACCCCATCAAAGTAGGCCATCGGTGGCCATGCCAGGCGTGTCGTCTGGCCCATTTTTTCGTAATCTTATCGGCTATTTCGAGTTACTGACTTAAGGCATCTTCTGAATGCCTTTTGCCAAGCCTGCGGGCAAGTGCGCCATCCGGATTTCTTCCGCCATATCCTAATTTGGGACAATCCTGACAATCCTCATTGGGAATCGCCCAATCATTTACTTAGCGAGACATTTAAAATGATAGTCCAGGTGGGTTTTCTGACCTGCCGCGCCTTCTTTACAATTCTGTCCACCTTCGCTCTTTACCTTCGCTCTTTATTTTCTGTTACTCCCTTTACCCCACCCTCACTTCTGCCATGTCCGAGCCAGAGCCTAACCATAACAATCAGACACACGCCCTCGCGCTTCCAGACCTCTCTGGGGCAGTTCCTACATCCGTGGAGGCAAGGGCGAAACGGCGCATCGCTGCGTTGGAAGAGGAACTTCAAACGATGCAGCAAGAAAGAGGATCCAAACAGAGGTTCGCTTGCCATCCTGGTCGCTCCATGACTCCTGCTCACAGACCCCCAAAGAAAGACAAGTTACTATGTGTCTCAAGGCAGGGCGATCCGCCGCATGGTTGTTCTATATAATAGCTTGGAAAACCTGATTGCGGAAAATGATCGCAGGTCCGAGGGCTCGGAGCGCCCGGTAAACCGTGGCACCACCACCACAGAGTATGTCATTTGTTTTGTTCTGTACCATGCTTAATTCTATTCTTTAGACAAAATCGTTTGCAACGCGGTTACATTATACTCGCGCAGGTTGTGCCTTGGCTACACCAAAAGCTTTCTGAACTTGACGTTGATGACTCCGAAGAAATGTTGAAAAAGGTGCGTGCTCTCAACTCCAATATTTATTACACTATATCCTAATTATTTTATAGCTCAAAAGGGGAGCCGACGCAGCCCGCGGTGATGACACGTCCACTCTCAAGGACCTCGTCGCTGCATGGATTAATCAAGATTTCCGCCCATCCTGTTTACTCAAGGCCGATGACAAGCACTCACGCGGCTTCATGCATGACACTTGTGGGAAGTTGCTATGTCCTGCCGAGTGGGACTGGAGTGATGCCCGGTGAGCACCAAACTCTTCAACTCATATGATGTTAACGCTTGAGAAGCGTGAAAGCCGGTATTCGCGACCGAACAACTGAGTATATCGTATCGGAAAATTCCTGGCCGCTCTTCCTGTACGAGAACTACTCAGCCGACAGTAGCAACCTCGAAGAAGGTCTATTCAAGTCTAAGATTTTGGTGAAGGTTAGTGGCTTGTGTTAGTGATCATAAATTCGACTCAAAGTTACTATGGTGCTAGGCTTTCAAAGCCATATTTACCTCTCCGTCTTCTGCCAGAGAAGCCGACGGCGATGGGGACGGAGCCGACATCCTTGAGAATAACAGGCGCGCTAGGCGCGCATTACACCAGGCCAAGGTCAAAACCTGTGTGGCCTCGATTATCAATATGAAGAAGGTGAATGCTCGCTCCATTGCGTATGTGGTCTGTCAGGTGAGTACAGGTGATTGCCCGCCATTGATATCTGAACATACAATCTTTCGCAGGTCCGTTTTGCGCTATCCAGTGTCACATCTTGGCGCACCGTGGATGGTGATTTTGACTACGAAATATTCTGGAACAATATCGTAGATTTTTTTGAGGACGTCCCTGGCCCTGTCGCAAAACGTAGGGTGGCCCAACTTCTCGAGTGGTGGACGAGGTAACAATTTTTTATGCCTCGTGTATCTGATCCCTAACCCTACCGTCTAGGAAGATTTTTGGAAGAAATCATCGTGAAGACCTCACGCCAGAGGTCGTGTCCAAGATGTCTGTCACCGCACTAGCCGACCAGAGAAAGGCGATGGAGGATGCCGCCTTTGACTCGGACTAAAACAGCCTTCGTATATTCTATCATTCAAATATATATTCACCATAGCTGTTTTAATGTATCCATTTGTATCCATCATAATATTATATTATTGGGGATCTTTTTCGGCAGTGTTGATTTTCAGTGAGGACAGGACAATATTATTGTTCAGCATACCATCTACCGCAGCATATATCAGACCTTCGAATCCTGCTAAGTTATATGGACGCTCTGAATGTGAATAACTGTATCCGGCGCTGCGACAACCTACATAATATTGCCTGTGTGTGGATCACCCATGGAAAGTTGTTCACCCGCAGTCTCCAACCAAAGAGAATCAATCGAGGACCCTAAACATGAGGGGCGCACTGGGTACGTGATATAACTGTGGTAGACACTGGTATATTAAATGGACGTGAGCGGATAGTAGAGTTAACGAATAAAACCACTCCTCTGGGAATAAGCATAGTATAATTTGCTAAATCAAACACGGGACACTTTTCATGAGCTGGGTACGTGATATAACTGTGGTAGACACTGGTATATTAAATGGACGTGAGCGGATAGTAGAGTTAACGAATAAAACCACTCCTCTGGGGATAAGCATGATATAATTTGCTAAATCAAACGCGGGACACACTTCATGAGAATGAACCCGCATGCTCTGCGAAGGTCATTCTAGACCCATGCGTCTTCGTATGGATTGCTGCCATGTTGCCTGGCAGAAAAATTTTCCGGTCGTGTTTAGAACGGACATAAATTCGGTAGTTTAGGGCTTTGGACTTGGCGCTTGCCCTATCTTTGAAACGGGCTAATATTGTACGTTTTGTACGAAGTAAGTAGCAGTGTCAGGCTTGCGCGAAGTAAGTACCGGTGTCAGTGTGGCACATTTTGTCGGGTATGTATTTTGATGTGCGAAACACCTACCTAGTTCCTCCACTCACTAATTGAACACCTTGAGGTAGAGTGTCCAGATTCCTTCCTACATGAAGGATAATTGACTTTTACAATACTAAGTCGAGGGCTGAGCAAGGCTGCAATATCCTGCTAGATGTGGCAGGCTGGCAATTTCCCGTCCAATACGGCAGTGTAGATCAACCAGCTTACGAATAATCATCCACCTCGTGACTGTGACATTTGGCTGTCACAAGCTACATTATTTAGAACCTGCGGTAGCGTATGGGGGCTGTAATCTTGTGAGCAGCGTCGCAAACGCATCATTGATACAATGCTTCGATGATGGGTGTGTTCTGAGCCAATTACAGGACTGGGCGTCATTATATGATGGAAATCTCAGTCAGCCTAGGCAAGTGCCTACCGCTTCGGAGTGAAGTGCCCTGTATCTTACCAAGTGAACATATTGTCGAACGTGAACCTCGCTTTTTCTCATTATCCAGTCGCATATTAACACCAACCTCTCGCACCAGGCATGTTGATTTACAGAATTGTGGCGAGACGGAAAAACCTTGCATGAATATTCGGTGGCAACTTTTTGTGTCGCTCTGACACTTACAGACTCGCATTTTACTTTATTGGCCTGCGTTCATATATTCGTTTGGAGGATGATCTAAGCAGAAGACGGTGCGTCGAGCACAGGAGAACTTGCTTGGCTGGCATGAAAATGCATCGTTCCCACGTAAGATCAAATAATTACATGCAAACCCCACTGCCACATTTATGGGAATTGGCTTGATTGTTATGAATATATAGTATACTATGACATTTTAATATGTTCATCGGTTCACTGATGAGAGCATGCACCCTAGTCTACCCTAGTCCCCCGTCACTAGGCAGACCAAATAGAAGTCGTTCCTTCGTCAAAACCGGGGTCTGGTCAAGGTGCGTCTTCTTGTGGTTTTACCACTCTGCAGCTTGACGTAGAGCGAATGGGCCGGCAGTTCCAAGGTCGAATTCACCAACTGCACAGAGGTGCAGGGCGGGCCTGGGCGGCTTTGCAAGACGGACCCGGTGGTCGAGTAATAATTACGGAATACTCACACAGCCCAGCAACGGAACATTGTACTTTCGCCAAACTTTCGCTCAGGGCCAAATGAGTGCCTCCTTCAACATCGATTTTCACCAAGCGCTGATACCATTTGGAAACCATTCAAACTCATCCGTTCGATTCGATCTCAAGCAGCTCTTACGCTTTACAATCCACATTGCTCCACAGCTTGATCGTTTCGCTGCACAGTTCATCACCACCGAACATTTTTATTGGACAATCTGACGGCAAAACATCGTTGAACGACTTACGCCTCTTTAGTATCTCATTCTGACCTCAAAGTTACAGCTTAGGCTTTGAGCCTTCCAATTTTCATCATCGTACGTCGTCCATCGCTCCTACGATTTCTAACCACGCTTATCCAAATCAGCTAGTTCTTCTCTGGACTCGGAGTTGTTCCGTTCCATCTTACAATTTTCTTTTGTCGATGAGTCAGGATCAATGTTAGGATTTCGATCCCTTATATTATATTCTGCTCTCTGACCATTTCAACAGTTCCTGGCGATCCTCGGTCATATGAAGGAACTTGGGATAAATTGTCCCAGATCGCAGTCAAGGGTGCTGAATACGACTCCCGTGAACGTCAGCCTCATCCGAAGTGTTTGGAAGGGACCCGGGTGGACCTTCTCAACTATATCTACGGATTATTAGACAACTGAGAGACGAGTCGACTCATTTGGTTGCATGGCACGGCGGGCGTCGGAAAATCTGCTGTTGCGTTCAGCGTAGCTGCAAGGATGAAAGATCTGAAAGTGACAGAGCAGACAAATGCCGAAAAACGGCTCGCGGGAACATTCTTTTTCTCGCGCAAGCACACGAAACGCTGCACGACTGGTTATTTCTTTGCGACGCTTGTCTACCAGCTTGCCAGCAATTTTCCTAGTGTCCGTACGGACGTGAACCAAGCTATCCGGGAGAATCCTGCCCTTCTAGACCCCGACAAATCTCTTCGCGACCAGATGGAGGCGCTCTTTCTCAAACCTCTCCGGAGGCTTAGATTCAGGCTGTGCGACTGCCCACCTTTGGTTTTTATTATTGACGCCCTTGATGAATGCACATCCAAAACCGAGCTTGCTGATCTCATATTCCTGCTTGGTCAAGCTCTTCGTGGACCTGATCTGCCCGTAACCCACATTCTACTCACGAGTCGCTCGGAAAACCATATCCGTGAAGCCATTCATGGGGAAGAGGTGCGCCTGCTGGTATGGGAGATACCAGTACAGACCTCTGGTCGGGGCGTTGCAGCCATCATCTCATTAGACGGCGTAGATGTTGACAACGACATCTATATTTTCCTAGAGCATTCTTTTGAAAAGCTGCGAAGTTGCTGTTCCGATTTCCCACAACCGACGGAGGATCAACTCGTGCGGCTGGCGAGCCGAGCAGGCAGACGTTTCATCGTGGCGTCTACAATGATGAAGTTTATTGATGATGGGTACAATGATCCTTATGATCGCCTCCAGCTTATGCTCAACTTCACGGGCGAGCTGCTACCAGGAACAGAGGTGTACAAGTTGTACGACTGCATTCTCGCAACATGTTCCAACCCCACGCGCGCATACCTGCACTTGTCTGTTGTTGCTGCCCTTGCAGACCCCCTCCCGATCTCACAAATCTCGAAACTTCTTGGCCCTGGTCAAGGAAGGGATGTCGAGACAGCACTGGCGCAGCTGCGTTCTGTCATAGATATCCCTACCGATTGCAGTCTCCCCGTGAATATCTATCACTCATCCGTTCGTGACTATGTTTCCAAACCCTCAAACTGCAACGTCCCTGAAGTACGAGACACCCCACATGCCCACTCCATACTCGCTCATTCATCTTTCCGCTTGATGATACAAGACATTCCAGAAAGCACGGGCCTCCTGGATGCGCTCTCAAAATTGAAGAGGCACAGCCAAGCTGTGCAATCCCACGATGCCCATAGCTTAAAAGACTCATTATCCTTCCTCATCCAGACACCCGAGCCACTGGCGGTTCTTATAGGTCTGCTATGGCTTCGGGGAGATCGGAGTTTAGATTTACAGCCTTGGTTAAACACCCGGGACGGGGAGGCGTGGCTGCAGACCCCAGGAGGGACAGACTGGATGCAGTCCTGGCGGGGAGGGGAATGGCTGCGGACCGAGAGTGGGATGTATTGGTTGCTGACCAAGGCGGGAAATGACTGGCTGCAAACTAAGGGGGGAACATACTGGCTGCAGACCCAGAGGGGGAAGGAATGGCTACAGACCACGCAGGGGAAACATCAGACCGAGGGCAGGTGGGCGTGCTGGGGATCGGAGCAGACACCGAGTGATTGGGACTGGCTGCAGACTGGGGCTGGCCGGGACTGGCTACCGACTCGCCATGGACAGGACTGGCTGCAGACCCTAAGCGGGTGGGACTGGCTGCAGGCCGGTAGTGGGCGGGATTGGCTGATGTGCCACTATGGACGGGACTGGCTGCACTCTGCAGGCGGACGAGACTGGCTACAGACCCAGAGCGGGCAAGACTGGCTGCAGACCGAGAATGGGCAAGATTGGCAGGAGACCTGGAGCGGGCAAGACTGGCGGGAGTCTCAAAGTGCAGCAAAATGGCTCCAGACCCAGAGTGGGCGAGATTGGCTTCAGATTCCAGCTGGATTAAATTGGCTGCCGACCCAGAGCGGGCAATATTGGCTGCGGTCCCCGGACGGCCAAGATTGGCTTCAGACCCCCGCTGGGAGAATTTGGCTGCAGACCCAGCTCGGGCGAAATTGGCTGCAGACCCAGAGCGGGCAAGATTGGCTGCAGACCCAGGGCGGGCGAGAATGGCTGCAGGACGGTTTCGTTTGCCTGCAAACCCGGATCAGGGAGGATCGGTTTGAGATCCCGGGCAAGCAAGACTGGCTGGAGACAACGCCAATTTGGCTGGAGACGCAGAGTGGGCGAGAGTGGCTGGAGACGCAGAGTGGACGAGTGTGGCTCCAAACCCAGAGCGGACGAGAGTGGCTGCAGATTTTGACTGGGGAAACCTGGCTGCAGGATGCAGGGCGAAAGTGGCTGCAGACCCCAGGCGGGCAAGAGTGGCTTTCAACCCCAGGGGGACAAAAGTGGCTACGGTGCTGGAATGGGGAACGCTGGTTGCAAACCCCAGGTGCGCGAGACTGGCTCCAGACCCAAACTGGGCGAGACTGGCTCCAGACGCCCCATGGTCAAGTATGGCAGTCGACTCCTGCGGCATCTGTCTGGGTGAGAATGGAAGAATTTTCGAGCACATTGGAAGCAATCGGCGAGCCACAAAATTGTTTCAGAATTGCCAGCTTTTCAAGTAATCCACCTTTACAAGAGCTTGCCGGATTTCTTGATGTTTCCGGCGTTCCTGGCGTTAAGGGATACCGGGGGGTCCATTGCGGGCTACTTGGATTCGTTTCGGGCGCTAAGGCAGCAGAGTACCTTGGCAATACATTGTCATCTTTCATCAATCCTGGAGATCATCGATGATATGACGGCCTTTGTAAATTTCGCAAACAAAGCACACAAACGAAGCCAATCCGACGACGCCCTCAAGTATGCATGTCAAAATTGGGCCATCCACCTCTCGAGAGCTCCAAATCCATGGGATGAAAAGCTCGAACATATATTCAAGTCTTTCTGGAATCAGGATCTCCTCTCCTGGCTCGAAAGGCAGTGGTGTTTGAAGGGTTTACGATCTTGCCTCGCTATCTTATCCGAAGGAGAGAAACTTGCCGCAAAGACGTTGTAATTTATTGAGCCCATGTACAGTTTACACTACTAGGCTTCGTCACTGGCTGTTCTACCTCTTTGCACTTGCTGTTATCTTGCTTTCTACGTTACCTCACGGCCTCTGTACTTTGAATGCGAATTTGCTTGATCAATATATAGCCACAGCACATCATTTTGTGAGGTGTAGTCTCGACTCTGTCCCCGTGACTGAGCTAACCATCGAAGAAAAGACAAGTGTTGAACAAAAGTCATTTTTACTATACGTCCATAGAGTACATCCATGAGTTATATAAACGTCTTAAGAGCATTCATTCAATCAATCAAAGTTCACCTAGAAACACCTGTAATCATACAAAGGTGGAAGCAAGATAATTCTTGTAAATTCCTAAGAAGCCAATATCATTTGAATTTGTTCAGTAGCTTCGACCCGCCTGCAGAGAAACCACATCAGCAGTGCATAGTAGGATAACATCCATGAACAAACTCACTCTGCGCGAGCGTCTCCAGATGTCTCCTCGCATCCCTCCCCGCGATTCCCTCCACCGTGTCTAGCGCGCGACCCGCGAGATTGAACCCACCCCCTCCACCATTGCCTGTCCACATCGGTACCGACTGGTTCTGGGCGTAGTAGCTCTGAGACTGCGGGTGCGTAGGAGGACCTTGTGAGCACGACCAAGATTAGCAACGCGAGGACAGCCGTGAACAGAAGATACGCACGATGCGCTAGGGGCGGAGGCGAGCTCTGGATTCCCCATTCAGGTGGAGGATAGGGTCGAGGAGAATTCGAACCACCAGGATGATGTTGTGCGGGTGGAATCTGGTGTTGGAAGTAGTCTTGGGTAAGTGGATTTGGTACGGGGGAGGTAGGGTAGGGATATTCTGGCTTGTCCATTGCTATGTAAGGTCCTTGAGATGTGCCAGAATTTGGACTTGTGTTCGGATAGTATGGTTCTGGGCGGGCAGGACCATATGGGTGCATGTTGGCATCATACCAATCGTATCCTGGTCGACCTATGGCAGAAGGCTTTCCCTGGGGTGAGGATGAAGGGCGGGAATTGAGGGGTGGGACAGGGGGCTGATACGAAGAGTTGTACGGAGCATAATGAAGCTGTTGTTGACCAGGATATGGCCAAGATGCAACAGGTGCTGGTGAAGCCGGCGGGTGCGGAGAGATTGCGGGCGAGGTGCTGGGTCGCCTTAGGCTTGCCTCCACAGAAGGCATTTGCATGACCGAAGACGAAATTCCTGACCCATGGGATTGCTGCGGTCCTGTCACAATTTCTGACGGACTGTGTGATAATTTCTGGCGGGCGAAATCATCGGCCAGATAGGCCACAGTAGAAGATCCAGGGGAAGAAACTCGAGACGATGGCCTGACAATGGAATGCGAGGAGCTTGGTCGCTGATAGAGCTGATGGGGACGCATGACCACCACTTCCACCTTTTCGGGGGGATATACAGGTTTCGTTGACATCGGAGCCGGTGGAGGGCGAGAACTCATGTTGATGGCAGGAGGTCGGCTGCTCCCCGATGGCGTGCTCGTGGTCAGTGATGGACTCCTGGCTGGAACAGGCGGCGGGGACGCAGATGAGGCTGAGGCACTGGATGAACGGCCGAGGGTGGGCTTGGTGGCTTCAGGTGGGACTGGCCTGGCATTTAGTGCAGCGCCTGCCTGAGGATTCTGTGTGTGTTGCTCGTCTTCCAGCATATATGGCGGCGGAGGAGCCTCATCTACCACTGTACCTCCCTCTTTAGCAGCCCAATCGTGGTATGCTTTTTGAGCCTGCTTCCATTGCTCCGCCTCTTCCTCCTGAGTTGTCTTGTCTTCATACCTGGGACGAGTTGCCCAATAGTCCTGTAATTCCTTGATAGGAAATGTCTCGTGTAATACACGTTCACCACGTAGTATTTCAGCAGCAAAACCAACTATGCGCATATACCAGTCTGACGGAAGCGAGTGGCCATCGGCGTCGAGCGCTAAAAAGTCGAACTGCGGATGAACCGGGAGTTGCTTTGAAGAAGAGACGACAGGCATGTATGCCGTGCCTTCGTCATATTCGTCCCACATGGCACCATAGATGATGCGCACCCCTGCGCGTCGAGCAGCATATATTTGTTTCCAGAGAAAGTGACCCCCGTTGCGCTTTATGGCGTTGAATCCCCATTGTCCGTGAGAGAGATTATAGCCCTGTAGAACAGAAAGAATACTCAGCAGGACAATGATCAACTAGCATTACTGAACCTACGCTGCCTCCAGGAAGTACCACAGGTATGTAATCTACTCTTTTTTTGCCTTCGTCTGCTCTTTGCTTCAAAAAATCGAAGTCTGGTTTGACTTTCTCATTCCCCCAGCGTTCAGCATCCTCTTCGTTTCCGTAACGCCCGATAGTCCAAGGGCTCAGTGCATCAAATTCTTCTGTCCAGACTCGCAAAAACTCGGGGTCCGGGTCGCTATCAGATATCGATGTGCGCCAGTGTCCAGGTACACCTGCCATAAGATAAGCACCGCCTGGTGTGGAGGAACGAAAGAAATTAGTAATAGATCGGACGACGTCTGGAGAGTGATTTCTCCCGTTGAATCCAAAACCTGGAGTAGCAAATGAGCTAAATAACCAGGTGATATCTTTCTGCAAGCATACCCCATAGAGCGATGACTGGACTGCCTTTCTCACGAAGATAATTGGGGCTGTCTAGTATACATTTATCACGCATAAGATGCGTCCAATCTTCCTCGAGCACTTGTTGGATCTTGTTAGGGTCCACGCCTGAGACATCGTACCTAGGTGTGTGGTGAATATCAATCAAACTGAGTTAACAAGTATGCGTACATGATGGCGAAGACTCTTCCCTCTGCTTCAGCAGCCTCTCGAACACGATCACCTACTTCATCTCTGATTCTCATCATTGCTGAGCCGGCCCCCAATTGGCCTGCAAATCGCTGCAAGAACGCGCCATCGACACCGTGCAACGCCATCCAGTGGAAATGGCGCGTCACCGTCTTCGGGTGGCGTGAAGAGAAGAGAAACATCTGTTCTCCGTCTGCGTTTTTGAGACCTGGGGCGGGGTACAGCTCGGATGGCGAGTATTCTGATACATCTGGCCATAGGTCTGTATTGGGGGCGTCCACCGTCTGGTATTGGCTTATCAAACCAATGTATCCATCCATGGTGGTTAGGATCCAAGGGCTCGCCATCTCCATTGCATGTGAACCTGTAAAAGCAGTGTTGAGTACGCGGCTCATTATATGCGACCCCATCATAAATCCGCGACTTTAGAGCACTTCAGAGGCACTCAAAAGAAAATTTGATGATGAAACCTGGATGACCCACGGGCTTGCATCTAAGAGAAACTTGAACGCACCATCCTTGGTATCCAACTAGAAACTTGTCCTGTATAGTCTTTGGGTTTGCTCTGGGAGGGTGATGAGTAACAATGCTACTCCACGTCGACCAGTGAGCATAAAGGTGAGCATACCTCTTGAGAATTCGTCCTTCTAACTGTTGCCCCGACATGGTGTGAAACAAAGCAATAATGATGGCCTGCTATGCACCTACTCCTAAGCCTCAGGGCCAGAAACACATATAAATAGTCTTACATAAAGTGACTGTGCAGTTCCTTAAGTCGCTAGTCCCTAGGCCAATTGGCCAGGTGACATAATTCATTCCATAAAATAATTGAAGTCCGTTCCTGTTCATTCTTTTCGAACTCACCACCTTCTATCCTGCGTGGTGCACGCAGCGCCCAGTGCTGAGCGCTGAGCGCTGGGCCTTGATGCCCAATACGAGCCACTGGCAAGTCAAAGGGTAAAAACTATTATTATCTAGAGTCATAACGTAATCCAGTGTAACTGGTAAGGTCTTCCTGTGAAACAATATAATCACTGCATCGTGTCAATGGGATAACTTGCCAGCGCCAAACGCCATGGATAGCACTGCAGAAGACCTCGCCAGCTATCTCGTGCAGCAACTCAAACTGTACGTTTATCCTTCAGAGACTAGTGCCACTTAAGCTGATACGGTCAAGCCAGTAAAGCAGTCGGAGAGCGGCTCTTGGTTGCTATCGCGGGCGTTCCTGCCTCAGGCAAATCAACCTTGGCTGAACTAGTAGTCGCCAAAGTCAATGCGCTTCTGGCTGCTGATAGTGCCACGCATCCCACTTCCGCTATTTTGGTTGGCTTGGATGGGTGGCATCTGAGCCGTGCACAGCTAGATGCCATGTCGGATCCTAAACTTGCACATGATCGTCGCGGTGCACACTGGACTTTCGACGGACCATCTTACGTTGAGTTCGCGAAACTTTTACGCCAGCCAGCAACTGCTGTGATAACTGCCCCTTCTTTCGATCATGCCCTGAAAGATCCTACCCCCCACGCTGTGTCGATATACCCTTCCCACCGCCTGGTCGTAATCGAGGGCTTATATTCCATGTTAAAACATGATATCTGGGAGCAGGGTGCACAGCTAATGGATGAACGGTGGTGGATACAGGTAGGTCTGGAGGAAGCAAAGCGGCGATTGGTCAAGAGGCACGTCCTCACGGGCGTAGCTAAAGATATGGAAGAGGCAATATGGAGAGCCGGGCAGAATGATGAGCCGAGTAAACGCCGTAATCTTCATTACACGATATCAGGAATGCTAAAGCTTGGTCTCCTAGATGGGAAATTCATTGCGGAAAACCTGTATGAACCCACAAGGATCATCAAGAGCTTGGACGACCCCAAATATATCATTTAACCTTGCTGCAAAAATGTAAATCACACTCCTTTTAATGCCAATTCTAGGCCTCTGGGATTTGGTTTACTCGCCGATCAATCTCCGAGTAAGGACAGATAAGTTATGACTGAGTTGAGGACTGTGTATTACAGTGATTTTGCAGAACGTTCATCGATGCACAGCTCGCCTTCACTCCGATTACAGTATTTCTGAATCTCCACGGTCGATCGATCCACCACGAGGAATGCCAAACATCTCCCGTGTCCCCGTGGCTGTAAGCGTCCACGACGATGACCGTATTCCTAGGCTGCAAAACAATAACATCTATAGAGTCCAACTGGATGGTTCGGTGGTGGTTTGGAATCGGCTTTCCGTTCCTGAGGTACTGCGAACCAACTATACCCAAGTTGATCCACACGATAATGAGCTCGAACCCAGCAGCGGAGTTAGACTGGCGCGCATGTCTGCCAGACATCTACAGGTTACGTACCACTGCGGGCAGAACTTCGAGCACGATGCAAGTGAGCACTGGTTGCTTTGCGCGACGTAAATTCCCGTTATGGTAAACAAGGCGAACGAATACATTGCCGCACTTCTCAATGAGCTGAAGAATACAGTGAGGGCAGATTTTTGATCGCGGATGCTGATGATTGGAATGATATCCCACAGATTGGTCCCTCCCTCTAGAGCAATTCTTCGAGGCATCCATAATATGCGAACAGCAATGAGAATGGCACTAAGCACGTTTAGTGTCAACGTCATAGAAGATGATCGCCCACATAGCGAAGACTCATCAGCGTCCATGCATGGGTTGTCCAGCCCGATCAGGGTGAGTGCGTGGTATGAGACTATGCCGATGCGGCTGATTAAGGCCATGATCAGATTGTTATCCAGGTGATTGCAAGCTTCACTTACGTGTATCTGCGAGATACAGAACGAGGAAGAAATTATGACGCACTAGTCATCATTTGAGACCTTCTAGAAGTTCTAGCACCGCGATGATTGCGTGCCCGACTTGTTCCGCGAAAACATATTGATCCCCCTGGAATATTTTTGACAGACTGTGATAGGCATACGACTGCTAGACTACAATAGATGGTGGCCTTCCCCACTCGATCGATGCTCCCTGAAATATTGCCGTAGAGGTAAGCCGTTCGAAAGTCGTTATATCATGAACGACATCTGATGGCGTGCTACACAATGTCTTCAGTGATATCACCGACCAGCTCATCCAATGCATACGACGTTTATTGCAGTGGCACGCAAATATGGGGATGAAGCCAGCACGAACGATTTGCTGATAACGTTATTCTATCGCCTGTAAATCAGGCATACATTGCGAGGAAGAAGAACTCGAGGAAGATGCCATATAACCCTACATCGACACCAAGTTGGCACAGAGGTGGGTGTGTAGGAGCCATGGGTGCTGCGATATACTGATGACCCTACAGCAGGCTTCCACGAAGCGCTGCAGCTGAAGTGTACAACCCCGATCTGGCGCGGGTTGCAACCCGAGAATTTTGATGATCATGGCGTGGGTCTTGGCCGAAAATGTCCAACTGTTCTCCTCTCCTTGAGGTTTGCCTAATCGCCTGCGCAGTCGCCTCAAAGCGTACCTGGAGGACCTTGAAAGGGTGCTTGGGAAAATGGAGACGTCTGCCTGCCTGTCAATGAAATTGCAAACAAGAGAGAGGCAAGCGCAAAACCCAGGCGAGGCAAGCGATTTTCCCAGGTAGATCTATCACCGGGTAGCTGGGGGTTTGACGATGCATACCAATAACCGAAGTTCACCGTTTGGCGCAATGTGCATGCGGCTTTGTGCTTGCTGTACTTAATAGGTCTGCCCACAAACCCACCATATCATGATCGGGAGCCTTTGGAAAAGAGCTGTCCCTGATGGCAATATTACCCTAGGGGTTAGCTGCCTAGGTAGCGAGAATGCCGCTAACAGCCAATCTGCATTCCTGTAAATCACACGACAACATCATGCGACCAGCCAGCTGATGTTTCCAAGAGGTACAATTGGAGGAGACACGCAGGCGCCACACTCACCGGATTCATTATCTCCTCTGCAAGGACAACTTAAAGAACGACGCTGAATGTACGACCGGTAAATAGGCATCTGAGGCGGCATGCCACCTCATGCTAAACACGTCGCAGGATCTCGAGATACTTACTATGATATTTCCCGCTTATGAAGTACTTGCATGACCCAGTGCTTGCCAATTTGCCCAAGGCACCCATGTACCAAATGCTCCTGCATCATCGGACGTGTTGTTACCGGTGATGGTAAATATTCTCCGGTCCGCGGTCGTAGCCTCCCCAGGTCAGTCAGTGGGCCAACGTCGCAATGAGAAAAAGTCGAGAAACGAGGGGGCTACATCAACACTGGTAGCAATTTTTGCTTGGGAAACATGATAACTTAGGCTCGAACTGGCAAAGAGCAAAAACAGATAGATTATCGTCAGGATAATACTCGATACAGGCAAATCTCATAACAAGCTAACGTTACAGTACGTACTCGGGACAATAGTAGTTTAATGCACGAAGATAACAATCTGATGACCAGCACTTCAAAACCCCTAACGGACCAAAAAAAACGAGCAAATAGTGATGAGGCCAGACGTAGAGCTGGCCGGTAGGTGATGTGTCAGGAATAAATGCTGGGGCGGAACTAAAACCAATGAAGTCCAAATAAGCCGACAAGAATGACAAGAAACAGGCCCTCAGCTTTATCAGCGTGAGCAGAAAGTCAAGAATCCAGGGAAAAACACGGCAGATGACAACATGATTAGACCATGACAAGCCTTCCCATAACGTACGTTCCTCCATTCACGAGGCCGACATTCCCTACATCTTTGCCGCCGAACCCTACGGCCGGGCCCGGGAGGGTGCCTTTCCACCCACAAGGGTGATATGGCGTGAGGCCAACACTCTCGTCCCATGAGTCGCGCTCCTCAACCCATTCATTGGATACCTCGTCTTTGACTGCCGTAACAGGTGGGAGGGGGACAGTTGTCGCTGTTGTAGACTCCACGGGGAAAAGGTTGAATGGAAGAAGGGATGTCGGTATCCATTGCGACGGGGACGGAGCGCGACGTCGCCTCTTTGCGGATGCCTTGGGCTGTTCTGATGGTGACGTAGTCGATTCATCGCGAGCACGCTTGTTCGGTCGCGAATCAGAATCAGATGATGTGGCAGCGCCTGCCAGTGAGACAGCGGAAGCCTCTGCCGGCGGGACGGATGTGGCTTCTTGTGACGTCCCAGCAGAGTCACTGGATGTCATCTGGTTTGTGCGATTCGCAGTGTTTACGGGCTTAAGAATGCACCGCTTAACGTGACGGTTAAGATTGGATGCAACGCCAAAACGACGGCCACATGTGTCACACACAAATGCTACAATTGCAATTTTTTTTTTAAGTGTCGCACGACCACAACGATTTTTTAAGTCACATACCTTTTTCTCCTGTGTGTACGAGCAAATGCTGCGAGGTAGAGACATTTGATGTAAGCTAGCTATTTTTAGCGGGAGAATAATATTTATATTGACCTTTCTCAATGTGGAGGGCCTATCAAAAGATTTCTCGCACATCCAGCAGGCATGCTTCTTTTCCCGTGGTCTTGGTCCTGAGCCTTCAGTCTTGGTATTGCGCGATGAAGCAGACCTGGAAGAGCTGGCGCATGCAGTGCGAATGGACTGTGTTATCTCGGCAGGTGTGGTGGAAGGCCCGGGTAATGCCAGGGCGGGTGGGAGTGGCGGCGATGGATGAGATGGAAGAACCATGTTGGACGATGTTGGAAGATCAATACAGTAAGAGTGCGATGATGATGAAAAATGCGATGACGATGGGCTTTTATCGCATGCAGGGTATGGGTAGTGCAGTTGTTGCTGGTAGAATAAAGGCAGAGTGTCCGACCACTCACATGAGGTATGGCCGCCGGCGATGGTACGAAAGTTAGCTAAAGATGGGGGTATATCTAAAGATATAGGTGGTCCGGTGACCATGGTACGTAGGGCCGACGTTGTCGATGCGCCGCTATCTTGGAGAGAACATCTACCGCTCTGTATATCGTATGCGTCGTATATGGATGATCTTTCTAAGAAGCCTGAGACCCAATCCGACGTGTTTGACTGGGAAAGAGATGGACCGAGTTGAGCGCTCTGCATATGGTGCTGCCGCAAATTGGGGTGCTGGACTAGAGGGCTTGGACACTGCATCATGACGTGGAGGTCAGGGGGGCGACAGGGTACGGAGAGGAGGACGAAGTCTGATGAAGTTCACACCAATTCTATGAGCGGGAAAGCTTATATATATATAATTCGTTGGGTACATCCGTTGCAACCCTAAAGGTGCGAAGACATAAAGAAAACGAGGTTGAAATCTATGAAGGCCCAGGCAACAAGCAGCTGTTTTACGGCAGAAATTAGCATTCGACCTCAGCGGCTTGCACCGTTTTCTGCAATTGTGATTAGGCGTGTACCAAGCAGCTGGCTTTGAGTAGCTCATATGAGAATTCGGATAGCTCATCTTGTACTCACCGCTTTCGCAGGAAGCCTCGGAGGCCCGCGTGTTGTTGAGGAAGGCGACAGGACCACTGCTGCGGGAAGGAAATTGTTGGATCAATATCATAGACTAATGGGCATTCGGTCCGTGATAACAAAGGTCTACTTCCCCCACGAGTTGACTCGAGCAACAACATCTCAGCTTCGACTCGATTCTCGGCGGAGCGGAAATACCACGCTCGGTGGGCCTCGTTGTCTGAGTAGTACGATGATGGCCTAAAGACTTCCATTCCTGTAGGTGTTCTCTTTGGCCACGCAGGTGGCAGATATGAGAAACGACGATCCCGGTGGATTCAGATGCATTTGAGGAAATGAAGCACCCCTCGTGTGGTACGGAAACAGAAGAATGAACCTTGCTTGAGCATGCATGCTTGAGCTTGAGTCTCCTATACTTAGTTTAATAATTAGTCAGTTCTGCAAATGACGCAGCCGCCGGTAAGCTCGAGGCGGCAGCAGCACAGGAAATTCATTTCTGAAATATTGCAGATGGCAACAAGATCAAGTTCCTTCATAGTTCAAAATTACGTTTGTGGACACTTGTTAATTTTTAAAGCTTTTGATAAACAATAACAAACAACGCTTTTTATCCAAAAACAATCATGACAATATCAGCTGCACAGAAGACAGCAATAGAGGAGGTCATTGAAATCTTAGTTGCAACTACCCCAGCTCGCGGAAAACGTCAATTATCTCAATTGTTCATGGATCTCGTCGACAGAACAGAGTGGCCTGAGTATTATGAGGTATTTCTAATAGAAACAAACCCTTGCAACATCTCCGAATCATTTATTTCAACTAGGTCATACCCGAGCCTCGATGTATCAACGCCATTAAGTCAAGCGTTGAACGGAACAGATACAAGGACGCGTTGAACGCGTATACCGATCTGTCCCTCGTGTTTTGGAACGCATTGTTCTACAACGAACCGGATAGTCAAATTGCTACTGATGCACAGACCCTCAAGGTTCGTTTTTCACTTCTTGTCCGCGGCGCAATCGTTCTGAATACCGATCGGGTCTTTCGACCTCATCTATTCGCGTTCAGATTGTACTCGAAACTGAATGGCAGAAGAGAAGCATTCTTCCCGTGCCCCGACACTCGCCACCTCCTTCATCTGCTCAAAAGGTCCACGGAACGGGTCCCGCTGCACCGCCGCATCCCATTGTTGTCCAGCCTTCCACTTCTACGACCACCAAAATGAGGACAACAGCTCCAACATCCGCTGTACCTCCAACTTCCGAGTCACACACCGCCAAACCCACTCCTCTAAAGGGACCAGTGGCTGCAGAAGAAAGGGTTGGAGATAGTGAGGCGATCGTCCGTCAGCTTGAGAAAAGTCTCCCAAGATGGCAAGCCGTTGGAGAACTAGGGATGTCCGAGGTCAGCAAGGCGAGTATTCATCAATCGACCTCTCTCAACCGTGGTGATGTTTAATCCCCGTTTTTATACTTACATACTCGCTATGCCACAGGACCGACTGGTTGAAATTGTGCACAGTCCTCCTAAGACCCATACGCACGAGGACGCTCGTGACCGGACCATGCTGACCGCGGCAGGGAATTTGACTGTTCCCCCGATTGTCGACAAGCTTCCCCCCGAAACGAGTGGGTTTTTTGTCATTGTTTTCTAACCTGCCTCACACCTTTTGTTAGTAAAACACTTTGAGCGCTCCCCAGACACAAACGAGCTGTTCTGGTTTGCCGCACCTCCGATGAACACCGCCCGGACACCGCCCCCACAGCATAGTCTGGCGTACCTGCATTTCCTAGCGACAAAACACAAGAAAGAACTGCAGGCGGGCTCAGACGTCATGGACGCCGGCGGTGAAGCTGGTTTGACAGGTCATTCAAAGCGACAACGCACGGTTGCGCCTCCAACAGTTAGCGAAATTCTCCAAGCGACCATAAATTCAGCATCTCCCGAGCTCCTTTAGACATTATTCATCTGCTCCCACTAGTATAATACCCAAGTTCGTTTCCTTTCGGTCTTTCCGCCTCGTACTCATCGGTTGCCATGCCATACAGACTTAATTGCTGGCCAGAAGAATTTCATCTTTTTGCTCTGCAATTGTCCGACCCATTCGTCAATATTAATTCATCCTGCACTATTTAAATGCAAGCCTAAGTCGGGAAGAACCCAAGCCATCTGTGCAATGTCTAGGTGAAACGTACTGCGACGCGTACTTGAGTTGGGTGAAGTCAAGTTGGACGTAAGTCATAAATCCACGCACCGAAATATCTTGATGCCCAATTTCCTTAGTATCGAGATGTCGATACTAATGAGCTACCCAATTCTACCACTACATGTACAACTACATCGCGATAGGTCTTCAATGCGGTCTTCAATAAGTGCGTCCTCGAGCCGTTCAAATCCGCGGAGGACTTAATCTTGTCAACATCGACAAGTGCTGCAAAACATCTCTTAAGCTTGGTGATCAAGTCCGTTTTACGAGTCCCAGAATCAAGGAGATGATGCTAGAAAACAATGATCTAGCAGCAGTTCAAAATTATTCTTTGTTTCCAGCCGCTGTCATCGAAGACAGGCTTCAGTGATTACGTTCGACATAATGACGTTTTAGATGACGACGAAGCACCAAGACCGATCTGAGGACGAAATCGGCCACAGATCAAAAATTTGTTCACGGTGCGTCCCAAATTGCGATCCTTCAGTAAGCGCTTGATCCTTACCAGGGATTTCCTATTCAGCCTTGGGGGGTCCTCGAGCATATTGGATCTTCAGAGCGATCATTTTTTTTTGCCTTCGACCTCCCTCTCAATCTCTTTCAACCTTCCTTTCGGCGCATACACATGTGGCTTCGGGGTCGGAAGACGGGCAGAAGATTCCCCTCCGCAAACTACGATATAAACGGCAGCCTCCTCAGCAGGCTGCGAGACGAGGTTCTTCCCAGCGCGAAGTTTTCCCTGTCGCCATACTCCCCGATGGCACCGTTACGTGTATTAAGAACTCCCTCGACGGACTTTTCGACAATATGTACGTATGTAATGATCTAGTCTTCCCCTACATAGGCAGACCAAATAGAAGGAACGGCAGTCATTTCTTTTTTATTATGGGAATAGTCGGCAGCACAAGCCTCGTGTCGCACATATGTACACTATTTTTGTTTTTGTTAAATTTTCTACGGGATACATTACTTACTAGTACGTCCGATTGTGCAAGTACTTGCAAGAAGAACTCGTTTTTTCTTGCAATTGGCATCTTAAAGGTAATTTCCCTAGATCCATGCTTCTCCTGCGGCACGCCCCCGCGTTCGAGACCCAAGTCTCAAGGTTCATTCCGGAGGCGTGGCTCCTGACTAATATCTGAGTTCTTGCCAAGTGGTTGCAGCGGAAGCTAGTGGACTGATTCTATCATTCATGTATTATCCGAGCTTGAGAAGCTCGCGGCTTTTGTTGTATCTAGACCTAGGAGGATCGTAGCTTTCACGGACCTGCTAGTACACTTATATTCTAGTCAGTGATCGGTGACAATCTTCGCACTCATTCAAATTTTGAAGCTTGATCTTGGATGTCCTCATGCGACTGGGGACTTAGGCTTCGAGTCTGGAGAGCCCACCGGGAGAGCATCGTCACCTGGGTTGATTCATCCGTTCACTTTCGCAAGTGGTGACTAGGGGTGCACTGGTTTATAACTTCTGATGTATTTTTGGCTTGGCACTTTCACATCCGGGGAATTGGAAACTGGACATGGTGGAGTAGGGTGGAGAGGGTGTGAAATTCGAATTGTGGGTCCCCAGAAGAGAACGACAGAACGCCAGAAGCATGTCCACATACGATGAATCAAAACATTGTATTTTAATAACGACGAAAGTTCATGAATCGTACGACAGTGAGAACGACCGGGGATATACACCGGTAGAACGCGGAGACACAGATATACTCCGTGAACCCCACCTGGCCTATATTTTGTACTTCATACCAAGATGAGTAAGATTGCGAAAGACGATATTGGTCCAAAAGATAATAAGTCCACAGTACAGGAAATTTACACGCACGGCCGACATTCCAAGGACAAAAATACGTTACTTTTAGACCATTGGTATTGCATCGAACTGTGGCCTGCTCCGTGTGGTGAAGGGCGATGTATCTGTCCGTGGCGGAGGTGAGAATGAACCTTGCAAAGAGGGGTATGCCAACTGGGGCTGTGGAGCATACACAGTCCCATGTTGCGACGGGGACAAGGACTGCCCATACAACACAGGAGAGCCGACCGACCGAGTAAAGATGGATGAACCGGACGGAAAACGGTTATGTGATATGCGTGTTGCCGCGCCATCGCCTCTGTCTATGAACGCCTGGTTGATGACAGTGGTGTAAGCTCCTTTCTTGTACACGTGGCGTCTGTACACTAGATAGGCGCCAATGGCAAGAAGCGAGAGAGCAGCCAAGGCTCCGATGGTGCCACCCACTATCCCACCTACGTCAGTTGAACTCGAGCCCGAGCTTGAACTGCTAGATGGGTTTGAGCTTGAGCTTGAGCTTGAACTTGAACCACTAGGTGATGCTGAGGCACTCGGGGTGATGTAAGAAGGAACTGGGGCAAATCAACATCGGTGACGAACAGATGGAACAAAATCAACGCACACTCTTGAAAAGTAGCGCTCGCTTGTTGGATATTGAAAGTCGCAGATGTCCATGTTGTCGCTACAAAAACTCGTCACTTGGTATCACGTGTTCGGAAAACAAAACTCACGATCTGTAATGGCCCAGTAAGGTATAGTCGCATTTCCAGTAAGCTCATATCCAGAAGGGAAGAATCTATAATCGATTAGCACAGCTCAAATAAATCATGAAATCAGAACGAACTCCTCTGTCCATGCTATGTTGGTAGCGCACCCGTTTGCCCAGGAAGGCCATCTATTTAACCATTAATGTTTCGCAAGGAACACGAGATGGATGACTTGCTCGAAGACAGTAGTACTTATCCCTTGACATAGAGTGCACGCCATCATGAGATTATAGGACGACCAAGAACTGCTATGATATCAGAGCAATGAGAGACATAGTTGTTGCTTCCACCTACCAATAACATGGATTTGCGTTCGTAGAATTTGGCAAGGTATACGAATAGCCAGCCTTCAGAACTGGTTGGACATAGTCTTAGAGTGTGAATATAAGTATGCAACCAAGATGCGAGGAAAATCGACGTGCTGTTCCCAAAGCATGCAGCCTCGACATAAGCGACAGTAAGACAAGGCGAGTCGCCCTGGCCGTCGTTCATCCATGAGTATCCATCGATACAGGTGGCGGGCGATGTGACAGTGCGGGCGACTGGATGACTCAGAACTTGTACCGCCAGGGTAATCGGAATACATGGAATTATAGCCACAAGAAGATAGAGACCCAAGGACACCATGGTCATGGTGTGGGCTAAAACGCACTCCCAGGGATGTGGGCAAGCACGCGGATTACTCGAATGGGTAGAAGCATGTTCTTATCGTCACGTTGGATTCTAGCGCTCAATCGATAGAGGCCACCAGTGTCTGGTGACCCACTGGCAGTGAGCCTTGAGGTAATGATCATGATGGACCGCATCAGCCGTGCCCAATAGCATGCGTTCTTGCCTGATTTTACGTGAGATTAAAATATTGAGATATGAACATTTCCCTGCGGCTGCAGAGCGCTGGGGGACAAAGTACGTTGCTGTAGGTGTCACGAAACAAGTTCAAAATGGTCACGGTCACCACCGTGCACGTGGTTAACCGGCCGTTAGCGAAAATTCGAAGCGTCTTGATTCTAGCAACATTCAACGTTCAACGTCGACAAGATAACTAGTAAGTACTCGTTCAACATCTAATTGGGTTCATGCATGTGCTTCAACTCGTCTTTGAGAAATGCATCTCAGAGTGTCCGTGCCATTTCAGATAGCGCGCAAGCGCCTATGTGTGGCTTTAATACGGCTATAGCATTATTACCCGACGACTCAGTTTGTCCCACCCCGGATCTGTCAACTTAAGCTTCATCTTGTAAAACTCACGAGAATAGCCATGTCGATTTGAACCGACGAGTCAAGTTTGTGCGTACATGTCTGGGGTGCTGTCAATTTGACAAGTTGCAGTGGGAAATCGTGTGTCTGGAAGAGAACGAGGGAACGACAGAAGCATGCCCACATCCTACGTGATTTCAATCAGAACGTTGTTATTTTAGTGACCACAGGATTATGATACACGACGGGAACGACGGCATAAATGACATACTGATAGAATGCGGAGTAAGAAATTCCGTGATCCCCGCCTTGCCTGTCATGGCAAAACGAGTAAAAGGAGATTGGTCAGGAGATAGCAAGTAAGTCCATGGTACAGAATGAGGGCGGGTCCGACATTTTAGGTACAAGAAATTCATAAGAAATGCCTTATTCCTAAACCATCGGTATGACATCGGAACGTTGGCCGTTACTGGTATGTGTGGTGTAGACAGACACATCTGTTCGCGGAGGAGGTGAGAATGAACCTTGCAGAGATGGGTATACTGTCTGGGGTTGTGGAGAATATACGGTCCCGTACTGCTGCGACGGGGATATGGACTGCCCATACAACTCAGCAGGGCTCGACATTGATGGACCAAAGTTGGATGTATCGGAGGGTATACGGTTGTGTGTCATGCCTGACAATGGCATAAATGCCGACCCTTGTTGGTTAATGGCAGAGGCGTCGACTCCTTTCTTGTATACGCGGCGTCTGTACAGTAGATAGGAAACAACGGCGAAAAACAAGAGTGCGGCTGCGCCTCCGACGGTACCGCCAACTATCGCACCCACGTCGGTTGAATTTGAGCTTGAGCTTGAACCACTTGATGATGGGCTTGAACCTGAACTGCTAGATGATGATGAAACACCCGGTGTGATGTAAGAGGTATCTGGACCAGATCAACGTTGGTGATGAACAGACGGAACCAAACTAACATACTCGAGTTATAAGTAGCGTTCGCTTGTTGGATATTGAAAGTCTGAGTTGTCCATGTTGTCGCTAAAGAAATTGTCAATCGGTATCATGTGTTCGGAAAACAAAACTCACGATCTGTAATGGCCCAGTAAGGTATAGATGCATTTCCAGCAAGCTCATATCCAGAAGGGTAATAACTGTAATACTGTGAGTGCGGCTCAACAAATCATGAAAAAACAAACTCCTGCGTCCATGTTGAGTTGGTAGAGCACCCGCTTGCCCAGGCAGGCCATCTATTTAATCATTAATGTTTCGCAATAAAACACGAGATGGATGACTTGCTCGGAGACAGTGGTACTTATCCCTTGACATAGAGTGCACGCCATCATGAGATTATAGGATGACCAAGAACTGCTATGATATCAGAGCAATGGGAGACACAGTTGTTGCTTCCACATACCAATAACATGGATTTGCGGTCGTAGAATTTGGCAATGAATACGAATAGCCAGCCTTCAGAACTGGTTGGTCGTAGTCTTAGAGTGTGGATATAAGTATGCAACCAAGATGCGAGGAAAAAATCGACGTGCTGTTCCCGACGCATGCAGCCTCGACATAAGCAACAGTAAGACAAGGCGAGTCGCCCTGACCGTCGTTCATCCATGAGTATCCATTGATACAGGTGGCGGGCGATGAGATAGTGCGGGCGACTGGATGAACTTGTACTGCCAAGGTAGTTGAAATATATGAAAGTATGAACATCAAACGATAGAAACCCGAGGACACCGTGACCATGTTGATGAAGCAGGCTAAGATGCACTAGGCCGAGGATGCAATAATTATATTGGAGCAAGGGCAAGCATATCAGGCTTATCGTTACGTTATTTGCAAGCCAGCGCTCGTCTCAGCCTTGTCTCATGACCTGGGCGGATAATATGTATTGATGAGGCTGTCCTGTGCGCAGCGGACCGGACCCGCATATGTGTGAATCGGGTCCCGCCGATGAGCGCTGAATCAATTGGATTGGAATATGTATATGAAGACTCATGATGGACCATGATGAAACACTTCCCTTGGTCGGTTGCTTTCGAGTTGAACGTTGAACATTGAAGAAGTGGACACGTGAGAACTTTAAAACTTGAGCTTGTCCGACATAGGTCACGGTCTTTTGCAAGCCACCGACATCATCCACAAAGATAACGGAGTAATCATATGGCAGCTCCCTATAATTAGGTGAATACGCATATGCATACGCTTCGAAAGGACTTCGGGAATTCATCTAGACCCGCAACCGAATCGTTTCAGGCTACGTGTCGCGGCATGCGTGCAACTACTACTAGTACTGTAATATGCATGCGGCTGTTTCATTATTACCCGGTTGCTCAGTTTGTCTCGGTCCATCTGTCAACTCACGACCCTTTGACGCCAAGGAGTCAGGTCCATCTTCGAAGTTCGGTAATAGTCCCAGTTTGTGTAGACGGAATATTCCTGGTCCACCCATTCCTATCGTGGCCATTCGCATTATTAACTGTCCACGGGGCTTCATTCCGAGAACTGACAGTGGGCGCACTTCAAGTACCGACCAAGAGCCATGGCCCGCGTTTAGCCGCGCAACATCTCTCAGCCTTCACCGGTCACCTCGCAGCCTGCGCCCTTCGTTCGTTGTAACTGTTTTCTTTCCTACTCTCTCCTGGCGCCATTTGTTGCACCCAGCGGTCAGCTTACAGGTCGTTACTTCACAGCCATCTCAATTGCGTTTCGGATTCTGTAACATCTTTCGCACAGCTTCTTTAACTGAAGATTAGCTTCTTCATAAACCTCTCTCAACCTTGATTACAGCAATTCGAGTCAAAATGTCATCATGTCCACTAGCATCCTGGTCCGTCAACACCAAGGGGCAATCGCCGTGCGAGGTAGTTCAGACGGTGGACAATTCGTGCTCCCCAAATACGTGTAAGCCCCCTCCCATGCTCATCTTTGTGAAATGCTTGAGTCGCTTTAGATGGCACTATCTCCCCTCCTTCTTCTGAGGACTCCTTCGTTCCAGTTGGTTTTAATGTGACCGCGTGCACTTGGTGAGTCACATTCGTGCAAATTTGGTGTATGTTTTAAACACAGGAATGGGCACCATAAACAGTTCCTGGGCAAGTTACAACTTGCTAAGTGCCTGTATGTTTTGTGCCACCGAATCGCCCTCTTTGGTGAGGTAAGTCCTCAAGTTCACTCGTTGTTCGCTTTAGCAAACTTGGCATAGCTGGGATGTATGGAAAACGAATTGCGGTAACCTGACGTCAACAACAACGTGAGTTTACATATGGCTTGTTTTCTGCTAATATAATTTTTTACGTGTCTTTCACAGATACTTTCCCTGGGATGCGGGCAAATGGCTTCCTTCCAATGAATCAATAATACCTTATTATGCAAGCTACAATCGTAAGTTCTGATAGCAGAAACACTAAGCTCCCTTATCATGAATTATCTTTCAGCTAGTAACTACCAAGGTGGCACATTTAACGAGACCGTCGCTAAGGGTATCACCACTGAGAGTAAGCTCACTCGACTGTAACGGTCAAATGCGCACTGACATTCATCAGACAATTCCAACTTGAATGGATCCCCCATCACCGATTCGTCCTCATCGAGTTCATCGTCCAGTTCTTCAACCCCTGTTGGTGCGATTGTTGGAGGTGTCGTCGGGGGAACGGTTCTGGTACTTCTGTTATGCGGCTTCTTCTTCTTCATTATTTGCCAGAAGCGCAGAAGGGCGGCGCAGTTCCCACCCAAAATGACCCCACCTATATGGAATGGTTCACACTTCGCTTTGCCGACCAAAGAGACTACTCGCGCTCGCGCTCCCCTCGCACCATCAGGATACCCTCAGACATCAGCACAGATGTCCACTGCTCCTTACGCTATCCATTCCAATCATATTCGCAACGTCCCTTCAGTAACGAGCCTCCATTCCCTCCACGTCACTTCACCCACTTCCTCTGGGCATGCTATGCCTTTATCGCCTTTGATGCCCCCTATCGCCCCAGTGTTATCACCCGTCAGCGATGCAGCCGATATAATTACCCCGTTCCTCGCAACCCAACCGTCAAGCCGACCAGGCACCCCAGACAGAAAGAGCGCCCAAAATCACAGCGAACCTCCGCCTGAGCGCGCCACGTCACCGCAATCTCAAAGATCACGCATGAACCCGCCCCCTTATGCCCCATCATCTCCCACGTCATCAAACCATACCCACAATGGGTCCACCTCTTCGAGGAGGTTGTCTCTCATGAGGCACTTCAGGCGGGAAGGCGGCTCTGGGGACACGACCATCAGCTCAGTCATAGGCCAGAGGAGGACGCACGCCCCAAGGATGCAATCTGCAGCGAGTGCTGAGAGCGCCAGGAGTCACTCAACCACCGCGAGTGTGAGTGACAATGGGCGGAGTATGAGGACTGCCCTTGAACGTACCACGACGACAGCTGCTTCGAGTTCGCGTCGGCCTGCTGTGTAGAGAATCTCTTTGGTTTTCTTTTCTTTCTTGGACCCTCGTTTATTTTCCACTGGGTTCAGGCAATACGTGCAGTATTGAACTGTGATCGTATATGTTCGTTTATGTAGCAATGGATCTTCTATGCAACGACTTCCATATGGGATGCGGCGGGGCCAACTGAAGGTGGCAGTGCGGTTACTGCCACACTGAGTTAATGACATGATCATATGACTACTCTGAAGGGGCGGCATACGCGTTGCGGACAATGATAACACAATAGTGTACATACATACAGCAAGATTGTAACTAGATAAGACAATCTTTCAAGTTCGAGCTCATGTGATAGGGGGAAGCGCAATCAAGTCCAGTACTTGTTCAATGATATCCTTCTTCTCCTCTTGACACTTAATAACATCAGTCTCCACAGAGTCCTGTGTGATGATTTTATACACAAAAACCGTCTGTTCTTGACCAAACCGGTGGCATCGAGAAATGGCCTGAACCTATGTTGCTGGCCTTCTACATTACTGGCAACGCGTTTCGCTTTAACCACTCACCTCTTTGCAACGGTTCCACCACGGGTTGACGAGAATAACATGATTTGCAGCAGTAATGTTCAGTCCGACACCACCAGCATCAATGGACATCAGGAGCACTTTCATGCGAGAATCGTTCGCGAAAGAGTCAAGGACTGTCGTGCGTTGTTTGATCGAAAGTTCGCCGTGATCTAACAATAAGAACACCCTTGAACACGCAATTTGCAGAAAATGGACGTATCATACGAACATTGATCCATTCCTATCTTCCGTTTCCTCAATTGGACCGCCAGCAGATTCATCGTGTCCCTAAAACAGCACTAGGCAAGCAAACATGAGTCAAGGCGTCTAAAGAAAAGGCAGAGCGACCTACAAAAACCAACACCTTCTGGCCTGCCGGCACCCCTATGATAATATTCATCACCGCGCAAATTTTGCTTGAGGGATAAGCATGCCCGAACAGCCAAGCGAATGACTGAAGGTTTAATGGGAGAACTTCTGGATCGGGACCGAGTCCGCGTCTGTACATGTCCACTACATCAGAAGTTACATCAGCGTCCAAACCTTGCTCCTCGATTATCTTCCCCAAGACGCCCATGAGTAGAAATGGATGATCGCACGCTATGTAAGAGAAAGGACCATCAGAATGATTTGCACACCCTATACGTACACAAATAAATACATTACCTTGCCTGGCTCTCAGCCACCCAATATCATAATCTTTGAGGCTAGAACGAGCCCAATCGTGTATCACTTTCTCCCCTTGTGTTTGCCACACACGAACAGTTTTGATTTCTAGATTCGGAAGTTGAATTACATCCACCTTTCTCCTGTATCGCGCACAATCTTTAAGAAGATCCTAAAAAGGTTCATTTCAATGGCTGCGCATAGCGGAGCAACAACATACCGCGACTACGTATGCGGAAACATTGGAGAAGTATCCGCGTTTACCGCGCACTGTGAATACGGTGCTTTCTGCGGCCGGACCAGCATGCTCATCTGTGACTTCAAGAAACCTGAGCTGGGGCTGGATATCGGATAGCTTGTTCTATGCAAGTCATCATTGATACTTCCTCGCTCGGTAATCGTATCCGAACTGCTACAAACTCACTACGAAAGGGGTGCCCGTAAGACAAAGCCCGTGCAGCTTTGGCAAAGCTATGCATGCTCTGTACCAAGCACCTAGGCCCATAATCTTGTGCGATTCATCTGCAATATTTTATGCTCAGTTAAGGTGGTCGTCGGTTCAGGTCTTGAACACGCTACCCAAAATGACGCGGAACCAGCATACCAGAAAGACCGGATCTTTGGGATCTTTGCTCATTCGACGTTCTATTCGCTGATACGTACTGACCTGCGCAGGGCATTAGGTAGTATAAGGTATTGTTTCAAAGTACTTGCGATAATATCTGCGTCCATAAGAGCGTCTATACCTACATAAAGGGGGAATTTAGAATGTGTGAGTGTATCTGGTAATCTACTTACTCATGTGCCCATCGTGAACTTTCGCTGTTAGTCCATCACCAAATTTTTCAATTTCGCGCATCCATTGTTCGCGTAGAGACACACTAGGGACAACAACCCTTCGTAGCAGTGTCAGCGAGACGTCAGCAACAAGATCAAATCAGGTTTACAAAGTCGTCTTCGGTCGTTTAAGGGGTGCTTTCCCGGATCTAAGAGTCTTAGAAGATCCTACACTTCTCGAGATCTGCCGCTTTCGACTCCTGGAGGGTTTTCTTTATCAACGCGATCGAAGTTACAGTCTTTCCGAGACTTTGAGTGTGAATGAGTGATAAAAGGGGTCATTGATGCGTGTTGCACATACCCCATCTCATGTGCGAGTATTGAACCCCCTTGTCCTGCTTTCTCACGCGCGAGCAGCCACTCGAGATCCATCGCTTGATGCTTGAAAAGGGTAAACGAGGGGCCCTGGACTGACCTACCAATCATGTTGTTTGCTGCATTGCTAGGTTTTGGCTTTTTCTGAAGCTTGTTAAACTGACAAAAGTCCAAGCTTTGGTGCTACTCACAGGGGTGGCAAGCACAAATTCACGGGATATATTTGCACTGAGAGGTAGGGTTATTTCTTCGTGTTTCAATTTTTTTGGAGCGTTGGAAAGCCGAACGGAGTTTGACGCCTTTGAGGCTGAGATCGGTGTCACATTGGTGGTGCGGCGTGGGGACTGAAAGTGATAGTAATGAGAATGTCTTAAGGCGATGTAAAAGCAATGCTTGCCTCTTTTTGACAGCCATCATCTTCTAACGATGCAAGAAATAACTGGAAGGCGGTCATGTGTGTTGAGATTGGGAGGACTCGCGAGATACTGCGGTCTCCTGCATCCCTTTGTAACCATTGTGAGTGATCATGCGCCTAGGCAAACCTAAAGTCTTCAGATCGTGTTTGGGTCGTGTGATGCGCCTTCATTGTATTATCTGGAGCTGGTATCTCATGACAGGTTTTCATAATACACTGCCGTCAATAGTTTCCGCTGGGACAAAGACGCATACTAGACTGGTTAGCAACGATGACGACATGAATTTATGAAAGCAGTGTGTTTGATGTCCAAACCTCGAAAGATGCATTCGCACATGCCCTTCAATGTTGAGAAACAAAAGACTCCCTGATCCCGTCATGAAGACCATAGCAACCGCAGTGTTCACTGTGATCATCGCACTAACGGTATAGTACATCCCGAGGGAGCTGAGAAGGGCTAGTCCGAGACCAATGAGATTTACATACATGATGAAAACCACAGCTTAACTGAGCAAGAGTTGGCATGACGCCAATGTCATTTCGGTGGTCTGCATGTTAACCGCAACAATTACAAGGAGCCTTGGCGAGCCGGCATGTAAAAATAAATCCCGAGGTGTCTGATAAGTAAGTATCAGCGTTTTCTGGGGAACACCAGCCTGCTTGATGGTTCGAGCATGGGGAAGACTCTAGCAAACCAGTTGCATGAGTGTTCAAATGATGAATTGAGTATGTTTCATTGGAAGGTCTACCAGCATGCGAGCATCATGACGCGGTGATCTAGGTCCTCGCCCGCTGGTAGGTAAGTAAGAGCAGTACATTCGGAAGCAATGGTTGTTTGCCATCTACTGGACGCTTACATAATCTGATTGTCCTCTCATAATGATATTATGGTACTACTTGTCAGCACTCTAGCAGGATCCTTCATCATTGTAGTCTTATGTTCATGCCTGGGATCAATTGAAAGTTCATGTTGAACTGAAATGTCGAGTTTTATATCATTGTTTAACGCTTCCAGGCATCAAGTGACCATGAATCCTCGCGACAGGCCATCAGATCCTCTTTCACGACTACGCTACGCCCTCGAAACAATGCCAAGTTCACGAAAGTATATCTTCTCTCCTGCAACCCGTGCAGAGGTCCTATCAGAACTTTATGATGCATTTTGGGGACCGTATTCACATCTCTTCCTCCCGTTGTCCAATTCCAGTCTCCCCATGCACGCCACTCTCAGTAGCGTTCAAGCAGATCTGGGCTTTGCTGGTGCCGGTTCAGAAGATCCCGTCGTTCCGGGAAGGCCGTGTGGGCATATCTTTAGCAAGGGAGAGAGTTGTTTTCGTTGCAAGTCAGTTTCCCGTTTGCTATTCTGTCAGTCATTCACATTACCCCTTCAGAGACTGCGCTCTCGACGATAGTTGCGTTCTCTGTAGCCGTTGCTTTCATTCCAGCGACCATTCCGATCATAATGTCAGCTTCTTCGTTGCTCAACAGGCTGGGGGCTGTTGCGATTGTGGAGACATCGAGGCTTGGCGTAAACCCATCTCATGTCCTTTCCATCCACTTGCTCCTCATGTCCAAGAGCAGATTGAACAGTCCTTGAGCGCAGTTGACGCCACTCCTCGAGCCACCCAGCGCTCCATATCTGAGGAGATCCCATTCGTTGAGAATTACCCATACAGAGTCGCTATCCCGCCCGACCTACGTGATCTCATGAGTCGGACTATTGCATACGCACTCGACTTTATCCTTGATACCCTGGACTACTCCCCGGATGAAGCGACCGTCCCCCCGCACGAGGCTGACCTGCGATTACAGCCCTCAGCAGATCCTATGCAGAAGGACCAATACGCTATCATCATCTGGAACGATGACAAGCACTCATTTGATGAGGTCATCAAGCTTATATGCGAGACTACTGGCCATGATAGGAAAACGGCAAGTATCATGGCGCACTCTGTTGACGATGCAGGCCGGGAAATCATCGACATCAACGGTGACGTCCCCCGGCTCCTCGAAGCAGCGCATTTGATGACGAAAATCGAACTCGGTGTCACGATTCGTCGTGCATACGATACTTTTCGCGAGCAGGTTGCTTGTGTCATTATTGAGTGGCTGCTCGATCTCACTCGAAGCCGACTGGGGACGGATACGTTGATAATCAAAGAAATTATTGCTGCCGAGCTGCTGTCGCCGAGACGGCGGGAGAACACATTTTTCGCTTCTGGTCCGCAAGTCCCAAACCTCGCCGCAGACCTGGCGCGTCCATGCCGTATTGATTGGTTATTCGTCTACCACACTCGACTATGGAAAAAACCCCGGATACATTTGAAAGCAATTTATGCCTCGATCTTGATACTTTCACATCCCCATAAGATTGCAATCGGTACGCCACAACGTAGCTTGTCATCACAAGCACATTTTGACGTATCACAGCGTCTCACTTTGCCAGTATCTACCATCGTGTCGCTGACGCCTACCTTCTGGTTGACCGTGAAGCAGAAACATCCATAAAGTATTTCGCCCTCCAACTTTTCACGGCACCATCCGTTGCCCTACACATTGTCTCTCAACACGATCTCATGACACGTCTGCTCGACATCATCGTCAACTTCTTCACCAACCACATTGAAGACAAGCACATTCTCACCACGGCTTCTGCCCAACAAGACATAGACGTTGAGAGCCCCCCATTCAGAAGCAAACGGTTCATGCCCGTCTTTAGTGATCTCCGGTATCTCTGTCACAACCGGCCTGTCCAACAGCTTATCGCTCGTCACCCAGCCTACATACGCAAGTTTGTGAAGGTGTGCCAGGTTTTCATGTGTATCAACCCGAACAAGCGCGTCGCCTCGAATCATGTCGAGTATGAGACGGAGGTGTGGATCAGCGTGTTCAACGTAACGCTTTCGCTTTCCCGCGTCATCAAGGTCTATGGCGAAGCCTTTGCATTCGCAAACCCAACGCAGCTCGTTGGGGCAATCACGACTGTCGTGCGGGAGATCCTTGCAGTGTGCACGCTCACGACAGATAGGCTAGACAAGGAGAAGTTTTCAAAGCCGATGCTTCACGAGGTCGAGTTTGGTGATGCACAGTATCGGATTGTCGATTTCAACGTGCTGGAAGGATGGGTCAGCTTCCATCACTCGCTCCACTGGCTCCTCGCAGATCTGTTGAAGCATGTTGATATCTTGTCGGAGGAGTCGTTGAAGGAGATTGGGGTGTCTGGCGTCCGGGACTTGTTTTTACGCCCCTTCAATGAAGGCGCCATTCTCACATTAATCGATTTTCCTTTGCGAGGTAAAGTGAGCTCATCAATATTGCAGCTAGGTCTAATATCAGCTTCGCAGTGCTCGCTATGATTGCTCAGATCAGGGCAGGGTTATGGGTCCGCAACGGCTTCCCTATCCGTGGCCAGCTCCTGCACTATCGCGATTTCATGCTCCGTGAGCTCTGCTACGACCAAGATCTATTCATCCTCCAGTCGTCCCTCATCATCCTCGATCCCAATATCATCATCGTCTCCATCCTTGACCGTTTCGGCCTCCTCTCGTTCTTCCGTGGGGAAGTCGAGAAGTCCCCTTATGAAGGCGCCCATCTTCTGAGCATGGTCGAGGAGGTCTTCTACGTCCTTATAACCATTCTTGGCGAGAGAGCCAGCGCTACTAAGCTCCCATTCCAGCGTGCCATCCGTCGCGAGATCGTGCACGCGCTTGCGGCAGGGCCAAGTTCATTCACCGACCTCGCTAAGCGTGTCTCCGAGAGGATGGTGGATGATGTGTCTTTCGAGCGCGTCCTCAAAGATGTATCTCACTTCCGCGCACCTGAGTCAACATCTGATACGGGCGTGTACGAGCTGAAGGACGAGGCTTATGACGAGGTGGACCCATTTACCTTCCACTACACGCGGAACAAGCGCGAGGAAGTGGAAGTCATCCTCAAGAACAGACTCCGGAAGAAGACGGGGGTGAAAGACCCAGTCATCGTGCCGAAGCCGTTGACCATCACATCCGGGCCGTTTTCGATACTCCCGTCCGTCCTGGAATCCGAAGCGCTTCTTCAGGTCATGTTCTATGCCATATACAACGTGGTTGCGCTCACCAACACTGCGGGGACGGCCCCACCCTCCGCCGAGGCTATCCTCGACCAGGCATTCCAGCTCATCATGCTAGCGCTCGTAGAACGACCTTCCGTCTTCAGTCACGTTTCAGTCATCAAACCCTTTGCAGAAGGCAAGAAACTCGCTGACATTATATGCGCCATGGAATATGATGAAAAATACAAACCCTACAAGAGCCGCATCGATTGGGTTCTCACAGAGATGTCCAAGCATGTTCCGGAAGGGGTGCAGCCTCCTCGCAAAGTCCTAAGCCCCGCTGCGCCAGCACCTGATGTTGAGAGTGTCAAGAAGCGTGCGGCTAAGGCGCGCCAAGATGCCGTCATGGCAGAGATGAAAGCTCAACAAGAGAGTTTCTCGCTCAATTTTGAGGAAGAGGAAGAGGAAAATGATCAGGATATGGATGATACGTCCGACGAGCTTACCTCGTATGGCACCTGCATCGTTTGCCAGGAGGATCTTAACGAGGCCAAAGCGTTCGGTTCTCTGGGCCTCGTACAACCCAGCCGATTGCTCAGGAAACACCCAGACAGTCACAGTCAATATCTCAACGAGCTTATGACAATGCCTCAGTCGCTCGATCGAGCGAGTCCGCGCGACACCACTTTCCCTCCAACCGATGCCGAGGAGCTCGACACCACGAGCTCGCCCAACTTCGATGGATTCCCCACACAGTACACTCGCTTTGGCCTCCATGCGTCCGTGTGTGGCCACATGATGCACCTGGACTGTTTCCAAGTGTACAATTCCTCCATTCGCCAGCGGCACCGCTCACATGCGACGAGAGGTCATCCCGAAAACATCCAGCGCAAGGAGTACATATGCCCGCTTTGTAAGAGCTTGGGCAATGTCCTTCTCCCCGTTCTCCACCCCAGCAATGCTCCCGCAAGCCAAATTGCCTTCCCAGACTGGATTCGAGCTGCGGGTATAAGCGTCTTGAAGTCAAAACCAGATAGCGTCATGGATGGTCTGCAGTTCAGGAGTGGGACAGGCGAGTTTGCGTTCTGGAGCGCGCAGGATCCTGGTTATGGCGCCGCCGTGCGCAAGCCAGAAGCAGTGGCTTCAACGAAGATGCTCGACACCCTCATGCTGACATCTAGGATGGTCTCGCAACAAACACGCCATCTTCGCGAGCGCCCTGAACCAGAAGTTGGAGAAAGAGGCGCCGGGATGTATCTTCCGGAAGACCTTGTTGGATACACTATATCCGGAATCGAGGTCGCTGCTCGTGGAACTGACTCCTCGGGGGGTATTGTGGCGGATTCGCTATCATTGTCAGATACGCAAAGTAGAATGATCCGTGGGTTACTTGCCAGCTTGACAAGACTCGCTGCTCTTGAATTGGACGGTCGGCCAGATGGTGGCCGGGAGTCAGTCAAGCAAGCCATAATCAAACGGCTGCTCCCAGAGTGGAGTCGCACATCGTTGACCTCCTTCTCGTACCCCTTACTCTTACGCGACCCATTCACCGTACTCATCGAAACCGCCGCTGTGGCTCCCGAGATGTTGCAGCATGTCTTGATCTTGTGCTACTACGCCTGTTTGGCTCGCACAGTCATCGGCATGGTTTATGTCCTCAACAAGGCCAGGACGTACAGCGCGTTCCAGCAGCCTGCTACTCGTGCCCATGCTGATATCTTCGGCGATGTCCGTATGTTCTTCATGTCGGTCGTACGACACTCACCGGTCTTCGAGCACACTGCTACGCTAGTCTTCGACACGTTTGGTGAAGCTCGTATCGAGAAGATGCTTTACGCGTTTACCCTTCCATTCCTCAGACGGGCAGCAATCCTATGTCGCTCTGTTGTCCCGCTCACATTCCCAACTCCATTACTAGGTGCCTCCAACGTCAATGAGTACAAGCGTCTACTAGCTACACTTGGCATTCCTCCATTGGCAGATCTCCCAAACCAAGATACGCTTCAAAACGCCCTCTCAGGATGGTGTGCCCACTATGGTCACTCGCATGCTGCCTCCCAACTCAATTGCGGTGTCGTACTTGACTACGCTGCTGTGTACGGGATCGCCCGTCTGCCGCTTATCCTCGATAACCTGTTTGGTGAGCGAGACAAGGTAATGAAATGCCACCGATGCAACACCATTCCGACCGATGCTGCAATTTGTCTGATCTGCGGAGTGACGTGCTGTATGGCGAGTCACTGCTGTCAAGACGAGTTGGGGCTTAGGGGGGAGTGTAATATGCATACACGAGAGTGAGTCCTCCACGTTATGCCACGACATGATATTGATCCCTTTATGGTTACAGGTGTGGCGGTGCTATTGGTGTTTACTTCGTCGTGAAACGATGCTCTCTACTTTATTTGTACGCCAGCAACGGGACATTTGCACAGTCCCCTTACCTTGATGTTCATGGTGAGGTCGATGTCTCAATGAGGTCAGTCCGTTCTATTGCCGTATCTTATTTAAACATTCAACAATGGCATACAGACGCGGTCGTCGTCAATACATACACCCAGCTAGGTGGGAAGAAGTTCGCAAAACGTGGCTGAACCACGGTATTCCTACTGCTGTCGCTCGTAAGCTTGAGAGCACAGTCGACAGTGGAGGATGGGAAACGCTTTGATCTCTTTCCCGTAATTTTCGCAAGAAACTTGTGCATACTACATCTGTATACAGGTAGCTCAGATGGACAATTAGATCTTCGATTGCTATTTTATGTGGAATCGCTAGTTTTATGTGCTGAAAGCGCCAGTTTCAGCCTTTCTGCTGTCCGTTCGGTGCCAAGAACGTCAATAATCTCAGGAAGACTGGGTCCCGCTTTCATCCCAGATAGCGCATGCCTCAAAGCAGTCATGAAGACTTTTGACTTCAGGCCTGTTTTCTCGCACGCATCGTGCAAGAAAACTGCGATATCAGGTTGGGTAGATGGTGACGAAGACTCGAGTTGCAGAATAACTCGTCGCAACACATGGTCTAAAGTTATGCAAAGTGGTCAGTAATGACAACTACGGATGGTGCACGACTTGCCGTAGTCATCAGCTGACAGCCCTCGTTTCATGGTGTGCGCTTCGGGTAACGTATAATCCAGCTCCACGAAAAAGAACGGGGCGAGTGTAGGAACGTCATGAAGATTCGTTATGCGACCCTAGGCGCATTTATAAGGATGACTTTAACCAGTAGGTCATACAAGCTTACCTGCAAGACGCCGATCACATGCATAATGTACTCCACAGAAGTGTATAGACTAGAAACAGCCTATCAGCAAGGTCAGAAATTGATAGATAAATAAACGGGCTACCTATGAGGGAAAGCAGCCTTCACAACATCGTGTACTCGTTTTGCCTGGAAGGCGATACCTTGCTCGCTCTGCCAGCTCCGCATGAGGTGATGTTTATTAAGATATGCAAGCTTTGCAGGATCAAGAACATTCCTGCGGTGCGTGAGGGAAGATAAATCAAACTATTGGATCAACTAGTTGTAGCACGCGCAAAGAACCCATGGAATAGTAACAACGCACTTGATCGATGAGTTCTGGAAGCGTCATAAGAGTTGTACTGTCGGGAGGTTGAGTCGAGGGCGTTCCGGGTGGAGAAGCACGGCCATTTTCGTGGTGCACGCCCCACCCGGCCAGTGCGAGCCAATTCAGAACACCTTCTGGTTCCCAACCACGGCGCTATGGAGAATGCGTCAAATCAGAGTTGTGAGTCAATGAAAGTGATGTACCATGAAATCTAGGACAGACACATCTCCGTTACGCTTTGACATCTTCGTTCCATTTGGGTTCAAGAGGATGGGGAGATGCGCGAACTGAGGGGGCTTGAGGCCTAGACATGAATAGAGATCGAGGTGTAGTGGTAGTGAAGGTAGCCATTCCTGGAATGCATGAAATTTAGGGACGTTACATCACAAACACATGAACGCCCACCTCTCCACGGAGGACGTGAGTGATATTCATCTCATGGTCGTCAACAATGGACGCCAAATGGTACGTAGGGAACAGGTCAGATTTCAAAAGAACAGGATCTGTTGGAAGCGATGCATGCGCATCCCTAAGGGTTCCGAAGACGATATCAGTGGGTGAAGACCGCTCTGGGAGGTTGTCATCCTGGGACTAGTAAGTTTGAGGCTTGACTGCACGATAGATGCACTCACATTCAGCCTAACGATGGACTTCTCCCCAGCGCGTACTCTCCGCGCGACTTCTTCTTCAGTGAGATGGAGGCAGGACTTGTCGTAAGTGGCATTCGACCCCCTACGAGCAAGCTTCTCGCGAGTAGCAGCAAGTTTATCGGGCGAGCAAAAGCACCGATATGCGTGACCAGACTATGAATTGGCAATGGTTAAAGAAAGGATAGAGATGTGATGAGCAAATAACGGACTTCTAGGAGCCTTCGCGTATATGAATGATAAAGGTCGAGCCGTTCTGACTGGTGGAGCTCAGTATACGGGGCGCGCGACAGGTGGTAAGACACCGACTTGGAAATATGGCCCATGCGGACCATCCATTCCAGGACCTGAATGGAGATTCTTTTAGTTGCTTTGAGCCAGAACGTGACATACAGCATACCAAAGTCATGTGGAAGACCAGCCCATGCCAATGCATTCCTAATGCCATCCACCGCGGTTGGAACATATCTTGCCTGAACACATAATGAGATTTTGTTGTGATGAGAGAAGAATGGAACTGACCGCGTCTGTGTCTTCTATTCTGAGAATCCATTTGCCTCCGTGTTTTTTGGCAAACAGGTGGTTGTAAAGAGCGGTCCTGAGTCCACCAAGGTGAAGAGCACCAGTAGGAGATGGTGCAAACCTCAAAAGAACCATGTCTAAGGAGCTACGTTGTTGGCAGGGCAGAACCAGGCACCTCAATCAATATGAGTGTAGTGGAAGCAGCGGTATTCAGTGGATGTTAGTCAAAGCTTGAAGAACTGCCGCCGGCCCGCGAGTTAGCGTGACCACCTTGCCATTATGCAGGTTTCTATCAAACCGACAGTCTGCAGAATATTTGACAAACGTCTATCAACCTAGCTATGCTGGCGTGTATATATACCTGTATATGATACATAATGTATGATATTCAACTTGCATTAGTGGCATTGACGCTAGAGCGAGCGGACCTGCCCCCTCGATCATCTATTCCTCATTCAGAACACCAGGAATAAACGAAATAAGACTCGTCTCCCCTCATGAGAACCAGAAGCACATTGGAATGTCATAAAAATCGGTTGAGCGATCCCTACCACCGTGTAATATCTACCTCAGCCTCTCCAAACAGGCTCGTCTTCTTCACCGCGAAGTCCCCCTCGATGATATCTTCCTCATCTCTCTCATATAATTCTGGAAACTCCCTCCTAAGGAATCTGGAAACATGGGTGTTGATCCGTTCGAATTCAAGCAAGAAGCCATCGTGGCCATCAGGCGATGGAATGACAACGAGTTCTGCATCAGGTATGTGCGTTGCAAGCTCCTTTTGTTCAGAAGGAGTGAACAGGCCGTCCGTTTCGACGCTGATCACCAAGGCGCGTGGAGGGAGAGTTCCAATGACAGCGGCGAGAGCAGTTGATTGTGCTGTTGGCGAAGAAGGATCTTCGGTAGTGGAAGTCCGTCCTCGAGCGACATCATGCGTATCCATCTTGCGAGTGATATGGATGTAACAATTAGCGTCAAAGCGCGACACGAATTTGGCGCCTTGATAGCGCAGGTACGACTGCGCTGAGAAAGGTGCAGGGGGTGAGATAGACCCCGTGCCGTTCTGCCCTTCTGTTGGAGAATGAGGCGGAGATGATGCGGCTGAGGTTTGAGTTTGGAGGCGTGCGCGAGTCACTTTTTTGTGACCCTCGTTATGGGCAGCAAGATCATGATCAGCAAGTGTAATAGATAAAGGTGTGACAGCGCTAGACTCTGGGACGGGGGGAACTTGAGGGCGACGTCCAAAGCGACTCTCGAACGAGTCGCGTGACCGATATGTTAAAAGTGCGGCCATTCGAGCAGCAGCTAAGCCTGTTGAAGGTTGTGTTGCATAGTACCCGTCGTCGTAAAGGGGGTCGCTATAGATGCTTTGACGCTGTGCCTCTCCCCAGCTGATACACCAAGCAGAGTGCCGCGCAGACGTAGCCAAAGGAATGATATGGCGAACATAACCCGGGGGGCTGCACAGAGGCCATTCAAGTACAGCCATTCCACCCATGGAACCTCCAATGGCTACAGCAACGCTAGAAACTCCCAAATCGTCAAGAACGAGCTTGTGCAGCCTGCAAATGAATTCAGGTCAGGCATCGTTGGAGACAGTAAAGGCCACTCACCGCACATCATCACGTATTGATGTCTGGGGGAATTCTGGGCCATAAGGTTTCCCAGTCTCTGGATTAATTGTCACAGGAGATGCTGATCCATATGGTGAGCCCATAACATTAGCACAGAAAATGAAAAAGCGATTGGGGTCAAAGGCCTTCCCGCGTCCGATAAGAGGGCCCCACCTGGAACGCATAAGAATTCCTCTGAAACGAGTGATACAGCAATAGTTACCAATCCTCTACGTCTGCGCTGCCCGTGAATGCGTGACATATGATCATAACATTGTCTCTAGTGTCATTCAATTTGCCCCAAGTCTTGTAGGCAACTGGGACCTCCCGTAATATTCTCCCATTCTCAAGAGCAAACGATGGAACAACGTAAATGTTCTGTTCGACCAAGGGTGCAACAACAGACATGATGAGCTACTTGCAGCTAGAACCACTTGTGACTCGGTCCGTTATAGCACGCAAGCGTTGGCGAAAACAAAATTGAGGAGATAGATGAAAAGAGATATATAATGATAATGTCGAAAGTTACGAAAAGAAAGTGTGTGTAGCTAGGCAGACATGACGGTAAATGACTCGCATGAGCCTCGAGTTCGTCGTGGGCCAATCGTGGGATTAAACGTAAATGTCACATGCAATGCAGTGACCCCATATGTGCGGGAAAAGACCAGACCTCCACAATAGAGCCGCTGACCCGGATCGTCATAGCGAACGAGACTGGCTGCGGTCCCTACAGGCAAGATGAGTCTTGGTGCACCTCACGTATTTGAGAACAGGATCTCAGCAAGTAGTTTATATTCGTACCACTACAAAATTCCAAAGAAACCATTTTCTCCTGCTGTACAGTACTCGACAAGTGTAAATCACATCGGTCATTCTTCGTACTACACACTACTGCTGGTTGACACATGCACGTGCTCCCGGAAAGCAAGTGAAGTCACGCTGACTCCTCCATCGGAGTCGGCCACATGCTTAGCGTGATATTCCCGAACACTGAGGATCAAGCGTGGTCCCAGCACAAACAACTGGACGAGCAAGAAAATCTGAGTAAGACCAGGATAAATCTGACTTTCGAGTGAAAATGGGTCCTATGGAAATGATGAACTGTGGTTACATGCAGAGGTCAGATAGATCGGCATACCGCTGTGATCGCCGGAGACAAATAACCGAAATTGAAGCAAGAAACAGCAACAAAGCTAGCACACGCAGGACTTGAGCGGAAAAAGATAACCACATTGTCATTATACGCTCACCTCGTAAAGTAAACCAAGTGACTTTTCGTTAATACCGTGAAACAGTCCCTGATGATCCATCCTGTCGATGGTCGTTGCAGTTCACGGAAGTGCTTTACAGCAATCCAGATTGCGAGACACAGTGCGAAAACCTCCCATGCAGTGGTGAACATCCAGTACATGGTATAAGGGAGATTTGTGTTGTCCACAAATGCAACAAAGCACTGATATGCGCCGGAGAGAATAAGTTCCTCTGGTATTTGTTAATGAGTATGGTACATTAAGTCTTTCATCCATAATTATAGCTTACCCTCTGTCATATGCGTCGTTATTATTGCAATGGTCACTCCGTTGGCAATAGTAACAGCCAGAAAGATGACGGAGAGCAATATCAGCATATCTCTGCGCTGATACATAGCATACAACCGAGCGATCATGATAACTTGCATGATGTTTTAGTTAAGTTAATACAACTAAAGAACTGCTGGCTCACCGCCGAGTATTGCATTGACGACCGTGATCATCGAATTTGATATGACATACACGTTATGGCCTGGCAAATACAATTCGTGATCAGCCTAGGAGGACCACACGCTCCGCCAAAACTCACAGCTGTGGCAGTCATTATATTGAACCAACAAGCTGGCGGATCTTACTCACCCCTATGTGGGAGCGCAGTTGATTAGACGAGAGTGACTGGCATCGGTGCGGAATACTCACTGCATCTGTCACCGAGATTGTTGGAACATATACTGTACACCACTGGTCAGAGGAAACAAATACGGCGGTGTATATGAGGAGACATACTCAGCAAGCCGATGCTGATGTGAAATACGGTTTATTAGTACAACACAAATTACTTAGCATTCCAAACATACGCTGCATATATTATTCCAAGATAACGCGCCTAGGAAATTTTCAAGTCAGTATAACTCGTTTACCACATTTATAACATAGGCTACATACGCTGAGATACAGGCCAGTCATGAGGGACCAGCGTTGCCTCTACCGCAAATCAAATGTTGTTCTCATGACTCGGATGTGATCCGCTCACCCAAATAAGTTCAACCTATTAAACCATTATTAGTGAGGTGGCCGCTCTGGTCGTGGCGCCAACCTACCTCATGTCCGAATGTCAATACTGCAAATGCGATGAGGATATCAGTAGTTCTTTCAACATTATCTCGCTCACCCCAATCGTACATTACCCCAGCAGTGGCGGCAACTGCAAAAAGGTTAGATCGAGATAACCACTGTCCGACTGACTGTCCACGAACCTATAAAATAACTGGCGATACGATACGAATCAATGGACGGCCACCACATAGGATCATTTGAGACTAGGGTCATCCTGTTCGATGGTGGTGTGAGGGAGCGACGAACTTCAAGTCAGTGGGCGCATGGCGATCATGTTCGTGTTCAGTGCTAAATAGCCATATCACCATGCAGTGCTTTTGTGGCCACCTAGTAGGTCCTATCTTGGTTGGCAGAAGTACGTAGGTCCAAAGATAACGATGACATACCTGCACAACCTGCCACTGGCAGCGCCCCTTGGGCTATTCACATGATAAGGATACCGAACAGGGTAAGCGTGTTGCGAACCTGTGCAACAAAACACATACTACCCTCGATCGTCATGGAGTTGGAGATGATGGCATCAATTTCCAGCCACTGGGATATCTATCACCCGGGACCCACATTTGACATATAATTGGGAGGTGGAAAATAAGACTCGGATGGCGGTACGCCGTTGTCGTAAATAGGGATACACTGCTTGTGTCGAGGGTTTCACGTTCTCGCTGGTTAGTCCATGCAGGACTGTTCATAAACGAGGCAGTCTGCATATGCGTGAGTGACGCTACAGTGCTCTCTTCTCCGCTGTGATGCCGCCTGGAAGCTCTTCCACCTCTGGGCTAGGTCTCATCCTTGCCACCATAATCTTCCTGATGTGCATATTCAAATTTCAAACTTGAGCCTCGCAAAAGATCCTAGTGTAGTTGAAAACAAGAAACTGCATGTTTGTCATTGCAAATAACTATAGATTGACAAAATAAGATACGCAAATACAAGCTGAGATAGCCGTCGCAAGGTTCTGATCTAGAGGAAAGATTTCGCTCTGCTTCGTTTTCGCAAACAAAAGCATCACGGCGAAGGGGTTTGCAAAAATTGCTGGAAGCCGAAGCTAACAGACGGGTTCGGATGTGTAATTTGCAATCAGCAAAAGACTGTGCCTCGGTAAAGACCTCACTGGCGACAGTACATGCCCGAGCACAAGAGATGAACAAACAAAATCAAGAGCAAAGGTTTATAAAGGCAACTGGCCCGCGCACGGACCAACTTCCACATCTAGCAACATGTGAAATGGATTTGCCCATTTTTGGTAGGCAGGTGTGAGCCAAATGCTGTTTCTAGCTGTAACATGCCACTAAGGGCAGACGACGCCCCATCCTTTCCACTCTGTTCTACCCTCCTGGATATCAAGAATCTTCTTCCGCAGTGCCGTACCAACTGGGCCCATCCCGGCCCCAGGAATCACGATGTCCTGACCCTCAAACCCAATTCTATTACAAGGTCCGATAATCACCGCTGTGCCTACCACTAGCGCCTCCAGCAATTTGCCCTCGGACGACCATTTCGCGATGTCACTCAACGTATACACCTTTTCTTGTGGGTACAAGCGTAGTGAGCTTTCTTCCAGGAATTCTGGATCGCTTGCGAGCGCAAGACATGATGCTCTAGTGACTCCAGGTAGAATAGTACCGTCCAAAGGCGCCGTGATAAGGTCCACGCCTTCAACGCATCAGTTCATTTATATACATTTAATATTTCCAATTGAAACTCACCATCTTCATCATCCCTCTTGACCACAACGAAGAAGTTCATCGCTCCAGCCTCTGTGATTCTTCTGTCCTCACCAAACAGCCAAAGAATTTGGTCGTAGCCTTTTTCTGCCGCATTTCGTTGGGGCAAGAAGCTGGGTGAGTAGTTCCCAGCGACTTTGTGACCCCCAGTTCCACCCGGCCACGCGCGCACATTCTCGCTGACAGCAAGAAGAGTAACAGGCTTCACCATTTGATAGTATGGTCCAGTTGGCGATGCAAGAATGTAAAGTATAGCATGGTCAGACGCTATCACCCCCAAACCTGCATCGCTATCAGGTAAACGACCGTATAGTTTTGACTGATATCACAAACCTGGGCGAGTTGCGATGACGGTGGGGCGCAGATACAAACTGTATCCCGATTCCTTGGGTATCCAGCGCCTCTCAAGATTCACCAGACACTTTACCAATTCCAACACGACATCTCCGTCGATGGGCTGCATAGAGGAACGAAGTCAGATACACTCCCTACATGGACGTCATGCTACTCACTGGAAGTGCGAGACGTGCACAAGACCTCTCCAATCGACGCATGTTCATGTCTGGGCGGAACAGGCGTGCCTTTCCATCAGGCCCAAGATAAGCCTTCATGCCCTCAAAGACATTTCCGCCGTACTGAAAGCACGAGCATGCAGGATCAAGTGTAATGGGCCCATGGGGCTTGATCTCAGGCGCGGACCACCCTGTTTCAGGGTCATAAGTTGCAACAACCATGTGGTCCGAGAATGTCTGGCATCATTCGTTAGAACTATACGGATATGGTTGTCTGAGGTATTGCTCACCTGGCCGAAACGCAGCGTCTCGATGGGCTGCAGGGGCTTCAGTGTCTTTGCGAGTGTGATATTGAGCTTGGATGCCTGCAACAGTATTCAACGAGGTTATTCATGGCTACGCTTCGCAGACCACACACTCACATCGAGTGCAGCAGGGCTTCCCGAGTTGGCAGAGTCACCCGTTTGGGCCGATGCTGGAGAAGCGACGCTGTCTCTGTCACCCATGGCGATTGGAACTAAAGAGCAAATATTAATGCGAGTTATCAGTCCGACCCATATTTTTATAAGCACGTTGACAGCATGACTAGGCCAAAATGTTTGACAAGAATGACTCGATCAAGATCACCTCAGAGTTTTGAACTTTATCCAAACGTCTAAGAAAGGCAACTTTGATCGGAATTCGGATCCCCGCACTTCCAAGAGATCTTCAATAGGTGCCGACCCAATACCTGCTCTATACGCCAGCACCTTTAGCCCCAACAAGTCTAAAATCATTTATACCATCGGAGAAGCTCATACGTCATGACCGAGGCAGATATTCTCGAACGGCCGCGGAGACTTGGCACCTAGCCTCGACCACCTTCGACCAGCACGATTGATTCATACATTCCAAATATCGTAGGCAAGTAACCAATACGTACTTCGTGAATGCGAGGGGGCTGCGGCTGGCATTTCGCCACAAGTCCAATCCGGGCGTTGACATGCTGGTGAATGACGGCAAGGCTTCGTCGAAATGTGGACATGTGTCTAGATTTAGTGCTTATACCCAATCAATTGGCCAGGACAGTGCCAAATACAATACTAATGTCCTTCAACATGCAATACAGTGACGTGGCGGCTGCCCGCACTAAGTACAACATTCTACCACAATGACAAAGCTCCTCATTCTGCAGCGGTACTGCCACGCGACTTATCATTGCTTGTGCCACGTCTGGAAGGTCCACTATGAGTGTCGATACTCTAGATGACGCAGCTAGTTTCCTCCATCCGTACTGGCATTGTGACGAGTGATGATGGAATCATACGCCGATTATGTATTATCGTACGACACTCTGAGGCTGATAATCTTGGGGGAAGCGGCCTGCCGTGGGCCCGTGGTCTGCTTGCACAAGAAGTATGGCGGCAATAAAGGTGCCAAAGATCACGATAAGAGCAGACCCGTCGATGGTTGTCAACCATGTTTCTTCGTTGAACGACATAGGACCGTGGCCCACGAGCACCCATTTGTTTCACTTCTCGTCATTTTTGTTGGGAACGGGTGGGTTTATCTACATACGTCAGTGAGTAAGTCAGAAACATGGTGTAACATATGGAACTTTGCCTTTTTTGGTACATACGCAAATCCCCCACAGTCCAGGCACGGCATTGACACTTCGAAGACTCAAAAGTGCCGCGTCTTGGAAGCAAATTGTTCAAAATTTGTGAACGCGTGTTAGAATTTCACGTTATCGGTGTTAGGCAGAGCATATAGAATCGGCCCACACGTGGAAATATGTGAAACAAAGAACGTCGAAGCTTCCCTGACTGTGTAACAGTGAGTTCTGATAACAATTCTGATAAGATGTATCAGATTGATACCAGCACCTGATCAAGATGCTTACCTTGCGTCCGTACTAACAACGTACAAGGGGTGAGCCGACTCCGCTCTAAAAGATTCACCAGGCGGTCAAATGCAGTGCGGCCAATACTACAATGACTCGATGTAAGCACATTTCGACGGACAGAACAATGTCCGCACCGCTCATGGCGCGGCGGCGGCAGCAAGAATACCAACATGTACAGAGTGTATGGTCAGAAGCTTTTTAGATCTCTCTTTCGTGGTCGCATGCGGGCTGATAGCAGTTGTTGACCATGACGAACAATCAAATCAGTTCAACAGGGGTCTAACAAGGTTCAACATAACTGACTCAACGTCGACAATCAAGTTCACGTACGGTGCTCCGATGACTGCAACAGTGTTCAACGGGGTTATTCATGATTACGCTCAACAGATGGCACCACCCACACCGAGTGCAACAGGGCTTCCCGAGTTGGCAAAGCCATCCATTTGGGCCGGCGCTAGAGAGACGATGTTGTATCCGTCACCCATGGCGATCGTGACTAGAGAGAAAATGCGAGTTATCAGTCCGACCCATATTCTTATAAATGCTCATCAATCTGACGAGCTCAAGCTGACTCGATCATGGCCACCATGAAATGGTGGGTATTTGATGAATAGGATCGGATCGCCACATGGATCATGCATGATCTATATGTTTGAAATATTGTAGGTTGACCGACATTCATATAACCAACAGGTGCTTCGTGAGCGCGAGAGGCTGCTGGCATGTCGCCGCGGGTCCAATCAGGGTGCTGATGTGCTGGTGAATAACGGTAAGATTTTGTTGAAGTGGACGTGTGATTGGAATCATTGAATTTAGGGCTTACATCTGGATCAATTTGCCTGGTGGGCAGCAGATGGAATTTAATGTCATTCGACACTTGATGCAGCGACGTGCTGTTACGTGGTGGCTACCAGCACTCAACGCCGTACAACATTCCATCATGACGACAAAGCTCCGCTTTCTGCAGCGGTTTCTTCTGCACAACTAGTACTGCCACACGATTCATTGCTGCTTGTGCCACATCTAGAAAGTCATGAATGTCGACGCTCGATAACGCACAACTAATTTCCTCCAACGGTATTGGCATCGTGATGAGTGATTTCGGCATCATCGTCCGACCTTACATTATCATACAACGCTTCGAGAGCCGCTGAGAGCCTTGGGGCAAGTGACCTGCCATGGTCTGCTAGACCTAACAAGAATTCGAAGTAAGGCGGTGATAAAGGTACCAAACATGCGGTAAGAGCATACTCGATGCGAGTTCCACGATCCGTGAGTGTTCATTTGCTTCACTTCTTGTTATATTTGCTGGGAAGTTCCGGCGGGTTTGTCTAAAATATAGATACGCCAGGGGGTATGTCAGAAACATAGTGCAACATACGTAAATTTACCTTGTTGGTACACGCAAATCCCCTACAGTCAAGGTACGGCGTGCACACTTCAAAGAGTCACTCAAAATTTGTGAAATAAAGAGCAGCCGGGGTCCTGAAGTTCGTGTGATTGGCGTCACGTCAGGTCAGCTGGCACAAAGAAAGTATGTGAAATAAAGTACTTCGAAATTTCCCTGACTGCACATAGAACGGCGAGTCTGATGACAATTCTGATAAGGTCTACATATCAGATTGATATCAACACCTGATCAGGATGCTTACCTTACTTACGTACTAACGACGCACAAGGGATGAGCTTCTACTACTGTCGGGTCAAGTGTCGCTGAGACTTTTGACCCCACAGTAATACATACTAACATCGATCAGGGCTAAACCAGCCTCAACACCGCTACGCTTTCCACGTGTGCCGTCTGTGGGAATAAATCGAACCCCCTCAAGCTCTCCAGGACATATCTCTTCCCACCCCCTTCACGCTCCATCCTCTCCATGATCATCCCTACATCGCGCGCTTGTGTATGCACATTGCAGCTCACATATATCACTGTGCTGCACGCAAAGCGAACCAACTGCTCGATGAATGGCTCATCAGAGCCCTTGCGTGGCGGATCTATTATCAGCGCTGTTTTATCAGGGGGGAAGTGCGAAACTGTCGAGAATATGTTCGCAGCGTCACCCGCCAAAAATGAGCATTTCCCTTGCGGGAGGCCGTTAATAATAGCATTCGCGGTAGCAGACTTGATTGACTCGGCGGAAAGCTCGATACCTGCGACGGTGTCGAAATGAGGCGCGAGCATCAACGAGAAGAGACCTGAACCGCAGTACGCGTCCACAAGATGCGTGGGCCCAGACGATTTCGAGGAAGGGAAGATCGCATCTTTTACGTAGGAGGTAAGCGGGACAAGCACGGAATTGTTGTTCTGAAAGAATGAATGCCCCGGAAACTCGAAATATGTAGAATCCACGCGTTCACGGACAGTTTCCTTGTGGTTCGTGACGCAGATGTGCTTTTCTTCCTCCGGACCGGGGATAGACGAGATATCGGAGGGCATGTGCTCAATGGAGTCGCGAAGAAGCAATGAAACACCTTTTTTGTAGCCCCATATATTCCTGATCGATTTTAGATATAGTCGAGTTTCAAATACAACTCACCTACTTGATTACATCCTCCCGTATAGGTCCATATGCTGCATTCAACACGGGTGTTGCAATAGGACACTCCTGAAACTGCTAAGTACAAATAATAACATTTGAAGTTCATTATTGTCACCTCGATATCCAACACCGTCCTCTTTCCGATTTCATTAAATCCGATCTTTAGCCAACCAGGCTTCTCTGTTGAATTGGATGAACCAGATTCAGCCTCCTTGCGTGCTTTTTTTGGTGGGGCTTCAAAATGCGGTGTTATTTTCGTGCGGTAGCCGTATTGAAGTGGCGAGGCTATGGTCGGAAGTACGTCTGGGATGGATTCCTTGGGAAGATCTAGTCACATTAGTGAATGTATCAGAAATGAATGAATGAAAGGTGTACTTGAGAAGTTTTCATAGGCTTTGATGACCACATCGCGCTTGATTCCAAGTTGAGTATCGTAAGAAAGCATCTAACACGCAATGGTCAGCGGCCGAATGAAGATAATATGACTACTAGAATTATGATACGTCCGGCCAAACGCGGGAGCTGATATCCACGCGAAAGCTGGGAGAAACCCAACTGACCTGATACTGGCAACCAGAACACTGTCCAAAGTAGCGACACTTCGCGCGGCTGTCGTCGCGCAGGTCAAGGTTTGGCGAAACGACTTCAAGAAGGTCGGCGAATGAATGTAGACGCGAACTGCGATAAACTCGAACACGAATTCTTTCCCCTGGTAATGCAAATGGTGCGACGATAACCCAAGGAGCATGAGGCGCGGGAGAACGTGCCATGGCGTCGCCTGGTGTCCGTGGAGGCTAGTCAAAATCAATGAACAAATAGGGAACATCCTTGTCCGCACCATTGGAAGATAATTTAGATACCTCCACCTCCAACTCCTCGCGGAAATCAAACGGCGATTCCCACTGGGTGCCTTGTTGCAGAGCATGTTCGACTGTATCATCTCCTAGCAGCGCGACAATGTCGCGCCATAACACATCCTCTGAGGAGTAAGGCTCTGGCAAGACACGCTTCTGCTTCCTCTTCGCTGATTTCGACGCTTTCTTGGAGGGTCCAGGCACCACGAGGACACTATCTTCTTTTGTTACATTGGACTCGTCCAGGACATGCTCCTCCAATCGCATCTTCTTCTCCACTGGCGCAGATACCTCGGGATCGGATGTTGGTGATCTAACACGAGTAGACATTGCAGCTGATAGTTTCTTGGACTGGCCAAAAAACCTGACACGAGCGTTACAAAGTAGACCAGGAGGAGGCGGATGCACACGATGTGAACGAGCTATAAGCCTTGGAACGATGTGGATGGCGTTCACAACAGTGACAACACTCATGCCTCGCCAAGCGCTTGTCACAGATAAAATTGTATTCCCCCGCGCCGAGCCGCCGGTAAGGTTGGGGTTCCGAACAAGGAAATCTACACGTGACTAGGAGGTGGTTTACTCCCGAACGACCTGAAATCCATCCGGAGTTTTCGCAACACGAATCTTCATGTCATTGGGCTTTGCCAAGGCTTCTTAACCGTCTGATTACGTTCAAAATTCCTGGGAAACGTGAGAGCTTAGCCCTTTCTTTTCCTTTTTCCTGTTGGACCATGATTATCGCTCTCGCCCGCTCGCTGCTCATGGAGCCCCCTGAGACAACGGGAGAGCCAGTGGGTTCACCCGTCTTCTGGTGGAAAATCGCTATCAGTGCTATCCTTGTGCTTGCAGGAGGTGTATTTGCAGGGTGAGGTTGTCCGGTCTAGATTCTTATGTGTTATGTTTGATAACTTTCGTCATAGATTAACTCTTGGGCTGATGGGACTAGATGAATTGCACCTGCGTGTCCTGGCTACGTCGTCAGAGGATTTGAAGGAGAAGCGCAATGCTCAGAAAGGTGGGCTGAAAAACGGCTTTGTCTCATTTCCGGGCTGACAATATTGGTCACACGACCAGTATTAAAACTGATGCAGAAGGGTCGCCATTGGGTATTAGTGGTATGCCTATTCACGTACTCACGCACACATTTCTTATCGCCCATTGCAGGTGCTCCTTCTCGGCAACGTCGTGAGTGGCTGTTTCCGGTGCCTACGTCTGCAACAGCTCAACACTCGCAGGTCGTCAACGAAAGTTTACCTATCTTTCTCGATGATGCCGTAAGTAAAATTAATGAATATTGATCGTTCGGCTTAACACGCTATTTGTCCTAGCTTGGTGGCGGCATTGCTGCCATTCTAATCTCCACCACAGCGATAGGTACGATCTTTTATGCGCTGATAGTTTACCGTCTGCTGATTAGTGATGTCAGTTATTTTTGGGTACGTTCTAGCCCCCCCTGAGTTGGACTTGCTGAGCACACGCCTTCTTCTTTTTGGCAGAGAGTACGTACGGTGCTCCGTGATCAGTGACAAGTTATCTGATTGACGCCGTCGCATTCTATGCAGAATTATACCGCAGGCTGCCAGTGTCAGGTATGGCCTTGCAATTGGTGCACGGTGTGCGCCTTTCGTGCTCTGCCTTATGTATTTGTTTGGTATGTAATTCTAACACCGTCTTGAGGACATAATAACTCCGAAAGGCAAATAGCTCCTGTCGCATACCCTACCGCAAAGCTCCTTGACTACGTTCTGGGCCAGAATGAGGGTCATACTTACAAGAAGGCCGAGCTTAAATCTTTTCTTCAGTTCCATCGCACGGGAGAAGAACCGCTACGGGATGACGAGATTAGCATATTGAATGGTGTGCTGGAGCTAAATACGAAGAATGTGGAGACAATCATGACACCCATCAAGGTAAGGGTTTCATTCGCGATAGACGGGACGGTGTTGCTGATATGTTGCGGACCTTCAGGATGTTGTAACGCTGAGCTCAGACACCATTCTTGATCACGCAACCGTAGACGCGATGTAAACATCATAGTTCCACTCTATCGTTAGTTTGACTAATAGCTTAATCAGTCTCACAAGCGGCTACTCACGCTTCCCTATCCATGAACCCGGGAATCCATTGTCATTCCGGGGTCTTCTACTCATCAAGAAGGCAATTTTCAATGTTACATATCAGTCTGCCTAGACGCTGAAGTTGTTTGTCAGCTGTTGGTATACGACCCGGCGCGAGCTCTCCCAGTCTCGGATTTCAAGCTCTCCATTCTTCCAGAAGCACATCCTAGTATAAACTGTTTCCAGGCGCTAGATTACTTGTGAGAATTTCCACTTGAGCTTCTGCGGTGTCTCTGATGAATGCGTTGCAGTCAAACAGGACGTGCCCACCTACTACTTGTCAGTCGGACACCTGGTATTTCAGGCGGTGGGATTGGAGTGATTACGCTCGAAGGTGTGTTTTCCCAGGCAGCCTTGTCCCATCACTGAGATCCATATTCTAGACATCATTGAGGTGTGCCTGACCTGGGCTCCGGTATATATCCAGGGATAATGTTTTTGCAGGAGATCATATCAGAAGAAATTGTGGACGAAACAGATCGATACGAGGATAACCAGAGTAAAAGACGTGCGAAGCGAATGACTACGTCTGCTGTAATGCGAGGGTTCGTACACCATCATCACTCTTTTACACCTGTCACTAATATATCATCTGTGAAGGATTGTGGAGCGAGAACGAAGTCTAACGCGAGTGCCGTCCTTCGAGCGGACACCCCTGTTGCGTGAAACACCTCTCATGTCATCATCTCCGCGCTCCGAGATCAGTTATACAACTCGTTACGGTGCGGTGCTCAGCCAGTCCCCGAAAACATGAAAATTTTGGCCATTTTTACAGAGCTTAGCCAGATCTCGTTGCAGTCATTGGACGAATTTGTTTGTTTTTTACTTGTCGTTTTGCTCCGCAATGCTCCGTAATATAATCTATCTAGATCTTGGATCTGATGGATTTGCTATCAGTCACTTGCTTTCTAACATGGGCATGCACATCCGCTGGACGGCAAATGTGTCTATTTCCTGATGGCGTGCCCTCTGCTTTTGTAGAACATCGCCCGTATTTGTACTGTGTTGAGAACCAGAAAATGAACTATTCCCTCACTTTTCTTATGAGAAATCTCTTGTACTGTATCGAAATTCATTCAATGTAGGTTGCGAGGAATTCAGGGAAAGCGTGGAAAGCGAGATGGAACGTATCACGGGATATTATTATCATTGACCGAAAGCCTCAGTTGATATCCAGAGAACTTGTTGCAATAATAACCGAGGGCGTGTCAGTGTGCGGGGGCCAGTTACTGTAGGCTCATCGCCATGATACTCAACTGCGGGGTAGTATATGGGCGCTATATTCCAGCGGTGTACATATCTGAGGTACGTAGATGAATTCATCCATCTTGGTAATATCTAACGACAAAATGGCTGACTAGTTATCTTCACTTGCCGATTTGTCGAGCGCTCGCAGTCGCTCCTTCAAATGACACATTAATAACGGGTCACCTGGTCAGGTAGTCATTCGTGGACGTACCTCTAGAGCAAACAAGTGTGAGTCAAATGATTCTGGTGCAAGCTGACGAACTGATTCCGCCAGACGATACAGATACTCCTGGGGGAGATGGTCTCAAATTTGCTTTGAGTTGGAGGAAGCTTGACAAGCCTTGTTTGGTCCAGAGGGCCCCACTGAGGCCCATATCCGCTGTGCCAAATCATCTAATGGTTCTGAACCAACTGATCGCATCGTCAGTAGACTGAACTCAAAACAGGAAAGTGGGATGCTCACTAAATGATGGATTATCTGGCCGACCGACATAACACTTGCTCCTTGTGAGATCGACACATCTCAATTAGAAATATAACGCCTACATAAGCCTGAGCTGAGGAATCAACAATAGTTGGGTGAGGCAAGTGAAGCATATTGCATACATCGTGAATGGTAATATTTTCCATCTCATCCTCTATGGTGTGAACATGCAGGGTCTCCATTGTATATCCGTCCTGAGGCATTTATATTACCTCAGATAATCGGGTACCTTAGTTCTGTTGAACAACGTACCTTTTCTCTGTAATCTTTCCGGGCACCACGAGTGTCAACACTTGGACTGTGGAGCCTAGACGTCGTTGGTGGTGTCGAACTCACCCAAATATTCCCTAACTTCTGCCTCGTATGCGGGGTCAATCGTGTACGATATTCCTGTGGAGAGGAACATTATCAGCAAGGATAGAACCCCCTTCAGATGGAAAACCCCTGCCCCAAACAATATCTTCATCCGGGAAAGCATCCTAGTGTGTGTTTGCGGATATCCTAGAAGACGCGAAGAGATAAACTCACAGACCCAGAAAAGTGGTCCCAATCCTCCTTGTGGATAAGAGTCACCACACGCCCCGGATTCTGTGAGTTCACGATGGATCTACGTCAGGTGTTCCGCGGACGCGTACAGTGATCGATGAGTGGGACACACCTCGGGTGTGCCACGATGATCATGCGATTCCTGAGCGAAGCGCCTCACGTAACCTTTAAGGAATCCGGGGGCTGCGGAAGGCCAGATCCATAACATGTTTGCTGAGCCGAATGGATTGATCGCTCACTTTGGGATTGGACATGAGGTGGGGGCTATACCGCCAATGATCGCGCAGATAGTGAGTCGTTACCATACCTTTCGTGGCTGACTGTCTTACCTTGAATATCAGTGAGCCGTACCCAAAGACCACGAACGGAGGATTGATTGACCCCATCGACGTCCTGTTGGTTAATGACGAAGCACAATTCAAAAGAACGAGTCAGAGCTGCCAGCCTGAGTAAGTAATCATATCAGTTGCAAGAAACGTGATATCGCACAATAGGGCGGCGCAAACTTCTACTATGTACGTACAGTATCAGGAATACAAAATCATTTCCGAGTCTAGTAGCCATAAATCACGTAGCACAGTGCTATCCGGCTCCCTGTAGAACAATCACTCAATACCGGGGCTTTCATCTGACGGTCTTGCCAAACACCTGCAAAATGCAACCATGATGCATAATGAACAGTGAACAGAGATCCCTGGTCACCGGCAGAGATCACGAACATCATGCATACAAACCACGCTGGTCATGTAACAAATGCACAAGCCATGACGGGGTGGATACTTGGTTAAGCCATAATAGCCTAGCCTTAAAGGACATAAGTACAAGAATTGGGACTTTCCTAACACGTGATCTCGCAGACCTCTAGGCTCTAGGGTAAACCGGATCTGAGTGTGGCTTCCATCCGAAGGAAGACTCTGATGGATCCTCCCTAGTCGGCTCTATGGCAGAGAAGACAAGGAATCAGGCGCGCCACAAATGCGGCTGATCTGCGCTTACCTAAAGTTATACTTCACCCTTCCCCTCCATTCCACATATGCTGGCCAGATCCAATACAAAACATGTCCAAACCGCATGTACTGGGGCATAAAGACTGTCTTCTCTTTACGGTCGATGGCCTGGATACAGCGTCTCGCCACTACTTCTCGTCGCAAGCCGTGTTTGTTCGGGTCAGCCTCGTGTATGACGGGGGAAGAGTTGGGCGGTGTATCGACCGCGGACGCGCGGAAGTCTCCCTCGATTGTTGCAGGAAGGAAGGACATGAACGATATACGGGGGTGCTCGATTGCGAGCGCCTGAAAGAGTATCAAGGAAGCTGCTTTAGTGGAAGCGTAGAGGGTGCGCGTTGGCGCAGGAATGATTGCTGCCACACTTGAAAGGAGAAGGATAGACGGTGACGTGGAGCAGGACGTGAGGAGAGGTATCTAGAAGGAATTCGAACTTTCATGAGTGATCAATACGCTCCACAGAGATGTAGTCTCACAAATGTGATCGCGGCAATGTACGGACCGAAGAAATTACCATCGATGGCTGCCTTGGCTACACCAACCGCGTGGTTAATGGCTTCTGCACTGGCATGCAGCGGAGAGAGACCGTCCTTGGAAGCGGTCACTCCAGCGACGGCCATCAATGGTTGAAGGGCAGAAACACCAGCCGTGATTATAAGGGTGTCGATGCCACCCCACTCTGATAGATCAACTCAGTACTCAGTGACAGTGTGGAACAAAAAGGACTATGATTGATACCTTTGATCACCGCGTCACGCACCTTCGTCATGTCCTCCACACTTGCGCAATCCCCGCGCACACACAACACGCGATCGCCTTCGCATAACATCCTGCATTCCTCAGCGGCCTCCTCAAGCATTGTCTGCCTCCGTCCTACCAGGCATATTCGTGCACCTCTCTTGGCGTACTGACGAGCAAGGGTACGACCCACTCCGCTCGTTGAACCCAATATGAGGACTCTCTCTTGTGTCGGTGGGATCTGAGTGGGCCGCGATGGAGGCCATAAGTACCAGAGAAGAAGGAGACCAAGAGCTAGAGCCCCAGGCGCGAGTGTTTCTGGTGCAGTCTCGAGACGCATTAGAGAATCGAACATGACTGATAATCGAATCCAGGGAAAGAATATAATATTTATTGTCGTACACTTATTATACCCGAGTTATATGACATATACAATAGTGGGTTTTCGTACTATTACATAGGATTAGAAGTTAAGATGTTGGATCATCTTTCGCACGGCAACTTCAACTGTTTTTTCCGGTTTCTCTTCGGTACACACCCCGAGTCACACTCCGGTGCTAATGCCTTCGCACCTGCGGTTCAACTTGGTCCACATTCCGCTGCAAATACCGCGTAAGTAGTCGAGCTCAGTAGATCTTTGATAGCGATGCGACTGATTTGAGGTGTGCCAAATTCATCATCTCGGATCGCGATTGAAATTACCCCTACGGTGAACGCGTGCTCGCGTTCGCTGGACGATTCACGAGTCCCCGAGTTAAGTATAACAACAGTGACTACATCAAGTTGGACGAACAATTATGCACTATTCGAATTCAGTTCATGTGTCATCCGTTTCCTCCCCGCACGAAATCTATTAACCTTCGAATGTCCTTCGAAGTAGCTACGGGCTCTCTGATACTTGTGTACGTGAGTCTGAACTGTAGGCTGGCTGCAGGTAGATATCAGGCCGCCTTCAGATCCTTTTCGTCAGCTGAACTCCCATTGTGGCCGGACGCAATAGTGGATCGGTACACAGCTGTTGGTTGAGAATGTCAGAGACAGCTGATGTGCATTCATAGAATCAGTCCAGATCGCGAACAGGTGTGTGCTCCTCAGGCTGCGCTCAAAGATCAGAAGCATATCGAATCAAAATACAATGTGAGCGTGGCTGCCAGGATAAGCCTGGGCAAGCACTTTGGGAAAACAATTCAAGGTACGATCAATCTATAAAGGCATATTGGAATCCGATGATGAAGTCTCTCACTGTTCATCAAGGAACGAGTAGCGGCTTGCACAGCGCCGACGAACATACGTGTGGTCAACACGAAATTGGGCATCACCATGTTGTGATGCGTGTCGAACGAGTTTCTGTTTTTGCCCTCTTTCTGTGCTATATTGATCCAAAAGCGCTGCGTTAGAGATGATCACGGATCTCCAGAATCTGTGGGAAGCTTTATCATGCGTGTTCGACAATCGCACCTATATAATTAGATGGGGTATGTGGTGGCGTTGGTTTCTTCCCTGACTTGCGCGCGAGTGACCTTTGTTTCTGAGATGACTTCTGTTTCAGAGGTTGCGGATTTGCAGATATCCAAGGTATGCAACGATCGCAGCTTGATAAACTCGACGCTAACCTGATGTTCGATTCAGTACACTAATAGTAAGTGCCTGTGTATTGTCTGTCAGACGGCTAAACTGACTACGTTGTATCCTCAGTCGGTGGTCTTGCAATTCTCGTGAGTACCGAGGACATTCGTTGGGTTACCAGCTCAATGACTCTGTTCGGCGTCTCAGATTTTCGATTTCTGCATCACGTTCCAAGATGAGGTCAGGATTAATATGATCTGTCTATGACTGTTATTTCATCCCTCTCTACAGGTACACTGGACGTGGTCTAGGCCATGGGGTTCAACTCGCGTCATATTCACCATATCTCGATATCTGCCTTTTGCAGGTGCTGGAATGACCGCGTATGGTGAGTCACCCACTCTGATAATCCTCAACTTTGCGTATTGTTGACGGCTATCTTAGCTGCACTGCGTGTCAGCGGTCCGGTAAGTCTGCAAAAGAAATGGCTTCTGATTGACAAGCTGATTGCATGGCATATAGTGCCCCCCTAGTCTGGCAGAAAATAGTAAGCCATCGCGCCCGGTAGTTAATTGTCACTCAGCCTAACAATGTGATCTTCAGTTATTCATATTATTAGTATCGTTGCCGCGGAAGGTGCGAGTTGCACATATCACCGTCCTTGCAAAGAGCAGGGTAGATCATGCTTCTTTGACAGGCTTGCTGATTATTCGGACCTGGGCGTTATGGGAAAAGAGCAAAAGAATGCTGATTGGATTATTGACTTATAGCGCGGTGCGTGTTCCACAGGGCTAGAGTGAGGGCATAAACCTTTAACTTCGCAATAGGCGACGGTAATCGCCGCCGTCGCTGTGAACGTCAGTCCAAATCACCAATTGATTCCAGGAGGTGAGTTCGTTCGTATTTATCAACCTGTGTCGTTTTAATATGGGATATAAGGGATGTCTACTACACCAGGATGCGCCTTCGAGTCGTCAAGAAATTCTGCAGTAGTATACGCTATCTTGGCAGGTTTCGAATGTGGTCAGTTACCCCGCAGGACGTCCTGTCGCCAACCTGACCCAAGCAAAATCTGGCAGTGATACTGTCCCTCACTGCATATAAGTGGTTCCACGACTACCGGAAACTTCAAAGCTCAATCGTAGCCACCGCCTATGGCGGTAGCATGCTTTACGTGCTGTGCATCATCAGTGCGTGGAAATAATTGGTTCCAAAGTTATTGTGATATAATTCGTCTCGCAAAGCCATCACTGTCACCAATGTGATTATTGACGCAGAACTTCCGGTGCGTGTACCATTTCTATCAAACTCCAATGACTTATATTATTTCGCTTTGCTGCAGTTTGGCTACAGCAACATGTTTGATACGTATGTCACCGATTGAACTGCGTGGCTATCATCTACGAACTCACTGTGTTCAGGCTACAACTTGTCATTCATAGCGTCCTAGCCTCACGGATTCTATTCCACCTTCGAAGTAGCGAAGTTCGTGCCCATGACACCAACATACCATTGTTGGCTCCAGCTGTCAGCTATGGACAACCTTCGCAAATGCAGACGAACGAGATGAGAAGTGAAGCTATCGAGATTTAAGGCGGGCTTAGTAGTTCATGTCGACGTATGATCTCACTGCGGAAACCACTGGCAAGATTCCATGATGGCTGCATGTAAATTTATGTAAGCCACCATCGAGCCGTCCTTCAAATAAGGTTTGTGTATTCGAACTGTAGGCTGACTGCAGTTCGAAATCAGGCCGCCTTCAGAATCTGTTCAAACGAAAATGGATCATGTTATCACACGCTGTATTTGATGAGGGAAGATACGATAGAACGGGGACACGGAACCAGTAACTAAACAATGCGCAATTCAGAATCAGTTCAGGCAAATTAGAACATAGTGTGAGTACTGGAGAGATGCCCTATTATTAGTGATTCATTGGCAACTTAAGGCTAGGTGATAACGTTGCGTACGAGGCCATCAACGGCGCACGTAGCTTCTTACAATGTGAAAAATAACGAGTGACGGCTGATAGATCGATTAGCATTGAGGAGATCAGTACTGAATTATGCGGGGTCAAACACAAGTGCATTGCACTACAGCGTTTACAAAGAGTAATAGCAAAGGGGAGACGCAGCTCCCTAAAACCATTTCATCCTTACCGACATCTCCTCGGCAGCGAGGAAAACCGTGGTCAGACTGTTGGCAGCGGTATCGATCCAAAGTAGCGACAGCCAAGAGAGGCCACTCTGACAGTTTCCGACGCTGGTACTATCACCGGATAGAGCCGTAATGTGAGGGCCACTGAGCATGATCAACGTCCACTGAACGTTTATCTCCAATATACCCCTCGAGCAACTAGTCTCGCATCCGTGCCGGAATGAACCTCCTCAACACGACTTCGCGCACCGAATAATGCGCAAAGCACGCAGGTGAAGAGAGGACTTTGGGAGATACCCTTGACTCTGCAGGTATGGTTATGTACGACAAGATCAGCGTCTGTCAACCAGTTTAGTGTGACGAGACGGATATCAGCAGCGGAATAAAGTAGACGAACTTTTTGAACTTGAGAATTAACCCGGTTTATGGTGCTCAGCCATGACCACGTGAAAGGTTCTGCGTTCTGCAACTTGAATGGTGAAGTGACTTGGTCTTGAGGGTCTTCGTATACGGGGACGACGACGATTGCGAATCTGAAGAAATGTCAGCAAAACTGAAATAACTTTGAATGTAGTGAGGTTTGTTGAGAAAACTGGTAGGTTCAGGAGGAGAATATATGGAAGATGGACATTGATGTGAATACTACGCACTCTGCATGCTGAAATACGGGGCCGCGTTTATACAGCAGATAGTCGACGCAAAATTTGATGCCGCTTTTTACGACCCAACCAAGGGAGCGGTAGTGGTGGTACGCGATGTAGGACACGAGGAAGGGATTATCGAAACGTGGAGGTGATGGTGCGTCTAGTTGTGGGACCAACGACGGTATGTGGGCATTTTGGAACGCTTTCCATAATCCAGCGAGGGTAAAAGGCGCATTCTGGGCAAAAAAGAATGAGATGAACTGGTCTCGAGGATGGAATAAGGGGTCATACGGTTTCGGGATGCAAGATTGTCAAGCAATCGAGTGCCCAGACGAGGAAAAAGGCCTCTTGAAGTGAGAGTTGGAGATGCTCGAGGTCTTGTATGGGCTCGATCTCTTCCTCGTCGTCTGGTGCGACGTCTGGACGCGACTGTTCTGCAGATACGGTCGCAAACGCTGGTTTCCAAGTCGCAGCAGAGGGGATTATGCGAGTGCCATCGGGAGCAATACCAGGCGCGATAATGCGACCTTGTTCCTTGAAAGCAGTCTCTGCTTCTGCTGCAGCAGTGGCAATCGCCTTTGCACGATCGAGCTTGAACTGTTTGCGCTCTGCACGGCGTTTTGCGGTGATCTCTTCGGATGTGAGTCCTGTGCCAATCAGGAGTCAAGATGCTCGAAATAGGACAAGAGAACGACGTACCCTTGCCTTTCATTTTTCTGGCATTAATTTGTCTTGCCAACCAGCTGGGCTCACTCCTGGAGAGGTCTCCCTTTCCAAAGAAGCCGCGCTGCCATAATAGGGTAGCATCACCAGAGGTTGAGACCCAAGCTGAGCGGGTCAGAGGGTCAAATACGGCGGTGCACTGAGGGTTGAGTGGACGGGTGAGGGAAAGTCCAGCGAGTGTGTATGTCGGCTCTGGAAAGATGATTGGGAGTGGATGAACGTATACTCTAGCGGTGTCTGCACGCCGCGAAGAAGGCTTGAAAGAGGCTTTTGAACGGGAAGTTGGATTGATCAGTGACATCGTCAAGGGATTGATTTTTGAAACGCGTGACTTGACGCGTGTTTGAAGTGCCAAGCACGCGCAAATAACCCAGCGGTATACTGTAAGCATAGGCTTACTACGTCACCATACAGCGCTGTGCATGTACTTACACCTTACCCAGTTCAACGAAACCTGTCACCCTCGACAACTCCGATGCTCAGCTCATTCTGGTCGACAAATATTGGACGACCCCTGCGAGCACCGACATCCCCTTCCCGGACCCATCGACGATGACGACCATCGCAGTCTATTTCCCCATCACTCAAGCCTTCCCACCGCCCTGGCTTTCGCATCAGAAGACTCCCGCTTTAGGAAACTCGACCGATATTCTTCAAGACTGATCCTTTCACACCTCGGGAGTAGTGTTGTCCGTGAGTACTTGAGTCACGGACAACACTACTCCCGAGGTCCCGATATGCACCTCATCGTTAGCACCGAGCTCTTTTGTGTCCCTCCCATGCACATTCTTATATTGGTCAGTAATTTCTCCTGACGTCTATTATTTATTCATATCAAATAGGCCATCTAGAGGAACTTCATCATGCGGTCCTCGTTGAAAAAGCAGCTTTCGTCGATGATGAGCTGACGCCATGGTGAAACTTAGCTTTACCTCCATGTTATCCCTAGCCTCATCGCTCCCGAACTCGGCTGGTACACACTAATCCACAACAGACTACTTAATTAAGTAGTCCGAGTCGCATCCCAAAGACGCCCATCAGCCTCTCTCGCTATTCCCTACAACCTGGGCAACATTGTCCAAGAGGTTGAAGGCAACCGCGGGCCACGCACACTATCTTTACGAGCCGCATAGTAGTATCTCCGTGATCTTCGATGTCAGAGGCTCGTATACGCATTCTTCAACGCACTCATTCTTATCATCTATCTTCTTTAGGCCGTCGACGAACCCGTCAACCAACTCGTCGGGAGCCGCAGACACCGGTGGGGATGTCACACCTTCATCATCCCCCCCCCTTTCGACCAACCGCAAACCTGCTTTAAGGATCAACGTTTCACCGTCTGGCAGGGTGAGTAGGCAAAGCAATGTCGGTAGCGATAGAGTTAGCATGGGCACGACAATGGTAGGGATGATGAAGCATGCTTGCCTCATAGGTAACTGGGCACGAGTCTACGATAGAACGGGGGACATGGAAGCAGTGACTACACAATGCACAATTCAGAATCGATTCAGGCGAAATTAAAACGTAGCGCAAGTCCTGGAGAGATGTCCTAATATTGAGGATTCATTGAAAACTGTTTCTTCGCTCTCTCCCTGACCCATCCAGGCATCAAAGCTTCTCAGGATGTTGCTGCATCATGCACCTGAGTTCCATTTCTGGAATCCTCGTCTCAAACTCAAATGCACACAGCGGGTCACTTGGCATCGACCCGTTCATGAACCCCATGTCATCTAATGGTTTCGTAGGATCCCGAGTGAGACGGAAGGCCCAAAGAATAAGGAGGGCGCTTATGAACACCGATCTGTACCAACTGAAGTGAGTTCGGAAGACCGTGTGCGTGTAAAAATAGCTTTACCTGTCCGCTACATATTGACCGGGACATACGCTGAAAGGAATGTCATTCAAAAACCGAATAGCTGGAAGACCATGCTTACCGCCGACCAAACCCGTAGACAAAGAATTTTATGTCGTCTCTCAAGCTACCTTGGTCATCGAGCCAGCGCTGGGGCTTGAACGCGTCAGGCTCCGGATAGACGTCTGGATCTCGAGAGATGGGCCTAAGGCAATATTAATGACCGTTAGATCCTTGGCCCCTTGAAGTACTATGCTCACCAAAGGTGGCCGAGCACCGTGGTCCCAGCTGGAATGCAATAGTTTTCCTGATGGGCCAGATCATCATTCGTGCGAAAAGTTGTTCAAAGATCACATACCCAAATCACGTCTTGGGTTGTTCGGTGAGACAATGCTACAGCGTGAATGTTGTGACACCGATACAAAGCGAAAACGAAGACGCCTACAACTAGAAACCCCGGGCCTCCATCTCAAGGTCTCAGAGATGAATGCTTGCAGGCGAGGAAGCGATCCTTGGTCGGCGAAGGTTGGCGCTTTAATGCAGAAATTATTGAACCCATATTGCTGCAATAGGGAATCAAGCTACCTCGGTGCCTTCCAATGACCGCATCGAGCTCGGCGTGAACTTTAGCTTGCTCCTCGGGGAAACATGCAGCTGCCATAAGCACCGTGCATATCGCCAGAGAAGTCTTTCGTCTGATTTCAACCATATATCTTGGGAGGTAAAAAAACATCTCACCGTCTGTGTTCCACCCCCAAAAAAGGCACCAGCAAGAAAGGCCATCTCAGTCTCTGTCAAACCATAGAGATGGCTATTTTCTAGCATGTATTTCGTGAACGAAGGGCCGGTGTCCTCATTGTTTTGCTGTGGGGACATAGTAAATAAGTGAATATTGAAACGGAAGTGCATACCATTTGCTCTTTCACGCGGTTCAGCTGACCAATGTTGAGTTGCTTGAGCTTCTTAAACCCCAGCTTCAAGTCCCGGCCATACCAAGGAAGGTATTTGAGCCACGGGATCAAATCCACCATGTGAGCGCCAGGGCGCAGGACTGCACTCATCTCGACAATTTGATGCATCTCAACAACTTCAGGATCAGTCGCAGACGTGGGCTTATTCTTCCCGTATGCAATTTTCATAATTGTCGTCGCAGCATAACTTTAAAGCACCTATAAGTGAAGTGCTAATACTACCATAACTGACAGTGCTTACGCTACAACATGGTTCTGGAGGTTGTGTGGATCATCGAGAATGCCAAGAACTATGTTTTTCCCGTGTAACATCAGCAGGGGCTGATAGGCCTCAGCTGCTTTAGGCTGGAGATGCGAATGAAGTGCCCTGCATTCACGTTGAAAAGTAAGATAGATTAGGGGAAGTGTTACGGGCTACTAACCTACGCATCCGACGAAACCTGTCCCCCCAGGGTGCCAACGCGATGCTCATTCCGCCAGTAAATATTTCTCCAGAAATCATGGGAGGACGATCGGCTAGAATTTTGCCCTGAGTCTCCATGATATCCACGGCGGCCTGAAACAGAATATTGTTGAACCTGGATAAGACATCGCAGCATGTAGAGACGTACTTTGTAACGGCCTATAATAACGATATTCTGAAATTTTGATCGAATGGTGATCAGAGGACCGTACTCGTCAATCCATTCCGCTACAGTGAGAAATGGTCTTGTCAATGATAGAACACAATTAGCAAAGTCAATGATTCGAATGCAAATTCTTACTTGCGAGGTGGCAACAAGTGCCCACCAAGTCTCCAAGTGGGAGGGGAAGGGGGGAGAGGGAGGTTCCTCTCTGATTTAAGACGGTAGGCCTGAAAAATTACTCCTATGATACCAAGACAAGCCGTAGCACTGAGGAGGAGCTGCGTGTTGTCAGAGATGTGCAGGTCAAGTGGTTTTTGCAGGATGAGCAAAAAGAAGGATTGGAGGGGAATCATCATGTCACAGTAGAATTAAAGTGATGGACGGCGTTTTAAGCGCTCGATGCTGACTGGTGCGCTGGCAACTTGGCGCGTACCCGGATATGAAGTGATTGGTGGCATGGGACGGTCACCTGAATGGGGTTTGCGATTCGTTTGGCCAGTATATTTCATTATAATGGTGCCACGTCTCGATTCCCAAAGGATTTCGCGACCCAAAGTCTCCCAAAGACTTAAGTACGAGCATTGTTGGAGAGCAACTCTTCCGGCAGACTAAATGCTCTCTCCACGCACTCCCTACACCAGATCAAGGGATTATGTCGCTCGACAGGACCTCGCGCCGGAAGACAAAGGCTCGGAACAACGCTGAAGGCACGTTATATGACGTTTAGATGCAGCGAGACACTAGGAGAGGACGAGGTGGTAAGTCTGCAATCTCGAGTGTCCGAGAAGGTCCAGAGGTCAGAACAGGAAGATTCAAGGTACTCTATGGGCGCAGCTAGAGCGTTGATATGAGCGGGCCAGTGAAAGACTGAGCCGTCATATGGGTCTCGAGAATAGTCAATTTGATTTCCTTGGATGCTCGCAGATGCTTCCATCTGTTTTCGCAGGTCTTGGCGTGCCTTGTCGCCAGCGCAGAGATATGAGAATACGTCTCAAAACCGATACTTTATATCGCTTCGACGACGGGGACTCGGAGCTCCAGCATCAGGAAATCAACCCGAAATTGATATGACCAGACAGGATTGGTAACCAAAACTCATTATGACACATCATTTTTTAACCTTGAATGAATTTATTATGGTGTAACACATAGGTAAAATGAGATAAGACTATGCCAGAAAAATACCATCTTGGCGTGCATCTTGTAAGCAAACAACAGTGAGATAACTGCATGGCTGCAGGTCATCACATGTCTAGTAGAATTATGATCCACTGTGACATTTTTTAAACAGTGAGATATATCTTATCTGAATTGTATAAAAGGTGCAAGAACTACAATTGTGACAGCCTGCTTGCACGTCATTTTTTAACCTTAGATAAATTTACTATGGTGTAACACATAGGTAAAATGACCGGAGAAATCTAGTAGAATTATAATCCACTGTGACATTTTTTAAATAGTGAGATATAGCTTAGCTGAATTGCATAGAAGGTGCAAGAACTACAATCGTGACAGCCTGCTTGTCTGGCCACTGCCAACATGGCCGAGCATTTACAGTAGACTTAGGCGTCCTATAGATACTAGCTTGCACTCGCCGCATACTGCATAGTGCCGACTGAAAGGGAATCACTTGTAAGTATAATGTATAATTGATTAGAACTCCAAGCTACACATAAATCGTGACAAGCAGCACACACGACTCGAAAGTATTTACATCTGAATATAAGCCGCGAAGCCCCTTGTACATCCTGTGCGCCAAACTCCCAGCATCGACGAAATGAAAACAATAACTATTGGTCTATAGAAACTCTAAGGCACAAGCACATCAACGTTCTTATCACATATTCCACGACAGTATCTCAACACGTACATGGACCGCAGCCCACGTGTGCGAGGTGTGAGTCGTTACGACCTTGTGCAACACCGCGTGCCTTGACGCTTTCTCCTCCTCCGAAATCACCAACCCGCGGTTCATGGCAGCCGCTACATCCTGCTCACAACACATTTGTCAATCATCCGAAGATTTTCGAAATGAACAGACACTACGCACTCCAAGATCCCAAGGATTCACTTGCAGCGCATCAGCCATATGCTGACTGATACCCATAAACTCGCTCAAAACGAAAGAAGAGCTCTTCGTGCGCTCTTGCGCGATCACGAACTCCATGGAGGTCGTGTTCATTCCGTCCCTGAGGGGTGTGATCACCCTGAGGTCTGCAGCGCTCAGCAGTGCGTAAAATTCGTCCTTTCTGAGGGTCGGGTGGCTGTAGGGGGTGGGGTGGCAGCGGTTAGGTGTGATGTGGAAAGGGTATGGGAAGGAATTAAATGCGATATGGAAAGGGATTAGATGCGGTACGAATCATGAATTAGACACATAAAGACGTGATGAAAGGGACACGCACTAGTGGTGTACGGGTATGAAATACAATTTCCCATGTTCCCCATTGATATGCGCGACGAGTTCAGAAACTTGACGTTCGAACTTTGGACAGTCTGTTAACGCAGGGGAGAGCAACGCTCGCACCCCTCGAAGCACTAGCAGACGCAGCCATAGCACCCTACTAGTAGTTTCATACCCGCACACACGAAGGCAGGTGGAAGTGAAGTGGCGGGTGTAGCTGTAGGTTTGGAAACAGATGAGGTTGGCGCCTAGCATTTCGTCAAGGATGTCTTTGCGGCCTAGGGAGGTGCGTTAGGTTAGTGTGCTGATTAGGGTGATCGAGGAAGGAATGTAGACGTGTGGGGAATGGGGGAGGACGTACGCGGTAAACACCTAAACACCTCAGAACTCGGGAAAGGCGTGTGCACGAAAAGACCGATGACCCTACGCGTAGTATATCAGTACTCTTGCCGTCATCGTTAAAAAAGCACTCACGGCACCAGAATGCATCGCATTCCTGAGCATGCGAGGGACTAACAAGAGATGGTAGTCGTGGACCCATACCAGGTTTCCTGGTTGGAGGACGCTGGCGAGGCGGGTTGCAAATGCCTGGTTGGCCTTTGAGTCGTATTTGGGGAGATGATTAGATGTGAGAGCGTTGGATAGGATGTGCGAGCGTAGATGTGTGTATGATGATGGACGAGGACTGACTACAACATGCAGTAGTGACTAGTACCTACGAGCCAGGACTCCAGCCACTGAACCAGGACCCCCGACACGACTTGCCTGTACGTCGAATATCGCATTGAAGCCCATCTGCAAGAAGTCCTGGTCGTCCTTATTGAACATGCGCAGGAAGCTTTGCTTGAAGATCGACGTAGCGAATGAATCCGATAGTACAATAACACCGTTTGTCGAGTTTGGTAGGGACTTCATCTCAAGCAAGCCCACTTGATCCAAGTAACCAGCAAACAGATCGACAGCATGGCCGTTGTTAGATGCTCGCTTCGCCGGAGTTTCATAGAACTAAAACAAAGCGAACTATGGTGTCATCGCACATGATTGCAGTCATCTAGGACGAACCTTTATAGCGCGTTTGTAGTGCTTGACGCTGTCTCGTTCGATGTCGTGATGAGAGCGAATGGGTTCCTTCAGCTCATTGCTGACAACCATGCCGGGACCCTCTGTTGCAGGCCCGCCCGTAGAAATCATTATGCGTGCGCCCGTGTTAGGGAAAGTCGTCTGGAAAATATCATCACTCGGGTGCTTTTCTCACCACAATTGATATGCGCACCTCCAGGAGTCCAACGGCTACACTGACGGCCACACCCGTGCAACGTAAAGCGCGCTTGTCATTGACAACGGGCCAAGGATCACTTGCAAGTACTTCCAAAATACCAGTGAGCTGGAATTCGCATTGCTGTACAGGAAGCAAGAAACGGGCGGCTGGGGCATGGGCTGGCCGGTGCGGGGTGCGGCGCGAGTTGTCGTGCTGAGTCCGAGCATGTCTTGAATCTGTTTCTGCGTATACTCCTTGCCACCACGGAAGACATATACTTTGCTGCACTCGGCATAACCCAATTCGTGTACTTGTGTCTGGCAGTTAAGGTGATAAACTTGCACGTGGGTATGAATAAATATGGATATGTACCATAACAGGAAGACGGGAGGAACCTGAGCAGGACGAGATAGTGTGTACTCAATTGTCGTGTACTTTGGAAGCAGTTCGGCGGGTAGATTGGTGTTAGAGATGTCTTTATAATGAGGCGGGAAAGGATTGCGAGTTAAGTAGAATGGACAAATCCATAGTTTGCCTCTGATATCGATTTGACTACGTCTATGATTAGTAGAGCTCGAGTAAGGAAGAGAAGAGACATACCAATACGGGTTGAGAATAGCACGACACGGGGGTTTACACCTCACGGGTTCGTATATTACTGGAGGAAGATCCTCTCGCTGCTTCAAAGACGTATAAAGCGCCGATATCGGGACCACCGTCTGTGTCGCCTCTATCCGAGAAGAAGGCCATACATTCCACGAAAGACGAACACCTGAAATCAAAAGTCAAATATTAAGCTAATCAATGATATGGCAAGATATCAGTGAAACAAACCATCACGCTCTTCGACATCTTCAAAATTGAGCATCTCAGCGCCTCCGCACGGGTTCAGAGAAAGGTTACAAGGGCGCGAATGTTTTGCTTGTGAGTTGACTTGAACACGAGTGCAACGTCGTATAATCTATCTGCACCAATTTGGATGTGTTTCAGGCGGAGCTTAAAGCGACGGTCCACTCCGTTCCGAACATACTCAGGAGAAGTCTACAATATTATTATGATCTCGAAAGCTTTGCGTGGGGCATCTAGCTACATGTATGCAGCGTATTTACTGTTTCTTCTCTGCAGCTGCCTCTTCTGCTAATCTAGCCTCTTCCCTTCGTCCCGCCTCCCTCCGTTCCCTACCCCGAGTGACTAACGGTTTGGGTTCGAGATCTGCGAAGAGGCGTTTGCAGAGCTTCTCGATAATCCAACAACCAACAAAGTCGGCGATCATGACGCTGGTTAACTTCACTTTGAACTAAGAGAACAAGAGTAAGACTTTGACGCGAAATATCAGGAAGCGACGCACCAGTCCCTCCATCTCGACGATTTGTAGTCATCTGTTCATCTCGGGCATGAAGTCTGTCTACAAGCTCCAGAGAATGCAACAGCACTAGCGCCAATAAGTCCCCAGTACAAGCTCGAGTTCTCGCGGATTCCCTCACGGAACGGGCGGCCCTGTAAGGAAATGTCATCCATTGTATCAACTTCAACATGCTCAGCGAAATAATTTACCTGGAAGTTGATAGTGAATGTCGAGACCTGTTGAGAGCGGCCCAGAAGGTAGATGGCGGTGTTCAAGAGACTGGGCTCGAACTTCGAGGTCAATGATACCAGCTCTACAAAGAACTCAGAAAATTTTCAGAATAAAATAGACCGAGACTTAGGGCTCATGGAAATGCGACAAGTTCGTGATGTAAACGAGCGATATGATGTGTGGAGCGAACTGGACCAGCACGGATAGTAGGAGGTAGAGGTTAAAGATGTTGCCTAGTGGCCTCTCCCGGGAGAGTTTTTCAACCGGCTGTCGTCGAACGCTCAGTATGGCCAAAACAAATCGGTCAAGCATGGACGCACCTTGGCCAGGGCTAGGAAACAGACGGACATCGACATTCCGCTAACCGTTACCTGATAATCACCGAACTTGATACCGTCGAGATACTGGACCGACAAGCTGTACGCGGTGATGAGGCAGTTCAGCGCCAAAATCTTGTACATCTGAAAACGAGTCCCAGACATTCACCGTCCGGAGTCGCTGCAGTAACTTGACCCTGGCCTGAGAGCCGAATGACCACATTAAGGAAGCAATAAACTGCAAGCATTGAACGTACCCGTAGTCCCACTGAATAGGACCGCGTTCTTGTGCGTGCCGTCAACGTCAAGTTTGTCCTTGCTGTGTACTGAAGGTGAAGATTGAGTGCGTGGATGGAGCAGGTTTATGCTGACGAAAATGAGCGTGAGCGACAACGGATGGGTGCGCGTGGCTGTGACTGGTTTTATAAGAAATGTTTGGCGAGACCAGCCAGAATAGGTAGACGCTGTTTTAAACACACACTATCAGTACCCTGTTCGATAGCACTTCAAACAACAACAAAGGACTCATGGGACCGCAAAATAATGTGATTAGATATTATTCTTCGACCGCGATCTCATACTAATCAACGATGACAATGCAGCAGTACTGTAGTATCGAAAGGTACGTTGATATCGATATCGGACAAATCAGTCGACGCGTGGCTGATCTAGCTATAGCGCAAGAAGGCTACAGGAGAGGGAGGCGCGGGAGAGGGAGGCGTGGGAGAGGGAGGTGAGACGCATGCAGGAGAGGGTGAAGAGGGAGGCGGCGGTCGGTGGTGAGGGGAGGAAAGGGTGGTTGAAGCGGCATGTGGCGAGGATCGCGAGGATCTTACAGAGGTGCGTGGTGAATACAAATTGAGTGGCGGTTATTGCTGACGTGCCTGTAGGATAAAATCGATGAGAGTCCGGGGGGGAGCGGGTGAGGGCACGGCGAATGAGGGCGCGGCAGGGTGAGGGCGCGACAGGTTAAGCAACTACTATGTCGCGAAAAATATGCAACCCAAGGGGGACGCCTAAAGTAACCGACGATTGCGAAATGTTATACGTAGATGTCACCATTGAATATCCCGAGTGGTTTGAGATATTTGTTCTACGCTTGAGTGCATACGGGGCCACCAAATGTCAAATCAAGGCCTTTACGGGTGCCGCCCCGATAACCTCCTGCTACAGGGGCAGCAAGATTGGCTTGGGATGTGTTTGAGCGTTTTGGTGCACGATGAAAATACCTGTGAGAGCCGATTTGAACCACTTCTTATACGACAACTCATGAGTAATTTCTCACCACTGCCCGCTGCGCTCCTGCTCTGCACTTCCATGGGTGAATGGGTCTTCATATTAACTGCAGCTTTATCGGCAGCTTGAAGTACCGCGTCCACTGATTCTTTCACGACAGAAGGGACTCCCTGGACTTGCGCGACCGCCAATTTGGGAACAACACCTTCTTTCACACCAGAGGGGGTATTCTGAACCCGCGGGACCATCAGAATTCAGAAACAGGACAGTAGCTGACGCGCGAGTTTGACCACTTACCTCGATATTCGGAGTCAATGGAGCACCCTCATGATTGAGGTTTTGGGTAGGTCCACGGCTGATGAAGCGCTTTGTACGATTTCAGCACCTTATTTCAGCACAACTCACTGTCGCCGTTGACTTACGGATATTTGTTCAGTTACATTTTTCTTGAACCTCTGTAACAACTGACGAGTTTTGCCACGGGGGTTTGCCTAGAACGCACCGTGACAGCAGTCAACATGGCAAGAGCGACAGATTTCAATTACGAAGCACTTACTGCAGTTTCACCAGCTGCAGTTGGATCGCTGACGGCTTCTGGAAGAGGAAGCGGGTTCGAATGCTTCGTATGAGGATCAAATACGCTCATTGCGAGCATTGGAAGGTGAACGAAAGTATGAAAGGGTGGGAGAAGTATGCACTCACGCCGCTTAACTTGACGTAGAGCTGAGGAAGGATGGCACACTGTCAAATCGACGACGATCCATTATAAAGAGTGTTTGAATTCGTAACGTGATGTGTGTATGCACCAGACACCTGAGGGAGGGCGGTGGCGTTAATGGCGAGTGTCCCTATGAGGGGACTGTACGTGCTCGTCGCGAGCTCAGATTGCACAATCTCGCTATAGACGGCTGGAACCAATGTGTTAAATGCATATGACGGCGTTGTGTAAGTGGGTGTAGACAAAGTTGGGCAGGGTGGTAGCAATTGTCGCAAATTCGGACGAAAAGGAGGATTTGACAACTGAAAAAGGCTGTACAGGTGCTGAAGCATTGTTGCGGGGATATAAGCTAATCATTGGGGGCTCCTGGTAGTCAATTCCGTAACTACACAAAAAACCTGATAAACAATATCTGAAAAGAAACCAGGAAGTTCAACATACCTCCCTATCGAATAGACGGTCCGCAAAAATGGAGTTCCTGGACGAGTGAAGGGTTTAGTGATATTAAGCGGCACGGAATATATCGCAGGCTATTGTACCTAACAACCAGTCGGCTCCATCGGCACTGGGGGGTGAAGCTTTAAACCAAGATAAACAAAGATCCGGGATCCCCGGCCAAACATATAATCGGTAGGTTCCAAAACAAGCGAATTTCCTTCCCTGGGAGATAGATTTTTGCGCATACACAGGCTACTTAATCAACCGCTAGTCACCCAAAGCTGATATTATAACTTACTTTCGTCAACTAGGCATACTGGGAAATGAACTGTACAATCGTGTTACCTAGAAGAACATAAAGATTAGTCGGTCGACAAGAAAACCAGGAGCTGACATCTTGATATGGGCCATACAGTCCTAGAGTGCCGCTGTGGCAGAGAGTTAAGCGCGCACATATGTAGATAAGCTACTGGCTACTTACACATCCAAAAGAGCAATCGATGAGTTGTCACTTGGGCCAGGATAGGTTGGTTGAGGAGTGTACTGGGTTCCGTTGACCTTGAAAAAAGTCAGTATTCCACATTGTGATCGCAGGATCAAATGCCTTACCGCGAAGCTACTCATACGAATCACCCAGAAAACGTAGCCAGAAGTATTTGTTTGCGTACCGACCGGAGATAAGGATACGACCTCATTCAATACAACTTGGCTGAGATTTTGCACGACAGATACATCGATAGCCCCTGTTCAACACAAAGACATGAGTATCCGTAAGCCAGGCACTCGGCAGGGACTCACCGAGGGTAAATGTTCCGGTATCATTTCTAGTAAGACTTAGTCCAAAAACCGGATAGTCCAGCATGCCTTGCTGAGCCAAGGTGGAAAAAACGACGTGGCTAGAACAGACCAAATCCATGAGGCTGCGTCTACAACGCTGCGCATCGAATAACACACCATTCGCAGCTCTTGCGGATATCTCTGACTGTCGTGAGAATCCGATGACAACGCGGTCAGGTGCCTGGAAAGCATCATGCATATGGTTGAGGTGAGTGTCTTCATGTGATCAAAGGGCCAGATGTTCCAAGGGCCCAAATTGCTAACAAGTAGTGGGCAGCATGACTGGATGGGGTGTCAAGGTGGTTCTGCGACGCCTTTTGGTAATTACATACTTGATAAAACTGTAGTTGTTGGATCCTTGCTAGGGTTGACCCGGCGGGATGATTTATTGGGTATGCAGGAGTTGCAATGGCGAATTCAGTGAGTCTTGAGACGGCTATAGATCCTGTGATCTCGGTGAGTGTGATAATAAGTTAGCTACTAGGCACAGGGCACGTACTAGAATACCACTGGTGTTAAGTTTTGGTCGTGAAATCGGCGAGTATCGGACCGAACGGGATGCCCCCCCCCCCCACCCCACCCCACACACACACCCACCCCTCTCCCAAAAGAAATCAAACTCGGGACTCCGAGTCACAGATCGCCAGACGGGCAATGAACACGTAAATCATCACTGGTATTTCATATCACGGGCGCATGTCAAATAAAGATATGATAGAACAAGAGTAGTAGGAAATAACATAGATCAAACCCGAACGTACATCCGAATTTCGTGGAACGTCGATACATTAGTGAAAGTCATGGCAGATCAACTTCAACTTGGGAGGGTAAATGGCTACAAACTAAAGTTGAGAGTATCACAGCATGTCAGAGTCGGAAGCATTAGAAGGTGCAGAAGAAGAAGAAAACCAATCATCAAACCAATCATGAGGTGAACGTGAATCACATGTCGTAGTCGTTCCTGAACCAGAAGACAAACCTACACTGATTTTAGTGCGATATAATTAAAACAAAGCTGCACGCCTACCGTCATCAGTGAGCTCAATCTCAGCGGTGCGTTCAATAGCTTCGGAAAACATATCTGCTTCGGCCTGTGCGCGCTGCGTCTTCAAGTCCAGAATATGGAAAATAGACATGAGCGTATCCGGCGATTTGTACTCCTTTCGGGTGAACCTCTCTTTATTGTCGATACGTAGGGGCTCGTTGGTTTCTGCAAAACACGCGCTTATGTACATAGAATATGTCGCATTATCGACCCAAGATTTCATCGAACGGGGCAGGGAGGAAAGTATGTCACCACGCTGTTCAAAGGTTAAAACACCAGGTTCCTCAGAATTCAACACACACTCACCCTAAGGAGGGATTCTTGAAGACGAGGAGAGTTGGGGGGGGTGCCGGCATTAGAAGCAACTTGCGTAGTGTCTTGAGATTGAGATGACGCGAGAAGCCAGGCATGACATTTGTCATGAGCAGCCTTCTCCATGGCCTTTGTAGGTCCGAAGCACTTGGAATCGAGCGAGCTAGGTGGTGGGCATGTTCCCACATACCCAACAGGGTTCACTGCGAGGAGTGTCAAATTTGGGCCTACACGCCACGAAACTAGGAATAAATTAAGTGTTGTTGATACAATTATTTCAACAACGTAGTTTACCTGGCTGGTTTCTAGTGTTCAGTTCTTCGCATGCTCCATAAAACAACGCCCTCCTCGCTGAAGGAATACCGAGCAGTTCTCCTCTTCTTGATGGAGAGGTATTTGCGTCTCAACCTCCTCAAGGGCTACTTCAAGGAGACCTGCAAGATCATGCGAGTCGACTAATCCAAACAGCACAACAGTTGTGATAAAGAGGGAATCTGAAAGCTGGAGGTGAAATTATTAGAAAAGAACATGAAAACATCTCAGAGTACTGACAGTGACGGGACCGCGTTCTTGAAGCCAATTTGCCAGAGCATTTTCGTCGTGTTCAATTCCAAACAATTGTTCTTTCCAATAGGCAAACATAGGATTACATGTTGGGATCGACCTAACACTCAACATGTTGAAGCTGGTGGGGAGCAAAAGGCTCAAAGGATAGTCACACGATCGCCTAATGACAACTTACCATTCATCCGCCTACATGGAGTTTTTTAAAGTTTGATCGCCATATCCGCCATAGCTTTGTAATCCGCCAAACCTGCTCTGGGCAGGATGGCGGAAAATGTCATCAAACTCTAAACACGGATCACCATATCCGCCATAGCTTTGTAATCCGCCAAACCTGCTCCGGGCAAGATGGCGGAAAATAGAATCAAACTCTAAACACCATATGTCAGCGACAGAATTAAATTATAAAAAAAATATGCACACATTTTAAACACGTTTCCTTGAGCTTATCGCAAGACGAGGCACTCACCAACTGATTGGCTCGATGGTTGCGTAAAATGGCGCATGCGGTTTAGGAGATCACAGGACCAAAGCGATATCACAAGTAGCAAATACAAGTGGTACATGAGAGAGCAAGCACGGACAAGATATGAGAGGCAAATTTACTGGCGGACAATCCGTACAACATCAATCGTGCTACATGAAACATTGCCGTTAGCTAGCAACATAGAAACGATCTCTTAGAAAGCGAACTCACCGAAGGTCACAAAACTGGAGCATCTGGGCCTGGAGTGAAGGCAGTCCTGGGTCGTCGTGCTGTTGCAGTAACATGATTATTGTTACAATTATTTGGTCATGAATTTCGCGGGGAGTCGGATAATCCTCCATGGAGGTAAGACCGCGGTGCGCTTTTATGGCCCTCTTCAGGAATCGGAGCAGCGCGTGGAAACACTAATGCAATGTGACAGTTTTAAAAACGAAAAGCCCATGAATTAGACACACTGACAAAAGACCCCACAAAGGCGAGGGTTTCTAATGGCGGGTTGGAGGCGCCTTTGAACGCATCAGGTTCAAGATCAGCGACGACCTGTGGTAGGTTAGGGGACGTGTGGATTCGGGCACCGTGCGGCCTAGTGACCCTAAAAACGATATGCCAGAGGAGTGATTTAGCGAACCTCGACTGGAGAAACCAAACTATTCCGTTTTTCTATGGAGCATAATAAAAAATACATCATAAGTTAATTCAAAACACTCACTTCAATTGGAAGAAGGGTGGAAAGTGGTGGGATGAAGTGTTTTAACACAAACTCAACCCTAGCATTGAGTGCGACACCATATATCGCGCCGAACCCAAAGCCAGCCCGGGGATGCTTGATTCCCTCGTACGCTACGCGCCTACAGTCATAAATGAAGTTGTACACCCACGAGGCGGCCTATTCGAGGTGAGACAATTATTGGAATCAAAGAACGGACATACTTACCATAACCAAGATCTCGCGCTCACTTATGATATTGCCGTCCTTAGTAGAAACAACTGGAAAGTAATCAGTATAAGCAGAGCGTATTACATGAACGAGTTTCTGACCTATTTCCAACTCCGCAGCAGGTGTGTTTGCCCGAACGAGACTCTGAGCAAAGAGGGGGCGGATGAACTCGTCTCTCGTCGCACTCGAAGTCCTGGTGATGTCATTAGGGTTCTCAGACTCCCCTTTAAGAATTGCAACTCTGATCAAAAGCCGCAGGTAGGCCAGGACCAACTGCCACTTCGGGTATACCGTCATGATGCCCTGCAGAGTGCTGGTGTTCTCGGAAGCGGGAGGCGCGTCGATATCATGCAATTCGTTAGCGGCGATATGTGCTTCGTCTTCAGCATGAGGCGCAGAGTGAGTATGAGTAGAGTAAGGATATGGTGCCTCGTAGCTCTCATAGGCGCCAAAATCACTATTGCCCTCCGATATCGTGTTGAGATTGGACATGCCCCAGGAATTCAGGAGCGAATAATCGTTTAGCGAAGCGGAAGAATACGCGTCTGCCATATCTTGGGATCCAGATATTTGCAATGTATGCATATTGTACCCCAAAGGGTGTTCGGCCCAAAAAACGACGGTTTGACAATCGGATGGAGCCTATGATATCGTTAAGAGAGATATGACCAAACTTGCAATGTGAACTTACGCAGCAATCATAGACTATATGAGTGTGGGTGTCGTGGCCCTGCCTGGTCCACCTGGGAGGTAGATCTATGATTGCAGAAGGAGGGGCGCCCTACAAGGCTAGTTAGTGGGATGGCGAGGATTGATTTAGATTCAACTGACCACCAAGGTGTAGATCAGGGACATCAGTGCTTTGACCTGCCTCGAATGCAGAGGCATGCATGCATGCGGTCTGCAAATACGCAGACAGTATGATACGACTCTTCATCTGTAGAGCTGATCAGTATATAATGATCACAAAGATAGTGGACATACAGCTTCTAGAAATGAGAGTGGACACTGCGGGCTACAGTAAGACGCCAGATAAAATCTCAAAGAATAGAAATACTAACATATACTGGGTATAGTGTTGGCTGCAGCCCGACCGCGGTGTACCCAACAAAGGACATAGTATCAGATGAGCCCGAGAGAGGTCCCTGGAGAAACACTTGAGTCAATGGTCTAGTGGACAAGGCAAAAAAACACACATAATACGGCAGCACTGAACCCAGGTAGTTCCAATACATGTAGCATACAACATTCCGAGCTGGTAAACTCGTATTTGAGTGGTATTGGTGGTTATCTGGGGTGAATGACATTGTTGTTAAGATTTTAGGAAACAACAACTTTTTAGAAGTATTTACATACCATCACAATCCGCTCGCCATCGCGGCGTTCACGTTTATTACGTGCATATGTGTCACATTAGCATTAGACAAATTAGACAGTTGCGCCAGCCCGGTGCTATTTGGCGGTCTTGGGCGGTGTTATTGGCGCCATCCCGGTTGCCCAAATGGTCATCTTCTAATTTTCGTAATCTACTTCAAATTCGCTACCATACATCTGCCCAAATTGAGATAACAACGATTCATTACTGCAACTAAAGCGCTCCTCGAGGGTAAGGCCACCGTTGGTACCGTCTTCTTCATCGTCATCTGCTTCTTCATCGGCGGCTTCTTCATTGTCGATGGTCTTGTCTGTTGTGTATTCATCACAAGTAGCAGCAGCCCGTACTGCACTGCCTTCTCGCGCTTCGGCCTGCGTAGAGCGATGGTGAGAATATACATGCCCCACTCCCAGGCCGAAGTGGAAACGCATAAGCATGTCGCGGTCAACGAACCTGAATCCATGAGCTCGTCAATTATTTTTGCATTGTTCCCCTAACAAACTCACCGATTCACGTAGTACTCAAACCAATCGTTCTTGTCCCCTGAACATGCGGACACTCCCGGTCCATTGGGATGTCTCGTGCCCTTCGCGAAACAAGGGATGATATGGCAGCCCCTTAGGACGTCCGCGGGATCAACAAAGTCGAATGAGTGTTCAGCGTTCATAGGCGGAAATCTCACTCGATCTAAGGTCGAGGATTCCCAGGCGGATACCTGAGCCACAGGCTCGTACCAGCGAACCCATAGAAACTCCAATCGTCGTGGAGTGTAGTCGATCATGCCGCTTCCTATATAAATGACATTAACATGATAAATCCCCAGTACCATCCCGTAGATGAATCTATGATCTTTGCGCTCCATATCGTTGTCGTTGCTGAGAACCATGATGTTGCGGTGGGACGTTCGTGGGTTGAGGACGTCTTGAGCTCTGCGAACGTCGTAGGTGGTGTAGTTGAACCTGGCGATGTTGTGGCGATACATACGGTCGTCTTTGATGATAATCGTATTGGTGACATATTCTTCCCCCGAAGATGGGGCATCTTTGGAATTATGAATGCGATGCAATAGATGATCCTTGAGCTTCGGAACGAAATTCTGCAGCGTCGTGTTAGAGCGCGTGTATGGTGACTATGAATACACTAACCTTGATCGCCGGGTCACCTTCGTGGGTGACCAAGTACGTTCCTATATGCACAGGGTACTTCTGCGTACCGCCAATGTGGTGGTGGACGTCTGGGCTTCGCGCTAATTCGGCGATTTCGACGTGAGGGCGATGAAGAACTTTATCGCCGATACGACGAATCCGAGCCTGACGACGTTCGATCCGGGTCAGCTGTTTCACAAAATGTTTGCGATTCGTGCGACAATATCTGCCCTTAGGAGAACGGTGTTCAAGTTCGCCCTGAAGCGGTTAGTGAGTCAAGGACGGAGAGTAAATATTATAGGACGGACCGGTTCGGTGCTGTACGAATCAGTCGTGCCATATCGACGGATTGTAGACACATAATCGCCTAAAGCATGAAATTTGTAAGTTTGGAAATTGAAAACCTTTTTACGCTGCACGTTATTGAGTGATATCGGCGACTCCAGCGCCTCCCGTTGTACTAAGAGGCGAGCGCTTTCCTTGTCCTTCTTTGCCGATTGCTTTGCGGCACGGCGGGTACGAGCTTCGACTTCCTGGCGAAGTTCGTGTGTCTCGTAAGATGAGCAAACTGTAGCTTTGAATGCGCGAAACTGTTCGCCAACTGCGGAAGTAACTTTGTCCATGATTTCTAAGGTCAACTCAGAATGCATGCGGAGCTTGGCTAGTCCGTGCCAATGCGACATGGTAAATAGCATCTGCAGAACAACACGATTGTGCGGGGCTGGGAGAAGACCATCGAAGACAGGGATAGAGCACTTAGATTGCGTCAGCCCCATCCTGACTTCGATGGAAATGATGTTATACCTGGAGGAGGTCCTCGAAGTTTCGGGCCGCCATGCGTTTCATGTCCGAAACGTTGGCTGAGAATTTTCGGATAGTTGCTGTGCCGAACGTAGGAATTTGCCTGTATCTTGTGGCGGGGAAGTCAGCTGAATGGGTGACGCAATCATGTCACATACCTCCGGTCCAACTCGTGGATAAGTGCCTTGTCATGCGCCGCGACAATTCGCAACAAATGAATGAAAAGCATCTTCCAAACGCCGAGCTCAAACTCGTGTAAGAGATCAACTACGAGGGCTTTGAAAATGTCGAATCCCAGCGGACCAAGGCGATCTATGAATGAATTCTATGGGTTGGTTAGCGATTGTCGGCGTCGGCGATGGATGCTCAGGCCTCACCGATGTAGGAACTTAGGACTGAGGCTTCAGAATACGCTCCACAGCTGCACTCCCGACCGCCAAGTTCTGTTCGTAGATCAACGAACGAGCAGTGCTTACTTGAGTCTGTCTTCCCTTGTCATTTCGGATCATAGTCTCGCGCTGTTGCCTATCCCGAGGCATCCCCATGTTCTGGATGCGTTCCTTAGGTATAAGGCAACGCGGGCATGGACAGCCTCCAAGATTTCGAACAGTAGCTATAAGCACCCTGGTGAAATTAGAATTGACGATGAAGAGCACGACAAGTCCACGTACTTTTCAGGATAATCTGCTGAATATGTAAAGATCCTAGGGTAGAATCTTCGTGTGATGCCGTCACAGCAATGAATGACGATGCCATGCTCGTACGCCTCCAGGAACTCGCCGTCCAGCAATATCTTCCATTGTTCGTGAAACAGTTCCCTGTGGCAGTGGGTCGCACACTCGCAACTCATGCCTTTGCCACCTATGAAATCTTTGAATGAGTCGGGGAGCTGACAGTGCAGGGTTAGGCAATCAGTACTAGAACATTGTTGGAAGGCGTACCGTCTCGAAGTATGCGACGTGGTTGCTCAAATGGCACGATGGCTTGCAGCGGCGGTACTTGGACTCGTTGCCGAAGTACATATAAGTAGGCCACAGTTTGGCGGTGCCAAACGAAGTCAGTTGCGTAGCGTCAGACCAGAACATCAGACCAGCTACAACTCGGGGCAAATTACAGCCAGGTTCCCTGGGCAATTCTTGGAGTTTGCTGTGGGCTTCATGGAAAGCCGGGCACGTGTACAGGTCTCCGTATATGGGGACTTCAGTATCAAGGTGGGGAGGATGCCAACGTAGCTCGTACGGCTCGTAATGGAAAAGCTTGCTATCTCGAGCGTTGGCAATCTTTTCCCGTATAACAGACACGAGGGAGCGATGGTATAAATCGGCGGCTTGGTAGACCCGAGGCCCTGGTGTGTCAGTGGTACGAGAAAAGGGCACGTTGATGGACACTGGCGTTCTGTGCCAACCAGCATCCTCGTCTTCCCACTCTAATCCATCTTCCTCGTCATACTCGTTGACGCCCAGTTGGAAGTTGATGTTCTTCCAGTGCGTGGAGCTCACGTCGGCACAGCTAAAGGCACTGTCGCCCAAGATACCTACTAAGTTCATGAAGTCCCTTTGAGACTTTTGCATCCCCTGGTTCCAGTACCAATCACCGAGTTCGAACGAAGCTCGGTTTGGATAGGGATGATACTGGGAGTCGCTGACTGAAGCAGCAGGTGGGTCGGATGCTTCATCGACTGGAGGGCTGCCAGGTATAAAGGAGAGGTCTGCCAATGTGACATACTCCTCCGGATCGTGGGATGGCGGTGTGGAGGAGAAGTATTGACGCACTAGCCCGAATATATTGGGGGGCGTGCGGAATATACTTCGCGACGGTAAGGTTGAGCTTTCGTCAGACGTGACGACTGCACCAACTGATGCTGGAGGTAGCTCTCGGACTTCCGCTGGCACAGTAGGCGGAGGCACAGGAAGTACGTCTCTAAATCGCTTTGGCATTTGGCGATTCTGACGTCTCGGTCGGCGCTGTGCCAAACTCATGCCTTCTTCTTCTTCAATTTCTGCTACCTCACAATCACCGGTGACGATCCCCGCCGCAGAAGCACACGGTGAAATGGGTGGAGCAACAGTGGCATTGGCCGCGTTGATGACAACGGACGCGTTGGCTTCCCCCGATGCCAAGTGGTTTGCGGGCAAATTGGCCAATCGATTGGGCGATTCATCGATCGATCGAGGTCCAGCGCCATCGTCTACTGTGCGCGTCCTTTTCCTGCGGCTTACGAACTCCTTGAGCGAGGACATAGCCGAAGAAAGGCGTTTTTTTGTGTGGGAGCATGATCGTTGATGTTGAATGAAGTGGTTCTGCGCCGTGAATGTACGCTTGCATATGCAGGCGTAACCGGGCGTTGACATAGAGGCATGGGCCGAGGAGTCTGTCACTGGCGAATTTGAGGGGGAAATTCGAGGGTAGAATTGCAGCCGAACAGCGCGATTTTGCTGTCGTTCAGGCGAATAGCGTGATTTGCCGATGCGGAATGGCAGGGTTTTAGGCGAGACGCTGACAGATTGGCGCAGGGATCAGATGCAAATGTGGTGACATAACCGCATAGCTGTATAAATGTTGCGTGTTCAGTCATATGATTTGTAGTGCGCAAAATGTCCCCACCGTCTTCCCCATCTTCTGAGTGCTCCACACTCGAACCACCAGAATTCAAAGTCGACCCGAACGTCCTGAAGATGCTGGTGGCAATCCTTATTTGCCGCCATGGCATATTGCATTACCACGCTGAAACGGGGGAACTGACAACGTTTCAATGGTAAAGGTCTTATTGGGATGAAAAGCTGTTCGTCACTCACGGGTACATGGCTACAGGCCGGCCGATGAATACGGGCAGAAAATACACCCTTCTCAATTCGCGACTTATCGTGAGGCACATGTATTTCGTTACCCATGTTGCCTTTGCGCCACGGGCGGCAGTTATGTCGAGACCTCAATATTTCAGCGTGCCACAGGGATTTCTAGAGGGGAATACGCTGCCGAATGCGCGACCGGCAATTGCGGATATATGCGTAAGTGTGCTTCTTGTATGTCAAGACCGGCGGATGGGCTCATCTTCCTATTAGTGAATGTGGAGAAGTTTTTTGGGAGAGTCTACATACCTGCAGTGTATTATCCGCGGAGAGGTATCTATTCACAATTAGATGCGTCTTCCTACCCTCATTCCCTTTCAGAGATCAACTGTCCTTCACGTTGTCATCGCGGTGACTCCATGGACATGGGCAAACATATTCCCATTGCTGTTAGTTGTGATATGTGGCAGCACTGGGGTACGGATATGATAGCAGATTAGTTAGCAATTAGACCAAGATAATAGACTACCAAGCGCACCATTTACGCTGATGCGAGATCGGACGACAAGGATGTAACCTGAACATCGGATCAGAATTTTCATATGGACGGAAGGTCGTCTCACCTTCAGTCTGGTGCTTCCCCATTGAAGCATTGGTGTACGGCACCAGCACACGTGAACTTAGTTTACTGCGACTATCCAATGTCACATTGGCGCTCGTACATGATTACATCTTCGTAGCCTTAAAAGCTTAATTTACACTATGGCTGCACAACGACTATAAACCTTCGATATACGCGTTACAAGGATTCGATAAATGCTTTACAAGGATTCTATATACGCTTTACAACACTAAGTATGCTAATGTAGTGGGATAGTGAATGGAAAAAGAGGCGAAGTAACAACCACTGCGGGTTTATAAAGTGATTGACTTTGAATTATCAAACTCAGCCGGCAGCACCCGAAAGAGCAAGCACACATGAATTTCTACTTTTGGCTAATGGCACAACATGCCACAACACAACCGCCCACGGACTCCTACCATGGACGTGTAAATTAGCTCTGATATACCATAAGTTTCTGTGTTGGAGGTTTTGTTGAGAGCTATTTGAGAACTGGGAAACAGCCCTGCAAGCGGCGCTATAGTTTAAAACAAAAAAAAACGCCGAGAAATTAACAATGCAAAATCGTGAATTCGAACTCCAGAGTCATTGGCCGAAAAACCTATACCATCGATGCACATACCGCTACACCACAGGACCTTATACCTACATATTACTCATTTATATATGACCGCCTCCGAGTCATTCTCGATAGTTAGTCTTTCGCGAAATCTCAATATTTTACTGTGGGACAATTTTTTATGTATGTACGAAGTTGTCTATTCAAACTCGATACCACTTGGTTGCCAGGTATTGTAAACAACTTTCACACAATCTCGGTACAGTCTACGGGCCAAAGTGGCAACTGGTGGTATAGGACACTGTATTGTGATTGTTCATGTTACGTAGTACGTATGATGTGGCGTTGCACATGGATTATATATATGGTATGTAAGTACATAGTGGGGCATGTATGAAAAACATTGTTGGCCAAAGTAAAAACAGCGTCAGTATGGAATCAAATGATGTTCCGAATAAAGAGAATCGTGTAAAATACAGTACGGACTATTATATCCCATGTTTTGAGGGTTCCACTAGACATATCTGATCGAAACGTAGAGTTGAGGTAACGGTACCCGCAATGATGAACTCGATAGTACGATTCGCGGAGCTACACTTTGATATAGTTACAATAAGTCCGCGATGAGTCCCGTCCAGAACAAGACACTGTTGGTGTTTTTTGCGTGGTGGGGCCGGGCTGAGATCCTGGGCAGGGATATGACGGTGTTGGAGTTTGGCGCCCGTGTGATTAGATGTGCAGAATACTGCGACACAATCCTCAGGTGCGGGTCCATTCTCTCCACAGAAGGGGTCAGGACAAGCTGTTGATACAAATCGCTTGGCTAGCCATCCTCCTTCGAATTTCGGGGAGACCTTCAACACCACATGATATGTGAAGAGCTTCGAGGCAAACTCCTTGCTCATTAACCAAGGGATTGGGGCTGTAATGAAATAAGTAGATATTCTGATGCCTCCGTCAAGGACTTACTGCTGTCTCGCGGTTTGCACACTCTGGCGTCATTGCTCTGTTGGATGTCTTGCTTATCGACAGTCCAGGGGTCGTTTGTCGATGGGCTGGGATTGACGCTCGACGTCGGGTTATGCGTCATATCAGTGTTCTCTGGCCTTGCGGACCAAGTGGACCACGCGCTAGATAAAGATGGGGTGGGATCTATGGTGGAAGCGGGAACATCTTCGACAGGCGGGGTGGGATTTATGGTGGAAGCGGGAACATCTTCGACAGGCGGGGTGGGATGTATGGTGGAAGCGGGAACATCTTCGACAGGCGGGGTGTGATTTACGGTGGAAGCGGGAACATCTTCGATCAGCGGGGTGGGATTTATGGTGGAAGCGGGAACATCTTCGACAGGCGGGGTGATGCTTCGAGGTGGTAGTGCTTGGAACGATCGTTTCCGCATGTCACAGAACGAGATGAACTCGGCGCCTTCGAGCATCGCCCCGTTTAGCCTCATTCCATACCTTGACAGTAGTTAGCCTTTAAAATGAGCTCAAAAATAGGCATGCCACTCACTTAGTGACGACGTCTGGGAGTTTAACCGTGGTGCGCCGCTGCCCATGCACAGTAACGGTGCAATTCTCGGAGGTGAGATCGCACAGTGTGGCTCGATAGCCCTTCTGGTAGCCCCCGATAATGAAGACTTCTTGGCCAATATCGTTGCGAAACGCATCCAAGCTGGCATTGCGAATTTTTGCCACGAATCTCATTGGAACATCGACCTGCCATAAGTCAGGAATGCTCGAGTAGAGATGAAGAGTACTTACGAGCGAGCGGTCACCGTCAGATACCAGGGTCAACCGAGCGTTTGGAAAGTCGACGCTATGCACGAACCCTTTTGCTTCATATTCTGGCCCACGGACAACACTCACGACGTCTCCTGGCCTGACGTCATAACCCCTTTCCTTCGTGTATTGAAGTGTGTGGGTGAGGTTCGTCCGCTGAACAAATGCTGTGGGAACTGAGATACTCGATAGTTCACCACTGGACTCCGTGTCGTCCTGAGTGCAGACATCGCGGAACCACAGATAAGTTGATCCACTAGTAATCCAGGTCACGATGCCAAACTTTCCCGCATGTGGTCCGTCCCCAACTCGTATGTTATCCCCGATTTCAATAGATTCGGAGTCAGGGGAAGGCTCGAAATATTGCTGCGTTGGTAGCTGTGATGGGAGTGCATGACTCAACGGACGCCGATCTAAGTAGTACTTTGAAATTTCCACCTATTCATGAAGTGTTAGACAATTGAGTTTTTTCTCGAATTACGAAGACCTTTTACCTCTTCCTTGGAGACCGCTTGACAAATGCGAAAAATGTCCTCATCCATTTGGATGATGTATCCTTCTAAACCCAAGAACGAACCAGCTACAACTCTAACAGAGTCGCCGACCCGGAAGACGCGCTCTAAGTCCTGGAGTGGAAGTTCTATGTCTTCCAAACCTCCATGAAAGGTCAATTCCAAACCAACAGAATCGCAAGTATGGTCAATCGAGACGATCTTGCCGAGCTCTCCACGAAGAGAACCTTGGATGACCCTCGCATAATCCCCCACACGCAGGAACCGAGTGGAAAACGCCACGACAGTTTTCTTCAGGAATGGCTTGTCCCATCCAGATTGGAGATGCAGATGAATATCATCGACGTGAGGGGAGACGACGAGTTCTAGACGATCGCGGGGGAAGTTTTTGAGTAGGAGGCCCCTATAGTAACTTTCTCCTTTGTACATTAGTCCTACTACTGCGCCATCACGAAGTATATCAGACACCGCCTTGGAATTCGGAAGGCGAGATCGCTCGAGCAGCGCTTGAGATCTTCGAGGCACGGGATAGGGGAGGTTCCGTGAAGCAATTAAGACTGCGACAAGACCATTTGGGAGACTAGGATTGAAGACTTGGGCGATATCACCCTTGTACTTCCCGTCCCTGATCCTCACCCACGCCTGGTTGGGAAGTTCGGAGCGTGAACGTTCAACTGCTTCACGTTCTGCCTCCGTGATGCGAAGACACTCCTTTAGGGCGAGAGTATGTGATGCAGGAATTGAGTTGACAATGGACTTGAAGGAATCAGTCACCACATAAAGCTGGCCTGCTACCCAAGGTGAGACGGTAACAGGAAGTTGTTGCCTCCGAAGATGTTCGGCGATATATTCAGTGGAAGCTCCTATGATACCATGAGCGCTACACTACGTTATTTGCAATAGACGTACTTTGTACATGAAGCAGATACATCCTTTTGTCAGCTGGCTGCATTTGGCCTGAGGCTGACACGATTGCGTCAGAAAACGAGGTGTCTCTGTGGGTGACGCCCTGGCGACCTTGTGATGAGTGCGATGGATTCTCTTCAAACCTGATGACCATGTCTGCAATAGTTGCAGCCAATCTCTCTTTTGCCGACGTTTCCTGGCAATCGCATGGTCGGCGGCGACCGCGCGACGTTCCACCACGATGATCGACATCTTCTGCTTCATCCTCCTCCCGTTCCTCATCCTCATCGTCATCTTCTGAAGCCTCAAGAAGAAGAAACCTATTTTGAGTCTACATCGTTCGTTTAGCATACACCGTTAGTAGTCCATGAGATAGTGCTTACTTTTTTGCGTTGTTTTTGTGATCGTCGAACGCGTGAGATTGACAAGCGACCGACCGTCCTCGATGCAGATCTGGACACGGAAGAACCTTCTGTTGGCACAGAGGAGACCCCAAGGCAGGTATTTGTCCTTCACGCGGAGAAGGTTTTCCAACGAAACCCCTCGTCGTTCCCCCTCACCGGACCATAACGCATCTCTGGCTTCCGCCCAGTCATCTGGAGAGTACCGATCGCCCAGGTACATGTAAAACGCGTCCTCCATCTCTGAGTACGTCATCGTGGTCATGAGGAACTGTTCCATAAATGCCCATGCACGATTATCCGTCAGTGCCGATGGTGCTGTCGAATTCCCTGTATTCTCATCGATATTTTGAGATACAACATTATACTATGACTCACCTTGATCAGTTCTGAGGCGCTTTTGGGAAGGTTCATCGCCGTTGGATCCGGCGCGTTTTAGCATGTGTTATCTGTGATCTGCAGAATCACCTTCAGAGTTACAGTGAACTTACAAATACTACGTACTATAATCAATGCTTAGAGCTATTCAAAAGTCTATGCTCGCCGTGATATCTATGGTATCGTATCGAAGTAGTGGTAAAAGAAAGAAGACCTGTTCATTGCGCAAGGTCAGTATTTATAGTGAACCACTATTGTGGATTAGCTAATACTTACAGATGCTCGCGGTACAAATTCTGGGTGTACACATTGTGGATCCACAGTGCAGCAGCATTGTCTTCTGAAAATGGCGGTGCGAAGTGTGGACATGGTGGACCGACGGCACAGTATACGCCCTAATTGTGTGGTATGATCATATACTTGTGAGCTCTGCCAAATAAATTGTTACACATTGTAGTCCCGCCCGCTGTAGTATTCGCAGCGTAGAGTAATTCCAAACATTGGGCGGTTAAATGTACTAAGTCACCCGCCTACCCGCTACATTAGTATTTTGCAAGGCGGCATTCGCCCGCACAATTCTACTTCACATGCTTCACACCCTCAACGCAAAAATACTTTGGAAGTCGGGAAAGAGATTATTGCACGTGAGTGGCACAGTTGATATACTGAATGACTATGCAATTCAGACCCAGCCGGCAACACCCGATTAGCAAGTGAATGCTTGCCTGGCGCCGAATGCCGTCTGAGTTTGAATTATCGTCGTTCACTATATTAGGGCTTTCCCTAAAAAGTGTTTCCTCTTTCGCACTTCCATCATCCCAAGCTCACATAGTATGAGTCTTTTTACACTTAGAATTATTCTCAGTACGGACGCGAGGCTCCTAAGTCTACTTTATCTATAAGTACCGTACATGTGTTATGACGAGTGGAAAGTTTCGAGTCTTGCTATATTTAAATCTATAGCAAGCACAAAAACCGATATTTAAGTTAGCTCTAGAAATACTATATGACATTTAGTGCGCAAGAAAAATGCGTGTCATGGAAGGGGGTAGACCCGCACTGTCCGCCCAATCATAGTTGTAAGGACATTGTTTAACCTTCGTCAGATTATTGTGATTCATGCCCGGTTTCAGATATGGTCGCGCATGCAACATGTCATTGACACCGGCTTCTTCAAATCGGATATATCGCAAACTACTTCTGTCTTGTACGTAGCACCACTTTGCAAATTCGAGTAAAGCTTCGTCACTAAAAGCATGAAGTCTAGCCCGTTCTGCGTGCTTGCCAGCATCATCTACTGCCCCATGACACTCAATATGTCCTCCACCAGCTGCGTCCCATGTTTTTCTTGCAACCGATACACCCCCGAGCTCAAAGATGCTCTCTCGCTTCTGAACCTTCACTATCCCAGACCGATAAATCTTGCATGAAGCCGGGAGAAGCGATACCTTCTCGAATTTGATCAAGGTCGGGGATATTGACACCTTCGGGCATATGAAGTTCGAGGTTTTCGGCGCGGTAGTACTCTGTTAGCCATCTGTGCCTGTACATCCCCACCCTATCCGAAAGGTATGATATATGATCGTATGCGTTCCTTAGCTTTTCCTTGACTTGACTTAGCTCAGATTCTGCTTCGCGTTTGGATTGTTGGTCAGTGTCTAGGTGCATATTTTTCAGACCTGGTAGCACAATCTATGCCTCCGAAGTATGGAATCTCACCTGTGGTTTGAGTTCCTCTGAAATTAACAATTAATTCGAAGGATGCGCGGTTAGCTTCTGAGTTGCTCTTCCGTAACATGATCACTCACTTGCAATCAGTACCATGTTGGCCACCTGTATCATAGCACATCGGTGTGTGCACAGTGGAAAGTTGGAAGCTGAAAGGTAAATTTATGAGCTTGGTACTGCATGCCATACTGAAGACCTACTTTAGAGTTATATTACCATCACCGAGGTGAACGCATTGCCTTGAACGCTTCCGAGAGGGCGATCTGGACATCCGAGATCCAAATGCTGTTGACGCTAATGGCGGGTGGGACAAAAGCCATCGACTTATGTAGCATGTGTGCTATGGCGCTAGGGCGGTGTTTTAGAAAATCATCCGTAAGATATCTATCTTGTTCGGATGACACGGTTGTTTGTCCCGTTACGATATCGACGGCGCCTTGGATGGCAGGTTTTTTGTCACCTTACGGTATCGATGGCGCTCGGATTCACGGTCGTTTGTCCCGTTACGATATCGATGGCGCTCGGATGGCAGGTTTTTTGTCCCGTGTGGTATTGTCCGTTGGGACATATAAAGCGTCTCGTTTCCTACTGGTATTAGAGTCATCAGAGCCGCTTAGTTCAACTCAGTATGAGTAGCGATGAGAATCATCCTCCGTCCCACGAGCCTTCGCGCAAGCGTCGTGGGTCAGCGCTTCACATGGGTCCGCGTAAAAAGGCGTACGTGCTCTTTCAAGTGTTGAATTACCGTCTTCCTGACTTGCCCCTCATCAGGACTTCATCGAATCCGCTAGTTCTTCACGGCCGACATTTTGGTCGGACCGTGTTTGCAATGTGCAACTATCCTGCTCTCCTTACTTCAGGTGTACTTCGGCTCGAAGAATTACAGGATACTCCAATAGAGGATTATCCAGCGGAGTGAGTGCAATTGCGATAACTACATGCCAACAGCACTTAATAACATTTTCAATTTTAGTGTTCGCCGGGAACACCGGGTGTTCATGGAGCTAGTAGACTCTTATCCCGGTCTTTTAGAACGTCTGGCGAATGGCGAGGAGGAAGATATTCACCACGTGGGAGAATTAGTAAGTTTCCAATACCTCCTGTTAGCATACTTATCATCTTGCAGTTGGGTAAAGGGGCGTCTGGTGCTCGAGGTGATGATACCAAGACACTTAAATCTGCCGTCCTTGAATGGCTTGTGCCCAGAGGACAAGTTGTCATACCGCCCCTCTCTCGAAACATTAAATCTGACCGCGGCTTTAATCATGAAGTGACCGGTGCGCTGCTCTGCCCCGCAGGCCTCGACTGGTCGAATGCAGAGTAAGTTTTTCCGCCGTCCACCGTCTGCCAACTAACCATCATAACATTATCCAGGACAAAGCAGGGTCTCATGAGTGGTGAAACCGCAGTCCGTGGTGACCAGTGGCCCATGTTTCTATATACAGGTTATGTGTATGATCCCGAAGATCCGTGGAAGGGTTTATTGAGGAGTGAGATCCTCGTCTTCGTAAATAAATTCCATTGTCAATAAAGTTGTCACTCAACGCAGTTCCCCTCTGCAGGGTTTCAAACATGTCTTCACGTCTCCGAGCTCGGTGGACAAGGAGCCAAAAGCTACCCGCTCTGGCAATGCTTACATTCATGGCATGAAGTCTGTAACTAAAGGGTCCCTGGCCTACATCGCCACGCAGGCACGCAGCAATTTTCATCATTGACACAACCCCTGCTGATCTATCTTTCAGGTTCGGTTTTCGTTAACTTCTTCTTCTGTATTTTCTCGTACCGACATGGTCACGGACTCCGACAATTTCTACCATAGCATTCTTGACCTGTTGGAGGATCCTGATGAGCATGAGGAAGTAGCTGACCTCATGATGTGGTGGACACGGTTCGTAATGCACCTCACCACCCATAAAGTCTAAATTAACGCTTATACAGTCGGGTTTTTCCTAATTCGTCATCTTCACAGCGCTGTACCAGCAAAAACAGCGCACTGTCAAAAATTCGGGAAAAACGCGCTGCCTTACAAGAACGAGCCACTGCCGACACTACTTAATTAAATGTGTTACTATGTACTGCCTGTAATACATAATATTAATGTCATTGATGAATGCTCCATCCGTATTTGCATTGCATGAGAATCTCTTTGTGTGTTTGACCACAATACCACCAACCTGCCGTTAGTAATGATAGACCCTGCCATCGAAAGCTACCCATACAATAGTTTAGGTGTGTTTGGCAGAAGTTCAGCAGCATGCTATGACATGACAATCAGTTGTTGTACCCTGGCACACCGTCGGCGATTACGGGTCCTGCCATAAGAAACCGCCCATGCAACCATAGTTCTCTTCGGTAGAAGTTCAGCAGCTTGCTGTGGCATGACAATCAGTTGTCATACCCTGGCACACCGTCAGCGATTACGGGTCCTGCCATAAGAAACCGCCCATGCAACCATAGTTCTCTTTGGTAGAAGTTCAGCAGCATGCTGTGGCATGACAATCAGTTGTCATACCCTGGCACACTGTCAGCGATTACGGGTCCTGCCATAAGAAACCGCCCATGCAACCATAGTTCTCTTTGGTAGAAGTTCAGCAGCATGCTGTGGCATGACAATCAGTTGTCATACCCTGGCACACTGTCAGCGATTACGGGTCCTGCCATAAGAAACCGCCCATGCAACCATAGTTCTCTTCGGTATAACTTCAGCAGCTTGCTGTGGCATGATAATCAGTTGTCGTACCCTGGCACACCGTCAGTGATTACATATTCTGCTGTTGGAAACTACCTATGTAAGCATAGATAAATGTGACAATAACATGACAATGTGCTAGTAGATCATAACTTGGTACCATAGGTCTGCCAATATTACGGCATTGGGTGATCCTACCAACGTAGTCTAACTATTTATTCCTTTATCATATGACTGTAATTGTGATGTATATTCTTAATAACATGACAATGTGCTAGTAGATCATAACTTGGTCACATAGGTCTGCCAATATTCCAGCGTTGAGAGATCCTACCAACGTAGTCTAACTATTTATTCATTTATCATGTGATCTGTAATTGTGATATATAATTTAAATATTTTGTATTAAATAAAGCTAGCTAAATCATTGTCATACCCTGGTCAAATGCCTGATGTGAAACATGAGGCCTACCATGAAAAAGTGCGTTACCTCTTCGCGAGGTGAACATACTGCTGCTCAATGGAAGCTCGATATCTATCAAAGTTAATCAGATCAACTTGAAGCCATCCCAGCAGACAAAAACCGAGTCATTGACCGACGTCAGCATTAAATATAATCCAACAGTCTGTCTGTAAGTCATGGTGGTGTGAGCAACGCCGTGAATACTAGAATGGAAAGATGAGATAAAGACAGACTGTAGCAAGGCAAATGTGCAGGCCGTGAAACAATATCGGATGGTTATATTTGACTGATATCCAAGACTATGCAATGGCGAAGCTAGTGCAACATCCCAGAACAAAGTAGAACCAGAATCATAGATAGACGAGAGGCGACGCACAGATCGCGGATCGCCATCACACTGAATTGACGGGCAGCTTGATAGGGCAAGGGGCTGCATTCACCTGTGTAGATATGGATTGGGTCGACGGCAAGCCATCAATATGCATAGTAAGTATGAGCCTGAAGTTTACGCCTGTCGTTCTTATGAGCAAATTGAAGCAACCATGACATACCCACTAACTTGGCCTTGACCCAGTGGTATAAATCCCAGCGTTCTTGCAGGCATTATACCACTCGTTCCACCTCAGGCAACACATTTCGGACCCTATAAAGGGTCTTACAGACCCGGTTATTATGTTGTGGGAAACGTATCTGCAAGACCCTTCATCCCTCCATCTAATAATAGCTTGCACATAATTTTAGCTCCAGCACCTCCCACGCACCTACAGCGCCTCCCGCACTTCGTTTTGTAGGTTCTCCCCATACCTACAGCTCCTCCTGCACTCCCGTTTTGTAGGTTCTGGATTCATGGGATGTTATGGTAGGTTTATGTTTGTCTATACATCTAGTATTCACATTGTTCGCATAGTCTTTGTGTAATGCAAGTTGACTCGCTATCTTCGCTATGACTCTAACTAACTCACTCAACACTCGTAAGGCTCAGCTCGTATCATCCGGCCTCGGTCAACATTTTGTAAGCCCAAGGAAACCCCGAGACAAGAGAAAAACACAAACTCTTGTTGAGTTCCCTGGTGCAGAGCTCAGACGACGACGGCTACTTAATCAGATGCAACGGCTTATGAATCCCACATCCTCACCAATAGAGCAACCTCCTGCTGTGCTTGGTAGTTCCTCTGGGGAAGCAGAAGTCGTCAATCTACCAGACGACTTGGATTTCGTGGATGTCGCAGGCGATGAAGTTGAAGTGCCGAAGGAGACCTCATCTGACATGCGTACTAACTCACAGAAACGACACATTCTTCCCGATAAGTCGGCAGATTCACTCTATGGCAACTAGTAGTGCCACGGCTCGGCTATGGCTGGCTTTGGTTCGGTATTTACCGGTTTGCCAGAAGTTCGGTGATACCTGTAAGCCAAGCCACTGATACTGACTTGGTCCGATTTATAAGCCACGTGAACCAGCTACAACTTTTACAAGCCGAAAATTTATGAACCGCGGCTTGAACCGCTTTAAGCCAGCTCAAGCCAGCTCAAGCTACGCGGCGGTTGGGTGGAAAGAACAGCTTTTTTTGTTACCTCCAGTGTTGTTTGTCAGATCCCCTGGATTTCTCTACTCGCGGGCTATTGTATACACTATATGGATAAGGTCCCCGTTCGAGTTGATGGAAGATTTAGGCTAGGAGATGTTTTGGGATCCGGCTTGTATGGTGTGTTATCATGATTACTGACTACATGTTGACTTTGACATTTGGACCCCATTAGCTGTCGTGTATCGTGCACGGAACATCATAAAGGATGATGCAGTTGCCGTCAAACTTGAACCCATCACCCACTCATCTTCCGTGCAGCGCGAATACAACATTTTGAAACACCTTGAAGGCGGTGTTGGTATTCCCCGTGCCCTCTGGTTTGGTAGGGAGTCGACATATCACGCTCTCATTCTCGATCTCCTTGGGCCATCCCTGCACAGTCTCTTCCTTTCGCACAGCCGCAAATTCAGCCTTGACACTGTCATAAATCTAGGAGATCAGCTGGTCAGTCGGTGTGTGGGTTGCATGTACAGATCACTAACACCTTTACCCAGCTCTCACGTCTCGAATATATTCACTCGCACAGTTATGTTCACGGCGACATTAAACCCCAGAATGTTGTTCTGGGTCTTGGCGATTTGAGGCACACCGCCTTCATTATTGATTTCGGTATCGCGAAGAAATTCTGGAATATGTCAACCAGTGTCCATATACCATTTCGCCAAGGTCAACGTCTCACTGGCACTCCTGCATTTGCGTCAATCAACAATCACTTGGGAGTCGAACCAGGTCGTCGTGACGATCTCGAGTCACTTACGTACATGTTGATATACTTCTTGCAGGGCTCCCTTCCATGGTTAACCAGTGACCAAGAGAAACTTTCCAGCGCTTCCATACTCGAGCGCAAAGTGAACACTACCATCGAAGACTTATGTCGTGGAATTCCTGTCGAGTTTGCAACAATTCTCATTTACACGCGCTCACTCGCATTCTCAGAGGATCCCGACTATAACCACCTTCGCTCATTGCTTCATATACTTCGTTCTACACCACCTTCACCAGCTGCATGCTTGCTGGATATAAGCCAGCCTGAAGTAATACATATCACGCATTCCCCTCCATTCTTCGACAAACCCTGTGTAATTGAGGCAGTGTCTCCATGCCCGCCGCTTCGCAGATCGACTCGTGTGTGAGTAGTTCATTTATCTTAGTACTTACAAACTAATGTGATTCCAAGTTTGCGCCCACGTAATGGCTCCCCGTCACATGCAACATCTTCAACTCCACGCCGGAAAAAAACTAGATCATGATGCTGTTGGATACATGTACGGAGTAGTTTGTACAAGCACTGTATGCGTACTTTATGATATAGTATGATTGCCCGCACCTACAATTTCTCACAACCAGTTTTGCAGCATGTATATGACGTGGCGGATGCAATATATATTAATAACCACTGAACCAGATATATTGATATCTGAAAATCTCTTCAACTCCCACACAGCGCCTCTTATCTATCAACATCCTGCAGGCTGCAGGCTGCAGCCCTGCCTGGAAATGACCTTCGCAGCTCGCGAGGGACTCATCATGACTTCCTGAACCATTAATATCGGCAATCCAGCCACACCACATAATAACAACGACTCACTGAGTGCTTATCGATGGAGATCTAGTTTTGATTCCATCGATCATTCAACTGCACCTGAGGATGAAGACGTGCTCGACTTCAACCCTTTGGGCCCTCTGGAATCTGGAGTTTCAAGTCGGAGTTGATTCTCTCCAGGTACGCACAGTTGCACGAGTTTTTTTCACCTCCCACTCACCGCTGAATCAGATTTGACTTGCATGAAGCATGCATGAGTTGCGGAGTCATGCCTCATGACAATCGTTCATGGGGTTTTCCATCAGGGACTCAGGATCACTGCATATTGGCATGTTCTGGGGTTTCCCCAGATGCCACGATATATCTAGACCAGCAATTCTGCTGTTGGATTATCTTCACCACCATCGCCACCAACATGCCTCCTCGACGGAAGAACGCTGCCTGGGCTACTACCAGAATCGCTGTTGCTGTTCCAACTGTTGTTCCCATTCCTCCCGCTCCTGTTGCTGCTCCCATTGCTACTCCCATCACTCCCACTGCTGCTCCCACTCCAAACGCTGCTGCTCCCACTCCAATCGCTGCTGCAGTGAATGCGAATATCCTTCGTAACCCTCAAAGGCATCGTCAGCGTCCAGTGCGATTTCGAGAAAATGGCGCAGACGAAGGAGAATCCTTCCATCTTGAGAACGTCTCTGGGGATGAGGGGGACGAAATGGTCAACTTACCTGCGCCAGCAGTTGGGCCTGCTGCAGGCCATAGTCCGCTGCAAACTGCAATGAATACCGCTACAACTGACCCTCTGGCGACTGGTGGCCGATCAAAACCGCCTAAATCCTCTGCCGATATTCATTTCTTCTTCAGACAGGACCCCAACACTCTTTCAAATATCTGCAAAGCCTGCGAGTGAGTGTCGTGTATGGAGTCTATAGTTTTTTCTGACATCCTTCACCAGAGCAATTCATGATGTCGACAATACTCACCACGTTATGTCGTACCTTCCTAGTACAGGCACTTCAGCTCGTCGTACACACGCCTTCGCCGACCATACCGATGCCTACCTGGAGGAGGCAGAGCGTCAGAACTGGCATGTTCTCCATAAGTCATCACGTTTGAAGACTTTTTTGGATGAAGGCTGGACGGTCGCGACCATGCGTCAAAGGCTGAAGGACCCGGCTTGCACGTTGGACTCACTCGGTACTCCCCCTAGTCCTGGCCCACTCCCCGGAACTAGCCTCTCAGTTCCAGACGATATACTGCCTGCATTTTCTCTGGATGAGATGCACAAACATATAGTCAAATTTATTATCGCCGACGATCAGGTGAGTCTATGTACACTTTTTACACAGTATGTTTAATAATCATCTTCAGGCGATTAACATCATAGAATGTCCGGAATTTCGTCGCCTTATCCGTCTTCTGCGGCCATCGGTGAACGAGACCGACATCTTTCACCGTACCAAAATTCGTGAGTTGGTCATCGACGCTTTCCATGAATACTTCAATGCTTTGAAGAAGGACCTTGCGGTAAGTCTACAGCTGTCAAGAGCCCTACCAAGTATCTTATATCTTTTAGGCCGCCCAGGGAAAGGTCTCATTCACATCTGACCTCTGGACAGATTCTAACCTTCGCCCGTTCATGGCACTCACTGCCCATTGGATTGCTAAGGCCGACCGGAGTTCCATGCTCATTTTGAGGGCTGCGCTTATCGGCTTCCACAATGTTCCAGGCAGTCACACCGGTGAATTGCTGGCAGGAGTCCTCATGCATCTTACTGATCGCGCCGGTGTGACTGAAAAGGTCAGTGTTTAATTGTACCATGTAACACGCTCTGACTTTTTTTAGACTGGTCACTTTACCTTGGATAACGCTGCGAACAATCAGGTTTCCATGCGAGAGCTTTCGTATAAACTGGAGTGCCGAGGCATTGATTTCGACCCCATCGAACGCCGAATCCCATGCTTCCCGCATATCATCAACATCTGTGTGAAGCATATTCTTAACGATTACCGCCAGGCCGACTTTTCGCTCGTGCCCGAACAGTGGGTAAGTGGTGATCGCACCATCATCAAGGCGGATTATCTCGAAGCAGTGACCGGGCTAGCTATCAGCAGAGCTAGGGATCTTGTGCGCACAGTTCGCGCATCAAACCAGCGACGTATTTCTTTCAGGGACACCATCATCACAGGTAACGAGAAGGAGTGGTTCCAAGATGACGCGGGCACGAAACTACGCCTCCCTGTTGTCGAACTCCTGCTTGATGAGGCAACCCGTTGGGATTCAGCCTACATCATGCTCAACCGTTTACGAACCCTTCGCCAGGTAAGGCATCACGCATGAAACATTTGTCTTAAACTAATATTCATCCAGGCAGTAGATTTATTCTTCGACTCTCCCACTCAACGCTCCATCAGCAAGTTCAAGTTGAGTCCGATGGATTGGCAGTTTTTACAGGATGTTGAAGTAATCTTAGAGGTTAGTTTTCTAATCTTCGAAATGTTTCATCTTATCGTTATATACTAGGCGCCCCACGCTGTCCAACAAAGCATGTCGGGCGAACGCACTCCCATGCTGAGTGGTACATATCCGGCATTCGAAATGTTGATAGAGCGGTGGAATTCTTTGGCCGATCATGTCCCACACTGTGACCCTCTTGTTCAGATAGGTCTGACTTGGGCAGATAAGTATGACGACAGGCTGGGCGCCACAAATGCCTATGCAGTCGCTATGCGTGAGTCCGGTATCTTTTTCAAATAATTGGTTGCTCACAATTGCATTTATAGTTGTTGATCCTGCGGTCCGAATGTCATGGGTTCGGAGTCGTTGGGCGGAACAACTGGTTCAAGATGTGGAGAAACATATAATCGATTTGGTACGTTGTGTTAAACTATAACAACGCAACTTTGAACTAATATTAGCACACGCAGATGCGTCAAAAACGAACCACGAACAGCTCAGCATCTGGCGAGTCTCCAGCTTATGAAGTAAGACCTCAGCAACAATCACGCACGCTAGGCTCCCGTCTTTATAATCTTCCTGACATTGGCGTCCTGCCATGTCACAACAGCGGCGCCCAAACAGTCGAGCAAGAATTCGAGGCCTACACCACGGGTAATCTCAGCGCCAAAGGAACAGATATACTTGGGTTCTGGTCGGTAAGTGTCCCATATCTCTACAATTCAAATCTTTATTGACCATGTGTTCACCAGGTCTCGGAGACCTTATTTCCGACACTCTATGGTATCGCGATGGACTACCTCCCTATCCAGGCCTCTGCCGTTCCATGTGAGCGAGTATTTTCGTCCAGCAGTGAGACGGACACGAAGAAACGTAATCGCATGAGCCCGGTCCTGATGGAGGCCCTGCAGGTGGTAAAGTTTCTCGTGAAAAAAGAACGACTTAACTTTACGAAAGGTTGGGCAGCGTCGCAAAAGGCTATGGAGTATCAGGCGTTGGGCGAGGGAGGAGAGGAGACTAACACTCTTTTGACATTTTCCAGCAGCGGAATGACAGGTGATGTTTATGACACCCTCCTCAGAGCTATTGCAGAGGAGGAGTGTGATGATGTTGATGATACTCCTATTACCTACGACATGTGATGTGTGCTTTTACTCTTCGTTTCTTCTTTGCGCTACTTTGCAATGCCTCTCACGTATTATGATTTCAATTTTCAACCATTCTCTCTTTGCTTGACTTTCACCGCTTTCATTTGCTGAGTGTCACCTCGCTCTGATGATCTATGACATCGTGAAGGTGACGGTATCTTCTGCGCTACAAGCCTCTCAGTACCAGCCTACCAGGTGCGCCTTTTTTTCTCCCATCTTTATGATTGCTAATCTCCTCACTTCTCCATCCTACGAATCCAGGAATCGCCACCCTCATCTCCTATGTGCAAGCGTTCTAGAGAACCTTCCCCCTCCCCCTCCCCCCACGCCTCTCTCGCTTCACTCGACTCACAACCTTCAAAACGTGTTCGTCATGAATCAGAACCCTTGTCGTCTGCCAGTGTCTCCCGCAATAATTATTCACTGCCAGCAATGCCCTGGGTCAATCCTCGTGACCACGTGCACATGTTACTCGTCTGCCATATTCGCCAACTTTAGACCATTCATTGTGTGAGAGAAGCTCGCGAAGGAGGTGTTTTCCTGTTGCGCCTGTTGCGCCCAGAATGAGAGCTGTCGACATGGTGTGCACTGTTTCGGCGAGTCATGATGCAACTTAAAGTCTTAAACCCAGGTCTGCCGATACGTGCGTAGGGCGTCGGCATGTTGCCTCAGGGCCAGGTGAAATTGACGCGTGTCCTGCAGGAATAATGGTCATGGCAAGTTTGTGGCAAGGGGTAAAACGGTCAGGCCTCCCTTGCCATGTATATGGCGAATTCGAAGCTGCCCATCCATCACGTCTGTGCTCTTGCCACTCTTACTACTCTCTTTGGTCCTCACACAAGGCTCCAGTGTCATGTCTTCATATTGGTATGCGATTTCCCTAATTCTTGATTATTGCACTGATGTAGTTTATTAGGCTCGTTTACTGGGAAGAATAGTGCGTGCATGTCACATAACCCTCCCACCGACCGCCTACGTCGTCGCTCAGCCAGCACCGGTGCTATCGTTCCCCTCCACTCTCCCATCTCCCCAGGTCCTTCCAGCCCACTCGTCTATCAGCCCCCCAAAAAGAGGTTCCGAAAATCATGGTCGAGCAAAAAAGTAGACTACAACTTCTCAGCTGCAAACTCGAACAATATAGTTGGGATCGTGATGCTCGAGATCCAAGGAGCGAGTGATCTGCCTAGGCTGCGGGAGATGCCTTGGGAAGCGAAGCATGATCCTACGATTTCGTTACGGTGCGTTCGTCTCGTCTTGTTTCATCTTCATCTTGCTTATCCTCCATTGTCCTTCATCGTTCCCATCATTCCCTCCCTATCTCCAACCCGCCCACTCCCAACCACCCCAGCGCAAAATTCCAGTCCTACGCCGAGCTCCGTCAACGTTTCTGGGCGCAATGCGCTTTGTGAATGAAGATATATGGAAACAGCCTGGTAGGTCATTTCAACTCCACCCCGCTTACGCAGCTAATGATTTCTCAGAGTTCGGTGAGTCGCACAACACTCAATGGGGTCGATTATATGAAGCAAAGGATGTGAAGGTGGAGTGGCACGGTGAGCACAATATCAATATGCTCTTGTGTAGACGATGCCCACGCGGCTCGACGGCGCTACAAGAAAAACTCTCCGCTACTGCCTTCTGTCTGCATCCGCTACTGCCTTCTGTCTGCATCCGCTACCACCTTCTGTCTGCATCCGCTACCGCCTTCTTTCTGCATCTCTCCCACCCCCTACTGAACCCGGTTCTACCACCTGGCCTCTCGCCACCGACTCCCGCCCTTCCCGACCAAGCATCTTCAACACCCAACGCTGCCACCTCGATCTCCATGGGACCCGCACTCTTTTGCAGCGTTTCTTCGTCACGGATGGCTCGCGTAGCTGCCGTGGGGGAGAAACGCAGTATAATTCCTGATTTACCTTAGTTTTAGATCAAACGCTAACGAAATAACGACTCACTGGATCTTGGGGGGCCATTAGCGCTCGTGTGCTTATCGATCGTGCGTAGGTAGTTTGATCTTCGATAGTTCTAAATTAAAATCTATTTATAATTAATTTGTAATCTATTTTTAATGTAAAGTTTAAAATAAATATTTAAGCCCCCAAATTGACTTGGCTGTGGGTGGTTCCTGAGCTGAGTCAAAGCTTAAATTAAGCTCAAATGACCAGACCGAGCCATATATTATGTAAGCTTAATTTTGTACACAGCTAGCCTAATTGTAGCTCCGCTCTCGGCTAAAGCCGGCCTCAAGCCAGAGCTGCGGCAACACTAGTTGACACGTAGTACACTGTGCTCGTGGAGTTGGTTATTGGCGAAGGTGACCTGATTCCTGTCGTCATCAGAGAAACTGTGCTCATCACCAGAGTAATCCAAGCTGCGGAGCCGTGCCAGCAAGTGATCTTTAAGGCCCGGAATGAAGTTCTGTGATGACACATTAATGGATACAAAGTAAGGGTGTGATAGGTGAAATACTCACTTCAATTGCCTCATCATTGTCAAGCTTGCCAAGCCATGCAAATATATCATGTGAGCACTTGGCATATTTTGATATGTGGTAGTGCGCTGAGGGTGATGTACGCTGCTCACGCCCCTCTTGCTGTATCAAGGACCCATGGCTCTTTTTACACCGTTCAAGTACCTTTGCGATGAGTCGCTCATGGGCTTCAATGTGGGTCATCGTTGCAACCATTGTCTTCTTGTTTTTTGACGTCCTTGGATACCATCGTTTGACATGCCGATGTTCAAGTTCTCCCTAAGGAGAGATATAATTGTAGGTGAGCATTAGCGCTATCAATATCAAAATGAAATGTACCGGCTGTGTAGAATAATTATCTGTTGTGCCCATCCGCTTGATTGTGTCAGCATAGTCGCCAAGCGCATGAAATTTGTAAGTTGAGAGGTTAAGGGACTTGCGCTTGGGTCCAGCTGAACTCTTCTGACTCGGAGTTGTAGATGTTCCTTGTTGTTTTGCAGCTAAAGCAACCTCTCGACGTCCTCGTGCGGCATGCTCATGAGGGAGCTCTGTTGTGTGATAGTGATCGCACGTTGTCTTGTAGAATTTGCGAACTGATTGACCAAGGACGGCAGTGGCAGTGTTAAACAGAGCTAGCGTGTCAGTGGTATGCATTCAAAGCTTTGCGTACCCATGCCATGATGCTAAGTCGAAAAGGAGGTCCAGAATGATGGTGTTGTGAGGCTCCGGCAATAAGTTCTCAAATGCTGGAATTGCGCACTGACACAAAATTTAAATAATATGTGATACAGATTGTATAGCCTAGTGCTTACCTGTAAGAGATCCTCAAAATCACGGGCAGCCAATTTTTTCATGGATGAAGTGTTATAGTGAAAATGGCGAATTGTGCCTCTACCAAAGGTAGGGACCATTCTGTATCTGATTAGGTTGTTAGCATATGAATAATGGACGCAGGGAAACAGATGCAGCATATCAAAAATACGTGACTTACCGCTCATTCAGCCTCTGTACTGCAGTTCCCCCAGCTGCATGCAAGATTCACATCAGATGCGTGAAAATAGCTTTCCAAGCACCAATTTCAAACTCGTGTAGTTGATCAACCACAAATAGCGCAAACATGTTGATACCGTTGTCTTCTTACTTGAGGGTCTTATATAAAATCAGTGTAAAATGCAGTGACAATCACAACTACACTTTGATAAGACTTGAAGTTGCCAGCTCCTCAAGTTCACGGTCAACGGATTTTCTACTTCTCGGTTGATAACGTGTTGTTTGTGGGTGGTCAAAGAGTAAACAAGTTACCTCCTTGTTTGAAGAAACTATATAAACTGTGTCTGTGGATTTGTTGTGTCTGGAAAAATGATAGGTATGTTTCACCCTAGTAGGTTGTGTTTCAACCTATGAAAGTTTGTCTCAACTTTGTCGTGTTCTCCTGTTTCGTATCTCTCTTCCTGTAAAAGAGAGAGGTCTTCGTTAAGTGTACGTAGAGCTTGGCTCAGTAAAGTAGTGATGAGTAACTTAGTTATCTGGACAGCCTACCTGTGGGCTCTTTAACCTGAAGTTACTTTGTTGAAATGATAGTACTTGCACTCTCACTATGTCTTGCCTTGATCTCACTCTCAGATTAGTGGGATAGGTTTAAAGTGTAAGTTTGTCTTAGTCTTACTTCAAGGCACTTGGTTTGCCTGCACTTTGACTATGTCTTGCCTGATCACTCTCAGATTAGTGATATTAGGTTTAAAGTGGGAAGTTCTATTTGCATGGGTGTAAAATGGGCTCCTTTTATACCTTTTTGGAGGCCAGATTACTAAGCATGATTCATCACATGGATTGGTAAGAATGTGCTTACAAATCCTACCATTTGGTGTGCTGAGTCAGCTTGTTTTACTAATAATACATGTATCTTACAAAGCATGATAAATCAAAGGCATGAGTCATCTCATGGATTGGTAAGGTTGTGCTTACAAACCAAGCCTTTTGGTGAGCTGAGTCATCCTGTTTACTAAGAAGATTATAAATACAGTTGCAAGTCTTACAAACCATGACGAATCAGTGACAAAACACGATGAGTCAGGCTGAATCCTTACAAATCACCTTATTTCCCAGTCACATGACCTGATTACAAACATGATCAGTCAGCTAGTGAGAAAGTCTGATGAATAAGCCAAGAAAAAATAGAAAGAAATGGAAGGTCACAGAACAAAATAGAAATACATAGAAATCCCCGTGTATAATACGAGAAATGAAACACGAGAAACGAGGCTTCAGAAAACAGACTGATGAATCAATGAAAAATGATAGAATCACTTGGTAATATGGTAGAGTACAGTTAATTATACCTTCCTTATCTTTTGTATAGCACACATGTCATGGTATGGACTGCATACCATGCATGACACCGTAGTTGAGTAATCGTTGAGAAAATGTGTTCTAATGTTCAAGGTCAGTGCGAGTGTAAAATAGACGGCTGTGGAACAATGCTTACACGAATTGGCACGTACGATTCCTCATTGATAATTGCCTTGACGCGACTGCCATCTACTGGAACTCCAAGTTGGAAGATCAATTTGCGAGCATCTTCCACTCGCTGTTGACGTTGCAGGTCATCGATACGCTCCCGTGTGATCCGCCGCCTCATGTCTAGCGTCATTCCCATCATGTGAATGTCTGACTTCTTAACAAGACAGCGGGGGCATGGACACTGCCCCAAGAATTTGATGCTGGCTAGCAGTATCCTGAGTAATTCATCAATTTCAGTTGACCAGCGTGTTGGGATTGACTAACTTTTCGGGGTAATCCGCAGAATATGAGAAAAACCGGGGGAATACTCTTCGCGTAATCCCATCACCACAGCAAATTACAATGCCATGCTTGTACGCTTCCATGAACTTTCCATCAAGAATTAACTCCCAGATGGCGTGAATCAATTCACGTTTGAGGTGTGTATAGGTGCTGCTCGAGGTTGGTTCACCGAATATATCAATATAGATCTCCTATAAATCATCCGGAAGCTGCAAATAATTAGTAAAGTGAGTTTATAAAGTAATGTATACATACATTGGGAATGTACGGCAAGTGATGGCATGCACGAGCAGTAGGCTTTCCTCGTGTGTATTTGGATTGATTGCCAAAGAATAGATAGAAGGGCCAAAGGGATGCGTCGCCAAAGCTTGCCAAGTGAGTGGCATCAGACCAGACCATTAGCGAGGCAACAACGTGCTCGAGGTCATCACCAGGATCTCGTGGGATGGCATTCACTTCTTCGTAAGCTTTTATCATTTCAGGAGAGGCGTAGGATTCAGAGAAGACTTCCAGAGTTCGATTATCTGGCGCATTCCAGTACTGGCGGAATGGAGTCATATTGAAGCTAGTGGATACGTCATCCTCAAATGTTTGAGTGATGATATCTGTGAGAGAGCGATGGTAAACACCAGAGATCTCAAGTTGGGGGGCGTCATTCTCTGAGGGAAACTTGGCCCTCTCATTGGATAAGCGAATTTTGACAGTTGACTGCTGCCACCCGTACTCTTCGCAGAAGGGATTTGATTTACGCTCGAGGTAGTCATCGAGTCGTTTGATCTCTCGTGCATGACTGAACCCAACTAAGTCAGCTGAGTTGAAACGAGGGTCGCAAAGAAACTCAGCCAGACGATTGAGTCCAGCTGCCGAACTAGCATTACTGCCAGAATAGTGCCAAGTCATCAGTAGGGCTGACGATGGGTTTGTGAATGCTCCAAACAGATCATCATCACTGATTTCTGCAGAGACTCCCAGGCGCACTTCGCGAAGGGTAGCACGTAACCCCTCTAGTGTGGGGGCGTCTGTTACACCCTCCAGTGTGTGATCAGCCTCTGGGGCTAGAGTGGGACGAGTTGGGTATATGCTATACAGACCAAATGTATCCGGTTGTGTTTCAAAGGGGGTGAGCAGGGGTGGAGGATCAGGTAGATTAGAGGGCAGTGGTGAGGGTTGGGATGATGGCGCCATAGCACTGTGACCTGAGGCTGTATTCCTGTCACTCAAAATGCCTGCACGTTGCTGTTGGATGGTTGGAGGCATGTGTGCGAGGTGTGTAGATGTGCCTGGAAGATAGTCGATGAATCGATGCGGCATACAGATAGTGCATCCAGAACGTTTTGAAGTGACAATAGGAGCTGGAGGCAGAGGGGAATGTGGCCGTGAAATGTTTGGCAGACCTGCAACATCCTCAAACTGATTGAAATGTAAATGTACTGTAAGTTGCTGCTCGAACAATTCAGACAAAACATACCTGGTTAATGTCTATATCACCGTCTGCCTCCATCCCACCATGATCTGTTGCCCACGCTTCATCATCCCTCTCTACCTCCTCATCAACCCGAGCCCGTTTTGATTCCTTAGCTGCATTTTCAGATGTGTGTCGTTTTTTGGTGCGATGTAAAATGTCAGAGAGCTTGAGAGCTTGATTAGGCTGCAAGCAGTGGGCAATATGCCCAGAGAGTGATCTCTGCGTGGGGAAGGTCCTTCTACACGCAAGGCAAAGGTGCTCCATCTTGATTGGAGAAGTACAGGAGCAATACCATTGGAGAGGCGGGACAACAACTCAGGGAGAAGAATCATGATTCCGACTCGGAGTCAAGCATCTATTTCGGGCCAGATCAAAACAGATGACATCATAAATGCGTCCTTCAAATGTATTTTATGCATTTTTTTCATGGCTCAGGGGTATATAGAGGTGCTAAGTACAGGCGCTTCCTGTCAATCTAGGTGACGTCAAGGGGTGTATGGAGGTGAAGAAGGGCGCGCACAAGGTAAACTGCTTGACTGCCTGACGTGAGGTCGGTTTGAAGGAAGAAAAGGACACGAATGCCATCAGACTTCTCGCACACCCAGTAACTGGCGGAATGGACGGTCGGCCTTGTATGTCGTCTGTAAGGTTGGGACACGCTCAGACGGATGACTAGAAGTTTCGGTTTTTGACATGTCACTAAGATTCGTATGAACAGGCATTGCTGCTAAAGGTTTCTGGATCGAAGTTGGACGGGAGATGTAGGATGAGAGAGGTGGCGGCGAGTCTTGCGTGGATGAAACGTTCCAAGTCTTGAGGAACACGTAAGAAGGTTGTCTAAAGAGATAAAGCATGGCTTACCTCAGGCGCGAAGTCTGGGCTCAAGTTGTGATGTTCAAGGGGACTTTGGGTCCAAGCAGGTGCACCCGTTGATTGTGCTCGAGCTGGAATGGGTTTTCTTGAGCCTGATTCGCGTGCGAAATACAAATTGTGTGTGGTCCGAAGATCCCCGAGCAGTGGGGAAGCGTGCTTTAAATCGCTGGAGAAGGATGAGAGCAGCGAAGGTCACAGATGAGTGCAACTTCGTGCGGTGGAGGGCATATGCGATGAAATGCGGGAGCTTGAATTGGGAGTTAGAAGACGATGGGGGGTACTCAGGACAAGTGAATAGGTGTTCCGAAGATCCCCGAGCAGTGGGGAAGCGTGCTTTCAATCGCTGGAGGAGGACGAGAGCAGCGAAGGTAACAGATGAGTGCAACTTTGTGCGGTGGGAGGCATATGCGATGAAATGCGGGAGCTTGACTTTAGAGTTAGAAGACGATGGGGGTTATTCGGGACAAGCAAATAGATGGTGGGAGGCATATGCGATGAAATGCGGGAGCTTGACTTGAGAGTTAGAAGACAATGGGGAGAATGATAGAGGCAGCATGGGAGTGACCATAGTGTGCGCAGGGAGGAATGCCAAGTGTAGCCAGTACACGTGAGTGCCATATGGCGGTTTCGATGAGTACGGTGAATGGGTCGTATTAGAGTGATAGAAATGAGAAGGAGGTCAGCTATGTGCGACTCCACTCTGGGGAGCAGCGAGTCGTGTCAAGCTGGTCTTCTCCAACTGTGCGAGTGGCCTATAAACGGGATTTAGTGTATCGCTCCCCAAACTTGACTTTTCCCAGTGCGTGTAACTTGTTCATTTGCCAATGGACGAAGGAGTCGTAGTAAGGGTTCAGGTCAGTTGTGACAAACGAACGTCTCCAATCGATATGATTTCCCATTGCGTTGTTATCCTCCTGTAGTACATAAATGAGAAAAGTAGAAAATTAACCGACAATCAGTGTACGCACCTTGCAGATTGGAGGAAAGTTCGCCGGATTAGATGGAGGACGTAACGGCGTCTATGGCAGTTGAGGTCAGCATCAGCATCATCACACACCCAAAAACACATGAAACGAATTGAAACGAATTGAAACACGCACCAATCTGAATCAAATTGAAACGAAACGAACTGAATCGAAATGAATCGAAACATGTGCGATCCATGGATGAACATCGTGGACGCTGCGCAAAGGACGTTGCTGTAGCGCCAGTTCAATGCGAAAATGAGATGAAAGAGAGATAATGTGTGGTTGGGATGGCCCTGCAGACGCAATGCAAGGGCTTCGCGGAAGAGGGAAGTGGTGGTATCAATGTCTTGCAGATCGTTTTGAATGTAGCCTTGAAGGCGGGCCCACGCAAGGTTGGTGAGAGCCGCTGCGTGGTCAGGATGGTCGACCATCTAATCTCCATTGATAATGCAGGTGACTCGTGAGATGATCTATAAACCGAATATTAGTGTTGAATCGCGTCCATAGATTGGCTTTCTACGTTACCGGGCATGATGGAATACCGGGCATGATGGAACAATGAAGCAAAACGATGAAAATGGAGGCTGGGCTTAGTGGTGGGTGGAATGAGCAGTAGGAGAAGACGGGGGTAGGATATGCAGACTGTAGATGGAGTTTGGCGACAGCGCGAGGGTTCGGTGATGGCTGCACGTGTATTTGGATCATGTTGTTGAGGGCCGTTCGGCACGATAGACGCTGGTATGATTAGACTAAGCGCTGAGATGAAAGATGACCGAGTAGAATTAGCGGGAGAACCTGTGGGTAGGTAATGTGGAGGTCAGACACATCAGCGAAAGTGGTACGCCAACGTTATGCGAGACTGAGCGTCCTGTGATGTTTGCTTCTCCTGGACTGAGTGCTTGAGAACATCCTGGCCAAACAGAAACGTTTGGTCATCGTTCAATTGTACGGCGGGCGCACGACGCGCGCCTCCACATCGCTCCAATGGCTAGCGGGCACCCCAGATCTCGCTCAGATCTTTCTTGGTGAGGGCGCCGGATCTCGCTCAGATCCACCCAGCAAAGGGTCTCAGCCAAAGAGGGAGTTGAGTATCAGCGTTGGCCACAGCGCCGCCGTGCAAAAGGCGTTGCAAGACTTGATGTGAGAGTACCATCTGGCAGAGTGCGGGTTAGTTGTACAGTCACGTGACATATCAACATAAAATTGTGCGCACGACTGGCAAATGCCGGTCAACAAACAACACGTCAATAATTACATTTTTACCCCTTAATCCTACACCATCATGTCTATTCTCAAGTCACCCGAAACCCTTCCAGCGCTCATTCGAAATCATGAATACAGCGAGAGAAGAGCAGCTTCAAACGATGGTGAGTTTGAAGTTGCACAATATACTGACAGTTCGTCACATCTTGACTTTCTGTACCAAATGAGCTGGCGGCAGCATAGCGCGCATATATTCGAATTGTAAAAAGCAGAAAAACAGCCATCTCTCTGCTGGAGGAAAACAGTGGCGGAAATTTGGCGGAAACATAAGGTCTAGATTAGTTTTTTGTCAAAGCATTTATCATTTCTCCTGATCGATCAATCGATCTTTCAAAGCTTCACATCATCACGGTATAGTGCACACATACATTTCATTCACATCTCCTTGTCTCGGCATACGTACTATCTGAAAGGGCTGGCACCTATTGTTACTACTATTACACTGTTGTATCAAGCACAATACAACGTTCACATCCCATGGTTCTCAACAGCGTTGCAGACCTCCAAAAGAATTCTGCTTTGCCTATCAACAGCCTCTCGAATCACATTCACAGCTTCAAGCATGACTGCTACATCGCCTGCAACCTTGGCCAATGCCAGTGATTCCCGATGGTCAACCTTGGATTCTTGTCCTAGCTTCCTGTGCTTCCACAGCACTTCCATAGCTGGCATTGATACTGCCCGTACATTGGTCAGGTCCTTGCCAAAGTTGTGTAGTGTCTACATGAAGTGTGAGCATGAAATTCAAAAGACTGACATTGACAAAACTAAACTGGGCTCACGCACATCATTGGAGTCAGATCTCTTTCGCTTTGGATGAGACAGTAACTTATCAGCATTTTCAGAGCCTTTGTCCCGACCCCAACTGGCTTCCGATTCCTACAGTTTGGACCGTCAGAATAACTAGGTATAATGAGCAGCAGATGACTTACCTGCTCCGGTAGTTTGTCTGAAGTCTCTAGGTCCGACTGTGAAGGTTGGGAGCGTTTCAACCCTTCACTTTTGCCGTACTTATAATGTCCACAGGAATATGAGGGGGCACCTTGCCCGTGTGATTGATATCCAACGCACTCGTCTTTGTGGCTTTCTGGAGTGGCGCTCCTCGAGTCATCATCCTTTTGGCTTGTGCTGACACTGCTGAGAGCCTCAAACTCGAACTGAGCAGAGGGATGGTCGAACGACATGTTTCTTGGGTCCTCCAAAGTTCAACTATACTAGCAGCGGTGGATTATGGGTATTTATCTTCTTGATATTGAATTGTATCACGTTGAACTCTGGGCAGATCTCGTAAATCTGAAGTCTCCTGATCAACCAAGCTCTGCGGGCCTTGTCCATATGGGCCTGTTGACTAAACTTCGGGACCAGACTTATCACTAGCGACTGGTTACTCCACACTTTTGTACGTCAAGATGATGATCCGGATTATTTTATTACTCTAGTTCTAACCTAGCTTCAGGAACACCATTGGGGGTACTGGCCTGGGCCAAGTCGCTCCCAAAGTATTACTATTTACAGGGACTCTGAGTCAGGCTATACTCCCGCAGCAGTCGGTCATATGTCTTGGATGCTCTATAATCCAAGCTATCCCTTTCCTGAGCTATATGACGCCATCGAAGGAACGGCAATCTTGCATTGGGCAACGAGTGAGCCACACACTTGAGTTTGAGTTTCTTCCCCTTCCATTCATGCCGCATCACAAAGTTTCTGGCCTGCCAGCCAAATCACCAGCAATGTTATCAGATTCAGACAGCGATTCCACATCCCAGTCAGACTCTAGTATATCAGATGGAACCGCCTTATCATCTCCAATTCCAAACTCTAAGGCTACGTTCAAAAAGGGCACCAAGAAGCGCATCAAGTAAGCATACTGTGACGCTTTGGCTTTACAATCACACAAGGAAACCGACCTGATCCATTGAACTGATAGGGTGGCGGTAAATAAGAAAAGGTACACCAACTTCATACTCAATAGTACAATGCCGCATTATAGCTCACCTTATACAATAGAAAAGGCAATGTTACTCCATGGGAACAGTGCTTGCATTTTGCACGTTGGATTCCTCGGGCTGTTGACATGTTCTGCATCCTGAACGATACATTCCGCATTGCCATGTTGATGGAAGAGGACCAGGCTGCCCAGGTGTCAGATAAACCAGAGGATGAATCGGTCAAGGCGCAGAGGAAGGAAGTCTTGTCTCTGATGTAAGCGCTTCATTTTGTTTCATTGTCTTCAGCTGCTAGATAATGTTGCCTTTACAGATGCGAAGATTCCCAAGAATGGCATATGAGGAACTTTACAAAGATCTTAGCAGGAGCACCATACCTGCGCAAACTTGCATATGGAAGCGTCAAACAACAGTCCAAGCTACTGGATGTCCTGACCGAGGTTAGCCTTTACATAAATGCACTTCACCTAACGTTTGAGCTCCAAGAACTTGAAGATGCAGGGCATTATGAGTCAGGTACGGTCAGATGATACCAGTCACCTGAAAACTTGCATTGGACAGTATGCCGCCCCAAGGCCTACAGATGAGGGGCTGAGCCCTACAATTTTTACTGACAACAAATCTCGTGCTAAACTTGGCGTTAATCACCCCCAACTTGCAGCGCTACTGTGTCCTATCAAGCATGTCAAAGCATTTCATGAAGATCCAAAAAAGTACGTGTGCGTTCTTCAAAATACCCAACCATCTCATCGGTGACTTTTAGAGTACAAGCCCAACTACAGAACGCAGTGATCAAGATGCAGACGGCTGCATGGCCTGCATTTGCATATGCAGGTGATCCACCCGGCACAGATTTTGACCCAGACAACGTTCAAGAAGGATTTTTACAAGGTTATTATTTGAAGCACGTGAGTATCTCCTCTTCTCTTGTCAGTAAAGTCTCATGTATCTAGGTTTTCTGTCACATATTCACTTCCCCATCATCTGCGCTCCTCCCTGATGGAGATGCGAACACGATCCACTCAGGTAATGCCAAATTACATGGCATGGAGAAGGTCGAGGCTGAGCATATCGCATATGCATTCATCCAGGTGCGTGCTGCAATAGAATTTATTTATACCACTATCTAACAGATGTTGTAGAGTCGCTTCAGTATTGCCACGCGTGATAAATGGGTAGAGACTGACGGCATGTATTGCTATCCTGAGGCATATACCCGACTCATCAAAGCAATCCGAGATGCACCAGATCAAATGTGGGCAGCGTCGCTGCTTGAATGGTGGAACAAGTTGAGTATCCTTGCTCCAGTCTTACATTGATCTGGTGTGCTAATTCTATCAAGGGTGGTTTTTGGTCACAAGAGGGGCCTGGTCGCTGTTGATTTGAGTGATGATGATGTTGACGACGACGACGACCTTGCCTTGATGCAGAAACAGCATGACATGCGTATGGCAACTGCACGTCATATGGTGTGTTGAATACATTACTCTACAACATTCTTAACTAACTAGCTTCAATGCCCAGACAATATCGCCTGCCAGTGAGGCTGCTGCTGCTGCTGAGCTAACTGACCCCACTACACAGCAACCCCAGGCTGCCAGCGCACCAGCCCCACCAGCTGGGTCTCTGCCATCACCTGTTCCTAGTATGACACCCAACTTCCCATCTACAGCCTCAGAAATGGGGTCCGGCAAGCGAAGGCTGGACAGAATTGGAGATGACAGTCCTCTCACTGAAGATGAGACAGACTCGGAGGTGCCTGCTCTGAGTCCACCCAAATGTGCCAGGAATGTTGGTAAGACTACTACTGCCTCCAAGAAGACTCGCAGCTTGAAGGAGCAGAAAGTAATTCTCATTCATGGGTGCGTTCTCTGAGTCTGATTAAACAACATTTCTGCTTTAGACTGATGCACTCCTTAGTAGGGTTCATGCTGCACCATTTTTTCCTAGGCAGTGCCGTATACGCCTTTGATCTCCTCATTTGAAGTTTTTGTATCATTCATACGTTCAGCCCCCATCTTGATTCTGTATTTCATACTTTCGGCTGCCATGTATCCACGCTCAGAAACTGTACTATCAGAATGATATGTGTTTATATTTTATGATTGGTCTGATCACGCGTCAGCAGGATATCAGAGCATAACCAGCATATGATCACACATTCAGCGGTCTGACTGTAGTAGTTGCAACGTTGAGCACTGAGCGGCAACCTACTTGTATGATGTCACAATATCTGAATGAAAGCAGTATGGCAGGAGTCCGGGACTTAGATGCAGCCAGCATATGACAGTATGTCTGGCAGATAACTGGTATTGAGCATTAAAACCAGTCTCACGATCTTACAATGTCTAGATGACAACAGCTTGGCAGGACTTAGATAGTACAACCAGCATATGATAAGATACTTGGCAGTATGACAGCGCAATGAACGTCAAGTGAGCTTTTGGAAATGTCAATATCTTGATGATTTTGAGCTGTTGGTACCTGACCAACCGGATGCACCTGTTCCTTGGTGCTGCAACTAGCGCTTGCCTGCGCTTTCTGAAGATCAGAGGCGAGCGGATCGGGCGAGGGGGCGCTAGTAGATAGAAAACTCTAACTTCAGTCTGGTATTGGGACTCTAGGTCCATAGTACTGTACCTAGTAGATAGAAAACTCTACTAGTAAATGTTAGGGCGCAATCATAAGTAAATGTAATCAAGTACTCACACTTCAGTCTGGTATTGGGACTGAAGTGCTCGTGTGGTAAGTACGAAGTCTATAAGCTAAAAATGTTGCTATACTAATATGAGCGTTGCGGGGGATCAGGGTGAGACATTGCACACTAGCTCGACGTCACCTGGACGTCACCTGTCCGATCCTCAATCGGTCGCGCTCATACTACGTGGCTCCATCCGACGTCTCCGTTGCCACGGGATCCAACACTCCCCCTCGAGCGGGGCCGAGTGTCATCATGCTACGAAGTTTCTGAAACCGGGGTCGAGGAAGCGGCTTCGTAAACGCGTCTGCTACGTTGTCGTCAGTTGGACAATAGCGAAGTTGGAAGGTCTCGTTCTTGACGTGCGCACGAATGAAGTGATAACGGATGTCAATGTGTTTCGTACGCGCGTGGAATTTGTTGTTGGACGCTAACGCGATGGCAGCCTGATTGTCGCAGTAAATTGGCGTGGAGGTGAGTGGTTCGTCGTACAGTTCCTTGAGGAGTAACTGCAGGTAAAGTACTTCCCTAGCTGCAGCCGTCAGAGCGATGTACTCTGATTCTGCTGTGGACAACGCTATAATGGGTTACTTCCTCGAGCTCCACGCGACGGGGCCGCCGTTCAACATGATGACGTATCCGGACATCGAGTGGCGATGGGGCTGGGAGGCCCAGTCAGCATCCACGTACGCCTCTAATCCTCCATCCGTCCCTCCTAACGTTATCCCATAGTCAGCCGTACCCTTGAGGTAGCGCATCGTGCGCTTCGCCGCTTCCCAATGCGCCCGTCCAGGGTTACGCATAAATTGGGATAGTGTAGCCATGGCGAATGCAATGTCGGGCCTCGTGCTGGTGGCAGCATACATGAGGGACCCGATACCACGCTGGTAAGGTACGTCTTGCATATCTGCGAGTGCGGTGTGGGTGTCTGGGGATTGCTCTATGGTGAGTGTGCTGCCAACGTCCATGGGGATGACGGCGTTTTTCGCGTCGGTCAGGTGAAAGCGCTCAAGGATTGTGCTGATGTAGGCATGCTGGGAGAGGGTGATGGTACGGTCTGGCCTAGAGCGTTCGACTTTGAGGCCTAGTAGCCATCCAAGCTCCCCTAAGTCAGTGATGTCGAAGTACTGACGAAGTTGGTCCTTGAATTCGGTGATGTGGCGCAGGTACTTGGACGTGACGGCCATGTCGTCGACCGACACGGTGACGACCATGTGTTTGTTGGCCTCGCGTACATAGTAGACGGCCTGGTCAATCTGCGAACGCGTGAACCCCAACTCCAGGAAGACACTTGCCAGTTCCTCCGACCACTCGAATCCCGCCTGCTTCAATCCATACAGACACCTCCTCAACTTCAACACTTTCCCCTCGTCTCCATCCTTCAAGTACCCGGGAGGAGGTCGCATGTAGATGTCCTCCTTGATCTCGGCGTGCAGGTATGCGCTCTTGATGTCGACTTGGTGGACTTCCCAGTCCTTCTGAGCGGCCATGGCGAGAACGGTGCGTATGGTGGGCATGTTGGACGTTGGAGCGAAGGTCTCCGAGTAGTCGAGGCCGTGTTTCTGACGCTGGCCGTTTGCCACGAGTCTGGCACGCAGCTTGAGTTTCTCACCGTTTGGACCACGTTTGGTAGCCAAGACATAATGGCAGGGTATGACGTTAGCATGACGTGGTACGTTTACCACTTCCCAGGCTCCTAACTTCTCCAGCTGACTAATTTCGTAGTCTATGGCCTCTTGCCATTCTACTGCGTCTGGGCCGTTTAACGCCTGCTGGAGAGTCGGTTCGGGCTCTGCTGCTGCTAGAGCCCACTGGGTAAGTGGAGCGTCGTCTTTGTCGTCATCCGTGGTCGCTAACGATGCTGACTCCCCCTGGTGTAGGGACTTATAGTACCCTATTGGGGGCCTGACGCGTGTCGCTCTGGGGGCAGCTGGTTCTGGGAGTGGAGTGTCGACCTTTGGTGGGGTAGATGGAGTGGGTGTAGAGACGTGCTGGTCGATAGTCGGTGGAGCCTTCTCCCCCTCGAGCGGTACGTCTGCAGCCACGGTTATTGTCGTGGGCACGAAACTAATGTTCCGTTCTACAGAAATACGGCGCTTACCCGGCCAGTACACACGGTATCCCTTACTCTGCTCGTCCACGCCTATGAAGATCGCTTCCTCCGCCCTCGCCTCCAGTTTTCCTGCGTCCTGCAGGTGGACATACACCTTGGCGCCAAACTCGTGGGCCTGGGCCAGATTTGGACGACGACCATGGACTAGGTCGTATGGGGTATGGCCTGGCGTGGCCTTCGATGGTAAGCGATTCCGCAGCCAGCTTGCGTAGCTAACTGCTGCGGTCCACAGGAACTTGGGCACGTTGCATGCCAGCAACATCGCGCGTGTCAACTCGACTAGCGTCCTGTTGAGGCGTTCTGCCACGCCGTTCTGCTGGGGAGAGTCGTGCACGGTGAGTTCTCGTTTGATACCCTGACCTGCTAAGTACGCGTCGAACTCTGCGCTCAAGTATTCTCCTCCCCGGTCCGAACGCAATGTCTTGATCTTGGCGTCGTGTTGTCTGGTGAGTCGCGCCTCATACTGTTTGAAAGCTCCAAGGGCCTCACTCTTGTGTTTCAGGAAGAGAATGTGCGTCTCGCGGGAGAAATCATCGGTGAAGCTCATGTAATATGAGCTCCCACCTATACTAACAGTTTGCGCAGGTCCCCATAGGTCGGTATGGATTAATTCGCCATACGCCTGCGCTCGACGTTTGGACTCCTTTGGGAACGGCTGCCTCGCTGCCTTTCCCTTCTCGCACGCGTCACAGAACTCTGGTTCTGAGGCGGAGTCTAGCTCGACGCCCTCCACCAAGCCCTTTTCGACAGCGGACTTAACTGCCGAGTGCGATACGTGTCCCAGCGCACGATGGAGTTCCCCCAGGGTGACTTTTCCCTTGGCCAATGCAGCGCGATGCTCACGCTGGCCTGCCACAGTGTACAGGCCGTCAACATGCGGTATTTCGGCTATGACTTGCCGTTTGGGGCCCGCTGACAGGATCTTGCAGTTCGTCCCTTCAAAATGGACAGCTAGCCCAGCTGCTGCGATCCGGTTCGTCGCCACGAGCGTGTAGCTCATGTCTGGCACGTGTAGTGCGTCCTTGAGGGTGACTCTTGTCCTCTTGGATCCCAGAGGTAAGTCTATCTCTACATCACCTCGTCCTACGGCCTTGATTACTGAACCGTCTGCAGTTCTAATATCCAGGGGCGGTTTGAGTGGGAAATATGGGAGGAAGTCGGCTCTGTTGGGGCAGAAATGGGAGGTAGCGCCGGAATCTATGATTGCCGTGCGGTTCTTTGCAGGTGAGTCCTTCTCCCCAGTCACAAGCGCACCATCTATTGACGCAAACGCATAGTTGTCCTGGGAGTCAGTGGCGGCTGCTGCTGTTGCTGCAGACTTGTTCTGCCTCGCCTTCTTCTGACGTGGACCCTGCCCTTCCTTCCCACCTCCCTTCCTCCAACAGTCGCTCTTGTAGTGACCCTTCCTATCGCAGTTGTGGCACACCACGTCTGCGTTCTGCTGGTTGGAGTTACCAGTCTCGCGGCTCCTCCCTTGGCCTGCTCTAGCTGTAAAAGCTGAGTTGCTGCCCTTCTTCCCAGCTCGACGTTCTGAGAGCTGGCGATGCTCGTACTCCTCGGTGACCACACTGATCAACTCGTAGGGGGTGAGTACCTTCTGGGCTATTTTGGCCGCTGCGTTTATTGACGAGACCAATGGGCGGTAGGATTCGGGCAATGAGCCCAACGTTATCGCGTAGAAATCGCGATCCTCGATACTTGCGCCCATCCCCGCAAGCAGCTCTCGGAGGCGTAGTTGCTCCCCGAAATGCGCCTTCAAATTGCCTCCTTCCTCGCATCTCAACTCCTGGAGTCTGCGGCGGAGGTCTATCTGGACCAATTCCGTTTTCCCTTCGTGGATCTTACACACCTCGTCCCAGATAGCAGCTGCGCTGCCTAGATTCTGGACGCGAAGTAGTAGTTGGTCGGAAATGGTGCTGAAGATCTGTTGTTTAACCAGTGAGTCCTTTTGCTGGTATTCGTCTATCTTATCCTCTAGTTCCTCTAGATCCTCGTCCGTCGGCTTAGTGCCATCCGGCTTCTTTAGTTTGCCCGTCGTCGCGTCAACGTCGAAGGGAGCGGGCTTTGTCTTACGACCGTCGGTATATCGCATCAGGCCTTGAGCGCCAAGCGCCGTTAACATTCTTCCCTTATAGGTTATCCAATTCAAGCCATCGTCGGCGAGCTTTGGGATGTTGAACAGCGCAGAGTTGGTGCTGGGGAGCGTAGTATCCATGGTCGAGACAGGGCTCATAACCTCTGAAGATCAGAGGCGAGCGGATCGGGCGAGGGGGCGCTAGTAGATAGAAAACTCTAACTTCAGTCTGGTATTGGGACTCTAGGTCCATAGTACTGTACCTAGTAGATAGAAAACTCTACTAGTAAATGTTAGGGCGCAATCATAAGTAAATGTAATCAAGTACTCACACTTCAGTCTGGTATTGGGACTGAAGTGCTCGTGTGGTAAGTACGAAGTCTATAAGCTAAAAACGTTGCTATACTAATATGAGCGTTGCGGGGGATCGGGGTGAGACATTGCACACTAGCTCGACGTCACCTGGACGTCACCTGTCCGATCCTCAATTGGTCGCGCTCGTACTACGTGGCTCCATCCGACGTCTCCGTTGCCACGGGATCCAACACGCTTTACATATCTAAGTAGATCTATATTTGGGACTTTTGGTGATGACGGGGCAGAATGGCAGCGGAGGTCCAACTCGCCCAACAAGTTACTTTGTGTCGTGTGACTTCTTTCGGAGTCGGAAGATTTTGAAATTGGAACTGCTGTCATCTGAGAGACTGAGATACATAGAGTATACCCCCGGGTACCACCCCAGCCTGGTGACCTCGCTGGTGACCCCCGCCAAAGCCAACCGGGGTCACCACCTGTGTACATGACTGAACGGGGTTTTTTTTTTTCAAACCCCGACCGCCGTCGTTTCCCACCCCCCCAAACACCCGTTGCGTCGTCGTCGTCGTCGTCCCACAGAGGTTCGTTCGTGCCGATCCTTTCGTTTTCAGCGTCGTCCCTTTTCCGGCTTTTGCACGGCGGCGCTGTGGCCAACGCTGAACACTCGACTCCCACTTTGGCTGAGGCCCCTTAGCTGGGGTGGATCTGCGCGAGATCCGGCGGCCCCATTCAAGACCAAGATCTGAGCGAGATCTTGGGGCGCCCGCTAGCCATTTGGGAGCGAATGTGGAGGCGCGCGTCGTGCGCCCGCCGTACAATCGTTCGTTGGACCTCCGTTCCTGTCGTTCTTGCCTGCCAGGGGCCAATTTCCCTTTTGTGCGTGTCTTTCTCTTTCTCTGGTCTGTCCGTTCTGTGGACTCTGACCTTTTCATTTTCTTCACTCTCTTCAGCCTGTCCGTTTGCGGACGTTCGGCCTGCCCGCCCATCCATTTCTCCTCCAAGCTCTATCAGTCTATGAGCCAGAACGACAGCGAAATCCTCAATTTCACCCATGAGAATGTCAGCTCCGGACGTTCGGCCTGCCCACCCATCCATTTCTCCTTCACCTCTATCAGTCTATCGGCCTGCCCGCCCATCCATTTCTCCTGCACCTCTATCAGTCTATGAGCCAGAACGACGGCGAGATCCTCAATTTCACCTGCGAGAATGTCAGCTCTGCGACTCCCAGAAATCAAAATATGTAACTGGTTTAGTCGGTACGTTTAATCTTTGTCCATTCCATCCGTTCTTTCCACTCTGACCTTTTTCTGCAGTATTAGACCTATCGCTCCCTTTCAGCCTGTCCGCCCGCGGATATGTTCAGCATGCGCGCATGCTCATTGTAAGTGCCTTTCATTCTGTCCGTTCTTTCCTCTCAGACCTTTTTTTTTGGCAGCATCAGACCACCCGCTCCCTTCGGCCTGTCCGCCCGCTTCAAGGTTAGCATCTTCCACTTTGTTCACTCCATCTGTTCTTTCCACCCTGACCTTTCTTTCCAGCATGGAACCCATCGCTCTCTTTGGCATGTCCGTCTGTGGATGCACTGTGCTAACGGCGTTTTGGGAAGCAATGAAAGGCTCGTAAATAACGGACTAGTCGGTGAGTCTTCTGTCTTTTCGCTCTTCACATTCACCGTTGCTTACGTGTGCATCCTCATATTGACGGCCTTTCAGGAATGTCGCCGTCTCAGTGCACCACCTCAATTAGCGGACCCGAGCTGCATCCACAATCTAACTAACTGGTGGGTTTAAAAGCCCTTTGCTATTTCCCTTCCTCACATTCACCGTCTGGCATCAACGCCCGCAATGCTGTCAACTTGCACAGTCCGTCGTGCCTCATCACCTCCTCCCATCTCCCCACCGAGTCCAAAGCGGCCCCGCATGCAAACGTGCAATGCTGACACCCCCGCACCCCGCAATGCTGCTGTTGCGATTTCTCCACGCATGCAGCGCTCGCTCAGCATGCTCGAGCAGGAATCTCATGAGCTGCGGCTGAGGATAGGAGAGAAGGAGCTCGAGGGCAAGGGCACGGCAAAGAGCTACCCCAGGCAGGTCCAGAACTACCAGCTCTGGTTTGACGCCGACCAATCTCGCATTGCCGCTGAGGACAGCACACGAGTTCCTATTCCCGCACTCCCTGTCACCGCTGCAAAGGTGTCAATGTTCCTCCACCATGAAACCACTCGCGAGAAGGTGCGTGCTTTCTCTGGTGCTCCCAGCGAGAATTTTCTGCTGATGCCCCTTCCCCCGCTGCTCAGTACAAGCGTGGCAGCAAAGATATCATCCAAGGGTCGTCCCTTGGAAAATCCCACGTTGCGCAGGTCATCAACGCTCTCGAGAAGTACCGACTCAACCACGAGCACCTTCATCCGCGTGACCACGAGACGCACATCAGCCTGCGCAAGGATTCACGCATACGTGCCTTCGAGTCAGCATCAAAGCACCATGAGCCCAAGAGAGTCGAGAAGTCGCAGACGGTCAAGGCAGCTGGCACAAGTTCTGGTAAGTGTCCGTTGCCTCCCTACTTGCTGCTGCTGACTGTGACCGCCACACAGACACCTACACCAAGGCCGAGCTCCTGCGCTGCTCTCTCTGGTGCCTCACCGACTTTTCGGGGCCACAGTATATTTTTGTTGGCATCCGTGACCGCGCGATGCTGCTGGCATCAGCCACAACAGCCTTTCGTGGGGAGGGCTGCCGCATGCTGGAGTGGTCAGACCTGTTCACGGCTACTGTTCCGCTGGACCAAACGAATGAGATCCAGGTGCGTACGGTGCCCCCAGAGGTGGGGCTGTCATGTCTCATCCCGCTGTCCAGGTCCTTGCCGCACTGGCCAACAATGCAAAGCACAACCAGACAGGCCGAGTTGACAAACACGGTGCCATACGCCATGTTCACGTGGAGCTCTGCCCCGTTGGCGCACTCGCATTCCTGTTCTTTGCCCACTTCCACATCCTCAACTGCGCTCCTCCCAACTTTGCCCCCGACTTCTCCAACAAGGGCTATGGCGAGTATGGTCGCCGGGAGTGGTACGACTGCCACGTCTTTTACACGGGCAGCCCAGCCAAGGAGATGACCTATGAAAGTGAGTGCAGCAGGAGCCCTTGACCTAGCGGCAGTAGCTGACGTGCGATGCCAGACCATCGTGACCGCATCACCACCATGCATGTGAAGAACAACATCGACATTACGAAAAAGACCCACGCTGGCCGTCACTATGCTGCCCAGACAGCACGCTCACATGGAGCGAGTGTGAACGGCACCAAGGCACTCGGTGGCTGGAGCGAAAACGGCTCATTCAATCCAGTCTACGACCGTGCATTTCCTCTGGATGCACTGCTTGGTGCAGGCATGTTCAACGCACGGCGCCCAGAGGACTACGCTCTCCCCAGGAACAGCATTGGTAGGAACTCTTCACCAGACATGCAGCGCACCCTCTGATAAATTAAGTGCCTGCAGTGCCACCGCCCATGCTCATGCGCGAAATTTTCCCTTTTATTGAACAGGCCCAGCAGGAACTGAAAGACCGGATTCAGCACTCACAGCTCGCAACAGACATCGCCCTCCGCCAGTTTCTGCTCGTGCTCCTGTGGTTCCGCCTGGTCCTCCTCCAGGATGCTGCGCTCCTCTTCGCCAAACACCCTGAAATGCCGGTGTTTCAATTCAAGCCCTTCAACACGCAGTGCTTCCGGGACTACGCATGCGAAGCCGTCCAGGCAGTCACACACGCTGAGGAGCAGGCCAGGATGGCCTTTCGAAACCTGCCTGAGCACCTGGTGTGCAGCCTCAAGGGTCTCGTCACCAGCATGACGCTGGACCAGCAAGCCCAGCGTGCGGAGAATGAAGCCCTGCGGGCAGAGGTTCGGCAGCACATGGAAACACAGAGCGCACTGCTCACAGAGCTGGCGAACGGCTCCCATGGACGGCGCAAAAATGGTCGCAAGACAGCCATGCGGGCAGGTAAGTTCTCCTCCTTCACGCAACCTCCCTGCAGCTGACGACGGCACGAATTCCTGCAGCCACCCAACTGCCTACTCACCAGACTGCTGGGCCACCCTCTCTGTCCTCCCTCTGCCTTCAGAACACGCCCTCCTTGCACCGCGCTGCCATTCCCAACGTGACCATCAGCATCTCAGGCGCTGCTGCTGTGAGCTCGGGCACCAGCGGCCTGATGCCCACTGTCAGCCATCCTAGCTTGGAGGCCCCTCTCATGATGCCGTCCACCACCTCACTTGCCCCCTTTGGCGCTGACCAGCTGCCACCCACCGAAACTGTGCCCTCAGATCCACGGTCGGAGAAATGGGCGGCCCTCCTCGCCAAATATGGGCGGGCAAAGCTTGACGCTCATGAATGGGAGTGGAAGAATGGAGACTGGCTTCCGAGGTATCGTTACCAGTCCGCGGATGCTATCACTGACGTATGGACCGAATATGTTGATGGCCTGAACGGCCACCTTTCTACGCGTGAGCTGAAGGACCGGTGGGGTGCAAAATGGCGACGCAACGAAGGCGGCCTCAAGACCGAGGCTGCGAGGCGTGCCAAGATTGTCACCCTCGTCGAGCAGCTGTCAGCAAAGCCGAACTGGAATGTGTCCCTCACACTGAGATTCCTGGTAGAGAAGTACGAAAACAATCCTGCATTCATGGGAAAGGTTCGCGCCTTCTGTGACTATCTGCAGAAGGATGGCGGGGCTGGTTTTCAGGCAGTCCTCACGGCTGCCGTGCATTATCCCTAATGACTGAAGTAGATACATCAAATGTGTAGTATACTAAACTCACGATAATTTCTTGCCTAACCGTCCGTCCCTACTCTAATGACTGAAGTAGATACATCAAATGTGTAGTATACTAAACTCACGATAATTTCTTGCCTAACCGTCCGTCCCTACTCGAAATGAGAATCAGATGGCTGAACCTTCACAACAGACGGTGTGCTGGAACCGGATTGACTTGTGGTAGGTGAGGATACAGGTGTCCTTTGCCCTTAACAACAGACGACGCGCTGGAGACGATGTGCTGGAACCAGATTGACTTGCGGTAGGTGAGGATACAGGTGTCCTTCGCGCTGGAGACGATGTGCTGGAACCAGATTGACTTGCGGTAGGTGAGGATACAGGTGTCCTTTGCCTTAACAACAGACGACGCACTGGAGGATATGTATGCTTGCCTTCACAACAGACGATGCGCTGGAACTGGATTGACTTGCGGTAGGTGAGGATACATGCATCCCTTGCCTTCCACAACAGACGACGCGCTGAAACCAGGTTGACTTGCCAGAGAAAAGGTAAATTCACATTAAGTCAGTTACACTGTGTACGCAAATAAGCCAGAAGATCTCGTGCACCAGCCTTCTCGCTGATTGAGGCACACTTGGCTATCACAGCCTGCCTGGGTGAGGTCCCCCCTTCACCATATTGCCGCAAGATGCGCACCGCCTGCTGCGCCTCTGTCATCCATGTTGACCCCACCCCAAGGGCATCCTGTACCTCTTTTTTCTTGATGCGCGGCCCTCTGACAATGCTCTGAGACCGGCGGTCACTTGGTTCCTAGGAGAATGCCCTCAGAAAGGGCCGAGCAGATATGCTAGGGCACTCACACCTGGACATGGCTTCTGGCTGTACCTCTCGCAGAATCGTACCGCAAACTGCCACGATGCCACGACGGCCGCGTTCGACTGGACGTGGTGCTGGCCAGACTTGAAGGCAGCATACCCAGGCTCCTCCTGCACCCTGTCAGCAAGCCACGCTGCCGCAGTGCACGACTGGGATGCACGAGCATCGGATACAGTGGTGCGGTGCTGGCTGCCAGTGGTGCCAGCAGCTGTAGTGGCGGCCCTCATCTGTGCGGTCCAAAATAAAACCCCCAAAAAAGGACGCAAAGACCCACCTGCCCGAATCTGACTTGCAGCTTGAGAACGTTGTCCGGTGGGATATGGACGCTGGGAATGTCTGGGGCCAAGTCCAGCAGTCCGCCTGCTGCAGCGGACGCGAGCTGTCGTGCATACTCAGGATGGGCTGGGTCTGGGTATGTGATTTCAGTGGCATCTGACAAGCGCAGTGAGGTGTGCCAACTGTGATAGTCAAAAGCGCTTACCTTCAATGCCAGGAGCTTTCTCGTGCAGCCGTTCAACAAGCTGCGCAGCGCTTCCCTGCCACTCACCCGTCAGCTCGTTCAGCGCGCCAACCTGTTGGAGAGCGATCGAGTATGCGAATTGCTCGAGGTCTGCACCAGGACGCACAAAGTCCACATAGAGGTCAACGACCTGTTCTGAGGAAGGAGTCGATGGTGGCGACAGCGAATCTCTCGCAGCGGAAGGTGGAGACAAGTATGGTGGGGTGCAGCCGCCAAGATCTGCCTCGGCACCACAAAGTTCGAGCTCGACTCCAGGTGGAGGTGGAGGTGGAGGTGGAGGCAGCCCAGCATTGCTGGGCTGCACCTCAATTTGTCTGGGGGCAGGGGCTTGCTTCGTAAAGCCGTAAGCCGGGTTGAGGAGCACGGCACGCATCTGGGCCATGTTTGTCTTCGAGGTGAAGCGCCTCCTGCCTTCTTTGAATGGCCAGCGGTCCTGCTGGCGCTTGACAATCGCAACGAGATCTTCGCGCCGCTTGTCCTGTCTGCAATGTGTGAGTCAGTCAGAAAGTAGGGCGGCCCACAACGAGGCCTGTGCATCAGAGAAGTCAGAACAGAGGACTCACAGGTCATTGGCCTCATAAGGTACCTCCAGCCTCACGCTCACGCAGCTCTCTTCTCGTTCCATCCTCGTTTCCGTTATCCAATGTTGATGAACAGCAGCGGTGGTCCTGTGGTTGTGGTTGTGGTCGTGGTGGTGATGTGGGAGAGGTCAGTGGGAGAGATCGAGAGCACCGGCACCCCTGTTCATGAGGGATTTCCGTTCCGTCCGATGTCTTCGATGGCGAAGTACATGATCGGGCGTGGTCTTAGATGTATTCCTGCCAATCTGAGGTCACCACCGGCGCATATTTGGTGGTGTTGTCAGGCGTGGGAACGAGCCACCAGACGTCAACACGGTGGCTACCACAACCTGGATACATGGATGCATCGATGAAGCATCGACGAAGCCTTGATGCAGATTGTGGTCACGCGCATGTTTGATTGGTACACCACTGGTACTTGAAGCTTGAAGCTTGAGTGGTACCCCGGGCCAAATTTGGTTCAGACATAAAATGCACCGCTGATCAGTGACGTTGATTCGTCGTTGAACCGTCGTGTTCTACAGAGACTAGTTAAGTTATCATGATAATGTTGGTCAGTCTACTAATGGTGCCAAACCTTCCTTCAAATTGACTGCTATGTTTTTATCTACAGTCTCATCACTGACCACCTCATCACGAGGAGTATCCTCCCGTGAATCGGAACTTCCACCAACTCCGTTTCTACCTTTACACTACCCTTCTCGAACACCTCTCCATCCCACAAAGATGTCCAAGTTTTGGGAGAATGGCAGAACGACCGATGCTCGGAGCCCGATATCTTGGCAACTGAAATGCCCTTTTCGAGAATTCCGACCTGATGACCGCAAATAACAGAGCCTGGCTGCGCAGATAACAGACCCGCGAGAGCTTTGGCAAGATGCAATTGTTTGTCCTCAGTGAAGAGATGGAATAATCTAGTAGCATTTATTGCGCTAATGCGGCCATGAAGGGGATTGAGGGATTTCAGCGAGGACAAATCAATGGCTGGTGCCGGAGAGACGTCGTTTGACGGCTTAGCTATGGAGAGAAATTCTGGATCGAGGACATCTCCGGGAAGGAGGCACCCGGGGTAGGAAGCTGGTGTCGTTCTGAAGAGTTCGTGGCTTAACTCGAGGAATTCTGCATATATGCACACATCGTTAACAAGAATGATTCACTGACGAAACGGGTTATGTACCGTTGCGGATATCCGACGCAATGATGTTTTTTGCAGGAAAACCGTCCGCCGCAGCCCTCCTGGCGTCAACACCAACTACAATGGAGTCAAGTTTATCCAAGAAAGTAGATAATCATTTGACATACAACAACATCCAATGTCGAGCAACACGGCATCGGGGCGCTCGCGACCAAGCTTGAGGATGTAATCATACAGAGGGTTACTCGTAATGTTCACGCTGAGTACGGTTCCATTTTTATGTGTCGATGCATAAGTAGAGTTACTGTTTACGTACCGAAGAAAGACAAATCCACAAATCCAAGGATATGGCGCAGTCTTTCGATGTCAGAGGTTTATATCACTTATTAGTGGAATCCTCTGTAAGTGACTCGCCTCGTATGCTTTCGCCTTAATTTCCAGCATATGCCTCTTCAAGTCTTCATCGTCGTCGATACCGATTTGCGCCTTGAAGAATGCAGTTTCTTCGGAAGTCAGATCGTAAAGGCTGGCGTCTTCTGGTAGGGTCGATTCTGGCTGATATGTTACGTTGCCCAACGTGGAGTCATCGTGCACAGCAGCGCCTTCCATCTTGATGGAATGCAATTCGTGCTATCGCAGTATTTATACTTTTTTAAGGTAATTGACTCTGAGCATCTCCCGACATCAAGGAAATGTCCGTTGCTGTAATTCGCTACTTCTGGTATGAAGTGAGCTGGCAACTACTGACAATTGAGGAGTATCGCATTCCCATTACCCTGCATTGCGACGGCGTGGCGGCGCAGGATAAAGAGGTGTGGCGCACTTAGGTGAGTCACACCATACTACACGTCACTTCTGAAGCTAAGCTCAGGCGATGGAAGTGATTATCCACAATCGGCGCATGCCAGAACAAGGGATAAGCTGGGATTAATTATATATACGGAGATCGTCCTGGCTAAAATATTTTAGTGCTAGTGCTATCAGCGCGGGCTTGCTCACTGTGATGACTGATCTGCAAGGATGCTGCCCCAGGTCACTCGTCCTTGACATCGTGGTATGCTAGACATTGTCATACTGCCTTGCTTAAAAGCTAAGGTTCTCTCGTGCAATGCAATTTATGTGCGCGAACGCACGCGGGTGAAGAGGTTCGACGGCAGGACACTGAAGTTTCTACCACCTGATTCATCTACATCTTTGATGCGTCCACGGAGACCCAGATCCTTGAACGATATCCTGCAAGGCTGCATTGAACTACTTGGTTCAGAGCTTCGTTCAAGGATCTTATTTTTCTTCTTCACATCATTATTGAATGGTGGTCATGAATCACTGAGGGTTCCGCTGGACTCTACGGGCAAATACTATTGGATGATGCATCATGAGAGCACGACCAAAAAAAAATATAGAAAACGCACCTTCCTTGAGAGCCGCATCTTGGGCAACGGACGAGAAATGAACTCGATAAGAAGTTTTGATATGCTCCATTCACCTTGCGTGAAGTCTAAGACGAGTCATTGGTATCGAATTGGATGATGACCACGGTGGATCACATCGTCGGGGAGTGCAAGTAGAGTGTACTTCCCACGTGCCGCTGTCCTTCCTACTATATACGTGTTATATAATCACATGTGACACTAGAGTCAGTGTTCGGGAATCGGTTGGCTTTCAAACGACTTGATCATCCAATGTTGTCGAGTATTCAAGTTGTTATACGTGTCAATCATGACGCGGAGCATGCATCACTCTATAGGTACCCACATCCTATAGTGGTCACTCTTCTGATGTGATATCGAACTGCAATGAGCTCGTGACACATATTCTCTCTGCTGTTTCCCATCCGCATGACACAAGCACAAAGTGTCGTGTGACTCGTGTCGATCCTCTGAACACTGTCATGATCGCCAGCAGCCCTTCATGCGCCTAAAGTATCCGAGGTAGACCCAACTCTAACGGGAAAAAAGTACCCTGGACGCCCAAACTGTGGTGTTTCTGGCGGAGTCAACACCGACTAAGTAGGAGTCAAACTTATCCAAGAAAGTATGCATTGATTTGACATGCAACAACACCCTTGTTATGTGTCGACGCATATACACCTACCGAAGAAATATAAATCAATGAACACAAAGATACGGTGCAATCTTCCAGTAGAAAAGGGTTACTTATAGTGAGGTCCTCTGCAAGTGACTCGCCTTGTATGCTTTTGCCTGAATCTCCAGGGGATCGATGCGGTCTGAACTGTTAAGTTGCCCAACAACTTCGTACAATCATTGTGCAACGCAGCACCCTCCGTCGTGATGGGATGCAATTTATGCCACAGCAGCACTCCACATCTTTCCACATCCTGTTCAAGGTGACCGACTCTGAGGGTCTCCTGGCATTAAGAAAATTCGCCAACTACTTCTGGTATGAAGTGAGCTGGCAATGGAGCAGATAACCACTTGCAGTACGAGTCGGCAGTCCATTAAATCACATTCCTATTATTTCCCGAACTGCCAATGCAGGATCAAGAGATGAGGCGTACTTGAGTAAGTCACACTAGGCATGCTACACGCCGCTTCCGAAACTAAGGCTCAACACCTTTACATAAGTTACTGCTATCAGCGCGGGACAGTTGGCTTGCTCACCGTGATTGGTCCGCGAGAATACTGTCGTAGGTCATCTGGTCCGGGTCAGGCTGTCGTTCTCGACATCGTGGTATGCACTGAAGACCTGTCACAGAACTTCGCTGAAAAGTAGGCTCAACAACCTTCTTTACCAAGTGGATATGCCGACATCTACTTGTGCTTCATTTCGCAAATATGCATGATGAGTTGCCGTTTTTGAGTACATGCGTGCGTCAGGACGGTCAGGTACAGGAAGCATGTCCTTGTGGTATATTAGATTTCTTACATTGCAATTTGGCAGGAACTATGGGTTACAAGAGAGAACGGGGTTAATCTAAGCGCTCGACCGCACGCGGGTGAACGACGTTCAACGGCGGGGCATTGAGGTTTCCCTTGGGCGCGTCCAAGATGTAGGTGGTTCAGGGAATCATCCAAGGATCTGAGCCTTCGTCTTCTTTTTCTTCTTCGAACTATTATTGAATGACCGCCATGAATCAACACGGGTTTCACGCGACTCTATGAATAGGTAATAGATGGTGAATCATGAAAGCGGTTATGACGAAGAAAATTACAAAACGCACCTTCCCATGTTTTGTCCTCCTCCGCTTTACGTTTCCTGGTAGCAACTTCTTCCTCCTTTTTCCGAGCTTCTAGTCCCTCATTTGCAAGGTTCATCTTGATCGCTCTGCAAGAATACCAAATCATTAGGGCTGCAATAGAGGTTAACAGCAAAGAAAAGTGTCTCACTTCCTGCGTCTAACCTCTTCCTCAATTAACAAGTCCTTCACCTTTGCTCGCAGCTGCACCTTAAAGGATGGGACCAGCCCTCGAAGTTTCGGATCATCGTCCTGCGTGCTCGTAGAGAAGCCGTGACTGCGGAGGAGCTGTAGACGCGCCTCTGCGATTGTGGCGTCGAGGGCTTCGCGCTTAGCAGTGTCAGATAGCTCGGATTCGGCCTGGGTCAAGAGTGAGAATTTGGAGCCAGAAGTATATAGCAAAATTGATGATATGCGAAGAAATGTGAATACTCAAACTTCCGTTTGGAGATGAGAGTATTGTGAGGTACAGAAATGAACTCAGTAAGAAACATGGGAGCATAGGGAAGATATCATGAAAGGGAGAAAACGCACCTTTTTGAGAAGGTCGAATGCATCTGGAGCACGAGCGTGGGGGGTCTTGTCAGGATGGATGACTTGTTACGGAACAACGTACGCATGCACAACATTGACCAGACAAGAAGTGAAGCCGTGTTCAAGGTCGGCCAGAATCACCAAACGGACAACCATGATTACGAAGGCGCAAAACCGTCAGCTTTGTTCGGCGAATTAAAGAACAGGTGAAGCGAGATCGCTCACAGAGAGACAACTGTCGGTATCTGCGCTTGATTCCCTCGGCCTTTGAAGACTCGTCTATGTCGAGAATATCATATGGGCTGCGTCATAATGTTAAATGACTGATCAAACACAACAGGCAGCCACGTACTTGAGCTTGAACGCCTTGAGAATTCGCTCGACCTCGAGCTCACGTTGGAAGGCAGATGCCTCCCGAGAGAGCAGCTGCTCTATATCAGTATCGCTTGTCGAAGTGGGCGTCTTCGAGCTAGAAGGCGTTGATGTTCCTGTCGACATGTCGTGGTCGTCGTGGGCGTTGCTGATGCGTTCAAAATCCAAAGGCTCCCCGCAGAAAGTCACGTGTTTGCTTGATGGTCACAAGCGGAAATGTCTTGCTCACCATCTTGGACGTTGATGGCGATGTCCTTCAAGCTGCGTGTGCCTCTCTTGAAGGCAGGTCGTGCACCTCAGTTGGTGAGCGTATTTTCGGATCAATCATCGTTGTCGTGCTCAATTTTTCATAGACTGCTCATTACTGCCCAGACGCGTTCCTTCGATGCCATTCATTGAGCCGTTCGTTGCATACTGTCAACAGCACTCATTTCGTGACCCGTCTTAATAAAAGTCCATTCTCGTGGTTGCCGCCATCACGCTCCATGATTTGGCGAAATATGGCCACCAATTCGCACCCCAAGACACCTCCGAACACTAATTCACGTCCCCCACCATATGCATCCCGACAGTCATTATACGCGGCCCGGAATCGCAATCTGTTGATGTACTCCTCTGCTGTCGTACGCTTTCTCTGCCTTATTTCTGACATGTTTTTATTCCATCTCAACAGATTGTATTTGCACTAGGAGTAACCTATGCTGCAGTTCCTCTCTACCGGATGTTCTGCGCAGCCACTGGCTTCGCCGGCACTCCAAATGTCGGTACAGGCCGATTCGAGCCTGCGCGCCTGGTCCCCATTGACGGAGCACGTCGCATCAAGGTTCATTTCAATGCTGACCGTGCTGAAGCACTGCCGTGGGCTTTTACTCCACAGCAGAAGTTCGTGACGGTCCTTCCCGGCGAGACTAGTCTCGCTTTTTACAAGGCAAAGAATGAGAGTAAAAAGGATATAATTGGAATCGCAACGTACAATGTTACGCCTGACCGAGTGGGTACTGCACCAAGTGTTGGATGTCAGCAGCTATTGATGATTAATGGTGTGTAGATCGCTCCGTACTTTTCGAAAGTAGAGTGCTTCTGCTTTGAGGAGCAGAAATTGCTTGCAGGAGAGGAAGTCGATATGCCACTCCTTTTTTTCATAGATAAAGACATTCTCGATGACCCTGCATGTAGGGGCATTGATGACGTTGTTCTCTCGTACACGTTCTTCAGGTGCGTTTCCCTCTGTTGCTTGTCGTATTTACCGACCTCAAATACTCATTGTATAGAGCCCGTCGTAACGCTCAAGGTCATCTTGAGCCAGATGCAAGTGACAAGGATGTTCAGAAGTCTCTTGGGTTCGGGGATTACGAGATGGCACCGCGTGCAGAAATCCGCAATGCGCAGCCAGGAAAGAGTTCGTGAATTATGCACGTTTTGATGAATTTCCACAGAGCAGAGCAAGCCCCCCTCGCACTTTTTTGTATATCTATTCTACAGCATACATACCAGTACTTGTCCGGACGCAACGCAACGCACCTTCCCCCGTAAACATAAGTGCCCTTGAAATTAGAAACCAGTTGAAGTGTGCTACGTTGCTAAGTAAACTGGGCTGCGGGCCGCGGCATTTTCCTTGCACCCAAATTAGTACTCTGTTGCCGGTGGACGTCACCGAGTCGGCTTTGTAGCTCATTCGATTCCACATTCATAACTTAAGGCTTCAGCTTTGAGTTTGCACTTATCCCCCATCTCTACATGAACGGTTTCTACAGAGCACTGAGGACTACCAATAGTCTCCACACGAACTTGCGCTCATGCTCCAATCACCCTACTCTCGCGTCTGCAGCATTACATCGTAACCATTGGTTCTTCAATGCCCGTGCTTTCTCAGCTTCTGTGGACGTGGAGCCTTCAGAAACACCAAAACACAAACCGAAAGCTAGCACACCACTTCGTCGTAGTGCATCTGCATCGATACCCATTCGCTCTAACCCGACGCCTACTCGAAGTTCTATCAGGCCTGTGTTAACTCTTGCAACAGCAGAACGCTACTTATTGTCAAGACTACGCTCCCGTCTTCCGGATGCTCAGACACTTCACGATGCCTGGTGGGTTCCACACTGGGGTGACGGGGGTGAAATTTTTGTCTTCTCGAATGGAAGTGTTGTGTGCTGGGGTCTTGGAGAGGGAGAAGCGCGACGTTTTGCACGAGAAGTCCTTGCCCCTTGTGAAGTTGGACGGTTAAAGGATCCAGAGACAGAGGAACTGGAATTTGTGACAGATCCAACAGAGTGGGTACTCATTAATTCCAAGGACTCAAACCAAATTTATTTACTTGCCAAAACTCCCTTCCCAGAAAAACTCGTATACAAGGAGATTTAATTATACTTGGAAGTGTAGCGCCACTCGAGTATTCTGAAAACGCCCCTGCGGTACCACCGGTTTCCCATGCACTCCCTACGGATACCCTTTTGGCGCGATATGCATTCTCCCAAGCACTATCACGTTCTACAGCGCTTTCAGGTCTTGAAGAATCACTTGAAGACTACCTTTCCTCCGTAGCACTGCTCCCACACTCCCTCGAGAAGACGGGGAAGCCTGGTCTGAGCAGGGAAGCCCTTATCAAGAAGCTCGGAGCGCTCATGAAGTTTCGCCAGGGCCTTAACCTCAACAGGGAGAACTTCTCTGACACTCCAGACTTGTACTGGACCGAGCCTGAATTAGAAGGTTGGCGTAGTGGTTACGAGTCCACATTGATCTAACATGATTTGGAAGGTTTTTTCAAATCTATGACAGCGGCTCTCGAAGTGAAGGCTAGAACCAACGCGGTTAATGAAAAAATAACCTACGCCACAGAGGTGAGACGCTCGAGGTAGAACAATTCATGAAGCTCATTGTCCACCCACCCCAGGTGCAATCAACTCTCCGTCAGCTACTTACGGAGGTACGTTCACTAACGTTAAAGATTGTGGGCGAATGCTGACCTTCTTTGCAGTCATCTACTCATCGGATGGAACTCGTTATCATCGCCCTAATCGCCGTGGAAGTTGTCATCGTACGTCCCTCTGACGTTTATTTCAATTTTTGCCTCTTCATCGTGTGCACCTTCCTATTTCAGGCTCTGATACGGGATGGCCCGGAGCTCTGGCAAATGGCTTTTGGCTCTCCTCACGTTCAAGATCAGATACCAGCGCCTCATTCATAGGCGATTTAGATTCGCCATCCTCATTGGACATAGATTTTTCTACGATCTGTGGGTGCTGTTCTGAATTCAGGTATCATTCATGCTGACCGGATAGGCATAGAGCTCAACCTTACATCACATTATGTATACTCGACACTCGCAAGCTAACACATATTTATGATGGTAATTCCCCACTCAATCTATATTGTTGCGTCGTTTTCATTTTCGCAGGGGTTTGAAGCCCTGTAAGGGCCGCCTACTGGCCCTTGTTATTCGCGCAAATTGTCCTCTCTTGTGTTTTGCAGAGCGAGACTCGATGGAGCATGCGAAAAGTTTCGGTCGGCTGTCAACGTGATAAAGGCAGTCGGGACACTTTCGTGTATTTGAGACATTAAACATCCTAGCATGGATACTGAATCAAGCGCACCATCGAAAACCAAGGTAGTCTACCTTCTCTGGTGGCTGACAGACGTCGTCCTGGCCTATAGCTCATGGGATCCAGGATAGCCCTGTTATCAGTCAAGCCAACTAGCAAACCAATCCTGCATAAGGTGTTTACAACAACATTGACGCTTGGTCCTTGATAAGGATTTGGTACAATGAATCAGTCTCGTACGATGTATTCACACCATTGCCATCACAGCAACCACCTCCCACTGCTACTGCTTCACTCCCCCCAGTCGCTGGCGCGGGGACAGCGGGACCGATCTCGCGTCCCCATATCGCTGGTGGCTCATTTGGCACTAAATGAGCTTGTTCATGGTTGATTTATATTCCGTGTGTGCGGACTACTGCATACGTCCATGGTGCATTTGTGCTTTCGGGGGCTAATGATGTCTGGCACCTCGAGGTGCGTGGAGCTCCGCCTCTCACTGCCTGGTGCGACTACCTGCTGTCTCCTGCCCCCGCGACGTACCGTAACGTATACAGCACAACGAATGACCATATACCTCACAAACGCTAACTTTTACTCACAATCAAAAATTTCAATTCAGTTCACGTTCGAACCCCAAGAAAACTGAGTCTGATGGCTCTGAACCGTTCAGAAAGGTCCGGTTCTCGGTTCTTGCTCAACCCCCTCTGAACTGGACTGGAACGGACATCACAAAATGAATCACTCATTTATTTGTATTGATTATCATGAGTGATCCCTCGGACTCGGAGGTGCGTACATCTGCAACACCTACCGTGTCTGTCTTGTTGACATCTGAAACAGCCGTAAATCATAATACTCCACTTGTACTACTATACAGCCTTATACAGCACACTTGAGACACCATCCGACAGTCAAATTGATGTTTCTTGCGCACGGTACTTCACAGCTTGTACCATCGAGTTTTGAAAGTATGGGAATTACATAAACGCCATGATGGTATAATCCGAGAATGCTCACCACTGCGATCTTCGCTGCGTTGCAGTTTCACGACCATCACGATCATCTTTTTTGTTTCAAGTGAGTGAACACTTACTGAGGTCAAACAACACTTACTGCGGTCAATGAAGGCAGGGACGGACATCATCTACTCGGCGATGCAAGCCCACGATGGCGTTACATATAGCACGGACACCATCGACATACGTCCACCAAGTTCGCTGCTCCCTCACTCCCAACCTTTAACAGTATGACCGTGGTCTCAAATGAACCCATCTGGTGGCCGCTCATCAATGCACACCGTATTTGCAGCTATGTCATAGGTTCGGGGAGAACCAGTCGAATGATGTCTCGGTCTAACCTTGGCTGCTGTTTCACAGTTGCCTCCGCTACTGGGCTTTTGTATGATTTTGGTGAGCAAGTCAGTCTTGAAGAACCACTAATATCCTTATGACATTGCCAGCACTTACGTTCGGACAAGAGGTGAGTTGATGACATTACCGGAGCAACCATCTCGCTAAGAATGGTTTTATAGGTTGAGCTGATCTGGGTGAGCGCAATCCCACATCAAAAGAACGGCGTGAAAATACAATTAATTTGTGGCAGAAACAACGCTGGTCTTTAATGACCGTTATGTATCTCATTGTGTGTAGCTTGTTATACAAGTGTGGTTGACTAGTTGTACTGACTTGCAGGTATCCTAGGTGCGCTATGGTGGAATGATATTTATTGTGTATGTTTGGAGGGCTAAGCAATTGATGTTGTGCTAATCAGCCATCTGTTACGATCAGCGATTACATTCTGGGTATGTCTCCTCATATATAGTGTGAGTTCCTTCTGACTGGCGGCACACAGTATATAGTCCGACAACTTCGGTGTCAGATTTAGTGAGTATCACGCACCAAAGTTTTTATTCCCGTCCAATTAACTCCAATGTAGGGGTGAGTGAGCCACTCCCACGGAGAGGAGAATGAGATTATTGACCAGCTCGTTGACTCAATACAAATAACTGCCACAGCTGTAAGTTTGGAAATTGGAACGCGTGATCCTCCGAAGCTGATAACTAATGTCACTGGATTTGTCAGGCCGCATCATGTTCAACGCACAAGAATGCATGGTTCAGATCATCAATATATTTCTGGGCGGTGAGCTATGTATCTCTGTGATATTGGACTTGACTGAAATGTCAGGCAAGTCATCATAATCGCTCGGTTATATGCCATGTATCAGCAATCCAGAAAGGTTTTGATACTTCTTGTTGCTGTCTTCCTGGCTGTCAGAATCGCCTCCACGGTGATAACTGTGATAGCACTAACACGTGTTTCAATGGGTAAGCTTTGGTTGTGGATGAAAGCTTAAGTGCATCAGGCTGATTGAAAAATAACAGGGGAATTTGTTTTCTCCGGCACCTATGCGTGCATTTATGAGTGCGAGGGAGATGCCCTATTTCTGAATAGCATATCTTGGATACCCGTCTGTGTGTGGGAGGTCCTCACACTGTGCCTCGCGGCCTGGGTTGCTTTTAAACATTCCCGTGGACTGCGACGATCGTCGGCTACGGACCTTATTGGGGGGTGTTTCACGATTTTAGTGCAAACCCACGTGACTTACTTTGCGAGGTGAGCTCATGGAATTATAATGTGGTTCTCTTTCTCCACTGAAGTTCTGCACATGCTAGCATTTTGGCTATTTGTTGCTTCGAGCTCGGTTATTTTTCCCCGGCACTCTCAACCGTATGTCGATATGTTGCTTATTCCTGCATGGGACCACAGTTCATCATTTACATAGAACGCGTATTCCCCGGACAATCAGGTTTATTTTGGTTTCGTTCAAATTGCCCAAATGACGCAGATGTATGTGGTGGGACCGCGTCTCATCCTTAGCGTTCGAGAACATAACGCTAAGGTCGCCAATGCCAACTCCGATGCAGAAACTGGCATGACTTCAATTGTTTTCCTGGAGCGCGTGCATGTGTCAACTAGTAGTAGTGTGTGACGTGGGAGATAGACTTGAAATGTTGGGTATTATGCAACGAGTGGGAGAAATATGTTTTTATTTATATACTGGATGACTTCCCGCAGGCAAAAATAATGCGGTATAGAATATAATTTCACGCTTTAGGAAGGTGTGCCGCGATGCCGGGTGTCATGTCGTTACCGTTTGAAACTCAGAAAGGGTCTGCCCCCCCCAATAAACTTTAAATCTGTAGGGGGGGTATACCCCCCCCCCTACAGATTATCTTAACGAGAATAAAGCCACATTTTGCCTGTTTAGGACTAATCACACCGGATATCCGCTGACATAATCTTACTGTGCGGTACCTGCGCAGGCGGCGCCGTCCTGCGCCGTTCGATACTACAGCTCTCGCGCTTCACGGATCCCTCGTATACTCTCACATACCTACCTTGTTTCTATATGTACTGGCTTGGATGATTTTGCAATGAAGGCTTGATCACTCTAGCTTGCAAATAAAGGGTACTCATCCGTGGAAAGTTTGTCCTGAGCTGCGCACAGCAAAGGTAGAGTCTGTTGATGCGTTCTTGTCGAGTCAGACCGGCTCCTACCAGTACAGGAGTGCAGACTCTACTTCGTCAGTCACTTCCATCTCTATTTCATTTTGCACCTGATACCGATATATATAATATTCTGCTGACCTACGGTTTGGTTTTTCTTACAGAATATCTTATTAGGTGATTTGGTAATTTTGTTTCAAAGTCCGGTATATGATAGTCCGCATTATTTTGCCTACGGGAAGTCATCCACTTATGCGGTTTCAGACTTCCAGTATTATTACATAATTATTTACATACGACTGAACAATATCTTGTTGCATCACTATTGAGGACGACTCCCACTCCAATTGGCGACGCTGAGCGTTTTATCGCTCGCGAACAATGGACATGGGGATGTGATCAGATTTGCGAATCTGGAATAACGCTCGAGCGTCTCTCCAGGCGGGATGGAACGCCTCTATCTGCTTGAACTAACACTTATTCTCAACGTCTGTCAACATGCCAAGCAAATAACAGACACACCTTGATCTCCAATTTTCCTAATTTCTCGTGTATATGTTGTTCAGAACGACCCTTTTTCTTTTTGGCCACAATGTACATTTTCACTGCCTCTCGGACGGTATCGACATCATAGCTGTTTGCGATAATTGCAACAATCTTCTAATCATGAGAGTGATTTCATTGGCATATGCCTGTAGAAACTCACGTCTATGCTAGTACCCCCCTTGAAGAAGCCACCTGTGGCCATGGTTCGAGAATGTCTCCGCGATTCGGTTGAGGACTATGTAGGGCAGGGAGCAAGAAGCAAGGACCTGCGGACCCAACGTTATAAACTCCAATGAGATGCTATTTTCTAGCCAAGGCCCAGATGCCGGTCCTGTGCTACATTCAAACGCCTTCCGCAGGTCCGTAAATACGTAGATCACGTTTGGTTCTGGTCGCAGTCACATCATACCCACAGCACGCCACTGACCGAGTACGTTCCTGGAGGGGTGAGAAGACCGAATTGCTCCGGCCATAAAAAGAGTTCATAGTACTAGTACTGCCTGTATTTGAGACACCATTACATACATGGCAAGTGCATCCATTAATGCTTTGATGAAAACATAGTTCAACGACCATATTAAGACACTTGGTAGACGGTGGTCACGACTACGCCGCAGCGAGCCCGCACGTGCGGCTGAATCCAATGATTGTTGCAACACACATCTGAATTGGCAACACATCGAAGCCCGTCCAGTGTTCACAACCTGCATACACTGAATTACACACTATAGTGCAGAATTAATGATAAGAGCTATCGGCTCCGGGCTCAGCGATGAAAATAACGACTCACAGAGCAAGACCGATTACACATTATGAAGCGTGTCCCTATAGCACAGTGAGACGCAGGGTGTTGAGACTGCCATCAATTTGTGTACGAACAAGACACAATGCTGTTCACTGGCAACTCCTGTGGGTGGGAAAGCGCAGCAGGGCTATACACCTAGGAGAGGTGCCAAAACTTCAGGAAGGTCAAGTCAAGCCTAGTAAGAACTTCAAGGATTTAAAGACATAAAAATCGAGCCGGTTGTATCATGCTGCCCATGACTGGCCTCAATCATTCCGTGACCGCGACGCGTCCAAAATTCTCGACCCCGACCGTGCGAGAGCAATGACATCATATTACTAATATTGTCCGAATGTGCGGACCTGGTGAACTGAGCAACGTCCTCTCCTTCCACAGACACCCCTGCAAAGGCTGACCATAAGGAAATCTTATGCGGCTGCTCGGAACGTCTTTACTTTCATCGTCTACATGCAATGGCTCCCCTTATTCCTAGCTCATCAACGCCCGACACCTCCTAGGCTCATATTCGAAAGTCCACTGCATCTTCAAGATTCAAACTCAACCTTTGGCACTCCCGTTTCCGTGTCTGTGCCTCTGCATCCTCTCTGTGCAGGTCGTACGCTTTGACCCTTGCAAGTTCCTGTGACATTCCCGTGGATGTGAAAGGTGATGCTGAGAATTCCAAGACTCCTGAGTTCCGCCCTAGCGGAGGGTATGTCGACCCAACACTGCGGCTATGTAAGGGTCAAGAAAGCTCCTGCCTATGATTTCAAGCCTACTTCTCCAAGGACACCCTCGACGAGAGTGAAAGTGCCATTTTTCTACCACAGAGGCAAAAACAAGACTGAAGTTCCTGCTCTGTCTGTGAGCTCCCCTCAAAAGATTCCTCCATCCAAGCCTCGAGTGCTGCCTGCTACAACAAACAAAGCGGTTACGCACATCGAGCAACCCAAAATTTCGCAAGGGACACAAGCAGCCTCAAGCTCCAAGACCTCTACCAGCGGGAGTATAGAGACCGCTGCAAAATCTGTCTCGCTCTCTACCCCTGCCTTTCCCACACCCAAGCAGGAGGAAACGCAAACGAAACCAAAGCCCATCCACATGCATGCTTGTCGTATCTTCTCATTCGCCATTGCTTCATCCCGTATATGATGAGTTCAGCCCTTACAACCAACAACTCATCACATTTTCGCAATATCAGTCGGATGTTGTCACGGCCACACCCTCATGACAGGGCAACGTACACTGCAACCTTGATGACAAGTATCTGTTAGATTTGAATCGCAATGATATCTTTTTCACGCCTGCTCAGGGGTTACCGTGATGAATGTGTTTTATAACTATCGGACGGGGTTAGATCATGATCATTGATGCTGGGACGTTGATATTCCGTCTTCCTGGATCAAAATGTTTCACTTGGCTCGGCCTCGTCCGACGCCATACATACTAGAACACTGCAAGTTACCTTCAAGTAGGCTCCTCCTTCAAGCATCACCAAAACGCTCATCTAACAATGCTCGATGGTGGTCCTGTGTTCTACTTAGCCACGGCAGCCTTGGCGTTAGCTGCTTTAAGCTTTTGTCGAAAATATTGGGACAACCCCGCTGCTGCCCGATCCTACTCCTCTCCCTCAACAACGAATAGTGACATCTTCAACGGCTATCTTATCCCCAAAGGTAGGTTGGGATTACACTGATCTACTGAAGGCCACTGATGACCTGGATTAGGGATTCTGGTATACACAAACACATGGAAAGCTTGCAGCACCTCTACTAAATTTCTCAAGGTGACCGAACCTATAGGCCGATGACACATGACGAAACGAAATGCCCCAGACCTGATGAATTCAAGCCGTAAATATTTCTCTATGAAGATGGGTCCCTCACCAGCGACACGATGCCTCTAGGCTTTGGCCAAGGTCGTCGGGTCTGGTGAGCATATATATATATCTGCATATATGCGTGCTCCTTCGCTCTCTATTGAGGCCATCAGTCAGTGTTGGACGGCATGTCGCGGATGCGTCACTATGGATCGCGTCCGCAAGCTTCCTGGACGATTTTTCGGCTCACGATCAGGCTCTTGATGAAAACGGCAGGAATATTCCAGTCGTTCTTAAGTTCTCACTTGTGTCATGAAGTTTGCAAAATTCTTTCTGTTGCTCCCCGAGAAAAGTTTGTTGATATTTTGATATTCAGTCATCTGGAGAAATTTCCTGCCGCATTGTCCGCCGATTCTCCAATGCCTCTGTGGGGACACTTCACTCGCTTGAATGGGTTATGCCTGTCTATCACCATCGCCTGGGAATTCCGCGAAAAATGTACAGTGATATACAACCTCAATACATAAATTTCTGCTTTGAGAATTTTATCTACACCACACTTGTTCTTCAATTCAAGCACTGACTCATGGGTACAGATTACAGGCGGCTCGCTTTGAGGTTGTGATAAAATGCAGTGTTCTGGCTCCTCAAGGAAGCCCTTGTCAAGAAGCCCGGAACACTCGTTATGTATTTACACTACTCAATCGCCCTCGCAGACTTCCATCATGGTCATTCTCCACTCAATCTACAATGTTGCGTCGTTTCCGATCTTCGTGGGGACCGCCTAGTCACCCCTGCTACTCGCGCGAATCAATCTCTCTGCATTTGCAGAGCGAGGCTCGATGGAGCATTCGAAAGGTTTCGGTCGGCTGCCGACGTGATTAATCTTGCGTGGCCATTTCAACAGAAGTCACTTACACTGATAACGCCAATCCTGCCGTAAATTCGGCTTTCACATCGATTTCACATCCAGTCGCGTCCTTCCTTTTTCCAATGCGCAACGTTGCCAAACAGGAGACAATGGAGACCCAAATGCTCTGATCTGCAATGTAAATTCCGGGGCACTTTCGTCTGTTTGAGACCTTGAACATCCCAGAATTGGTAAACAAAACAACCGAGCGAAGCTCACCGTCCAAAACCAAAGTAGGGCGATACTACGTCTTCGAGAAGTTCTCCAGTAGCTGAGAGATGCCGCTCTGGCTTGTAGCTCATTGGATCCGGGAATCGTGTTTCGTCATGTGTGATCGCCCTGTGATCCGTTGAGCCAGCTTGCAAACCAATCCTGCAAATGACTTACCAAACATTTACAACAACATTAACACCTGAAGAAATAAGGGTTTGGTGCAGGTAATTGGTGTTATAGATTGTATATCAATACCTTTTGAAATGTAATATCCGTCGTAAACATCGCTTGCACTCGTAGCATGCGGAAGGGCTGATGCGTCGCATGAGCTCTTGTGAGCATGAGTGGTTTGATCTTGACTCACTGAGAGGAACCGTCGGTCGCCACCGGAAAGTCTCGCGAAACACTGCTTCGACATAGGGAAGTTTCTCTCGGTCACTGAAATCAGGGAGACGGCTGTCACCAACCACCCTATCGATTTCTTCTTGTGCCTGACAAAAATTACTACAGAGGAAAGGGAAGCGCATATTTATGAAATGGACGGACCTTGATCTGGACCTCTGGATGAAGCACCATAGCAAGCAGAAACATATGCAAGCTAGAGTCAGTCTGACGAGAGACATGTATCGGTGACTGAGGAACCAAATCAAGTCTGACTTTGCCTTACAGTTTCAGCTCCACCTTTATGACACCTTTCTCGTGAGTGTCAAAAGATTCTCGTCGTGACCGCAGAAACACACCCAAAAATACAGTTGCAGCAACTGCCTTGATTATCTCTTCGTCTTCAACGGTGACAGTGTCGTCCTTGGTCGCATATCTGCCCAAAAGATCCTTGACGAGGGACTGTCGCGTTGTCCCACTAGCCTGACATTAAAGCATGAGAAAGGGGATATCTATTGTGAAATAACATTACCATTTCAGCTTGTACATACTCTATAGGTTCGTTAAGGATGTCATGAGCGAGTCCGCGGCATTCTCCGGCCTGGCGCTTATACGCCCCGCCCGGAAACCACGACGGTAAATATTGTACTGAGGAGTTGGCATTAGTGAAGTGGTTGTGCATCCAGGAAGAACTCACAAAGCGGGAACATTCCTAACAACGCAGCACGCTCTGGCGAGAGCGCCTTAGAAAAAATACCAATGAAACGTTCGACCTTGACCACATAAGGATCCTTGGCCGGCGCAGGATCATAGCCATATGTAACAGCCATGATGATCCCCGCCGATAACCTACGCACGATACTTATTTGTGTTGAAAGGAGAAAATATTGTCGGTACATACGTTTTTAAATGCATAGGGAACTGAGTTGGGGAATCGATGAGACTCTCCACGAATTGGTGAGCTTTCGAAAGTTGCATGGGCTGGTATTCGCGAGAGGCTTCCTTGCTGAATCCTACGTGGTACATCTTCCGGTCTGTAATCACATAATTCAAAAGCCAGATTATCACAGTCAAACCGAAACCGAAACAAACGTTGTCGCAACAGGTCCCCATAGGGCAACAACCCGGTGGTGAAATCCATCCCGAAACTGTGGGTAGTTTGTATTATTGAGGAAGAGCACAATGATAAATATTTGACATACAGTGCACTTGTGGAGATATATGGTCTGTCGGAATATATTTCAGAACGTTGGTGAAGAATTGTGTGGGCGAGCTCCTCGGAATTGATAACAAGGAACTCCTGTCCGAGGATAGTCAAATAGATAAGATCACCTTCGCAGTACATCATTGAGTCGCGTCTTAAACCACTAGACTGAGACGTACCGTATTTCTTCGCCCATTCGGTATACGACAACCAAGGCGCAGCAACATCGAGGTCAAGCGCATTCCCGAAGATCGGCAGACCCTTGGGGCCTGGAGGGAGTGGCAAGCCCCTCCGGAGCCTCTGTGTCTTCCAGGCACGAACGGAAATAGACAACAGCAACAAAAATGCAGAGCATATCAGGAACTCTGGGATTGTCAACATTGTCAAAATCCTGGGGGAGGGGGGGTGCGTTGTACGTTGTAGGTCTTTCCACAAGACTGGGATGTTACTTATAAGGCCCGGAAATCACTAAGACAATTCCATTTGGTTCATTCTGCCTCTGCATTCGCGACCATGAAGAGCTTCATGATACCGTTGTTGGATCCTCAAAGACGTACGAGTTAGGCAGAACATTTTAGTTCTTGTTCAGTGAGACTAACAGGTTTGGAATGAAAGGCGAACTGATGCTGAAACATGTGTGGCCATGACATCACGTTCGCCACAGACTAGCCTTGAGGAGGTCGTTTCAGATGCCGTACACATGCCATATGATATGATCAAGCCACTGACTCACCCTGTTAGTCTGCCAGAGGCCTGATTGACACACTAGCCGCATGCACACATACGATGATGTACAACTAGTACATAAAGAGAGCGATCCATAAAGAGCGATCCAGACATCAAGTTGCTGCTCTCCTTAATCTTGAATCGCGGTGACCCTTCAGGTCGGAGTCCGTTTTAAACCTCTGCAAAGTCACCGGTGAGTACGGCAAACAAGTTGAACTTTAACATGAATGATACATTGTGTAACGGATCTGGTTTGTCTCACTCTTGTCTCACCCTAAATTAAATCTATCAATAAGTGATTTACCCCGCGTCTGTTATTCTGAAAGACTTTTCTGTTGTGCCGTGTAGAATATCACGAGCACAATATGTTTCCGCCGGTCGCAGTGACAGAGGTCCTCCCCGTATGTTTGAACAATCAATTTCAACGATCTTGAGCGACCGTTGATAACTGCAGGAAGTATATGTGAAAGTTCTTGAGATTGTGGGCACCCTACACCCTGCATTCCGAGTCTGACAAACGAGAGCGCGATAATAATTATACCACCAAGATATTGATTTAACTCATCGTCTCTTGGAGGGTGGTTGATCCATGAAGTCCTCTGCCGCTTTCCTCTTCGATCCAAAGCCAAAAGCCACCTTCGTCCGGTCCGACGTTACAGGGGTACCTGTTTGTGTTGGTGTATCTGCAGCTGATGATATGCGAGAAAAGCCTGGCTTCATAACTGGGGGTGAGTTCGATCCACTAGGGGGAATAACGGATGAAAAGCCTGATGCAGCAGGACTTTGTGAATTGAAGTGGGACTGCAAGTGTGGCGCCGGCAGCGTCATGAAACCAGTGGACTCGAGCAATGGAGCACCGCCGGCCTTCCCTGAGTCCTTTTTCTTGCTCTTCGTCTTTTCAGTCTTGCCTTTTGACAGCGGTTGAGGGTCCAAGAACTCCGACGCTTGAGGTACAGCACTATACAGAGTGCAATCAGAGGCAGTAAGGGGACTGACGCAGGATAAACGTACCCTCTATTACCCACAGACAATACGAAGTGAGCTTGGCCAGTTTTCTCCTGGCGAATCTGGAAGGCACGGTTCATGCTAAGGGGGGTATCACCACTTGCCATAGCTGCTTGCTTCTTCTCCTCTGCAATTTTCTTCAGCCTCTTCTCCGTCTTCATCTTCCCGGAGCCCTTGCCATGGAATTTGTGGGACAACGCTTTCCACGACTCCTTTGGGGTCAGCACACGACCATACTCATCGTAATAGACAATTTCGACGTCAGGCTTGTAGTCCTTGAATAGCTCTAGCTGCGCGCGGGCCTCTTGTTGTTCTCGAAGTCGGTTCTCGTACTCTCGAGTTGCTTGGTCTTTATTACCACTGCGAGACTGTAAGCGATCCGTTTCACGCTGAGTTTGTCGATGACGATATTCGGCGAGGAATCGATCCCTATGTAACTGAACATCTTCTCGCGCGGTCTGATCTGCCGATGGCAGCGCCAATACACCCTGCTGCCGGAGAAGTGAAAGGGTGGCAGCCATACCGGAGCCAAACGACTTTTCCCCCAAAGTCCCAACCTCGGCATCGTCGTCAACTGCGGTGTTCTTCTCCTCCGCTTGAGTAATGACTTCCATCATATCCTCGTACTCCTCTTCCTTGACAACCTCACCAGCTTCAATTTCGTCGAGAGCCTCGTCATCTGCAGTCACTGAAAGATCACGAGAAGGTGATATCTGTTTCGGAGGGGTGGGCTCTACTGAGGCCTCTGCAGTCTCCGTTTTCACAGCAGCCGGGTTGTACGAGATAGCCCGAACAAATTCCGAAGTATCGTCGAATGTCAAACCATTGGCATCGCCATCCTCTGGGTCGTCTATCTGTATAATATCATCTGCTTGATTCGACTGCTCTCGGTTGCGCTCTTCTGCGACTAAAAAAAGTCACTCCAGGCCCTCAAAGATAACCAGCCCAGCTTACCTTTACGGGCAATCTCTTCCGGAGATAACTTCTTGGGTTTGTGGAGCTTTGCTCTTCGGGACCGAGCAAGGGCAGCTTGTAGCTCATCGTCATCGACAAAGTTGGCGTCTAACTCACGTGGCCTGGGAACAACCAGCTTCTCATCAACCTCCATATCATTCTCGTCGCCGTCAATGGGGACACGACGTGATGAACGTTTCTTCTTGGTCTGGTGGGTGTGGACAACAGGTCGGATCCACCATAGGGTCAAAAACGTAAGTGGCGCTCACCTTTGGCTTCTTGAAACCCACATCTCCCTCTTGTAGGTAATCACGCGTTTCCAAATTTTCTAGAAACGGCGGACATATCAATAAAAGGTACGGGACATGATAAAGATAAGAACTGACTGGCGTAATCTATTGACAGCAAAGCCTTATTTACGCTTGCTAGTTCTTGTTTCGCTTGAGCGTCATTGATTGTGGTAGACGTAACAGAACTGCCCAAACGGAAATCCTGAAAAATAGGAAAGGGATTAATTGTGATTTCAAATGTGAGCGAGACACGTACAGTTTCCCTAGTACCTTCAATATCCTCATCATATTTCGCCAGAATTGATCTCTTCATTCCGGCCTTGCCATCTCCAAATTCGTCATCGTCGTAGCCGGTGTAATCCCGTCTTTTAATCTTCAGTTCATTATTCTTACGAGTGCGTTCTTCCTCGGCCATCTCAACATTCTGAAGTTCATCCTCTGGATGGATAAAGTTAAAAACAGCAGGGTTGTAGTATGGCTCGCAACAGGCGCACCTTCATTGTCAAGAATACGGCTATCTTTCAATGTAAGAATACGGGCATCACCTTCTCCAAGGTCCTCAAAGTCGTGGCTGACTTTGAGACCAACCAGGTCCTCTGCAGATAGACTATCAGGCAAGTCACTGTTTACACTACGGAGACTACACGCACTTTCTGTATACTCATCACCCTGAAAAGCTTTGTCCAAGTTCTCAAGTTCCTGTTGTCTTTTCTTCGCCAGCTCCTTGTCACGCTTCTTGGCTTTCTTGATCCACCTCAGGGTATCTTCTGTATCGCCGTCGGGGTCACCAAGCGTTGCACCCCTGAGGGAGGCATGGAGCTCTCGTCTGTTCCTCACCCTGTGGTTGCAAAAAATGAGCAATAGCCTTTGACTGAAGTCCCAAAGCAAGGATAAACGGATCGAGACTCACTTCGCTATCCGGTCAAATATTTGCCTGTAAAAGAAAAACGTCAATCAGAACAAGTCGTATACTCAGAAACGAACCATGTAAATACTTTGTTTCTCTCTCTTTGACCTGTCGCTCGCGCTGCTTTGCATAGTTATCCTCCGCTTGCTTTTCTTTGTCGTTGGCTGGTGCAGAGTCATCTGTAAGGGGCTTAAGACCAAGGGATATACGAATCTTGTTCGTCTCCTCGAGACTAATGCTTTCCTCCATTGACATTGCGATTTAGAAATGACGAATAAGAACTGAGAACTGGGCGGCTTGGGAGTAGGAACACAGTGAACTTGGGAGTACGCTGCATTAGTCATTGTCGTGGAAATAACATTCCCCATTCGGTCTAAGTGTACACATATTGATATTACATAAAATACTGATTTTATTCTGATGGGGGCGGTCACCGGCCACCGCCAAAGTTTGTCCGGACATGCATGATCAGTGCTTCCACGAACTAGTGCTTAGCGCTTATGTAATAGACAAGGTCAGTGATACTTCCAAGTGCACAATATTAATGTGTTTCATCCACAGACAACATGTCATCTGCCTCTTTGCGACGGAAAGATTTCCCAGTAAACCATATTTTCACCGAAAATTGACCCATAACTACCCAGAGTGTCGTGTCCTATTAATAAAAGTCTCGGGGCAAGAATATTCATCCGGTCAGGAGTCCTGAAACAATTTGAAATGTAACTTACAAGCACCCACTATGGCCCACTATGGATTTGGGTGTCACATAGTAAACATCTTTTCGCCAGGCGCATATATGTAGCGCGAGTTCTCTTGACTTTAGGCTTCTCTTCTTTCTCTTCACCTTTCTTTTTTTCAGGTCATCTTCATGGCTGCATCATCGGACTTCCGTCTCCCAGCTCTTGCTGCTATATCTGCAGTAGCATATGGCCTCGTCAGCTGGTGGTCACAGAAGAAGAGAAACCCAGGAGGTCTTCCCCTTCCTCCAGGTCCCAAGCCGCTCCCAGTAGTGGGTAACGTGCTTGGTATCAAGATTGATGAGCCATGGGTCACATACACCCACTGGGGTGCTACTTACGGTAAGCCATTGGACGTGACCCTACCTAGTATACATCGTATTAATCCTCACGATTTATCGCAAGGCGAATTGGTGTACTCTCGTTTGCTTAACCAGGAAATCATTCTGATTAATACTGAGGAAGTCGCGAGAGACTTGTTAGAGAGGCGCTCCAACAATTACTCCGACAGACCTGGCATTCTGTGCCTAACGAATGACTTGTACGTATCAAACCACGCATACAAATGTCAAATTTACCCAATCACGGCAGTTTCGGCTGGTCATTTAATTCAGTCATGATCAAATATAATGATCGTTGGAGACTCCATCGACGATTGTTCCACCAAGCATTTCGCCCAGAAGCAGCTTTTACATATCAATCAATGCAACTTCGCAAGGCACGAGAGCTGTTGATAAATTTGCTTGAAGACTCAGTACACTGGAGGGCGCATTTCCAGACGTAGGAATGCCGATATAGTTGGTACAGATGTGATGCTGATTTCGCAGATCAGGCACTCAGCCTCTATTATTATGTCTGTTGTTTACGGTTACGAAACTGCCCCGAGGGACGACCCCATCATTTCCATCGTCGAGAAAGCTGTCAACTTAGCGGTGTCTTCTATCAAACCCGAGGTTGCGGCCTTCCTTGGCGCATTTCCATTTTGTGAGCTTATTCGCTCTTTCATGACTACTTGCTGTCTAACATACATACAGTACAGTACATTCCGTCCTGGTTCCCCGGAGCTTCGTTCAAACGGACAGCTGTCTTATCCACGAAGTATGCCGAGGACATGATTGAGGCGCCGTTCCAGTATGTTGAAACGAATATGGCGCGTTCAATTCTCTTTTGTCACTAGCAGTTCATCTCATCTGATATAAATTAGGCGTTAGGCTCGGCAGCCCCATCCATGGTCGCTGACTCTTTGAGAAGAGCCGAAGATGAAATTGTGTCTGAGACGTATGTCAAGGCGGTCAAAGAAACTGCTGTAACTGCCTTCGCGGGTATGTTGGTGTGATCTCAATATTTGCATGACAATTCCTCACCTTGTTGTTTCCTTCTCAGCTGCTTCCGAGACAGTAAGCCATGCGACTGTCTACGAAGATGTTTCTAACAATTTTCTTTCAGACCGCATCGACCCTGCTTATTTTCATCCTGGCGATGCTGCAGAACCCGAAAGTACAAGCCCGCGCACAGGCTGAAATCGACTCCGTTGTCGGTTCGGTCAGGCTGCCGAACTTTGAGGACAGAGCGTCACTGCCATATGTCGAGGCTGTTCTTCGCGAAGTTCTCCGGTGGCACCCCGCTGTACCATTAAGTTTGTATCTTATAAACTAACTGTGTTGTGAGCGACGAACTAAACGTGAACGACTCAGGCATTCCCCACGCTGCCACGCATGATGATGTTTATAACGGATACTTCATTCCCCAAGGTGCGGCATACTTTATAATTTTTGTTTATCGATTGACTCGGTACCAGGGGCTACGATTATAACGAACACATGGTGAGCAATTACAGATCGACTGACTTAATAATGTTTTTGTCGCTAATAAATTACCAAAGGGCAATTACACATAACGAAGCCAAATATCCCAACCCAGACGAATTTAAGCCCGAGCGCTTCTTCGACGCCGACGGTCAGCTTAACAATGACACTGTGAGCTTTGCCTTTGGTGCGGGTCGCAGAATCTGTCAGTTGCTCGTTGAGCTCTATTATACCTTCTTATGCTGATTGTTTTCATCGTGGCATCGTAAAGGCGTCGGGCGGTATATCGCGGATGCATCCATGTGGTCTGCGATGGTTTCGGTTCTCGCTGTCTTTGATATCAAGAAATGTCAAGACGAGCAAGGCAACAATATCAATGTAAACCCGAAATTTACTGCGGGCATTACTTCGTAAGCTTCTTTTTTGTGTCCATTTCTGATTCTGATACCTCCTCAGTCATCCCTTGCCCTTCCCTTGCCGCGTCGTCCCCCGAAACAAAGGATTGAGCACGGAAAAGCTGACTCAAATGTATTAAGGTTCAATGTTCAGTCTCACAATTTTTGATTACAGCTGGCTCTGGTACTGTAAACTCCTTTTTTGGATGTACATCATAACTTTCCGACGACCCACAAATTTCTATACTAACGAAATCTGACGTACATCCGAAATGTCCTCACGAGCATCCATTCATGTTGTACAACTACTCGCTTTATACGTATTGGAAATGATCATGCAAACTCTGAATCCCCTTCGCAATCGACTTAATATTATCAAGACATGATGACCTCACACGTACGAGCGGCGGTGCGACCGATAGAACCACTGGATATGTCGGGACAGGATGCGGAATTGGGAACGAGGCTCTTCGCAGGAAAGCCGACAGGTCGGACAGTGACTCGTGGCACGGAGCCAGGGTTAATCCCGCCGATTTCAGCACCAGACAGATCGCGAGGACTGGAGATACAGCAAGCCGAAAGCGATCTTGTGTGCGTCGTGCAAGGAGAGGAAGATGTTTGTTCAGCCAGACTTGAAAAGAGGCCGGACGCTGACCAGTCAGAAACGGACGAGATCGGTGACGAAGGGGGTGTGGCAACAACGACTTTCTGGACGTTGCGTTTGCCACGCCCCGGAGTACGCGCGCCGTAGCTGGGACGCAGCGTGAACACCTCTCGAATAACGGGATCATAGACCACAGTGGAGATCTTGGCTGTGAACCTCAGTTTCTCCAGCCGCTGTCTTTCACCGGGAGCGTCAATCGTAGAGGAGTATTCCACGTTGACACGTGGGGAGCTAGCATAGACCGAGAAGTCGAGTAGATCAGCTGCAGATGCGACAGAGGGGACACCATTGAAGTATGGAGCAAAGTACGTGCTGCCTCGGTTGCCGAATGGAGAAGCGAACCGGTTCTCTCCCGCACCCGGCGAATAGGAGCAGTTCGGGCGAGTAGGCGAGCGAAATTGTTTCCCTTGAGGAGAGCTTGTCCATACTTTGAGGGAAGTGGATGACAGGGACATTGACAGGCCTTCGTCGCAGGGAAGCGAGTTCTTGCCGGACTGGAGCTGCGTGTCAAAGACAGGTGGCCAAGAGCTGCGAATCCCAGATGAGGGAGGAGAAAACGAAGGCATAGGTAACAGCGGGCGAACGGACAGGGGACGAGACAGTCGTGGAGATCCCCGAGAATTGACGATATCACAACGGCCAAGCTCCGGGTCACTGGAGTTCGTCGGCGATGCCATCTCTTGGCCTTGGGTAGTCCTACATCTGACGTCGTCAAGCCGCCGCAGGATGACATTCTGTGGCAGGACAAAAGGCTTCAACCCTTTCGGCTTCTGGGATGAGACAAGTTGGACGATAGTAAAGAAGCTATGGCGGTTGCGGTCAGTTCCTGGTGTACCGGGCTCCTGAGTCGCTCGCCTTCCACCAGTAAAGCGATCGAAGAACGAGTGGAACAGTCCTGTAATGAATGACAAAGATTTGTGAAGAAAGTGGACAAAGGTGTGTAGAATGGAAGACATATTCGGTCGCGCTGATGAGTAAGGACAGTGGCGGACGTGTTCGCGGACGACTCGGTGGTCGGGTTACAAAGGGTACAGCAGCAGTACTTACCCTTGTTGGCGTATAAATATTAGTGGAGCACGGCGGCTGACATGTAGCTTTGTCGTCACTTGAGTTTTTTATTTGTGGAATTGTCAGCCTCCCCATTTCGTAGGCGAGCGAGGTTGGCTGGAGACCGGGCGACAAGTGCCAATTCTGTGATTGTCGTCTGAGCAACTACAGGACTGGCTGTAGAAGGTCTGGGGGAGGCACGCAATAATGTGGTGTCATGGCACATGATGGAGATTGCAGTGAAGCCACAGTATTATGACACCTGTACGACAATTGTGGTACTGTACAGAGTGCTTTCATAGCGTTCCAATGCTCTGAATTCCAAGGTCCTTGGTGACGATGCAGCGGTCTTTGTCCCTCCCCTTCCCGCCCTCGAATGCCTTCATTAATGATTCCTGCCCCTCGTCGATCCTGAGAAAAAGATGAATTTTGGGTATCGGTCGATGACAGAAAAATATCGTTACCACTTCACAGAATGGGCGGATTTCTCCAGTACGACTTTGACAGTCGTCCACGAAAATCGGACTATGGATGGGAAACCGAAAGTAGGATCGAGTGAGTTCTTTATCCAGGCTTGAGTCTTTGGATCTGGAATTGCATTCAGCAAGGAGGCAAATTTCCTTCGATTTAAGTGACAGACCCGATGGATAGCCACTCCCGAGTTCTCTGTTCCAGTTCTCTTTCCGAGCGTTCCTAACCGTATTGTCGTCTTCTTCGATTTGTTCTTCGAAGGTCCAACCATCCACACACGCATCCCTTGTCACCTTTGCCGCCACGCTGGCTGCTCCCACAATCTTGAACTTTGAATCTGCTTTCGTTGTCACGGTGAAACTGATGCCCGGGAATTGTGAAGAAAGATATGCTTCATAAGTAGTTGTGTTGCCCAGTGCATCCACATATACCTAACCAGAGAATAGTTTAGCATTCATTCGAAAACACAGGGCACATCTTAACCTCAGTCAACTGGAGTCCACGCTGAAGAGCGTCGCGAATAAGCAACACGGTTGCATCCTGGGATTGCTTGTTGAGATTCGTTGGCGGGACCTTCAACATCCCAGCTGATATGGCTTGTGGACTAGTCACTATAAGAAGTCTGGCAAAAGATAGAACTTCGTGTATGCGTACCTGATGACTCGGACAGACCATCCGAGATTCTGAGGATCTGAGTTAAGCACGCCTAACAGTTGGGCTCGCTTTTCCGAAGTGAGTGTTTTTGAGTCTGATGGAAGACATGGCTCGTGTCATGACGTAGAGTTGGGCGCTTGAGAGATGTTTACCAGCAAAGCCCAGCTGCTCTAAGTCGGTCTTCCAAGATGCAGGACAATAGGCAACACCATACACAAGCGGCCCGAGTACAGGGCCACGGCCAGCCTCATCAACACCAAGGATGTAAGGTCCTGGTGCTGTAGGTGTTGGAGAATGGTAAGTATACGAGTTTGTGAGTGGACATGACGGTCCAGGTGCTGATGGAATAAGAGAAGCAGAAGGAGACATGATTTGCGCGATATTCTGTGGGTATTGCAACTGAAGTCTTGAACGTATCTGTTAAGCAATGTCCTCTGCTTCCACAATTGCCAGTCGAAGTTAAGCGAGGAAGAGCAAGTTTACGCGTTCTTTGTACCTATTGATCTTTGTTTAGAAATTGCCAAAACGGGTGTGTCACACAGAGTGTCTTTCTTCGAATGAGTCACTGAACAGTGTACACGTCCCTGCTGAGCCTGCTCTATCTGATCAAGCGGATAAATTCAGTAGTCGTGGCCACTGTAACCAACTCGCTAAGTATCATGCGCTCCAACTTGCTTTTAACTTGGAAGTTTTTCCTTCAGGAATCGACTCTTAACAAAAGTCCGGCTTGCTGTTCATGATCAGTATACATATATTGTACAGCGTACTACCAACATAAAGTCCGTCGTGCGATATGGCATAATCAAAATTCTCCATGTTTCTCGAGGGTGCTTTTAGCACGTTCATGCGCTACAGAAATAGTGAATCAGTGCATTGTATTCTTCACAAGGTTGAAGAACGCACCTGCATGCTTGGCCTTTTCCTTGTCAACTTCGTCCATTCCCTTGGTCTCTGCAATGCGATCAATGAAGCCACCGGTCAGTGCCGCCCTGAAATGGGTATTTTAGTCAGATAAGTCCTAGGCCATTTTGCATGATGATACTCACAGCAGCTCCACGGCCTTCGCATGATTTGCGGGTTTTCCGTTCTTCTGGACATGCTTCTCGTACGCCTTGGCAGCCTAAGATGTGATCGGTGATGACCTCATGTTTATCAAAAACAAAAGACAAACCTCATACGCGGCGGCGGAGGCAATGAGCTCGTGGGACAGCTTGGCGGTATGTCCGCCAGTCACCTACAGATCGTTAAGATCTGAGTGATTGACCTAACGTAGCACTTGGTCTTACCTGTGCGTGTGCCTCAGCCTCTGGTGAATCGTTCGTGAACCACATAGTGTTTGTGTAAAAGAGGGGATACAATGGCTTATGGGGAGGTAACCCTTTTTATACGGGAGTCCGCAACACTGACCTGAGTCGAGGTCGATGATATCAGCGTGGGGCGACACTGCTTTAAACTTCACCCCTGAAAAAATCAAAACTTTGTTCAGCCTTCAAGCCTTCTGTCTGGCCTTTGCGATATCTTTTTGATCGGTGTAAAATCTTTGTATTCACAAGTTGAATCAGACAACAGACTCAACGCTAGATCTGGCCTTGCTCGGCACCTTCTTAACCCAACTGTATCAATGCTTGAATTTCAGGCTTGACCGGCGTATGTTAACAAACTATTTTTTGCCAATTTCAAATGTTCCGGGTTTGTCTGCCCCCCTAATGTCGAGACTACTCCTCTTCCGTGAGTCAGTGACAGCCTGACTCGATTCAACTTTCATGTTACTGTTTCTAGGGCCTGTCATAGATTCGGAGTCGATGATACCATTGTGGAGAGGGAGCAGAATGGGAGCAACTATTTTTATTTTGATGAGAAAAACTGCGCGGTAGCGGGAGCCTCTGGACCAGCCTGGTATAATATTATGCCCTCACGGGCATTGGCTCTCAGTGGCGTTGACTACTCCCCAACACATACGTCAGACTGGTCATCGTCGAATCTAGAGCAGGTGTCATCGACCTACGTCACCAGATAAATTGTCTCGTATGATTGAACCGCCTGTCAAGAAAATCTATCACACTCGAAGTCTACAATTCTTTACGGTGTAAATACAAGCATTGGTCACTAATAACGGAACATAAGAGTACATGATTTGCACGATGTCGCGTAGATATCTCAACTTGAACGTATCTAGGACCTAAGGCCCAATCTAGGCCTCTGCATCTCTTACACGGTTGATTTAAAATCCTCCGTGTTTCTCGAGGGAGCTTTTGGCTCGTTCATTTGCTATAGAAATAGTGATCCAGCGCATTGTATACTTCAGAATGTGAAGGAACGCACCTGCATGCTTGGCCTTTTCTTTGTCAATTGCGTCCATTCCCTTGGTCTCTACAATGCGGTCAACGAAGCCACCGGTCAGCGCCGCACTACGAAGAGAGTTGTTTAGATCAGATGAGTTCGAGACCAGTTTACATAATGATAGTACTCACAGCAGCTCCACGGCCTTCGCATGATTTGCGGGTTTTCCGTTCTTCTGGACATGCTTCTCGTACGCTTTGGCAGCCTAACATGTGATCGGTAATGACCTCTTATTTATCAACAACGAAAGACAAACCTCGTATGACGCGGCAGCGGCAAGGAGCTCGTGGGACAGCTTGGCGGTGTGTCCGCCAGTCACCTGCAGACCGTTGAGATGAACGATCAACATAACACACCACTGCGGCCTACCTGTGAGTGTGCCTGAGACTCTGGAGAATCGTTTGTGAACCACATAGTGTTTGTGTAAAGGGGAAAATATGAGTACAATGGAATATGGAGGCGACGCCTTTTATAACTGCGGGGAGGTTATTCCGATGCCCGGCGGGTGCGATGATATCAGTGTGGGGTGCACACTGCTCTCGACGGGCGGATCTGCGGAGCATGCACCCCACCTGAAGATATTTGTGCCAGCCAGATGCATTTAGTGCGTCATGTATGTATGTCTGGCCTTTGTAATTTCGCCTTCGTCAGTCGCTCATCTCACGCTCGTCGTCGAAAGTTAGGACCACAAATATTAATGCTCAACCATTATAGACAGACCTTACAGGGGCGGCCTTTGACAACCATTTCAAATGTTCCAGGTCAAGCCTAGTAACTGGTTATCTGCAGGCTGCCAAGCTGAGACTGCCTCCGATCAACAAACCGACGATGATTCGGACAGCCTGGATTCAACTCAGAAGTAAAACCTACAACTCACGGAATAGTTATGGTTGCTGTGGCTTATTATAGATGTCGGAGTCGATGTCATATCGTAGGAGAATGGAGAGCCTGCGCATGGGAGCTTGACACGGAAGACCGCCCAGTCCCTTGGAGTTCCAAGGCGTCATCGACCTACGTCACCGGTACGCACTTTTCTTGTACAAAGTGTCAGGACGGTTTCAGATTGTCCCAGTCGGGAACACCTGTGAGGCCCCATCATTCCGGCACGTAGTTTGGGAGGGTTTTGTTGGATGAGTCCGATTCTTCGAGTTTGGCACTATCATTGAACTCCCGCGAGGAAATTTTGTCGCACCCTTGTTTGCATTTCTTTACATTGTGGATCAGTGTTGGATAAGTCACTATGACCCTGCCTAATTTTGACAAGCCTGCGCCTTGCTAATCGCAAATGCACACCTGGCAGCCTCCGTAGCAGGTTGACTCTCCATATAGCTACCGCTTACAATCGTCAGGTTTTGCGGATCCTGCATCAAAACCATCCGGACAGGGCTGAGCTCAGTGTACTGCTCCCACATCGGAGACCTGTCCAGCTTGTAAATATTGGGATTGCCGGTGCGCACGAAGGAAAGCCAGTAAGCAATGAGTTCGGAAGTGAATGCGAGTTCGGCGGGCGTCTGTGGCGTAAATGTCGTAGAGCCGTTTAAACTAAAATATCATCTCCATGAGCCTGAGTTCTTGGTTAGGATAGACTGAGTGTCAGATGCCCACCCGGTGTTAGTGCCATCAAACATCATCCAATTCTCTGCAGCATGTGCAACGACATCGCTACCGCTCGTTGGGTTAGGTGTGTTGTACCGATAAGTCCAAGTATTGGAATGTAGCGAGGATGGGCCGCCCATGGCCTGGCGCTGGGGTATTGTTAGCATGACTACAGTCGTGAGGTTCAGACTTACACCGCATATTACGTCAGGTTCGCCTGTGGCCACCTGGAACTGCTGACTCAAAGAATCAAATTCATCTGCTGGATATAGCCGCAAGAACTCCTGAATAACTGCGTCTGTCAGTGATGGAAAATATTCCTTAAGTGCCAGAGAGATGTTCGCCCCGCCAGAAAGAGTCTCGTTAGATGTTGCGCTGCAACATGTTGTCGTCAGCTGGAGCGCGGCAACGGAATAACTCGAGTGCCAACATACCCAACTATAAGCGGAACATGAGCAAACTCATCGCGTTCGAACATCGACGTAGGGTGTCCAGTAATCAGCATGCCGTCCAAGACGGGGCGGAATGAATTGTACAATCCGGAACTGTCACTCGTCAGCTGCGGAAATGAGTGCTGCGTAGAGGGAACAGAACTTACAATTTCCCCTGGACTGCAGCATCCTGTGCCCGTGCAAGCGCGCTGATGCTTGCACCACGGAGACATGTCATTTGCTCTGCCACAGAGCCCGTTCCACACCCTGCGTATGATGCGTAAAATTGGAACAGAGGCTGTTATTGGGTGTTAGATCTGGTGCTCACCCCCATGGGATGCTTGCCATACCTGCTGTTGCTCAGGGGTGGGAAGGGGCGACCTGAAGACGCTCTGCGCAATAGCGCCAGAAAAAAGCTGTTCACCCTCGTTGGCAATCATGTGTAGCTCCACGGAGCTACCACCGGCGCTCTGACCGTTGATGGTCACTTTGGTCGGGTCACCACCGAATTTGCTGATGTATGATTTGACCCATTTGAGTGCCTGGATCTGGTCCTGGAACCCCGCATTAAAGTCGCCGTACGTGGGGTCGGCGAATTCGGGAGTGGTTAGGAAGCCGAAAGAATCAAGACGGTAATAAACAGACACGATGATGACATTCGGACTTTGATTGATCCAGTTATCAAATGGCCAGTTACGTGGATTTCCATAGACATAACCTGTCACGAGATTGAGTGAATAGTCATCGCTGCCAGTGGAACACGGCTTACCTCCGCCATGGATATAGAACAATACAGGGACTACATATGTTCATTGGAGTAGTGAGAAATTTAAACACGCAAGACAGGACATCTAGTAGAACGTACGGTTGTCGCCTTCTTCGACACCGTAGGGTGAGTAGATGTTGACTTTTAAGCAGTCCTCTGATCCTGCTCCCCCCGCATCTCCAGCTGGGCCACGGAGTCAGATAAAATATCCTGAGAATGCAATCATACATACCACCCGTTGTTCCTTGGACACAAAAGTCAGGGTAGTAGGTCGCGTTGACCACTACCCCGTTCAAGCTGGCCTCTTCGCTCACACGCGTCGTGTTCAGAGGGACCGTTGCACGGAAGCGCAAATCGCCTACAGGGGGCTCGGCATACGGTATCCCAAGGTATGCCACCGTATTTGGGTATGTCTGGTTGCCGAGATATGTCGCATAACCGACGTCGACTGTGGGGCAGATGGAATTCCGAGCAAGCGCACCATTGAATAAAGCAAGGCTCAGCCATGCGAGCATTACGCTGAGCATTCTTGAGTGTAGGATATCCCTGCCCTTGCAAGCATGGTTTTTAAAGCTCCTTTCTGCGGAATGGCCCATTCCGCGGGAGTAAGTCACGAGTAAAAGTCGACTCACACACAGGCTGCATGATGCATATTAAATCATGCGTGAAGGAGGTGGTTCGATGAAAAGTGGAGTCACGAGAAGCTTGCAGGTGCCGTCACAGGACTCCTTGAGTCGGTGGCCTAACTCAAAATATGTGCTAGAGTCGGTCAATCAGGCTATCATTACCGAGTGTAGAAAGAACCAACCATTGTCGGCATTTTCCGGATAAGAGCCCGTGTTCTTATACCTCACCGTAGTACTCGCCATGTCACCTGGGAAGCCAGCGAAAGCCATCAGAATCAAAGTTCCGCGTCACGGTGCTCAAAGGATAGGCGCGAAATTTTCTGCGCATGTTGAAGCGTTGGCTAGGAAAGAGAAAATACGTGCGGTCACTCACCAGCCCAACTATGACTCAAATAATGTAGCTCAGGCTATCGTGAGTGTCAATATTAATGCTGCCTCCTCCACCATTCTAACTCTAGGAATGTTCCATTTAGGAGTCTGCATCGGATTGGAACTCGCTACTTATTACAGCCCGTGCCGAACGTGGACCACAGTGGGATGTTGGAACTCAACAGTGCGTCTCTGAATCGTCTAGCTGTGTCATATTCCAAAGGAATTAAAAGCTCTTCAGATTTCTTGTTGACCAAGGGTCTGACCTATACTACGACTCGTCACCACTGATGGAGTACCAGAAACAACAACGCGAGGAGGAAAATGCCGCTCGAACCTCAATGCAGCCTCCTGACTTTCGTGCACATGATCCTTCTCGTATTACTCGAAATCACTCGACCTCTTCAAATCATAATTATCCTTATGCATCGCCGGGCATGTCTCAAGTGACTCCACGTCATCCCAATCTTGGGGGGTACTCGAATGTCCCATTCAATGGCATTCCACCCAGTCACTTCTACGGCGCCGGAGCGGAGGCTTCTCCTGCAAGGATGGGTTTGAGAGACAGCATGGGTGCAAGTATGTCTCCAGATGTGAGGAGAAGGTCAGCAAGAGGCATGCCAGAGGATGGATTCATTCAACTGCATGGATCATGATCGCACACAACAATTGATTCCCGCGTATGTTATCCAATGCTGTGTATATCATCCTTGTTCCTGCTCAAGTTATTACTCGCTAGCTCTACATTTCAGGAGAATTTATTTGTTGCATTGCTCAGCGTGAATTGACTACCCACGCATTATTCCGTCCGAGCCATTTGTGTTGTCACAAGTTCTCTTGCCCCGTCCTCCCAGTCTTCCCACGAAATAGCCATAATTGCAGTGTCTCTGCCAGGTCCTTCCTGCAAATCGTTTTTCCTAGGTGTCTTTCCCAGTAGCTTCCCGACAGGCAACACCCATGCCCATCTCAGAGTCCCTTCGCGTTTGAGCCCCATGCGAGCTGCAAGTCTCAGGGACGGCTCATTATCCGGATGCGCATACCAATGCACTCTTCTCAAGCCCAACCCAGATTCAGACTGGGATGTACAGGGCATGGTAAGGCAGTACTTGAGGAGTGTCCCTACTGCATGCGTCGCGACATGTGTCCGCTGAAACGCGGGCAGAATACACAGCACCCCAATCTCCACTGATAGGTTCGTCGGTGAATAACCCAGGAGTGCAATTGTCCCTGCAAGCACCCCTCCCCACTCCGGACGGTCCGGGTCTGGGGTCGTCGTGTCGATGATCGCGAAGAGCACACTGTACGGGTTCTGGCGCACGAAGGCGTCCATGAACAGCAGATATGACTCTGGATCTTCTATGCCAGGAAAGGGGTAGTAACGATAGAAGTGTGCAGGGTCTGGGATGGCTGTATGGTATTTTGCGGCATGAATGGATGGAATGAACGGTACTAGCTTCAGACGGGGGGTCTCCAGCTGAGTGAAGTCGAGCGGAAAGGCAACGTTGATGTCATAGGGGACGGGGCCATGAAGTCCGTAAGCAGGCTTCGGGGGAGGAGGGGGTTGATAAGTATTGACATACGCCATGTGAAGTCTAAGACGATTGGGCAGAATATCCTCTGAGGTTCAAGTCATGCATTCAACATTTTTATAGAATTCGCAGGCAATGTCAAGATCAAAACATTTGAATCTCGGATCGAATTACCGACTCGTATTCTATTATTTTCAGTGCTATGTTCCTATTCCTAGTCTGCCTTGAGAGATAAGACGTGTAATACGTTGGCACTTGTGCAATTATGGGCCGTGCTTACATACAGCAGTGATGCATGCATGTACGGTACTAGTTAGTACCTTCTCGCCATCCCAACAACTCAACTGACTTTCAGACGAGCAAGACAGACCGAGTCAATACCAACCAACTTTTTAATATTATTCATTTGACACTCATTCACGAGCACTGGTTAGAACGTTTCGCTCTAACCGCGTCATTTCGATCTAATGTAGCACAGTTGATGCCGCAGCCTAGTTTCAAGAAAGCGCCAACCCCGGTGCGAACTACGGCTCCCTTTGCTCCGCACGAGGCGATGGCCGCATCACAACAAGGTCACATAGAGAATCTAGTACAGAAGACTCGGACCCTGGAACACACCATCAAGAAGCTGAATGATGAACTCGGTCTTGAACAAACTCGCGCGAAGGACGCCGTCAATGTCATAAAACAACAATGGCGAGCAGAGCAAAAGGAGTGGCACGCTGGTTGTGATGCTTTACAGGCGTGTCATAGGATTGCTCATCTCAGGACGGCATGCGCTTTGGACGACGAACGAATCGCAGTGCTCAAGGAGCGCGAAATTGCACGGCGCGAGAGGCTTGCGCGTATACAAAGGGATTATAAGATAACCATGTTCCAGGCTAGAGAGGCAGAACTGGAGAGTCAAATAGAGGACCTCCACGCAGAGCTCGACTCTCGAGTGGCTCAAACGGAGTATTCGCTTAAATCTCGGGATGAGCAGTACCAGAAGACTATCCTCGACTTACGAGCAAGAGACGCGACGCTTTCATCCGAGTTGAAGCTGAAGTCGGACGAAATTTCAGCAGCCAATAAGCAACGCGAAGATGTCGAGGTCTGCTCCTTCAGTGCCAATCTTCTCATTAATAACCGATGGTCTACTAGGATGAACTGCGCCGATTTCGAGAAGCGCAAGCAGATGCAGATGCGACTACTGTTACAAATGTGTCCAAACTGGCCCGAATAACCGTACAACGTGATGGACTACAAGCCAGGGTGACTCAGCTCGAGCGGGAGCTTGAGGAACACAAAGATAATAATGCTAAGTTGCAACGTCAACTTGACAATTGGCAGGGCTTGAAGAAAGGTGATGACGTGGACCTAGAGATATTGCGGAAGAAGAAAGTCGAGTTGGAAGTTCAATTAAGGGAAGCGAATGCAGAGATCGAACGACTTGATAAAGCACTCGAGAAGGAGAAAGGTCGCACTACTAAACTTAAGGATGTCCTCCATGAGTGGAAGGTTAGATTTTTTCTCCAGCTGTCACATTGTATGTTCAAGAGACTAATTGTTCATAGACCGAAGCCGAGGAGCAGAAGACATGTCGGAAACAGGCTGATGATGAGGCTACAGATGCGAAAAAGGCAGCGGAAAAACTTGAGCAAGAGATATCAGATCTAAAGGCTCAACTGGCTGCTGCGGCCAAAACATCCGCTGCTCCAAAGGTAGGGTAAACTCTTATGCACCTATGCCATGTCTCAACGCATTATTATCCTAGAGCAAGGGACCATCTCCTCCTATCCCTTTGGATTCAGAGGAGGAGGTTAATCAAACTCGCCCGAAACCAAAACCAAAACCAAAACCAGTCAAGCGCTCGAAGCCAGCTGACAGTGACGTCGAGTTAATCGAACCTTCCGCCAAAGCAATAGGAAAACGGAAGGAATCTCAGGAAGACAGTGCCGATGAAAAACCTGCAGCAGAGAAACCAAAGCGTCCACGAGCAAAGAGAGCTGCCCCCGCGCCAAAGGAGAAGGCACCAAAGAAACCTACCCCGGAATCCAAAGCCAAGAACGAGAAGAAAGCTGCTGAATCATCACAAACAAAGACATCAAAATCTATCGCGGCCGCAGATAGTGCTGCAGAAGACGACCAAGATTCAGCACCTAAGAAAAAGAAGCGGAAGCTCAATGTAGGCATATTCCCTTCCACGCAACAACAGCCTCCGTTGTTTCAATGGGATCAGGTGCGTTATATGCTTCTCTGGTCGATGGTTTCGCTGAAACGTTGGATTGAAGCAGGGTGGACTCGGCCTAGGCATACCTACCGAGCTGTCGCCGGTGAAAGATGCCCATGCAGTCCCGCGACGGTTACATCCATCAAGCTCAGGACCAAGTTTCGCCAAAACTCGCGGATAAAGGCTGTCTCGGGTGAGTGCGCGGCAGCATCGCCAAAGTCTTTGATGTGATCGATGAACGTCATGCTTGGAATTGAATCCTTCCCGATGGGAGACGTGAGGTGACAGGCCAGTTGTTGGGCACAACATCGCGCTCTGTCATCAAACTAGAACTTCATCTAATATGTACGGTATGATTTATGAGTATACCCGCATGAGATCAGCTTTCACTGACTCGCTAACTGTACATCTGCATATACACAAGTGACTGGTCGTGGCACTCGCCGCAGCAGCCACAGTAGTACGCTTCCCTACAAATAGTTGCACGCTCTTGAGGATTCAGAATTTCAGATGTAATTGTTTGTTGTTTTGCTCGGCGTGAATTGAGTCATTTACTACCCACGCATTATTCCACCCGAGCCATTTGTGTTGTCACAAGTTCTCTTGCTCCGTCCTCCCAGTCTTCCCATGTAATAGCCATGATTACAGTGTCTCTGCCAGGTCCTTCCTGCGGATCGTTTTTCCTAGGTGTCTTTCCCAGTTTCCCGACAGGCAACACCCATGTCCATCTCAGAGTCCCTTCGCGTTTGAGCCCCATGCGAGTAGCAAGTCTCAGGGACGGTTCGTTATCCGGATGCCCATACCAATATACTCTTCTCAACCCCAACCCAGATTCAGACTGGGACGCACAGGGCGTGGTAAGGCAGTACTTGAGGAGTGTCCCTACTGCATGCGTCGTGACATGTGTCCGCTGAAATGCGGGCAGAATACACAGTGCCCCAATCTCCACTGATAGGTTCGTCGGTGAATAATCTATGAGTGCGACTGTCCCTGCAAGCACCCCTCCCCACTCCGGATGGTTCGGGTCTGGGGTCGTCGTGTCGATAATTGCGAGGAGCACATTGTGCGGGTTCTGGCGCACGAAGGCATCCATGAACAACAGATATGACTCTGGATCTTCTATACCGGAAACCGGGAAGTAACGATAGAAGTGTGCAGGGTCTGGGATGGCTGCATGGTATTTTGCGGCATGGATGGATGGAATGAACGGTACTAGCTTCAGACGCGGGGTCTCCAGTTGAGTGAAGTCGAGCGGAAAGGCAATGTTGATGTCATAGGGGACGGGGCCATGAAGTCCGTAAGCAGGCTTCGGGGGAGGAGGGGGTTGATAAGTATTGACATACGCCATGTGAAGACGATTGCGCAGCAAACCTCTGAGGTCAAGCCATACTTATTCTATCATGTTTGATCAGGGCTATGTTCTTGTTTTGATCAAGAGATAAGTGCCTCAACTAAGAACTTTCGATCGTTTTTGGCGGGGAATTGTATTTTCATGGCCGGAAGTTCACCTAGGCCTAATCGAACACTGGCATTCGGATAAATTTTCAAATTTTAGTCAATATCTCGGTCGGGTGTTAATGCCACTCGAATGCCGCTTGTTCTGCCAGTTCAGAACGTTCATGTTTGAACCTGAGAACCTTTGCGATGTCGTTTTTTCGTCGCTGGCGCTGTCGCATGGAACGCGGCGACCATTGGGATTGCATGGCAGAATACGACATGTTAGAAGCGAGTATCATATGTATTTTATCATACAGGTGCCTCGCAAGCCCCGGCGCCTGTCGGACGGACTTCTGTCAAGTGGTTTTGCCATCGCGAATGGCAGAACGTCAGTGATCTGACAACAAGTCACGCCTGTGGGTCATGACTCAACCTCCGAGCCCAAGAGCTTCCATGAGGATTCGCCCTACTGGTTCAGCACCGATGAGCAAATGTACGTCCAAAGATGGCAAGCATGCCTTCATAGATGCCATCGATAGTACGTTGAAGCCCTGTCAGAAGGATAAACGGCTTCAGCAACCTTTACACTGTTTCAGCAACAGAGGGGCCGGGTAGTGTAACGCGAGAGGATCCTGGAGTAACGACATCCGCACCGTCGCGTCGGGGCACAGAAACGCGTCCTCCGCACCGATTTCGAAGCGGAAAAATATCGCTACCTTGTAGGAATTCGTAGTCCACTCTGCAAAGCGGATGTTTTTTCAGCCTCAAATTCTGGGCTTTAGAGCTACGGCAGAGGTAATGACGGCATAAAGGACCGCAAAATCAGGGCTAAATCCCGCCGAGTTGACTGGTTATATACACGATCGTCATTACATTTGTCTTATTGTTATCAATCGTACTTACTAGTCTTTGGAAGCAATCCGCTCGCCTTCGGCCTCGCGACGAGCAACATGCGAGGGTGCGAAGCTGAGACGGCGCACGTTGAAAAGGTAAGACATTGAGAGCTATTGAAAGTCATCGGGTGCTGGCCGCAAGAAAAATTAGTGGCCATTGACAGTCCAACTAGAGCGAGATGGGCCAAAGAAGAAGGTGGTGCGAGGGAAGCAAATTGCAATTGACCTCTCCCGTATGATGGATATAAACGATTGAACAAGTCGCTCCTTCTTACAGTGAGCCTGAGCAGGATGCAAATAACAAGCAGCCGGCTGCAGCGTTATAGCTCGGAACATCATCGAGATCCATCGATCAGTTGTTCCATATTCCTCTAGAGACTGCAGGTCTGGCTGGTTCACTGCATTGGAAAGAGTAGTGCTCAGACACGGAGAAAAGCGACGGCTGACTGCCAAGCGAGACGCACACACGCGTATTCGTCGAGCCATATTTTCACCCCACGCGAATCTCAAAGTACAAGTAAGCATCGGAGGTTTTTTTCGATCAGGTTGGCACTCACATCGACCCAGGGAAGAGCCAAATGCATTTATATTGCAGCAATGGGCATATGCATAGTAAAGTGTAAATATAAGGAAGAATTTTGCCACATCATGAAACTCCTTTCAACGTGAATATTCGTGATTAGAGTGATTAAAGAGGGCTTTCCTCTAGACCATCCTGTGATAGATACACACGGTGACCTCATCCCATCGGTAAGCGGAACGCTTCCTGGAATGAGTGGTGAGCTAGGTGGTCATGTAAACGGTTAAAATTTAAAGTACCCAGCTTTGAGGGAATTTATAGGCCTCGGAAGATGCCGGTGCCAAACTTGTCACAACTGCACCTGGATCCTTGTGCTTTAAGTTTAAGTTGGGCCACAGCCTGTTTGAGCATACACAGTCAATTTGGTATCATGAGCTTTGTGTGCTCTTCGATGAGCCTCATCTGCCGCCAGTTCAGGTATTGGTTGAACTTTTTGCTACTCAAATGGGTGCCCCCGTCCCTCCCATCAATGCAACTTGGTCCCGACGGAAGCTCTCAGAATCCTGCCATGGTAAGTTGCCAGTTGGATTTTGCGTCCCGAAATCGAATTGGGTTCTTCAAGGTACAATTTTTCACCTGGGATGCCCGGCACAAAGACATGAGCTGGTGGGAACATTTCACGAAAGAAGTCCCGCACTTGGCCGCACTGGGGTTCACGCAGATCTGGCTTCCTCCGCCGAACAAAGCAATGGAACAGGTGAGACTCAGTAGCTCTGATGATATGTTCACAACCCCATCGTGCTACGATTGCTATAGACGGGTCGTGGATATGATGCCTATGATTTGGTACGATGTTCCGTAACACTTGTTCCAACCCTCTCTATACAGACGTTCGTGTAGTGGGATCTCGGGGAATTCGACCAGAAAGGCTCCGTTGCTACGAGGTGGGGAACAAAGGAAGAATTCTTGAGAGCTTGTAATGCTGCAAGGCAATGCGGCATGAACGTCATCATCGACGCAGTTCTCAATGTAAGGGTATTGGCTACACCTTACGAGTCTGCGCTCACCTTTAGTCGTGCACTACGGTACATAAAGCACAAACTCGGTGCAGACAGAATGGAAACCTTTCGTGCCGTACGTGTCGATCCATTAAACCGGTTGAAAGATATTGAGAACGAGAGATCAGTGAAGGTGTGATTCTCCTCCTCCCTTGTTACGGAGACCTCATCAATATTATCCACAGGGCTGGACTGCATTTGATTTTCCTGGTCGGCTTGGGAAGGTAATTCAATACACTGTAATTTCATCAACCAGAGGTAAACATATAAGCCAGTATAGCAGCATGCAGTGGAATTTCAATCATTTTACGGGTCAGTCAGTATTGGACCTTCTTCGCTTTTTATAACTGAAGTCGTTCAAGGTTTGGACTGGGATGAGCTCACGCGAACCAATGGTGTATTTCGCATTTCTTCCGAAAGACACAAAGGTTGGTCAAAGTGGGTGGACAGCGAGAATGGGAACTATGATTATCTCCTAGGAATCGATGTTCGCCGGTCCTTTTCGTTAAAGCGCTCATTCTAATCATCTATCCGGGAATTGTAGATTGACCACCGTCACCCTGAAGTACGTAACGATCTGTTTTCGTGGGGCTCATGGGTCCTTGACGTGCGTCTTGTGTCCGTCATTTCTTACATGATTTATTGAGATCGTTTTAGACCACAGGTGCCTGCGGATTTAGACTGGATGCCATCAAACACATGGACCGCAGATTCCTTCTCGAGTTTGTAAGGGGGAGTTTTGTTTTTATTCAATTCACCTGGTGACGGGGCCGCTTTACTATCGAAGATACAAAGAACTCGGAAACTTCCAGGCAGGGAGCGATTGTTTGCGGTATCAGAGTACTGGTCAGCCAAGTAGGTCCATTCTAGACTCCGTGATCTACAGGTCCCTGACTGAGGAGCAGCTTGCAACTTCTAATCCCATATATTCGGGCGTTCCATGGCCAGGTGTGCACCTCCATGACATCACTGACTTGGAATTAATGGCGACAGACCTCCTTTTTTGACGTTCCACTACACGAAAACTTTCACAGAGCAAGCAAAACAGGTGCTTCATACGACTTGAGGACCATTCTTGAAGGTTCTCTGGTAAAATTGAGGCCAGGAGATGCCGTTACTTTTGTTGACAATCACGAGTGAGTGCCGGCACCGGATATCTATTGTTCCAGTAGTAACTGTTTCTTCTGATAGCACGGTAAGCAAGCGTTTGATAATCACACATGATTTGGCCAATGATTTTTCCAGCAAGTCGGCCAGTCCCTGGAGAGCTGGGTAAGCCATTCGCACTTCTCGGTAGCTTCCAAGTAATTTCAATTAGGTGGACACCAACTTCAAAGCTCAAGCGTATGCTATCATTCTGCTGCGATGCCACGGATATCCGTATGTGTCATCTCGCCAAAATGCTAGACCCTAACACAAGTATCATGTCAGATGTGTTTTCTATGGTGACCTGTATCCGAATGATGAGTGTTTTGACGAGGGCACCTCCCGCATTCTGAAACAGTTACTCCTTGCACGGAAATCGTTTGCATATGGACCCATGGTAGATTACTTTGATCACAGAAACTGCATTGGATTTGTGCGCATGGGCGATTCCGATCATGCTGGGTGCGCTGTTGTGCTCAGTAATATCCCAATGTGAGACTATTCATGTCTTTTGTACAAGCTCGCCTGTTAATCACTTCCTTAAGGCCGGACCTAACTACGTCCAAAGTTCGAATGAACGTTGGCCCGGTATGTATCTATTATAAATTATAGTTATAACATCTGTTCATCTCTCGTATTCTCTAGCATCATGGAACAACATTCCGCAGCTTGTTTGACGGCACCCGAACTGTTGCAATTGACCGCGATGGTTGGGGAGCATTTCCTTCTTCAGAGGACTGTGTTGAGGTCTGGGTCAAAACTGGAGAACGTTAATGTCCAATAATCTCGACAGGTCCAGTGTTGCATAAGTATAAGTAAACAGGGCATAATACAACATCGCGATGGGTGGTTCCCTTTTTATTTCACAAATGTAATGGCAGACTCTTCCGACTGCGAATCGATACGCGTAGGTGATTCTAAGTCATAGCTTAGGACTCTACTGCGTTCCTGAAGCTCCAAATAGTTGTTGTCTGCGACACCTTTCTCTAGACGGGGCGATCTAAGGTATTGTGATGTTCTGGCCATAGTCACGCTATCCCTCCGTTCTGTAGTATTTTGAGAAAATTTGATGCCGTCAAATAAAGCAGCAGTTTCTTCAAGAGTACGACCTGAAGAAAAAAGTTCCCAGCTGTTCCACAAATCACAAAATAATGAAAGTCACCTCTCGTCTCGATAATGAACACCATCACAAATATTAGTTCCAAAACGAGCCATCCACAGTAAAAAAGGTACTTTGCGAGATATTTGTCAATCAAAAACTTGAACGAGATCGAATGACTCACGTATTTCCAACCCATGCTGTCGAGTGCCCACGGATTGACGAACGCGTTCAAAGCATTGCTAAGATACGCAACAAAGTTCTGTGCGGGACATCAGACGGTGTTCAGAGGCGAAACACGAAAGATCCAACCATAATTGCAAGTCCCTTGGCGCGAATATTGTAAGGCAGAATCTCAAGTGTGTAAGAAACAAGCATTGGCGTATACGCAAAGTCATAGAAGAAGTAGAACATAAAAATTAGCGGTACAGTAGCTGTTCATGCTTGATGAACAATCGCACCAGTATGACCAGGTTTCGGACTTGCCTTTCGCAGCTGCAGTACTCCCGGTCTCGTTGAATAGAGCGGTAGTGATTGTCCACATAGAGAAGACTACCCAGATTATACAATAAGCGAGATTCTCGGATCAGAGTCACAGAATAGTACTGACCAATTAACATTCCAATATTCGAAGTCAGGAACAGCTTCCTTCTGCCCAACTTGTCCACGAGCATTGTGCCCAATAGAGCACTAGCGAGATTAAAAACCTACACACACAAGATAAGTATCAACTGCAGCATCTGAGAAAATTTGGATAAATAAACCTGTAGAACGCCGTTTATTACTGCTTTTGTCTGAGTCGTGTTTATGCCGCTGTTGAACCTTTAGCAAATGTACCACCGTGCCGACCTTGAGAACTTACACCCCGTCTAGAACAATGTTGATATAAGACGAGACTAGACCATTGCCGCTGAAAGGAACATCAATTCCTGTAGTACCAAACTAGAACAAGGCTAGCCAAACCTCCACTGCGAAAATATTGCAATCGCTATAATGATGGACATACGCCGTCTGTTGCCAGGAGTCGTGAAGCACGTCAGGTAGGATGGACTAGAGGCAATCTCTCGCTCAAGGTTCAGAGCATGTCGGATTTGAGCCATCTCGAATGCTACTAGATGATCGCATTCGTTTCTCCCATTTGCATGGTAGTGAGCGAGGACGCGCGCAGCTTTGGATTCCTGTGAGAAACAAGGGCAGAAAGTTCAACCAGTAAATTCTAATTGACGGTGAAATTCCTCGCGAATGCTCACCAGGCCTTTAGCAGCTAGAAATCGAGGGCTCTCCGGAATGAACCTAAACACGATCAGAGGTGCTAAGTCACTGCAAACAATTCACGAGTCAAACATTCCCGACCATATTAACACCATTTGAAGGATAGGAATAGCAGCTTGAAATAACACGGGGACCCTCCATGACCATGCGGATGCCCCTGCTCGATCATAAGCTGCCAGGCAGATCCAAGCCGCTGTAATACATGTGAGAAACCAAATATATGGCACCGAATGTTACATACAGTTAATGCTGCCAAAATACCACATCGTATTGTATAAAGAAGTCAATTTCCCGCGCTTAAATGATATTAGAGACAACTGATAATGGACGAGGAGAATGGACAGACATGAGTCGGATAACTGAGTTCGCTGATGAGCAAGGGGGCGGCATTGATGGAGAAAGCTGTGCCTATGCCAACTACAAAAGAGGGATAAGCATCTAGATCATTCCGTGAATGGGAGTCTTACTGAGCACACGAGCGCCAACGAATACATGCACGGTGGTGGAGAAGGCTTGCGTGAAGACACCAGCTAACACTATGAATGCCCCAATAAACATAGTTGCTCGTCGCCCTAGCAAGTCAGACACATAAGGGGAAAATGGAATCCCCTAAAGCCAAAGTGAGCTGAGTGTAAATTCACCGCACTGCTGCAACTTACGCTGAGGGCGCCAATGCCTTGGGCAGAATTTATGAGACCTAAAAACCGTGAATAGAAAGTTACAGCAATGCCAGGACTACCCACCTAAGGTTTTACCCTGCGGATCATGGAAATATTCTTGCCATCCGGGCAAAATTTGCAGTCCTAAGGTAACTTGAGTCGACCATACGATAGTGAATGCCCACGACCGACCGTTTAGTATGGACGAATCAAGACCATTCAATGTTGATGATAGTAGTGGTAATACCAAACATATATTTAAAACCAGGAGGCCTGCGTGCCGACGTCGTCAAGCAAATCGTTTGTTTCGGTGCGCTCAGCCAAGCTCGTACCACGATTCCTCCACCAGGACTCTTGGTGAATGAAGTTTGCAATCGCGCGTTCCGGGATTGCCATGAAGGTGAAGACGTTAAGTTGACGGGTGATAATTGGGGGGAAGGAAATGAGAAGGTGATTGATTCGTGGGGTATCATAATATAATGTATGTACTTCCTATTCACTGTCGAACGATCAAGCGCAAGGGTCGCCTCGAAGCCTTGACTGTAATCACGTCAGGTATACTTGCGTAAAATAGAGATGAAATCTCGCAGTTCGGTACATTCTGCCGGAAGTTTAAAGACGTGGTGAGAACGAAGGCGGTAGGCGGCGGCTCAACAATTAACGCACCTACTGGCAATGCATCCAAACCTTAGATGTAAGTCCATGACAACCTCCGACGGGTTTGACGGGTCTGTATTTGGTGCTGATCGTCATTGAGTGGGCAATTGTTACTTTTACCCCGTCCCCACCTTCTTGCTGTAATTTTTGACTCCTAGTACTGCTGTTACGTAGATTCCCAATTTTTACAGAACTTCATTATATGACTTCGCGCCCAACGAGCAGACATCTATAGACAGACTCGTCAGTCCAGATTGGGCGTATTCTGGGAGATGGTATTACCATGGTCCCAGACTGTGATCACAAAAATTTGGACCTAGATTCATTGCACTGGTCCTGCACTAAAGCATGTCTGCTGCTAGGTCAATCGGGCCACAAAAGCGGAACCATATCGATCGGGGAGTCAAGTTCCGCAACAAGACCTAGGCTCGTGCTAATATTTTGTTGGTTGATGGTTATTGAGATATCCCGACTCTCTGTTGTGATGGTAGTCGCTGAACCTCAAATGTTCTCGTCCTAGAATCCGGTGCCACGGCGAGCCCTCGCCGGATGTTTATCAACTTGAACGTTTGAACAGCTGTGAAAAAGTTGAATGGATGACCGTACAGCGGCTGAGAAAATGAAATGGATAACCGTACCCTGGTAGGCCCTTGCCCCTGCCAATGACAATATTCGCTGGCCTCGGAGCCTGACAGCTCTTATCAGATATACTTCTTTCTGGCCTCGATTGTGCTAGGTTGTGCCTCTGTGCCTTGGCAGCCTTCCTTGTCGCTAACCGACAGCTAATGCCAGCAACTGGTGAAATCAGCAGTACGACAGTGCCGAGGATTTGATGCTCCGGGTGATTCATTTATTTCGCTGTTGCGATTGGCTCTACATCACAGCTTGAATCTTAAAGAAGCTGCGGAAAGATTGTACATCGCCGGCGAGCCTGAGATTCCTCAGTCAATACTGATTTTCCACCGCCGGCAACGCCCGATCTACGGGGATTCGCCGATGAGTACGCCGAACAGTGGAGTCTGACTCGAGAGCGCCTAGTATGATAGTATCTACACTGGCTACCGTGTTGTGCTCGTCGCTCCGTTCATAAACCCCCTCCCTGCGCACTGGGACAGTGGGCGGCTTCTTCCATCGCAAACAATGCCGTGTACTTACTCGGCTGCTCTTGCAGAAAGTTCCAGTCCGATTAAGGAGCCTGTTGCCTGTTGCCTGTCTCCAACAAATATAAGCCTAAGAAACTGGAAGTGGTTGTCGGCGTCCGGCTTAAGGATCTTTCCTGCCGGGTGGAGACTATCCTGAAGCAGTCTTGGACACATCAGCGAGCGAAGTCGCTGCAGTTGGGGATCAGTCACATATAAGGTCCATAGTTCGATTTCGTTGGCATCCTTTCAAGCCGCTTCTAATATGTTTCAGGTCAATCCCGTCTCGTGCACTAGCTCTCACCTTTACAAACCCCCTGAATCGGTGGTACTGTGGTTGATTTTGGCGATGATATTGAGAACATTGACCTCGATCTCTCGTCGCGTCACGACTCGCGTGTCGATAAGCTCAACAATATTCTGCGTGTGTTTTATCCGTCTCTCTCTAAATTTCTAATTTGACGTCTGATCCTTGCGCGGGTCGGTATAAATGTATGCACGTTGCAGATGCGATGTGAGCCTTTTTATACTTTACTACATAAGAACGCTACAACATTAGATAGTTACAGAAACAATAGATCTCTTGCTATGAGACCGTCGCGTTCGGCGCATATGTTTTTTTTTTTCACGTCTCACCACCGTAGACTATCATGCAGCGCAAGGTGACCGTCCACGCAGGTGTCCTAATGGGTCGAGACCAATGGCTCGGGCGACTACTCCCAGCCACTCGCCTCCCCACACCTGACTGGTCATTGGGTACATGGGCAACATATTCTCTGAGCTGGCATCACACGTGTCCTTTGCCATAGTCTATCTATCTCGGACCTCGGTAGCCTGGCGATCGAGAGCCGGTTATGCATTTGTCTATTGCCCAACAATCAAGTGCTATCAAGTATCGCCCGCATCGCGCTCGCCTACATAAAGTAATCACGCTATCCTTGTTCACACTGTGACTCATCCCTGCATACTATAATCACTCACGGGAGCGATCGTTCATAGGACAATTTTGAAATATTTATCCGATCGGAGAGTTCCCGACGTCGACAGGGCGGCTAAGATGTGCGCGCAAGTACGGACAGGTACGTACTACGGACCTATGATATAATTACACGCTTAATGCCACACTACAATCGATCAAATACGAGGTAAATTGTGAAGTTTGCTGGCTAACCTACTAGACCTAGATCTGTGCAGTGAGGTGGCGCCACCACATGGAGACCAACGTCATACAGCACTCACGTTTATTTATTGCGTGCACTGATCGTCAAGATGTTGCCGTCTCCTGCCGTTCCCTCCCGCGAAGCGCCAAGGTTGAAGACTTCATTTTCAAACCCGATATGCCCGAGTATGCTCGTCACTCAAGGTGCATAGTTTCGTATTCAATCGTAACAACTCATATGAGCATGGCCGTCACTCATTTACTCAGCCAGAGTTGGGCCTGAACCTTCATAGAAGAAACAGATGTTTTATTGGTCTGCTTGTAGTAGATCAGCCAGGTCCCACTGGCCAGTCTCAAGACCGGACGAGCCGTTACTGCCATCCTTCTTCTGCCTACAAAAAAATCAACTAACTCCAAGGTATCTGACATTCATCTCGAAATAAATACCCTGAGGATCAGCAATACTGTGTAGCTTGCTCTAGCAGCAGCGTGCGATTCAGATTCATAGTGCGCACAGTCCGCGGAAAGCCCCATGGTCCAGCAATTAGTCGAGTTTGAATTTGCCTTTTCATAAGTCTGATAGCTCTGATGTACAGGCCTTACCCAGGCCCGGTCCCTTCGTCACCTCTGTGGCGCGCACCCTGGATCCGGGCGTACATGGCATGACGCTCATGTGGAACAACCGTTTTTGCGGGGATTGACATGTGCCTATACGCTGGCACGCCTTCAGGCCGTATTCTTTCCTTACGATGAAGCCTCATATACTGGCTCGTTCGTAGGATCAGGTTTTGTCGCCCGACTGTGTTACGCCCGTCCTGGCTTAGGCTTACTCACGCATCTCTAGCTTGTCCTCGGTCTCTTACTGCCTCGAGTTTGTCTATAGTCAGGGTTTGCACGCAGTATCCATCGGATCTTGAGCTGGCTAATCCTCACAGCCTACGCTCTCGCGAGGCTTGGTGAGATCAATTATTCAGTCTTGATTCAGCTGAACAGGCTACATACCCCCGCACTTGACCCCTCATGCTCCGCTACGTCGCAACGCTCAGAAAAAGCCTTAGAATGTCCATACATACAGTTTGCGACTGGGCTCAAGACGACACTTGCAATTGTTGTGATGCACATCAAAATATAGATCATTCGGATCGTAAGAAACATTGCACTGTACAACAGCAACTCCCAGGGATCCGAAGGTAAAGTGTCAGTCGGGAATGTCTATGGAACAAAACAAAGAACGAGTGAATGAGAAGGCACCATTCAATCGAAAATGTAAGAGCCATAGGCACGTAAGCCCACGGTCGAACGAGGGAATGTAAACGTCAGTGGGGTAAACTCCAAATACTCCTAAAAGCAGACAGCTTAATGTACGATGTCGCAGGTAAATGATTAGCAAAAAAAAGCCGTGAATGTCTCTGGAAAGTCCGTCGACTGGTATCGGTCTTTTGATTTCAGAGCAAATCTAGAAAAGAAGGGCAGCAACAGCAGCGCCGGCAATGCCGGCGGCACCAACGCGGATAGCATTGACAGAGGCAGCACCAGAAGTCGTTGAAGATGAAGCAGCAGAGGTAGCAGAGCCTCCGGCGGTGCTACGGAGGGGACATAACGTCAGATCACATTACAACTTGACAACAATGTGAACTCACGTGGCGGCCGAGGTTTTAGTGGTACCAGTACCACTGCTAGTGGTAGCCACAGTACCAGTCGGAGCGGCAGCACTAGTTGCAACAGTCGGACCAGAGGAAACTAGAAGCGAAATATCAGCGGATTGTTAGGTGATTACATACAATAAGAGACATACTCGACGTGACATTAGTGCATGTAGTTGAAGCTACGCCAAGGTAAGCAACCGATCAACAAGGTCAACTGAAACACGCACAACCGGGGTTCACGGTGAAAGGGGCGGACTGCGCAGTTAAACCAGTGCTGTCGCGAAGGGTGAGACCAATAGATGTCCCGGACGCGATGTTGCAGACCCAAGTCACTGAGGTACTGTTTTGCTGTCCCAAGTTCTCAAGAGCAACACCATTGGGAGTCGCACCAGGTAGGATGCTGGAACGGCAGTGAATAAAATGTTAAATACATGTGGAACAAAGTCATTACCTCTGTATTAAAGGAAATAAAATTCACTGCGGGTGAATGACTGCAACCACGTTAATAGGAAACCACTGACCAAGAAGTAGGGAGCTGAAACACGGTCAGACACGGAGGAGAGAAGAAAGCGTATGTTCGAATAACTCACCAGTTCCACCTGACCACGCCAGGAGGGTGGGCTGGCACTCAACAACATTGGCACTGTTCCGAGAAAGCAGTAAGACCTTGACAACTCATGATGAACATGTGTGAAATTACTTACGGAGTGTTGATTGTGAACTGGGCGAGAGCACCAGCAATGAAGAGTGCGAGGAAGGTAACAGAAAACTTCATTGTTGAACTTGTCGTTGGGTTGGACGACGACGACGACGGGGGGAGAAGTTGAACTGCGTGGAAAAAAGTTGATGCATTTCGTATTTATTTGCCCGAATGTTTATTTACATCATCATTCTTCCAAACACGCCACGCCAACTCCACTTAAATTACTACGATAGCCAAGTACATACAAAAGTAAGTACTCCTGCAAGTACTTGGAATCATGAACCTAACGCATAGCTTTAACCTATAGCGAGTCTCTCATGGCTAGAATCAGTTTGGGGCTTTCGTTGGGGTCGACAAGTTCACTGGCGATGAACTTGAAGTTCGTTGAATCGTTGTTCGGCATGCCGTTGATAGCGTAAAAATACATCAGTTACTGATTCGTGCGTACGTCCGCAGTTCCCTAAGCATACGTTAGTGTTTTGGTCATGACCATTGCACCCTGTAAGTTCTCACCATTCATTATCTCAATCTTCCCGCACGATGTGCACGCGTGTAACCAACCCATAGTGGTCGCTCACCCATTTACCCCTCCCAATCGCTTCATCAATTCCTATCCTCTCTGGCTCATCCACTTTGAAGCCCTCTTGTCCGGTAGAGAGCACCTTGTCTAACCGGCCAGGTGCAAACCGCCCCGCAGGCTGATACCCCCAGGTAAAGCTTTCTTCGTCATCATCACCCCCCTCCCAGGCGTCATACAGCCCAGCCTCTTCCACGATCTTCTCGTCAGTAGGCCCGATAGCATTCATATCCCCTGCAACAATGCCTCCGAAGAGTCCCTTCCCATGCAATGCAGCTGCGATGAGTTTCAATTGCCTGGGGCGTGCTGTTGCCCCACTTGGCATAGATTCAAGATGCGTGTTTGCAATGCGCAGGGTCACGATGCCTCCTGATAGGCGAGGTTCGTCCTCGTGAGCTGGGATGCTCAGTTTAATATCAACGAACACGGCGTTGCGTTTCATCTCAGAGTTGCTGAATACGATGGTAGAGGCATTGACCACAGGAATTGTGCGGGAGACCAGCGTGACATTTCCATATTCTGCTTGATCTGGCCACTTGTCCACACTAGTGGGAACAACTATGAAATACCGTCGCACCCATTCGGCGTTGAGGATCTGCGTGAAAACGGACGCGTGTACCTCCTGCAACAGGATGCAACATGGGTCAGGTCGTTCATCAGCGGTCCTGCAGTCAAGAACGTGTTGCTGGATGTGGGAGAGGGCAGCAAGAAGCCGCTTCTTCTTATCAGCAGCTGCGAAGTCGATGTTCCAGGTCACGAGGCGGATGTCAGACGGCAGGGGCTCCCTAACGCCTCTGGCGCAGTTGGAAGTCTGGGCCCATCGCTTTTTGCGAGATGAATAGCGCACTGCGCGGAGTGGTATCGGGGCATCTGCCTCATGCCGCACACGCACCCTCACAGGCAGAGGAGGCGATTCGTCTGGCTCCGTCTCATAGAAGTCGGAGGGTGGGGAGGGTACGAACGCTTCATCGAAGTCGGAGGGCGGGGAAGGTATGAACGCATCACCGATATAAGACATCGCTGATTGAGTTAGAATACGGATGGTTGATCAAGTCTCAGGGCTACGATGCCCTATAGTGCGATGTCTGAGATGCAAGAGATGTCGGATGGTCCACTGTGGTCAGCAGGTGAGGCATGCTGTTTCAGAATGAATAACTAAGAATTAAGTAGCCACGCAATATTCCATGGTGATCGGTTAACGTTGATCCTCGAGGCTCCTTGAGGCCTTCTATTTTTCCGATGAGAAGTGCAACGTGCCCTTCAAAAATTGAAACCGAGTTCCAGTTTTGGTTCTTTCCACCGTAAAAACGCTGGGATAGGTCCGTTTCGCTACTGATTGCGTGGAGGAAATCACCGAAGGCGTGTATGGAAGCTCACGGTAGGCAGATCCAGCTTAGAACCGGTGAGCATAAAGCTCAGATTAATAGATAGCACCGACATAGCATGCAGATTAACAATATATATGTGTGTCCTTCATTACCACGCGCGTAGCAGGTGATCAAGCGTGCGACATCAAAGCTCAGCCGTGGCTCTGCCAATGACACTCTCAACCTTCTCCTGTGCCTCCTCTAACTTCTTGGCCACGAATGCACTCAGGACGTTGGCCTTGATCTTGATCTCATCGAGCTTCGCAGGTGATATCGTGCGCTTGCTGAGGATAGAAGCGAGGCTGATAAGAAGATATATCGGTCCATGATCAGTTGAATGCCCGCAGGTGTTACTAGCTTACCGCTTAGACTCCTTCTCGATATAGGATTCCCGGTCGTTTACAACTTTCTCCATAATACGGATGTAGTGTTTTGCCGTCTCGCCGAGCGATTCGGAGAGCGTCAAAGCCTCCTTGTAAATATAATCACGAGCGTCACCGGCAGCGCCCAAGAACTTCTGGGCAAGGGTATCGAGTTCCGCAATGCGGCCAGCCTGTACTTTTCAGCCCAATGTTTGATTACCGGTTCGCACGTGACACACCTCATCATTGAGACCACCACCAACAGCGCGCTGAGTTCCGCAGCGCTCGTTGAGGAAAGCAACAAACGCTTGTTCGGTGCGAGGGCCTTCATAAGCCTCAACTTCCTTTCCACCACGAGGGAAGAACTTGATGGTAGGGTAAGATGACACTCCGTAGCGACCAGCAATCTCCTTGTTCGGTTGTGCATCCGCGTCAATGTTGGCGACAATACACTACAGAGAAACAATGCTGATTAGCTGAAGCAGCAAGTAGATCATCGGGCAGTACGCACGGTGCTCTCTGGTTTGAAGTCAATCGCAACTTGCGTGCAAGTGTCAGGAAAATTATCAGATAAATAAAACTGGCACAATACCTTGTTCATAGATTGGCTTGAGGCTCTTGCAATGCCCGCACCATGGCGCGGTGAATGTGACAAGAACATCTTTTGTCTCGTCCAAGGCAACATCATCAAAGGAATGAACATCAAGGATCAAGGTTTCAGGGGGTGGTGGGGGCTTGATGTTCGATTTCACACCAGACTTCGTTGTGATGCTGAAAGAATACGTTAGCGCAGGGAGAGCCCATAAATGTGGTGAACATACAACGAAGCAAGGGCGTCAAGGTCGCGGCCGCCTTCATAAGGCTCGATGTTGCCTTTCTCGTCAAACCACTTCAAAGCTGCACTCGAATGATAAGTTTGACACTCGTATAAAATTCAGATAGTAACTTACTGGGGTATCCAGTGACACCGTATTTTTGTCCCAAAGATTTACCGACACCATCAGCGTCGACTTTGGCGACAACAACTTTGCCCTTTGCGTGCGCAAAGGCGTCTCCAAGTTGCTCATATATAGGAGCGAGGTTCTAGAGTGAGCATAAGTGTTTTGCTCTCGTGTTATCACAGGGGTACATACTTTGCAGTGACCACTATACCACGAGGTGTTCGTCAAAGAGAGTTCACATAAGAGTACACAACGTACCACCAAGGGGCAAAGCTGAAATTGGAAGTTTAGGAAACGATTTAGAGTTTTAGAAAGGCTGGCGAGCTCACAATTCAACCAAACCAGGCTTCCCTTTGCCAATTTCACTGTCAAAATTGTCTGGGTTGAGGTCGACAACGTTGGAGGCACTGACGCCAGCCAACAGTCCCGCGAAAAGAAGCGACAGCGACAGCTTCATGGTAGTTGGGCAATGGAAAAACACTGGGGTAACTGAAAGGCGACGTGGAGTTGTTGAGTTTTAAGTTAAAGAATCAATAATGTTGTGCCTTAGTCAGCGGCTTAGGACTGTGCTAGATAACCACGTGGTCATCATCTTTTCGTTATCGCGTAGCTTTACTCAGCCCGAGATTTCTCAGCAATCTCCTCCAAAACCACGCCGACCAACACCATCCAGAGGTTATCGATGGCGGCACCTCACGAAACAGAAGACTATATTGAAGAAGAAGACGGGGACGTGTTCATCGACTCGGGTGATGTCCTTGCAGAGGTTCCCGATGACGGCGACCATCTTATGGACGAGGATGATGAAGCAGACGACGGGGTTGGCGATCTTCCATCTGGGGACTCTGATGTGAAGGACAACTCGCTGCAGCACTTCACTACTCACAACGGCTCTGTGTTTGCTATATCATGTCATCCCACGGAACCGCTCGCAGTCTCCGGGGGTGAAGATGATCTTGGATACATATGGGATATTACGGACGGAGAAGTTATTGTGAAGCTGACTGGACACACGGATAGCGTATCCGGCGCTGCTTTCAGCAGCGACGGCCAGATGGTCGCGACTGGTGGAATGGATGGGAAGGTGAGGATATGGAGAAGAGTTGGCACAGTGAACTTCAGAAATTGGGAGTTCTTGACTGAGCTTCAGGGTCCAGATGAAGTGATTGTGAGTGTATAAATTATTTCCTCCGATTTTCATATATTGATAAGAATTCAGTGGCTACGCTGGCATCCCCGTGGATCAATTTTACTCGCTGGATCCAACGATTCTACAGTTTGGCTGTGGCAATGTATGTCAATGATATACAAGCCGCCCCCTGATCTACTCACGTAAACAGTGCCGTCGGGAAATACCATGCAGGTATTCGCTGGACACAGTGGTCCAGTTCAATGTGGAGAGTTCACACCCGATGGTAAGTCTGACTTACTGGAGCCAAAAAAAAAAGCAGCATCAATTTGTCGTTTAACTAGGCAAGCGGATAGTAACCGCCTCTGGGGACGGAACTCTCCTGTATTGGGATCCGCGGTCGCCAACTCCATTGTTTAAACTTACACCACAAGACGCCCGTTTTGATCTCGAGAACATTACATCTCTTGCAATAAATGCCTCTTCTACGCTCGCAGTTGTAGGTGGAACATCTGGGAGTGTGCGTGTAGTAAGTCTCAGCAAGGGTGAGGTTGTCGGTGCCCTTGGGGGGCATGCTGAGGGGGAGAGTGTTGAAGCTGTGCAATTTGTCGATCTCACTGGATCGGGAAGCAGCCCTGGCGTTGTAGTCACTGGGGGGACTGATGGAAAAGCGTGTGTATGGGACCTCTCCACAATGAGACTCCGCGCAACTCTCAAGCATCAGGTAAATTCACGTTTTTTATTGGAAGGCTGTTGTGCTGACACTCTTCAAGGATGCTGTAACTTCTCTGTTGACTCACCCGGCACCAAAAAGTCACTTGATAGTGTCGGCGTCCGCAGACAACACGCTCCGTACGTGGGATGCTCGCACTGGCGCACTAGTCAAGGAGCACACTGGGCACCATGGCCCAATACTCAGCGCGTCTCTGGGACTCCAGGGTTCCGTGGTTGTTAGCGGTGGGGATGATTCGGCTTGCCTAGTCTTCACAACGGAGGTCGACGAGTCAGGATAGAGCTCACATTTATGAATAACCTGCCAATCTGTCAGGTCGCCATGTCATCTAACGTTCCTGGCACACCACAAAATAATACCCTTGTACTATCCAATTAGAATCATAAATAGTTCGAGAGCATGTGGCTTGAGTTATACCCTGCAAGTACTGCGATTAGACGACTCAGATCTTGGGCCCTCCCATGCCAGCCGGTTGTTTAACCTCCATCGTCCTGATTCCGGTCGAGTAAACAGATAGTAGGAGCAACAAGGAATTGAATGGGAATGTAGCGGCTGGGTGACCAGGCCAACTCGTGCTGCTAAGGTCTAAGTTTGTCTTGTGAAGTTGGTTCCCTACACTTCGAATCTTGACAACTCAGCTTCAATCGCCGTGTCCTTCCCATCGGCATCACCACCTGCACTTGATATCTCATCGTCAGTATCTGCTGCGAACAATAGATGGAATTCAGTGGGTATTTCCAATATTGCCTCCGACTGGGCACATTGGTTTGTTCCTGCTGTGAATTGCAGGGCGTGACATCTTGGTTGTGGGCATTGAATTTCGAACGTACCTTGATTTCGTCTCACATTGAACTCTCAAAGTACACAATCGCCAATAGGAAGATTCCAGTGTAGTTTCGTAGCATTGGCAAAGTGCACAAAACTATATTGATCCCAGGAATTGTGGTAGAAAAGGGGCGCCAATAAAACGAAGACTACATGATCATGACATGGTCATTCATCATAACTGTCTGATGAGGTGCTACAGCGCTCAGTGATTGCGGATGAGTTTCGACCTCGGGGTTGCCTAGGCTCGTGACCAGCCTGGTGTATACTTCCACGGATACTTGACTACGTCAAATAAATCTTAGCATCCCAAATTAACGCATTCCGTCAATTTGAGATGCTAAGATTCAAACTGGTTACGAGTCTGGGGGTTGCAAGTGACTAGTGTTAGAAACACGCTCAGTGTTGGGAAGCATGCAAACACGATGTAGACGAAGTACTTATGGACGAGAAGACGGAGATTGAAAACGTAAACGAAGGGGCGAGGTTGCCCCAACCCCAAACATAATGCTAATCGCAGACGTTCCTTCTTGGAACGATTCTCCAACAACTAGAACGTCTGGCTCAGCTGTTACCTGCGCATGCCATCAACGACTCGCATATCCAGCCTGCGGTGGCACATGCCACAGGTGCCATACTGAGATTTCTTGAGGAGATTTGTATAGAAGCGTGTTTGGGCTGCGATGTTGTGTAGCGCGAAGGAGGCCACAATTTGATCCATGATTGTTCCGCGCGACATAAATCCAGCTGTGAACGCGTCCAGAGTCTTCATTTGCTTTCCTTCGCGGGTGGCAGCATCCAAAAGACAGGTGACGATGAAGCCATTCGGATCGGTGTGACCCCCGCCGAGGACTCCGTGCTTACACTGACATGCAGTCTTGTTGGTTTTCAAGTTTGCTATAGCAGCAGAGAGTAAATGAAACTTACTGGTAAATACTTCAATCAACGTTTAAGTTAGTAATTAAGTTAAGTACTAATTTGTAGTCGTCCGTCGCAGCCACACGCGGCAGGGTCGCAGGCTACCCACGATAACTCAATCATCGATTTCCTGTGCTTGATACTTGTACTCGGATATACACCATCTAACGCGTTTACAGGAGTCCAGGTGTTGATTTTGATCGACGGACATGTACAACGGCTTCCAAGCTGATAGTAATAACCCGTTCTTGAATGATGCTGCCCCCGCACACGCCCGCTTCCCCGATATCTCTGCATCGGCCCATCCACAGTCGCCGCAGCAGGTAGGCTACCAGTCCTACGACACCGGTTATCAGCAGCAGCCCCAGTTCCAGCAGCAACAGTATCCGCAGTTTCAAGGACAGACACCCTCAGGCTATCATGATCATCAGCCACAGCAATACCAACAGAGTCAGTATGCGTCTACGTCGTACGGCTTTGGGTATGTCGATCGTATATGGCAATTGTTCAGCATACTGACTTTTCTATGTTTCACCAGACAACTTGGCCCACAGTTGACCGGCGTGCCTTTCCAGCCATCTGGTCATTATGGACAACAGCCAATGTCCCAGCAGCCTTACCAGCAATATCCCAACGGATACCAGAACCAGTATGCTCAACAGCAACAGCAGCAGCAGCAGCAACAACATCAACAACAACAGCAACAACAGCATCAGCAACAGCAACAGCAATACGGAGGCTACCAGCCTCAGCAGCAAACCCCAAGTTACCTCTCTGAGTTCGACCCATACGCATCGCGCCCCACCCCATCACACAACAGGTCCCAGTCCCAGCCAACTAGCCTTGCGAGCCAGAATCCTGGCGGCGTGATGCACCCTCGGGATTATATCCGCCAGCATAAAGCTGAACTAGAGGCTTGGGATCCTTACGCGTGGAAGCAGATGTTTAACGCCTGTGATGCGCTCAGCGCAGCCTGGCTTACACGCAAGCAAGAGGCGGAGAGGATGGCGCAGCAGATGGGTGGGTACGGCGCACCGGGTGTGTTCAATCCAACATCTGGTTATCAGGCGTATGGCAGCGAACTTCAGAGGTGGCAAGAGGTAATTGCTTCCTCATCAAATGGCTTTGCACTTGCTTACCCATTCCTCCAGACTGTGAAAGAAGCTAACTCAAATCATGGTAATCTCTACCATCTGCTGCGAGTCTTGCTAGTGTTCATCGTGCACTTTCTACAGATACCATCGCGGCCTCTGCATTTCAGCTGAAAGAGGTTCACTCCTCTTATAGACAGTCAGCAGATGCTGTGAGCAAGCGACGCGTGCGCGAATCTTGCAATGCGGCACTGACGAACTTGCCTGACTGGCCTGCACCATTAAACGCCAATCAGCTTTGGTAGAATCTCTTCACCTCGCTCTGGGATTATCAAAGGAATTTATGTTTTGGAACTTTACGATCATTTACGCGATATGCTGTTGTATTTCCAAGTGTTGTATTTCTTGAAGCAAAGGTGGCTCTTATATACTGATCTGCGTAGGTGAACAGCTCTTAGACAAAATCTCAACATTTTGCCAGTCCGGCCCGACACCTCCCAAACGCTCCCAAGCTTATGACCTTATGTATTGAATTCGTCTTAATACTAGTCTTACAAGAACGTCTATCTCGGTCATAGGTAATATTCACGCAACTTGGATTGGTAGCCCCATCGCAACTCGTGCAATAGGCTCTTTCACATCTGCATCGACGCCCAAGCCAACGTATGTGGTACTCGGCTTGTCCTTGACAAAATCGGGAGGGTTGATGCCCGCGAGGAACGTCTCTGCTTGTTTCTTGACATACTCCGTATTCATGGGCGTCTGTGGGACCGCGCCGATGTACATCACTGAAATATATCGGTTTGCATCGGTGTGATCATTAAGGAATTCAGAGCGCACCTGCTGAATCTTGGGCACCGGTGTGCTCTTCCTCGACGGAGTGTACAACATCCTGCGGATTGTTCTGGTATGAGCAGTAATAGAATGCAACAGAAGAAGACATACGCAGTGCCAGAAAACCATATCTCCTGGGTTGACCTTCGGCACGGACGTCATGGTCTTCTCAAGCCTGAGGTGTGGATGCTGTTCCGGGGTCGGACGCGGACCAGAGAATCCGTCTGGCATGATTAAGATACCAGGGAAATCGGGGGTTGAGATGTCTTTCGGTGAAGTTAGCTTGGGCTAACGACGTCCAAATAAGTAGACGCACCAAATACCCAACTCTCTGGCTTGAGGATATCCTCTGAGTCGATCGGGACAGTGGGGCGGAAGAATGGACGGAGAATAGTGTATGCATTTGAAAGAAGGAGGTCGGGGAACACCCGGAGCGTTCCTTGAGTCGGAGCAGCCTCACTGAAATCACGACCGCGTGAGGTTTGCTTTAAGATTTTTCACAAGATACCAACCTCATGGCCAACCAGCCTTGATAGGACCTGAATATGGTCGCCTAAAACAATGAAGACTAGATAGCTACAAGGATAAAGGGGTCACCTACTTGTCCTGGTCTACCATATAACGAGCTACGGGCATCCAGACGGCCCTCAAGCTCATATGGATCATGCGCGCGCCAGTTACCACTGAGAATATCAGCGTAGCATTTACGGAAGCTTTCATCTTCCCAGCGCTCGATTGCACCACCTTGCGTACGCTCAGCTGTTCAAATTAATTAATGTGGTATCGTGCAACGCACCATCGACGTGAGGGGGGAACCTGTTCCATCCTGGGCCAGGATGACGAATACGGAATCGGTCGGCATACACGAGGGGAACGTTGAGGTCAACGCCCTCAAGTGGCTTGCCTGACTTGACATGGTACTGCTGGTTTAGCCATGCGGAAGCTTTAAGGACATTAGGGTGTGCGCGAGCTTGCACTTGTGAACGTGTCCAGCTAAAAGAGTGATTTTAACATCTCTCAAAAGATAAAAGATTGCAAAAACATGCTTACTACAGCATGAAAAATTGCTTGTCCTGCTCAGGAAATCCTGATTTGCCGCGTCAATAACTTATTACCCGGATCATCCAGTCCATACCTTGAACATGGGGATTAGCTTTGACGAAGTCATCAAGGGCATTTTTCCACCCAATGGCTTCATTATCATCGACAACATCCTTGATCACGACGGTGCCTTTGCGTCGAATAACATCGAGTTCCTCAGTGGTGAGCTTAGCAAGGTCCTCGTATTTGACTTGGGGGATATACTGTCCACTGTCAGTTTGCATCAAAGCAAGGAGGTATGATAATGGGCGCTCACATCCGGGCCAACTTCGGCAATCTCTGCGGTACGCTTGTTAAGCTCTTGGATGAGATCCTTCCAAGATTCTGTGAGACGCTTTTCATAGTCGGGAGTAGCCTCGACTATCTGGCGCTTCAAGTCAACAAATCGCTCTGGCCATGAATTGCTCTGCATCTTGCTGGGGAGAATGTAGAAACCTGCAACAAAGAATAACTTCAAGCAACCTCGAGCTTATATCCTCCTCGTGATAGGAGAATGTCCATGTTTACGGAGTAAAGTCGGACATTTACCAACGTCACGGGTACATGACGAAGCATTCTCGGTGCTTCAACGTACTATAATTGGGTCCATTGGGCTGGTAGGATGAGTGGTAAGGGGCCCGAAATGATACGATGTTATCGAGGTAAGAACAGGACGGCCCGGTGGGCTTTAGATTGGTCCGATAACAAGGTGCTGCAATTCACCATTCATGCAGCGGAGCATGGATGCATCTATACAACATAAAATTAGACCGAACACTGGAACTTCGCGCTGTAACGGAAAAGACCGCACGTCAAGCGCGCGAGCAATTTTCTCAGGCCTATAGATTGAACGTTCGTTCGAATGAGTTTCTGAGAAGGTTTAAGTTTAGTTTTACACCACAATAATACCTTGCTGTTCACTTGCTGCACGAGGACTAGTGCAGTGTCCCGTAGGCAGACCCCTGAAGGCGGGACCTGGCGGGTGAACTGGGCTAAGTCAAGTAGTAGAGCTTAATACTCCGAATTCCGAGTCATTTACAGTACCACGTGATCGTATTATGTTTGGTGATGTTTGACTTAACCGCCAAATTCTTTGCGTCTGATCAGACGTTGTCGCCATCGACCTCAACAGCGAGCTCATCTTGTTTTCAACTGTTTGCTTTCTTTGCTGTAAAAACCACCTCATGCTTGTGAGCCGAACTTTTTTGGCTTGACGGTCCTCATCATTGACCTATCGCGTTTCCGATCTAGTCATAACCTTGAAATCGTGTTCGATCACTGTCATCTGGAATTATTCGATATCCATCGATACATCCACAGAACAGCTCTGTTAAGGTGCCCCTCTCTGTAAATTCCACAGCTCATTAACCCACACAACCTGCAAGTTGCAGCATGTTTGACGATGACGAAGACTCTCTCTTTGGCTCGCCGCCTCCGTCTCCAGTTAGAGGTAGGTCACCGGCGTTTCCCGCTCAAGCAGCCCAAGAGAAGGGCACAGGCATAACACAAAATGTGGGGGCCATTGCACTTCCTGGTTCCCATATGTCATGTTCTGAACTACCAGCCGACCTACTAGCCTTGCCGTTCGGCGGCTTTAGCACTCGCGAGCCCCCTCCCTCGCATGCACCGCCAGCGCAAAACGCCTTGCAAGCGCATTTGACACAATCGCCTCGTGTTGCCTCATCGGGCCCTTCTTCAATATCGCGCCCCTCTTCGAGGGCTACGGGAAAACGGAAATCAACGAAATCGCAATCAGCGACTCCCCGTCCTGCACCCCCACCTATACCGTTCCCTGGCCCAGATGAACCACTACCTTCTAATTTCTTGCGAAGCCAGGAAGCGTTATTGGGCATCGCTGGCCTCGTCGGAAACGTGAAGCCCACCAGCCTTCCACAACAAACAATCCGTGGATCTACGCCTTCTAACCCTATCATTATCGAGGAATTGGATCCAACACGCCTGTCTCATTTCGATTTTAGTCAGTTCACGCCAGTCAATGGAGAAGATGCCATCACCTCCCTCATCAGACAGCAAAGTATCTTTCCCGTATTATCAAGCATAGTAAAACTCCTAGGCAACTCTCCAGCTGCGTCTGCACAACCACCATCTACCCATGATCGACCGTCTTCACACTCATCCAGTGTGCCCGCAGCGACCGGTCCACCCCCACTGAAACGTCGCAAACTCACAAGCGTCCCTGCTGGTGCAGTGGAGTGGGACGTGCCCTACCCATTTCCTGAAGGCGAGGGTCCTGAGGCATATCACGCTACATGGGAGCGGGAGCGTGCCAGGCATCTGATTACGCAGCTTGTGGAGTCGATCAAGGCTGCTTCCGATCCATCTCCGATTGATGTCGATCACATTCCATCATCATCTTCGCAGTCACCCACGCACGCGTCTGAACCCTCAAGGTTCACGTTGTCACCATCTCCTGTATCACATACAACTACCAATACCTTTCAGCAAATAATTTCCGACTGCACTATCGACCCTGCACTTCTTGCTATTTCTGTTCCCCCATCAACCACATACAATGCATTTTCCCCGGTTCCCGCACTCGTTCATTCTCCAATCACATCCACCGATTCGTCTGATGGCGCTCTCACCCCGCCTGCATATAATGATCAAGGTGCATTTTCCCAAGGTAGTAGGGTGGCTGAAAATGCTCACCTGTTTCACGCGAATGGCGTAGATTCAGTGGCTGCTGCCAAAATGTTGCTGCAATTCGCTGCTAAACCTGCTGTACCTTCGCCTGCTCCCTCGCATATAGACATATCGCCGACAGTGCATATGCCATATCCTCAAACTGCACCATCCCATTTCTCGGCATTAACGCACCTGCAGCCACTCCCTCTTCAAATATCTCGCTCGCCGTCGGCCCAATCCACACACAAATCAATTCCTACTATTCCTCGGCGCGCCGGGTTCAAGGCGGTTCATAAAGATGATATACTTCAGCGCGCACGGGAGCGTCGGCGACAGATCGTCGGGGAGATCGAGCGGGCAAAGGTGGAGTTATGGGAGACAAGTATTGAGGGAGGGGTGTTGGGGCATTTGATGAAGGATCCGATGCTGTCTTGATACTAGTTGCTTCGATATTCGAAATGTATTGCAGCAAGTATAAAACGAACTTAATAGCTGCGGTTGCTGCTCGTCATCATGAGTTGGCAGCGCGTATTTTGGGAAAGTCGCTCAGCTCATTTCTATATAACTGCCTGCTGCTGTCCTCGGATTTGTGTCGAATTCCCACCAAGTGCCTGTCAGCTCACATCGACATTATCGTACAAAATACATACATTAGCAATTCAATATTTCTGCTAGTACCCTGATCATCATACATACTGGAGTACAGTAGTTAAAAAGAGCGAATATGAAACACAAAGAGTAAGACGTAGAACATAAGTGTCACTTGAAGAAACACCAGAGTCAAAATAAGACCATCATACCTCGGTCAATACTGCACCACCCATTCTGCTGCTCATAAGGCTTCCACCGGGACTGCAGGAACAAAGGCCGTGGTGGGAACTTCATCTACAACGGGCACTTGTGCGCAAGACCGCAGAGGTAAACATTCCCCGGCTCCGACAGGCTGACCTACATTGCGTAAACAGGCGCAATAACAGAGTCTGCCTTCCTGGCGTGGGCACGGCTCCTTCGCTCCTCCACGCCTTTCTCAAGCTCTTCCAGAGCTTGCTTTACGCGAGCCACAACTGCGCGCCTTGCGCCTCTCACTACCTGTGATCCGAAGCTGGGGACGTTGTCCAAGTCTGTGAGGAGTAACGAAAGCGCATGCTCCTGAGCACGGAGAGGTGCGTTAATCGGGGTGTAGGTCAATGCGAATACATCAGCGGTATCGAGGGCTGAGTAAACTGGGGACGGCGACTGCGAAGGAGAGAAATCGAGCTCGGCAGGGAAATGGAAGTCAGCGAGGAGGGTATCAAGACGGGAGGCAACGGAAGTGATTTGGGAAAGGGAAGAGGCGACCTTGGCTGGAGATGCAGAAGGCTCTTCGGTGTCAGAGTCAGGAAACTCCTTGACTTTTCCTTTTCCTTCCTGGGAAGTTGTGGTTTCCTCCCTGTTGACGTTGACAGGCGTAGGGTCAGCAGTCTGGGCGGCAGGTGATGGTACGGGATCACGTTTGACAGGTGCTTCGGTCGAAGTGCCTTCAGAGAGACAGGCAAGGATCGACTGGAGTGTATCGCGCACTTCAGCCCGGTATTCTGCCATAAGACGGAGCTCTGCCATAAACATGTCCTTGAGCGAAGGCTCGTCCTGGATAGGGACCTTGGAGGTGGAAGCTGGGGCCTGGGTGGGGATTATGGTAAGTCACCAGGCAGAGTTACTGGACAAGTGAGAACATACAGGATCAAGGAAGGTCTCGGCTTCTGCCAGGAAGTTCTCAGCATTTGCGCGGTGGCGGGCAAAGAGTTGTTCCTCCTCGAGTTGAGCGTGGAAAGCAGCAAAATTCTGCCACTTTCGGATACTGGCCTCGCGTTCACGATCGCGGATAGCGTGGTCCTGCAGGATTTCAGCTAACTGGCAGGCCCTGCAACAGTAGGACGGGAACCCGGTGTAAAAATCCTTCTTCCCATCCTCTGGCATACGGGTACGCAGGACATCTCGGATGCGCATCATGCGCTGCTGGTTGGAAAACTCATCGTACTCTGGGGTATGGAGAACATTTGGGGTGGGCTGATTCCCAAGGTGCTGCTGGTAATGCAGAGCTAATGCACGTTCACGTTGCTCTGCGAGAGGATGGAGCGGGCGGGAGCGGGAGTAGTCGGAGGAAGAGTAGGGGCACATGAAGACGGGTGTAGTGAAGAAACAATGTGAATACGCGATTAGGATGGGTTGATGAGTTGGTGAGAGATTCCATGTTGAGCACTAAACTTATATGGCTAGGTGATGTGGGCTTGTAGACTGTGGATGAACGACGAATCCCTTTGTGAACTGTGCACGAATGATGAATCCCTTTGTGAGCAGACGTGCGTGGGGAAATCGCGACCGCGCTTTGTAGAAATTAGTGTTTTTCATTGATATTCTCGAAGGTCACCATTACTGTCACAATGCAATGGGCAAGCAATATTTCGCTCATACGACGACTGCTCTTGAGAACAATGCTCAAGCGCTCAGTAGCCACTGATCAAGCGACTGATGGTCTCGAACAAAGAACATGCCTCCTTCATCATTTGCAATTGAACGGTTCACGACCTGCAGAATGATCCTACTGCGAATGGTGGATGAGCCACATGTAACATAATGTTTTACTTACTTCCTTGTAGTAAACGCAACCAAATGCTGGAGCCACTTCCCCGGGCGTTGGAAAACCCGTTGTGAAGCGCGCTCTGGGGGTACATCTGGCACGGTTTGTGTCGGTATACATTTATGGTGCCGTCGGACAGTCATTTTTGGGTGTACAGTGTGGCATCGCAGTCATCGACAATGCAACCAGGAGACTCGAGTTTGGAAAACGCAGAGGGCTGATGAAGCTTTCAAAAATGTTGCATTCAAAGAAAGAGATCATGAACAAGTCTGTCTGTCTTCAGTAGACTGACTGAAGCGGTAGGCAGGGTGCGACAGTCTGTTGCTTGTTGAGCTGCACGGAAGAAGCGATCCTGGCCTTCGAGTATACAGCTGCGTGGGTAGTATTGTAGAATGCTGTAGAAATAAAGGTGTGAATGTAGGCATTACGGACTGCGGGATGGCCACCCATGCAGGGCGAGGGCTAGCCTGAATGTCGGCAACCTCATGAACATCTAAGAGATCGAAATTAACTCCCTGACAATCACAAAGGGCACCATCCGGTTGTTCGTCCGCATCAAGGTAATTGCCATCATCCCTCTCGGAGATGTAAAGTTTTACATCACTTGAGACCTCGAGATCTCGACATTGAACCGGTCAAGTCGTTCGCAGATATCTTCACCACCTTTCAGAGATTTTCCAGCTCAGGATAATCCTCTGGGTGCGCCACTACTCGTTTGCACCATCCGGTTATGGTGCCACAGCTGGCACGTATGTGTGGTGTGGTGAGTATGTCGGTTGGCAGAGGAACGAGGTTCACCGTGTGCCACAACAAACAGGAAGATAGGTCACAGGCAAGAAGGTGATTCGAACGAGTTGAGCGACGGTACAATTTCATTTAACTCAAAGTAAGGCAGCGGGCTTTGCCAGCGACCCCGCTGCCCTTACCGCAGAGTCGGCGCAGACTGCAGTGATTGAAGACTAGTTATTGAAGAATAAGCAGCTGTTGTGCCACGTGATCCCGACGCGTCGCGTTCGAACTTCGGGGACGTAAACATACCTCAACAAAGGTTCTGCCTCGGACGTGCTACCTTCGGTACATACAACCATCGCCATCGCCAAATCGCAATGGCATCCGCCCGCAATGCTCGGCTTGATCAAGAAAAAGAAGAATATCGTGCTAGCATCGTCGAGGCCCTCCAGGAAGACGAAGACCCGCTCGCTGCCTACGACGACTTTGTCAAATGGACCACACAGCAGTATTCTGCAGATGACATGACATCCGGTCTCATAGAGCTGCTCGAGGAGAGCACGAGACGGTTCAAGGATGATCTCAGATACAAGGGCGATCTCAGATATCTGAAACTCTGGTCGGCGTATGCGAAGCAAGTCGAGAGACCAACGGTTATTTACTCATATCTCGTAAAGCACGACATCGGGTCCGTATATGCACTACTTTACGAGGAATATGCTGGGGCACTGGAAAAGGAGGGAAGGTGAGTGGCTTGTATGCTTGAACATTTAGTGTGGGTTGGGCGAACCATTCATCTACATGATTCAGACACACCGAAGCGGACAAGGTGTTCCGTATCGGGATCACGCGTAATGCTCGTCCGATCGAGAGGATGAAGAAACGTTATCGCGATTTCCAAAGCAGCCCTTCCTCGTCTAAACCTACACCCATCACCTTCCGACCAAGTGGGTCCAAGGAAATTGATGCCCTCCGCCGCCATCCCCTCAAGAAGCACGATCCACCACCTGCATCGTCCTCAAGTACTTCGAAACCATCATCCTCGAAGTCTAGTACCCCGCAAGCCTCCTCATCATCCCCTAGACCTCACAGTCGTTATGCTCCTATGCTCGCTCCTCCTGTGGCAGGGAGGCGCCCAGAGAAGCTGCGCTTCAACCTCACACTACTTTTCACTGAAGATGGCGTTGAATACAGCGCTGCTGAAGTGCGCGCCCGCTCCATGGGACTTCTGAACAAGAAGTGGGGTCCGCCCCCACCTTCAGAGTCACGCGAGACCATCCGAGTTAACTTCAACGATGACGGCGCACGGAGCACACAGAATATGGGGTACGGGAAGCGCAAGAGCATCGTGACTTTAGGAGAGCCGACAGTCACGATAAATACGAAAGAGGCGCTGGCAGATGTGTTTGGAATGTACAACTCCCCGGATAAGACTGTGAAACGGATGGTGCCTGGGAGCAAGCATGCGCCGGTGAAGAGGATTGAACCCATGAAAACCGCAGAAAGACATTCCCCACTTGTTGTCCAGTTGGAGAATGAGAACGCTAAGACACCGGGTAAGTGGAAATTCATTTTGTACTTAGGGCTCATTTGTATTTCTATTCATGAAAGGTGCATTCAAACCCTTTGTCGACGAGAACGCAAACCGCAAGGAGAATAGCACCCCTGCGGTAAAGGTAGCAATACACTACTTTCCTTCACTCGATGCTAAATTTGCTGCTAGTTCAAACCCTTCGTGGACGAACCCCCCAAACAAACATTTGTTACTCCTGACATGAGTCGGCGCGCTCTCACAACGAAGGATAGCACTCCCGCTGCCTCTTTCAAACCCCCCACCACGCTCAAAGCCATCTCTGAAGAAAACCCGGGGCCAGAAAACGAGAACGTCAACGCCAAAGCCAACGTTTTCTCGCGTGTCTTCACTCCTGTATCTCAGAAAGAACCCCTCACCCGACCTAACTCACAGGGGACGAAGGCTAGCCCTTTGAATGAGAACGCAAGCGTCTTTCAACCTCCGTCTAAACCGGAGGCAGCACCATTCGTTGCATTTGTCGACTCCAAAACCCCTTTCAAGGTCTTCAGTCGTCCACCATCAGTGCATGAGGGTAGTGAGAATGCAGGACATGTCTTTACCCCGAAGCCGAGTACGTTCAAGGCGTTTGTGGATAGCAGCTCTGTCGGCGCGTCTGAGAACCAGGTGGAACGTCAAGCTCCTCTAGCACCAAGGACACCGGTATCCGAGACCTACACCGATGAATCTAGCGATCCTGCAGATGACCCTCACCAGAACTTCTCCTCGAGCGATGAACCTTTTGAGGATGGCTATATCGAGGGAGAAGCCGATGTACCCTTTTCCTCTTCTTCAAGCATCAGCGATCAGTTCGAAGAAGAATACGAGGAGCAACCGCAACCTCTTGGAGGTCGCTTCGGCAGGATTAACGTGATGACGCCCATCACAGAACGTACCTTTGAGTTTAGCACTCGCGGATTCCCTACCCCGGGCGAGAATGGTCCAGTCGAGGCTGCAGAACGACTCGCCGCAGAGCTGAGAGAGGAAGACGAATGTGAACGAGGATATGTGCACGATGGGGAGGAGTCGGACTCATCATTCGCTTCTTATGACCGTCCAGGAGCGGTCCCACAATACCAACCAGCAGAGCTGGAAGTGATCGAGGAGCGCACAGGGACGCTCAGTCTCTCGGATGCTCTCGCAGTAGTGTCTGCCTTCAGACCATCAAACCCCTGCAATCCTTTTGACCCTACGATTATGTCCACACTCCTTTCCCTCTTGCCTGCAGACGAAGATTTTCACGACCTGCGAGGGCAGGACTCAGGCATGTTCGAGGGTCTGCAGAAGTTCGCAGCCAAGAAGAGCAGGCGGGGGAGTGGCTCAAGCTCCAAGGGGTTCGATGGCGATGTGTTCATAGTCACCCTGGAAGGAAAGAGACTGAAAGTTGTAGATAAGCTAGGCGAAGGCGGCTTTGGAGCAGTATTTGCAGCTCGAGATGTTTCGTCCAAGAACGAAGACGAAGACGAGGACTTCGACGAGGACGATGAGGAGGATGAGGGTTCTTCAATGCTTGCTCTCAAAGTCGTGAAGCCTCGAAACCTATGGGAATTCCACGTTCTACGCAGAATTCACCGTACACTCCCTGAGCCACTCCGCCGTTCCCTCGTCCTACCGTATGCTCTCTACGCGTATCGCGACGAAAGCCACCTACTCATGCAGCTATGTCCGCAAGGCACCTTGCTCGACATCGTCAACCGTGCCGCTACTGCTGGTATCTCGCAACAAGGAGCATGCCTTGACGAGCTCCTCGTCATGTTTTTCACGATCGAGATCATGCGCTTCCTCGAAGGAATGCACAGCGCAGGATTCATTCACGGCGATCTCAAGATTGACAACTGCCTTCTGCGCCTCGAAGACGTCCCAGGGGGCGCGTCTGCCCTCTCAAGCTTATACCAGCCCTCAGGTGATGGCGGCTGGAAATACAAGGGTGTCAAGGTCATCGATTTCGGGAGGACGCTTGACACGTCCCTCTTTCCTCACAACCAACAATTTATTAGTGACTGGCCAACAGACGCACGAGACTGCTTTGAGCTAAGGGAGCACCGACCCTGGACATATCAGACCGACTACTTTGGTCTCGCTGGCATCATCTATTGCATGCTGTTCGGCAAATACATCGAAACGTCGTCCATCACCTCCCAATCCCCTTTCAAGGTCACGACGCCGTTCAAGCGCTACTGGCAGAATGACCTGTGGATGAGGTTATTTGATCTCTTGCTCAATCCTTGCCTCGTGCGTCCGGATGGCAAGTTGCCCCTGTGCGAGGAGCTTGGTGATATCAGACAAGAAATGGAGGGTTGGTTGCAGCACCATTGCAATCGCAGTAGTAACACGCTCAAAGGCCTACTGAAAAAGATCGAGCTTTCAGTTTACACTGGGTAACACCTCACTTGACTTATGATTCGTATGTTCATAGTTAAGCTATTTGTTCGACGTTCTGTATACATACCCTGACAGCATCTCCCTCGAATACTCAGTTCTCGGTCCACATCATCAATTAATACCAGAGATTGATAGCTACAACATGGACCCAGAGGAGATCTGGGCTATGAAACACAACAACCATGGCACAACTGCATGGAGACAGCGGACAACAGATAACGGGAAGAAAAGACGTGGACACCATGCCACCTGTCACTCAATCATGCGTGGCCCACGCCGCCCATCTGCGGAGGAGCCGGGCCAGCTTCGTATGGGTGGGGAGGACCATTCGGTCCTGCAGGTGGCATCATCATAGGGTAAGGGACGGCGTGTTGTACTGCAAGAACCCATCATCAGTCACAGTAAATCCATTATTAAATCAGCACGCACATTGTGGGCTTTGGTGGTAGTATGCGTGCGCGTGAGAGGGGATCGGAGTAGGTGGCATTGATGGGCGTGGGCCGGCACCGTTGGGTGGGGGAGGGTACGTGCCAGGTGGTGGTTGCATGTATTGTGGCGCTACGGCGGATAGGTAAGCCAAAAGTCAGACAGAAACCAATATGAATACACACGAGGCATCTGAGGCATAGGTGATGCAGCATACATGGCTGTAGGGTATCATGAGCTATGGTCCATGTACATATGGAACTATTATAACTCACGTTGGCCATTCGGTGGCATTCCTGGTGGGTACGCCATTGGTTGCATGAAAGGTGTTGATACATATGCACCAGGTGGTGGAGGGGCCATACCAGGCATCATGGGCTGAGCAAGATTTGAGAAAGTTTCCACGCGGGAAACAAGGACATGCACACCTGTCCTGGGTAATAGGGGTAGTAGTAAACACGCTGTTCCCCGCTGTCTTCGTATACAGGGTGTGAGACGGGTGGTGGACCGGGTGGCGCAATGTGGACGGGTTGCTGAGGCGATTGGTGTTGCAGGGGAGGGAACATATGCATGTAGCGCTTGCCGCTGTATGGCCAGATAGCAGCTGCAGCGGAGAGCCATTAGATTGTATCCTCAGCAAGATGATGCGACACGTACTGATTTGGTTCGCCTCCACAACTTTGTTATGCTTGAATGGGTTGAAGTCATCCTTGATATGAATCGCTCCCTTCTTCATGACCTTGGTGCCAAAGAATGGATTGGGAGTGGGAGGTGACTAAGGGGGCTGGGTTAATCCACAATCAACAGTCACAGGTCAAACGGCCCACCGATTCAGCAGGCTTGGCCTTCGGTGACGCGGAGGCTGACGTAGAACTCGGAATCGGAGACGTAGGACCCTAATCATGCGAACCAAAAACATCAGTCAGTAACACAGGATCCGAAATCCAGCAGTCAACAATACAAGAGTGAAAAGTATTTGCCTTTGGATTGGGCCTGAACGACGAGGCATTCGCATTGAGCCGGTTTGCGGTACTGGTGGGCGACATGGGCACGGCAGCGCCGTTCGTGTGGGTCGCCGGGCCAGGCAATGGCGTGGTTGAGCGCTTCGCTCCTTTGAACGGGGGGATGGGCTGTATATACATGTTGACCGAGTTCTTCTTGGCGAGCTCACTGGGCTTCGTTGCAACGGGTTTGGCGACAGAGGCCGAGGTACCAGCGATGGGTGCCTTTGGGATGGCGGGCGGAGCTGGAGTAGGCTTAGCGGTAGCGGGAGCGATCTTGTTAGCGGTAGAGATCGGCATGCGAGAGGCGCTGGGGGAGGGATTGAGAGTAGCGGTGACGCCGATGGCACGAGCAGTGGTTGAGGCAGCATCCTGCGAGGCCTTCTCCCGAATCTGTCGCTGTTTCTCTTCATCCTTGGCAAGAATAGGAACCAAATCATCCGGGATGGGCTTGTTCAACTAGGTAGACCTCGAGATTTGAAACCAGTAATGGAGAAGAAACACTGCAACACTGACCTTGAACGTCTGGCTGAACTTCAGCAACTCAGCCTTCCGTTTGTCCATCTCGCTCTTGACGAGCGCCTGCTTCTTTTGTGTCAAGCGCTGTCTCTCATTCGTCACAAAGTCACGGAACGCCGGCAATGGATCCGCCGGGGGCTATCATCAACACAGCAAAGAAGGAGTGATCGTCAGCAACCCATCAGTCTCGACCAATCATAGGTAAAACATTGCGGCACAGCAATTCGAATTGAAACAAATAGATCAAGATCGGAGGGGGTTGCATACCTTATTAGAAGCCGATGATGTTGATGGCGTAGGAGAAGGCGACTTGACAGCAGGAGGCGCCACGTCCTTTGCAGCAACAGGGGCACCGTCAGGGCCATTGACAGATACTTTAGGAACATCTTTTGGAGGAGGGCTTGTTCCCGAGGCTGGTGCAGTGGTCTGCACTCTGCGAGCGCCCGGCGGAATGTAAGCATTCTGCCCTCGGACAACAGCACCATATCTAGAAACAAGCCGTCAGCCAAATGCAGGCCTGACACCGGAAGGAAGAACGCACTTGTCTTCCTCGTTCACACCGCTATCGTCAACATTCAAGTTCCTTTCCTCTGCTACATGTGGATTGTTTATAGCACCCTGTCGGAAAAAAATGAGCCCACTTTAGAATGAACCTAGGGCGCCTGAAACTTACGTTCAATATTTCGCTAGCAATGCGCTGAGCCTTGCGCTCCCTCTCTTTATAGTCAGCAGCCGTCCGATCCAACTTAGTGGTGTAAACCTCCTCGTCATAAGAAGTCGTAACGCCGAACATTTGTTCATTAGCCGCGAATTGATCCCAAGACATGTTGGCGCCAGAGCCCGGGCCAAATGTAAGTTCGTCGCCGAGGCCTTCATGATGCGTCCCCGCTGGAGGCGGAGAGCTCGCGGCAGCAGTCGGCAGCCATGCTTGGAGTTCCCGTTCACGAGATGACTTGTTCTTGCTGATATCGGTATCAGTCCGAAAAGCTATTACACAGGAAGTATGGGAGATCAGCATCAAAGATTCAAATGGTGGGATCAACTTCCTGTGGCAGAGAAGGAAGCTGATATGACGGACTCACAGTCGCCATTTGGCACCGGAATCTTAGCGTCAGCGGGACCCGACTGCCAAGCGTCGATGTTAGTGGAAGCAATGAATAAAGACTCCTTGAGTGGTGCGCCGGGCTTGGATATCTCCTTGACGTCCTTGAGAGTGATACCGGCGGTATCACCCTCACTAGCAGTAGATAAAATGACACCCTCATACCGCTGAGCAGTTTTGGTGGTCAGGGTGATAGTTGTGCCCTAAAAATATAACGTTGGTCGAAATACTTGTGGCGCGAGAAGAGTGCAAACACACGGTAAGACCAGAAAGAATATGAAGAGGACGGTCCTGAACGGGGTCGTGAATGCGAGAGCCATTAGTCTGAGGACCTAGTGGGGGGAACCCCCCCTGATTAGCTGAAGGAGGGAGACGAGCAGTATTGTTGGCAGGGGTAGGTGAAGACCTTGGATTCGTCTGCCAAGCAGGACCAGGACGGCTGAATGGAGAAAGGTTAAGGGATGTATTAGGATGTGGTGATAGAACTGACCGAGGAGGATCTGCCATTCCCTTCCCTCTCGGTTTAGGCTGGCGAGCGGTGGTTGCCATTTGTGAATCCGACGAAAAAGCAATGAAATAAAGTGAGAAGAGTAATGAAATGCAACAGACAGATAGGCTACGAGGAGGACGCGACTAAAAGCCGCTGCCAGAAGCAACCTGTGAGTGTTTGAACCTAAAGCTTAAGCTCTGCTGTTTTGTTTAGAAAAGAAAAGAGAAAGAAGAAAATATTTGCCTGTCTGGAAGCTGGCTGAGGATCCAGAAAAAACAAACTGGCTGGCCAGAGGCTTCAACGTCGGAAACGGCGTCGACGGTGAGTTCAAGAGTCAATACTACCAGAAACCCAATACAACATCTAAGTAACCCGCGGGAAATATCATTCAATAGTTCCCCGGACACCCCAATCTTAATAAATATACATAAAATCACAATTCTTTCATGCCCAGCCCACAGCAGCTCACAGCATCCTCTGGCTTCAATCAACCGTCAATTTCCGTCTCGAAACACTCATTTCTCCTCCATGATCATCTCCCACAGCATGTCCGGAGTTTGAATATCGTTCCCGGGGTCTTTGCCACGAGTCACAGGCACAACCACTGAAACGCTCTCCTCTAGAACAGCAATGCACAAAACGCGCTGCACCAGATTCACCATGACCACATTGTAAAACGGAAAGCGACCACTCCGGCTCGCCGAGCGGAACCATTTTGATCCATAATGACGCGATCAGTTCTTCGACATGACGTGTCAGCATAACCTTGGCCCAATAGTCAGCGCTCTCGGAACTGTCCACCGATCGCAATAGTCAAGGAACTTGTTACAGCTCACCCGGCGGCCCGCTTCGTGTGCTCCTCGGGGCTGTCCAAAATTCACATTACACCGAGGGGTATTGAAAAGTGAGGGGGGTCCACGACCTGGGCCCCAGGGTGTGTGTGATATCCCTGACCGGATAGCGTGGGACGGAAGCGCAGGGAGAGGTAATCAATCAAAAAGCCGCCAGTAGATTCTAGCTCCTAGTCGTCGGCCAAGCTGGGAGCGCGTACCCAAAAAATCCTGGAGAGATAGCCATTGACATCCACGCTGCGCCGAAAACAAACCTTGGAGGATATCAGTGAACCAAACATGCAGTGACCAGATAGAAAGAATAAGCACGAAGAACAGCACCAGAGTTGCACCCTAAGCGACCGCTTGGAAACAGGATCCCAGAACAAACCCAAGATAAAGAGATATTTCGTAATGGCGCAGGCATATATAGAACTTGAATTGCTAAAATGACCCTTCGAATCGGCCTCATGGCCTGAGGATGGCCCAGAAGACGCGAAGCTGGTTACGGATGTTCTTGAATTCATGGGTCCTGCTAAAGTGGTGTGCGCGTTGCCTGTATTGAATTGTGCACAAGACAAAAAACCGACGGCTAGGTTTCCAAACGATTAGCCAATTGTTGGTTCGGAAGCGAAAGATACGGTTAGCCAGAGAGTCCCAGTCCCAAAGCAGCGCAGCTTTCGCGAGCACTTCTACGGCACAGGGAAGAGCTGCTAGCGGAGCACACGGCCGCTATGCCATTTCCCGTATGAACGCGAACTGCAATCAAAAATGAATCAGAATAAGGAGTGCACAGAATGTGACTTCTAATAATCGCGTGAAGGAAGAAGTACGGCCTCTTGCCTGGGAGATAGGACTTCTATATGGAGAGCTTCCATCGCTTCTTTAACATTGAAAAGAACGAGCCCCATCGAGGATACCGTCAACACGCAGACTTGTATGTTTTATCGTACCAGCCTGTCAGGACACAAGGAACGCGGATAGGAACACGAATAACCGGAGTAGACACGCGATCTTGTTCAGCTCACGTCAATCAAGACATGACGGATAGAACGAACAAGAATGTTATGTCGCTTGTCTGCATCATACCCGAAGATATTTGTCGCCGAGGAACATGTCACTGGAGGAAGAGCGGTCCGATAAGATAAGGTAATAGACGCACTGGGGCGCTTGAATCGGATGGTAAAACAAATACCTGTTAGCACTGGCAGACACTAGGCCTGTGAGGAACTATGAGCGGAAATTTTAAGTGGCGGTTACCGCTGCAAGGAAAATAAAGTCATGCGTTGAAACAGAGTCATTGACATTCATTGCTCACCGACCAAGCTTAAGGCAATGGAGTTTCCAGAAATTCTCCCAGTGTGTGGATAATAATCTACCGGTCGATGAGTCCTCGGACGTGGATGAATTTCGTATGCCCGGTTCATCATTGAATATCTTTGAATCTCCATGTGAGGGACCTCTTGCTTGTGTTCAGAGATGTCGTTCTCGGCCTACGCGGCGGGCTTTGACTGCCCGGGCTGGTCATATCTGTCCAGGATAAGGTCCAGGACGAGTACCAGGGTACAACTGTTCAGGCGTTCCAAGCTGTTTCGGGGAAGCCCCGCAAGATCGCTGATATGACGCATCGTGAACGGCCAGGGACGCCCGTTGTTGTCCATCGATGTCCATCCGTCAGTTATGTTCTTGTAAAACAGTTTTGGGTCAAGTAGTCTCACACCGTGTTATCATGACGGAGAGAGCAGCCGCATGCACTATCTGCCACGTATCATAGCAGCCCAATAACAGAGGCACCGTGACACGTCAGATTCAAAATTTGCATCCACACCAAGGAAGATAAGATGATTTGGTTCACCGTGACGATCAAGATCAACCAACTTGGAGCACATTTGCGCGGAGACACCGACAAACTCCATCCGTTATTTCCAAACCCCCATCTCATTAGATAAATTTTGGCCCATTTAGATTCATCAAGGGGACGAACAGGGCCGAGGCACTATTATTGTCGTATTCGGGTCCAATTATGAAGTACAACCATAGCTCTTGAGCTCCCATGACCTTTGAAACATATGGCTGCTCAATCACGCGGTGTTCCATCTCATTCTCCGCGATAATTCAAGCGAATCCCGACATTCTACCTTCCGTTGCAACTCAGCCTCATCAAGAAGCCCCCCCTCCTCGGAAGAACTCTTAGGTTCTTCCAACTTGCGCGGAACCAACGAGTAAACGACGATCTTCAAATTCATAGCCGAACGGTCAAACTCGGTCAGATGATAGATCATTGATCGATTGACACCCTGCTGTGTTGCGTTGCATCGGGCGCTTGATTCCTAGTAAATACGTCTTCTCTCATTTCTGAGTCTGGAATGGGCAGTCTTCCCCTGGAATGGTAGTTTCCGCCTCATGGGTTCGCACTGGCAATAAAAGCCCTTGATGTGTTCCCTCTCTTCTCTAACCTTCGTTCGCTCTTCCGAACTTACAGTCATGTCGCCATCGAAAATCCATCTCAGTGAAATCGCCCCAAGGCCCCGCTGGATGACCTCTTGGGAGAGGCTCAAGCACAAGGAGGCACACTGGCTCGTAGAAATGATTGCAGAAATGGTATGTCCCCCAGGCTCCTGTCTTTCGTGTTATTGACATGCCACGCATAGGTTGGGGTGTTTCTCTACGTCTACTCAGGTTTGTTCGCTTAATTATTAGACCTTTCCTCCCTCACTCACGACTCTCGTTTGGTGTGCAGGCCTGGGAGCCACCGCTGCGTTTGTTCTGGGAACTCAGATCGGGAGCAATGGATTAGGATGCAAGTCTCATTGTTGTTTGTTTGAGCATTTGCTCATGACCATCCCGCAGCATTATATACGATCGGCTTCGCGTATGCCATGGGAGTCGTGTTTGCCGTTTCGCTTTGTGCTGCAACATCAGGAGGTCATTTCAATCCAGCCGTCACAATCTCGTTCGTCGTCTTCCGAGGCTTTCCCGCGCGCAAAGCAGTTAGGTTTGTGATAATCACCATGCCCGTCAACGTCGCTGATGCACGACTTAGATACATCTTTGCACAGATTCTGGCAGGTTACATAACCTGCTTTATCATCTATGTCCAATGGAAAGATTTGCTTGTGGTACGTAGAGTAATGCATTATGCGCAGTATCCAGAGATCTTACTCTTCGAAGGTTGCGGAGAACGTTCTGATCGAAAAAGGCTTGTACGACACCATGATGTTCTCGAGCAGCGGGCCAGCCGGCGTGTTCGGTTTATACGTCAGCCCTGGGACGAACCTGGCCCGCGTATTTCTGAATGAATTTACCACAGTAAATATTTAATATTCGGGTCCAATGTACCCACTTTATCTAACTATTGTTTCTCAGGACTTCATGATCGCCCTAGTCATTTGGGGCTGCCTTGACCCCACGAACCACATGGTCCCGCCAGCAGCCGCACCATGGCTTGTCGGAATGGCATAGTACGTATTATGATGATCGTGTCCACGGTTAATATTAATGCTCCCCTCAGTGCCGTTGCAGTCTGGGGGTACTCGCCTACCGCAAGTAAGCCCCGCGCCACATTTACTCATTTTGCCGCGTTCTGACTTTACGGTCCAGTCGCTGCCAACACCGCCCGTGACCTCGGTGGGCGCTTCATGGCCATGACCGTCTGGGGATCCAGGGCCTCAGGAGGGACCTATGCAGCTATTGCTGCGCTGACGAATATCCCAGCGACGCTTTGCGCTGCTTTGGTGTATGAGCTGTTTTTGGGTTCCTCAACGCGCAGTATGTATTCCCTCTTCACAGGTCACGCAGTGCTGATGAGCTTCTGCAGCTCTTACATCGCACCACATTCATTTCCTCCGTGCTCACAAGCAGTACCACGAGGACAACAAGATGGCACCATACGGATACCTCGAAGGACTTAACACGCAACGTGGTCAATCGGAATCTTTCGAATCTGACGTGGAGGAGAAAGTGCGAGAGAGTCGGATCGATACAGTGGAAGTGCCCGGAAACCGCGTTTAGTATGAGGGAACACCTTTCGTACGTACTAAGACGTACATGTATGACCAATGATCAGTTTCGAAGTTTTATAAAGTTCGCTTTACAAATACAGGCCATCCCAGTATTCATCAGTTCACACCTCCTATGGCACGACTAGGGGGTGTCCCTTTCAGACACTCGTATGATTTTCAGATCCGGGCAGGTGCAACAGCAGTGCACGATCGAGCATGAAGACCGTGCTCCCAACGGGTGCTCATCAAGTTGCCACACCCGGCATATGTATAATACTTACGCACCAAGTCCCCGACTCCAATCCCCCTGATGATTGTGACGGAGGAATAACAACGACCTCTTCATCTTTTGAATTTGCTTTCTCCCTCTCCCAAACATGTTTGGGATTTGGCGTCCAATCTTTTGGCATATCTGGTATTGGGAAGCTTGTAATTGTGGATATCCCACCATGCGCCTAATGAGAGCTACTGACCAAAGATCCTCCGCCACGGGTTTATCAGAATGCGAGTGGTAGACACCACTTGAGAGTAAAAAAAATAGTACAAATAAACTAGCCGATTTCATCATGGGACAGGTCTAATTGAGCCTGTATCTCTGTCAGCGCGGCTGAGTGCAGGTGCAGCTCACAATACAAACCAGGGTCACAGACGAAGCAGGAAATCAGGTCTACAAATTCGCAACCATAGGAGGCTCATCCGAAACTTTCACAACTCTATATTACCGCATCAGCCTATAGTGCATAACGAAGAAAAGACCAAAGACACGCACAATTTTCCTGCATTCTCCCCAGAGAAGAGCATAGGAAGCGCACTTGGAGCATTTTGGAGGCCTTCCACGATATGGAACTTGCTTTTGATCGATCCGTCAGCCAGTCCAGCTGCTATTTCCTTGACGGCTTGTGGATACTGCTTGGCGTAATCGAAACTGTTGAAGAAAGTCAGTATGTGGTATATGGCCCCCCACTCGCACGCACACAATGAAACCCTGTATCTTGGCACGTTGCGCGATTAGGTTCAAATACTGCACGATACCCTTAGGCTTTGGATCGTCTAGTACACAAATGAGCCTCCAAAATGTATAGATTTGGTGAAAAACACTCACTATAAGCAGAGATAGCCCCTGTAATTGCACGTCAGGGTAAGCCCTTGCAGCTGAAGAAGATAAAATGGTATCACGGACCACATAAAACCACCCTTGCTTTTTGATTCAACCTCGAGAGTGCTAAATCAAGCATCTCGCCTCCAACGTTGTCAAAGTACACATCTAGATACCCTACTGCCTTCCCGAAATCCTCACGGAAAGTAGGGCTCTTGTAGTTGAGCGCTTTGTCCACGCCCAGGTCGCCCTCGAGCCAGGCACACTTGTCAGGTGTACCTGCGATGCCAATCACGCGTGCGCCAGCACGCTTTCCAAGTTGGCAGACAAGAGCGCCGACAGCACCGGCAGCACCAGATACGACTAGCGTTTCACCGGCTTTCAGCTCACCGACGTCGTGAAGGCCCTATAATCTGATCAGTAGGGTTGCGGCATGGCGACAGGAGCGGAACGAACAAAGTATGCAGTCATGCCTATTAATGGACGTCAGACGCGCTAGTACATATGTAAAGGAGTAAGAAGTCAAACCTGTCATGCCCAAGGTATTCAAGAAGTCAAGGGACGATGATCCCGGCGGTGGCCTGTGATTAATGGTATAAAGACAAAATGCTGATGCAGAAGGGAATCTTACGAGATCTTCTCCAACGACTTGTCGTCCGCAACTACATACTCTGTCCATCCTGCGCATAGGGACATGAGGACGAAGCTGGGAGAAAAGAACCATTCGCGAAGACGCACCTAATTGTCCAAAAACCAGGTCCCCCTTCTTGAACTGACTCTCCTCGCCCACGCTCGATACAACACCAAGCGCACCCGAGCGCATTACCTCCCCAATTTTTACTGGAGGGATGTAGCTTCGCCTATCTTTGATCCACCCACGCATGGCAGGATCAAGAGAAAGGTATGTGACTTGGACTAGAGCTTGACTCTTGCCGACATGGAGTTCATCGAACGCCTTGGTCTTGAACTCGAAGGTATCGGGGAGAATGTCTGCGACGGGGCGTTCGCGAAGGACGATCTGGCTAAAGGTTTTGGGAGGCATTGTGGTTAGCTAGGGTAGGGAATGTGCCATCGGAAGTTGCGCATCATCGCGTCCTTATAAACCAGGTCATAACCCGGTTCCCGGCTCACTCAAGAATCACGGTATTCCACGCAAATTGTAATTCTCCGACCACGCGCAAATCGTGCCTATGGCAGTAACAGTCATCTCAGAGTACAACAAAGTACGTTACATCAATTACATACACGGTAAATTAACACAACATACATATCCATGTGATTCGTCGCGATGTAGGTCTGATGTACATAGGGTGGCAGCGGTACTTAGTCATGAGCGGTGAACCTTTGGGGAGGAAAGAAGGCCTAAAAGTCCAAACGTGAGTGCATACAAGCCTGATGCTGAAACGCAAAACTGAGGTCACGCATATAATGATTCTGATTGATCTTGAGCTCACCCCCTACTACTCCTTCTAGATATCCCAAACTAGACCACCTCCCGAGGGTATAGGACAAAAGCGACCAGCCGACCAAGATAGCAGTGGTCAAGATTGGGATGACAGAAGACAAAATTCCAGAGTCTCGCCAAGACCGGTACTGAGACGTCATCAGTTTTGTATAATGAAGCAATAGAAAGGACTGACGTCTGGTTCGAGACCGTGTATCCACGGTACCAGGAGGACGTAGAGGAAAAGCACGATCACAAGTCCTTCAAAACCCGTGGAAGCAAAGGCAAACAGTCTGATGAAGTGTGAATATTTATTGAGAAATCGGTTCATCGTGGCCCACCTTCCCCACTGCCCTTCTACGTCTTGTCTGGTCAACAACTCCAGAAAGACGAGATGGGTGTTAAATGCATATGTGATGGCAGCTCCGGGGATGATAAACTTAAGCTGACGAACGGTATGGTTGGAAATTATCCTTCCGATAGATTGTATCCGGGGAATGGTCATTTTCAAAGAGGTATGGTGTGCGACCGGTACTATGATGCATCAAATCACATGTCAGTCCTAAACCGTGTTCGGAGCGGACTTCGGAAGCATCTTCACCTCAGGTCGCATGGTCCTAAGAAAGAGTGCAAAGTCTGGAACTTACATAGGCTTGCATCTTATTACTCTTGACATCCTCCGGTCCACTGTTGGATGGGTCTAGATCGCCCCCGCCTCCAGCTGCCCGTAAGCGCTCTCGGGCTCTTTTTCGTGGTCGAGACTACCGGCGGTGGTGGCGAGGAACTTTGAGATACCGGCCACAGCATGTTACCTGTCGTTGCTTCTGGTGTGTACCTGTCATTGCTTCTGGTGTGTTCCTTTCATTGCTTCTGGTGTGTACCGTACTATCTAATGTAGTACTTACCACAAAAGAACAGGATAAAGTATTCCGACACAAATTTGCAGTGATCTCCAATTGCCCATAATTTTATTCAAACGCCAATGCACAGAATGTCTTTACAGACTGCGAAGTTCATCTAAGAACACTGGGAGAAACGCAATTGCAGATGATCATTGGCTTTGCAGCACCGTCAATCCTTCGGGTACTATTTCAGCGCGGTCTAGGCTGATCTGCTTGAACCATGCAGCAGTACAGACGCTGATCAATGATTTACCCCGCATCTGGTACTCGTCTGTCTGTGCAGCAATTGCGTGTAACTAGTATGGAGCAGGGACGGACATATGAAGGCACGTCTGCCTCGAGATCCAACCCCTGACCTGGATCGTCAAGCGCCCTGCCCGGGGGTCTAGACTCGTCGAGCGCTCATGTCCAGTAAGGAAACGCAGCTTTTCCGGGAAGACGCAATGAATGGCAACAAAAATCGGTTTACTCTACTTCGCTTATTGCTACTACAGCATTTACGTCGGCCTCTGGGTTATTGAGTCCTGTCTAGTTCTAGGCCCGTGCTGCGCGAATGGCCTGGGCCAATGGATGCTATTGTCGCGAACGTGGTGTACTTATCCATCAAAGTTCTTTCTGACGTTTCGACGGACCGCGGGGCTGCAAACGCAGGGCATCGCGAATCGATAACGAAGAGCAGATAACTACCTATGGGCTGTAATAAGCCTCCGCAGCAGCCACACTTCTGTAAGCTGTTGGGACATTGTGTACCTCTCAAGCTTATGACATCTATATAAAAATGTCGCAGACTTATGATGGCTTCATACACTTCTTTATCCCCTGCATGGTGATGTCCCAGGACAAAACTGTTACATCGCCTCAGACCATGATGCTTTCTACACCCCATCTTACATCTCCTGCACTCGCAAGAGAGTTGGAAGACTGCAGGAAGACCTCCCTTAATCTAGTGAGTGTTCAACTTGTTTTGACAAGCGCAATTCCTTACTCTCCCTCCTTTCTGTAGTTTATGGCGTTTCTAGCGTCAGTTCAATTCTGATTGAATTATTCCTGACAGGCTCCAACCAACAATCTCCTATCTCTGCAGCCTTCAGTCTATTTCAGGGTCCAGAGGTCTCGCAGTAGCTACCCTCACACTGATACTATATACCATCAGCCTGCACATCGCTGCTAGCGCGGGCGCTTCTCAAGTAAGGCACCTCAAGCCTTTTGTGCACGAGCGCCTAACAATCAATTCCCCACAGCAGCTCGGAACAGTAATTTTTGGAATTTTACATGCCATCCCAGCAGTGGGAGTTTTGATCGTGACATCGGTGGAATTGGCGTTTGCGGTGAAATCACCAGCAGTGGCGATTTCTATCATCATATCTTGTTTCCTTCCTACCATGGCTGCAATTTCTCAATACCTCCGCATGCGGTACATGAAGACAATGATAGATCAGTTACCGATGACCATCCCCGGGGACCTCCCGTCAGAGCTAGTATGACTAAAGCTCGCTGATATCAATCTTCCCCGATTTCTTGTCTGAAAAATCCCCTCCCTATTGGGAGGGTCATACGAAGCAAATGCTTCAATAGTGATTTATAGATACACGGCATTGTAAATAGTACACCTAACGAAACATCATTATGTAGCATAACTTATCCACTATCTTCCGCTATTACACCGATTGCTTACATGTCCCACTCATCCCACAAGCCTTCCACTGGTGTGGACGTCATCGGTGTCTGCGTAGAGCTAAATTCCGCGGTTTGGACTAGTTCTATTATCTTGTCGCTAACCCCGTCCTTGTCATCCTTGGACCCACGCATCGCCACGAGTAGTGTATCATCGACCGAGTGAGTTTTCAGGTTCGTGTGCAGCAATAGGCGAATATCATTCCCTTCGATGACTTGGTCAAGTCTGCCCGTAGAGAGACTCCGAATTTCAATGAACTCAGAGGAGAACAACAATACATGGGACCCGCGATGGGCAAATGTCGTAGCTTTCGTCTCCCAGCGGATAAATCCGCTTTTCCGGGAGGGAACGCCGTGCTTCGTGATGTAGCATCCAAGAGCTGTAGTGGAATGAATTTATGGTCGTAATTTGAATGCAAAGGGGACTTACTATCATAAATGACCAATATTTCGCCTGATTCGGTCCGGATTAAGCCGAGTGGCTTGGTTTCTTCGCAGCGAGTCTTCAGGTCCGCCATGTCTACGTTGGAAGTTGCACCGCTGAAGTCTGGAACAACCGAGACTGTCTGCCTGGTTGAGCTGCAATTTTACGTGAGTGGAGTACAGAGGACGGGTGATAAGTGCATACTTGGTCGGATCAGCGATCACGATGCCCTTCTCTGTGCTTATAGCGATTGTTTTGGCCAGTGCGGTAACAGAGTAGGCATCCTTTGGTACGTACAATGGCTGATTCACAGTATTAAGTGCATGAAGAGGAAATGGTTACATCCACTTACTTCACCGAACGGTCTAAACGATAATACGGTACCCTGGGATCCTCGTGATGGAGTGCGTCGGAGGTCAGAAAGATTGCAGACCTCCAATGCATGTACAGTGATTTGAAAGAATGATTTAAGAGCATAAACAACTGGTGAGAAGCGTGAGTCTAAAGTACCGTATGAGTGAGGCCAAATCTTACTGATCGTTCGCTGTTTTATTCGTCCTGCAGAACAGAATAAGACAGTCCCATCTGCCCCTGCAATTTTCTCCAATGAAGCATCCAAGCTACTTGCAGGGGCCTGGTACATTGCGACTCTGGCGAGAATATCCAAGGAATAGGCGAGCAAATAGCTCTCATGATGCACGATGAACTTGTTAAATTCTTGTAAGACTATGATGGAGGAAGGATTGCCGTATGACAATATCTTGCGGAAGTCTGAAGGCAAACATCAGCGATGGAGCACAAAAAATGTATGAATGGTTCATACTGCTATCACCCCTGGAACCAACATAGATTCCAGTCGCGCAGCCGACTGCCATGAGCCTCTTCCCGCCAGCAGCAGCTAAACAAATTATCAATTATGAGCGATGTTAGACAGGGAAAGGGCAGCAGGCTACGCACTAAAAGACACAGCGTTGACGACCCTCCCTGACGCTTTAGATCCAAAGCCGCGGGGAGTGTAAGCTCCTGGCGAGCGGAAGGTGCCATCATCAACGAGTTGCGGTGCAAACCACTAATTAGTTGAATAAAAGCGTACCGACATGTAGATATGGATGTACACACCTTGTTTGCATCTCGTCGTACATCGTCTATTCCCTTGGCCTCAACAAGAGCGTTTTGCCACTTCTGTCTCACAGACTCAGTCGGTGCGTACAGAGTATATCGCCGCACCAATTTGTCTGCGGAAGAATAAACAGTGAATGGATAGATAGGTTTGTATTGCGCGCGCAGGTTGTCCAAGATCCCTCCTTCTTCAGACCGCTCCTTCCTACTTTCTGGCTGACCATCGAAGCTACCTAGTTTGAGATATTCTAAGGGTATAGGCTGCAAAAAATTAGGCAATCAATTTCAAAAAAAATCTGCGACAGGCGATTGGATGGCCTTACTCTAGACGTAATTAAGCGCTTGATGATTCCTCCCGTCCCTCTCTCCTCTTTAGTGAACAACACTGCGGTGAATCAATTGGTCACTTCAGGTCGAGCAAGAGGCAAACGCAAAACTTACGATAGTTGTCGAGTAAGGCAACGAATAGATCATTCCACGGGTGCCAGTCCATTTCAGACTTGGACCGTCGGGCTACGGGGCCGGAGTACATCAGTGACCGACTTTCGTTATACCAATCCAAATCCTGCACTCGATCAGCACAAATATGGAATGACGCCCACGAAACGCACAATTATTTCTCCCTTGGGCATCTCCAGGCTTTCACAGACATTCCAATATTTGACTCTGTTCTCAGCAGCTGCAATACCAGGTTGTGTGCTCTTGAGGAAGTCGCTCAAGATGCTTAGGAGAAGCGGCAGGTCTTCAAGATCCGGATGACCTGGTTCCGTGATCTTCTGAATATGCTCAAGGATCAGATTTAGGCGTGGGAGGCGAGTCACTGGTCGGGAAAGGAAGGTGATCATATCGCGCTTGCGCACACGAGGATCTTGAGAACATTGTCGCATGAATGCTTGATAGCTTTTATTGCGACTGAGTTCAGTGCGGTGCCGCTCTTCTGCGAGTGGATAGTGTTTGATGTAGGATTCGTACTCCGATTGGAACTGAAAGCAGGCTAAAAGGTGTTGAATGTGAGCTGTTGAGTGTGTTCCTTGTTAGCTCACTTTCAAGTACAATGTCTGTCACGCTCTGTATTAGCGGATGCTGATCCAATTGGCGTTCAAAGAGTGCAGCCAGCATATGTTCATGGTGCACTGAGATCCTGTCCAAATTCCAAAATACTTCTTGAACAAAGGGACGTAACTTGTCGGGGGCAATGATAGGGGGTTTGGCGAACTTCAAAGGCTCGATGAAAACCTGCGACAACATATTAGCTGAATCCGATTGGATAGCAGTGGTAATCACCTCTGTGACAAGTTTGAGATCCTCCACATAGTCCCTTTCCGACTTGAACAACTCGAATAGCACTGATTGCCGCTCGACCTCTTTTTTGCCAAGTGCTTCCCGTGCCTCATGAGGAACCAGCCGGTGCCATTCTTCATCCTTCTCTGCTAATCGACCGGCTTGGAATCGTCTTAGTCCCTCTTCGGATTGAAGACTGTGTCTTGTCAATGAGTGTCGCATTAAACAAATCACTGTGGTACCCACGAAACATTGGACAGTTCCCGAGTCAGTTGATTTACTGGGGTGTTCCACTGTAGAGGGTATCAGAATACGTCATCGTCGAATTTATATTATACACCATACATCGTCCTCCGGAAGAAGTGTAATTGATGAAGCAGAGCTTGGTGTTATTGGAGTACCAAAAGAGGCACTAGCCACATGGTCTCTGCTCGGGGGTAGAGGACCATGACCGTCATCAGACTTGCTGTGACGGTGGCGAGGTGAATGTGGGTGAAGGGTCGTTCTTTGAGAAGCGAATCTATGTATCTCCGGTTCGGGGAAAGAGATGGAGGCCTGTGCGGGCTCGTATGCACTTCGAGTGCGACTGCGGGATCGTAGTTCACCTGGTCTACCGTTCGGATGTCGGTTTGTGGGTGTCTGATCCCATGGATTCAAGAGGTCCCCAGGTGGGGAATTGTGTTGTAATTCGTATGGGAATGCCTGTAGTGGACTAGGGTTGACTATAGGACTTGCTCCAGGGGGGATCGTAACATATGGATAACGTCGTTGATTATGCATAGCAAGAAATGTGATCGCCGAACGCGTTAAGTTGATTAGGTCTGAAGAAAATACAAGAAAGCAATGACCTATAGATAAAACAAAGTAGAGGTCGCAGATAATCACAGCAGGTCTTACCCGCGCAGGGCGAAGCAAGGTTTCCCTATGTGAATGAAGTCACGTCACGTGTCGGTTGTGCTCCGGGCCCGACTTCAATCCCGGGGCAGTACTGTGACACAACTGAGACTTTTCGGTGCGCTCATACCAAAAGTAATACAGCCTCAAGGTGTCGCCAGGAGGTCGCCTGACTAGGCTAATGCGATCACTACTGATACCGGACACTGGTATGGTATAGACAGAGTCCACCAAACACCTTCTCTGCCACGTTGAAGTTAATGGAAGATCATCATAGATGGTTTGCCCTCGGTGATCAGTGCCAGTGCAGGGTACCCGGAATTGTGATACACAATATCACTGCCAGTAACATATTTCGCAAGTTGCTAATGCTCAGGTCCAGTGTTATCGTACGCTATGCATCAGTTTATCGAAGAGCAAAATAATGTCCGAGTCTAAGTTAGAAATTGCCAGCAAACTGCCCTTAGCACGAGGCTGTTCAAGGTTTCCGATCCGCCCCGGAAACAACTTTTAGAACATTCCGTGATAGCTGGACGTGTTTGAGCCCAAGGGTACTCGGACATCAACCGGTCGCATGATCATTGACACTGAATGAACCGATACGACCAGTCGTTATTCAATTATACAATCAGTCTTCATACATAATGTACACGTCATACAACATATACCATAGAGTAAATGAAATCAGCAACATAAAACGCCTTTCAATAGTACTGAGCATGTCTTAACCATCCCCCAGTGCACTTCTTCGAACGGGCCCCCCTACAGTTCTTCGCTTTCTTACAACCCCTCCTCCCCGAGCACTTCTGCGCCCCACGCATCTTACACACATCCCATTTCTCCTTCGACTCAGCCCAAATTTGTTCAATGTCCTCTGTGATCTCCTTGGCTTTCCCCCTGGCACGTGAAGCACGGTTCATCAGAGCCTCCCCAGTTTCATGAAGCCATTTCGCCCCGTTGTCCTTGAGCTCCTTCGCACGACGCTGCGCATGTTCATTGCGGGCGTTCAAAGCATCCATCACGGCTTCAAGTTCTGGAGCTCTTTGCTCCAACTTTGTTGTCGAGTACTGAATAAGCGCATTGGTTTGGGCAATCACAACATGAGCTTGTCGGGAGATGGCTTGGACAAGAGAATCGAGAGCGTCGATGATATCTTGCATGTCAGCGTTGACGGCAGCGAGGACAGCAGGTCCATGTATGTCCACGAATTTGGGGAGATAGTCCTGCAGGAAACTCAGGCCGAGAGTAGAGGATGCGAGTGCGGACGAAGACGGAGTCGGCACTGCCTCTTCCACATGAGGCTGTGAGGCTGTCATACTAGGAACGACAGATAGTGACTTGGTGCTTCCTTCAAGAGACATAAGGGAAGAAGTCGGACGAAGGATGACATCCTTGGAAAACTTCAACTTCTCTGAAAAGGAAGACGCGCTGCGAAACACAGATGTGGAGGTCTCCTTGGAGATAGAAACTGATGTGGGGTCTGGGTTGAATACTGACAGGGCGAAATCTTTCAGAGAAGAGTGGAGCGAAATTGCTGTCGACTCGGTCTTTGCTGGAATTGATTCGTGCGAATGATTAATGACGGGGTGGAGGAATGCCCAGAGGAATGGCGTTGAAGCGGCCGATGCCACGGCAGTGGTGACAGGGGTCGGGGTAACTACAGGTGCGGTACCTCGGAATGTGGATCCTACCACAACGCCAAGCACAAGCGACACCATAGTAAATCTTGAATCCAAGAAACAGAACAGACATGAGTGACATCAGTGGTCAATGACAGCAAGACGTACATTGTGAGAGTATGCGGCGAATTGGTCATGAACTTGACCGATTTCTTCCTGCCACGGGAGAAGATACGATCAAAGGCACGATATGCTCGATATGGAGGAAGACTTTCAATCACATCAGCATTCACAACGCACGGAGCAGGATCGCTCAGCCGAAGAACCCTATCGCTGGGGACATTAAAGAGGTCCCACGCCTCCTGCGCAGAATTGCGAATCGCATCCTCAGACTGGAGACTGTCGATGGCGCAAGGGGCAGGAACAAGGACAGGAAGATACGCTGCATGCTCTGGGAGCTGCAGAGGTGAAAATGGAAGGAAAACGATAGCCAAACTTGGGTGACCTGTGGAAAAATCGGCTAATGGCTGCAAGGCGTTGCAATTAATCTTCGGGTGAAGAGGTGAATCAGACCTACATCTTCCCTGTCACCTTGAGTCCGATCGATTATTGTGATGATGCGAGGGTAAAACAGGCTCCTATCCGTTCTACCCTCGATGTGAAGTTGTCGGACAGGACCGTCCATCTCCTCGAGAGGTGTGGCAATGGTGAGACGAGCACCACGAACAACCTTCTCTAGAAGTGTGGACACGAACGACCATTTATGGGGATAAGGAAGCCCATATAGGGAAACATTCATGTCAGAATCGAGTAGGGTGGACATTGCATCGTCGATGGATATGGGTGCTGAGGAGCTCCCGGGCATGTTCGGTCCCCCGAGGTCCGTGATATGCACGGTGACATCGGGGTCTGGGCCAGAGAATGTGGCGCCAGGGGAAGGTGATAATATGTCCTCGAAGGAAGAGCTGGAGAGCTCTTCACGGGAGCTGGTAATGGGATCTGGGAAGGATAGGCGCAAATCGCGCGGCGAAGTAATCACAGTGGATGCGTGAACTGAGCTTGAGCGAGATGAGCTCAGAGTACTGATCATACTCTGATCTAAACCCTCTTTAACACGCTGCTCCTCTGTGGCGTCACCGACATCTTCGTCAGTCGGGGAAGTAAAGTGGCCTCGGCTAAAGGCGACTGGAGAGCTGGACAGGCGGACGGCATCGGGTACTAGCCCCTCGTCAGCGCTGTCTTCAATTAAGCCTTCCCAGGCATCGACATCTCCGTCTCTGGAGCTTCCGTAACTAAATGATGAGCGTCTTGACCTCGAACGTGAAGAAGTGCGTTCTTGATCTGTCCCCCTGGACGAATAGATCGAGTCACTGTCAGACTCACGGCCACTGGCGACGTCGAGCCACTCAGAGTCAGATAGGCTTTCTACTTCAGAAAGTGTTGAATTGTCAGTGGGTTCATGTGTATGGGCAGGCGAGTGCTTGGGTTGTATGGGATCCATGGTGATCGTTCAATTGAAAGGGGGTGCAGGGCTTTTTATACCGCTTGCACGCCTGATTGGCTCAATTTGAGTGAAGAGGGCAGGCAACTCTCACGCAGTAATGCTGCGGTCTTTAAATTACCAACCAAGAGGTCTTACATACATATCTGCATAGGGCTATGCATTGAAAATCCGAAAATCCTCTCTTTGATATCGCTCAGAGGCAGAAACTACCTTCGAGTACCCCATCATGGGTCTGCTGATAACTTTCCAGACGTTCTGATTTCGATTTTCTTATGTCTGACTGCAGGAAACATTCTATATTTGACGACTCATGGCAGGGTGCTCGTGAGTCATACACAACGTATGTTCTGCGATTTTACTAGTAGCGACACGTTGAACACGCATGGCCAAACACGTAGACGTGTCGTGGTGTGCTATAAGATCCGCAGACTAGTATGTTGTCGGGGATGCCCTTAGCCTCCCCTAGCCACACCTTTATAGACGAAGGAAGACGTACTGGATTTTGGAACGACTTCCAGGCGGAAAATGGTTGATAAATTTTCAAGTCGAACCAAGCTCGCGGACAACGATCGTGAGCATCTTGTCACTGCATGATAGTCATATGATTCATGCTGCGATCACCATTCAAATAAAATGTGGTTCTATCGAATTCTATTGTGTCTTCCATGATAGGCTTCGTGGGGAACTCGCGATTGCAGTTGGCTTGAGCATCGTCGACTACGAGTGAGTTTGGTGCTCACATTTCCGCCGCTTTACAAATATTGAGCGTATATATGCAGATCGATCTACAACGTCTCAACTCGTGTACCAGAAGGTCCACTTACTCTGGAGGATCGTGCTGGAAACTCAACCCCGAGCACTGGTCAATTTCGGGAATTACAACACGCAGAGATATCCTCTCTATTCTATTCACTGATTCCGAGACTATGATATGGAAGGGGAGACGCAAATATCATGCTTCAAAACCTGAACGCGCACTGGGGTCGTCATTACTGGGTCGTGAGTTCGGTCAAATACCTCCTCGGGCGAATAATAACGGCTGCTGTCAGTTTCTAATTCGTCGCTTATGCTATTTTCCCAGCAATGTGCGTTCTCGAACCCGGTCATCAAAATTCTATTGTTCAAGTTCCGGAATCATCAAATATAAACGATCGCCTTCGTGAAATAGGGGGAGCCGAGGCTAACGAACAACCTCTAGTATCCAAGCTAGAGGATAAGTCCACCACAGTGGGATGGACCTACTGACAGCAAATTACCCCCATCATCCTTTGCTCTCGCTGAGTTGCTACCCTAATCATGAATCACTAACCTAGATGTGTCTCGCGACATGATGAACTCAGGGCCATTTTTATTAACCAAGTGTATGTTGTTCAGCATGGAGGGGTGAACATGCCGACGCGGCTGGACGTCGAAGAAGTTCTCTACTGCACGCATCATGTGTGGCAGGTATCTCCCGCAACCACGCCAACTTTGATACCTGCATTCTCTGGCCTGTCGTTTAATCCACAAGATTACCAACTTTGCATGAGCATTCCATCAGAGCATGTGTTGGGTTATTGATAAACGTATCGATAAACGTTAACGCGAACGCCTGCCACTCTTTTATTTGTATATGCACCGTCAAAAATATATTGTACTTTCAATTTACCCCTGTGCAATTGATGAGAAGCTAGCTTATACGTAAGCCACGTGATGCGTTGAAAGTCATAAATTTACACTGCCACCAATCGTGATCAGCTATTAGAGCCACAACACGAGCATTGGCAAGGCTTGCAACGTTTGCTTTCGACAGTTTGCCAAAATTTGGGACGACCCCTGCTCATCTTCCAAAACCTTTGGCTTTCATTCATTCCACTCGTGTTCCAAGCCAATTGACCGCGAACATCCGGAGGTGTGCCGTGTCTGTTAGACGATTCGGCTACCGCAATGGAAGAAGAAATTCACCGTTATGTGGAGGCAATTTGCATTGCGTCTGAACCCTCGCAAAATCATCTCCACCAGCAGGCCTTTGAGTACCTATCCAACCTCCGCCAAAATGCGAACGAAACGTGGCGACTGGCCTTGACAGCGTTCACGGGCATGACCTCGGAGGGTCATAAATACCCCGAATCAGTCAGGTTCTATTCTTTACGCTTGCTAGACGAGTTCTTTGACAATCGGTAAGTGCTTATGCATTCATCATGTATGACGGACCGCACTTGATCATGTTGAGAATATTAAACATGGCCACGCGCCCTTATTTTGCATGTATTGAAGTTGGAATGACTCTGATTTATCTCTCATATCACAGGTTCGAACCTCTTGATGAAGACTCATTTCGTACCCTGCAACAGTCCCTGATATCTTATGTACAATCTGAATATGTCTATGGCTCGGCTGAATCTAATGCATCATGTATGAGCTCGTCATGCATCGATCCTTTCAGAAACATTCACAATGACTTGCAGATCTTCGCAACAAGTTTTCGCATACACTCACATTATTCTTCCTATGCACATACGTCGAACAGTGGCCAACATTCTTCACCGATCTTTTCTCTCTCATCCGTCTCCCCGAGTCTCCATCACAGCCACAATTCAATCGCCACGTCTCACTTCTCCTTTTCCACCTCATATCAGAGATCTCCGGTGAAGTCGCAGATCAAACGATCAAGTCTGCGAGGACATTCAACCCTGTTCGGCATACGCGAGACTCCCGCGTCAGAGATGCAGTCCGAGAGCGAGATGCGCCGTTGATCAATGAAGCGGTATTGACTATCATTGTCGATGGGACGGAACGGTTGGCGGCGCTCAGAAAAACGACGACATCTTCACCCGAGCTTTCCGAGGCTTTAGAAATTGTCGATTGGGGCATTAGGACGTTTGGTTCGTACGCAGGTATGTGATCAGCTGTGACTACCATATTTTGTGCTGATAATACTCAAAGGGTGGATTGATATCAATCTAACTATCACGCCCACAACTATACCACTCTTGTTTTCACTGCTCCCTGACCCCAATCTTGCTATTCGCCTTGCAACATCAACGGCCTTGTTACGCATTGTATCAAAGGGTCTCAAGGAACCGGAGGACAAGCTGCAGCTCGTCAAGGTGTTGGCCCTCGGTCAAGTTATCGACGCGCTCGAATCAAAAACACGTGCGGAACAAGTTGCACGAGGATCCAACGAGGATGAAGGAGAAGAGTCTTACCGAGAGGCCCTCGGCCGTCTGCTGAATGTATTGGGCCTTGAGCTATCAAAATTGACCGAGGTGGTTCGTTTCATCTAAAGCTCTTGACACTTCAGCGGACTTATGATTTTGCACAGGAATCCGACAAACCTGAGGTTGCGGCAGATGCTTCGCGTCTGTTGGAGCAGATTTTATCCGTCATGTTGCGATTTATGTCAGATAAATATGATGACACATGCTCGACAGTATTTCCCTTACTGCAGACCGTCCTCGCAAGCGTGAGTTAAACTTTGCCCTGAAGAACCCTGCAATGCGACTGATTATTATTTTAGTATAAGCGTTCCCGGAAAGTATCCACGGATCCACTTGAAGAATCGAAACGATCATTCCTCGTATCTTTGCTCCAAGTCATTATGCAGAAGATGAAGTGGGATGACGAAGAAGATCCTAGCGACTTGGACGATGATGATTTTAGTGCATATGAAGCCCTTCGCAAGGTTGCTTCGATGTTACTTGCAGCTTCTAGTTCGTTGACTTTCTTCGTAGGACCTCAAATTGTCGATGGACGCCGTGTTCACAATTGACCAAGACCTTGTCACTAATGCGGTCAGAACGATGTCTCTGCAAACCTTGTCTGCCTATCGCAGTGGAATGTCGCTGAATTGGAATGATGCTGAACTGGCGGTTTATCTCGTGTACATCTTCGGCGAGATCGTGAAAAGTAGGGGATATTCGCCGTGACTACTCAAATCCGCATCTCACAACTCAATTTTTACAGCTGGAGGAAAGGGCCGCGCAGCCTTTTGCGTCGCTCCCCTCGTGCCTAAAGAGAAACGCCGCGAAGTGGATTATTCTGAATATCCGTTGACTCCGCATGGGGAGATGTTGCTGGCTTTGGTGCAGAGTGGTATATCTGCTTTCCCTCACCGCTTAGTAGCCATGCAGTTCTTTGAAACCGTGGCCCGTTATGGGGATTTCTTCAAGATCCGCAAGGAGTGCATTGTGCCAACGCTTGAGGCCATTGTTGATGCTCGGTAGGCACGAAACGACATGCGATGGTGTTCTAGTACTGATGCGCATGGTTTAGAGGACTGCACAGCCCAGACAGCACAGTTCGGTCGCGGACATATTATCTTTTCCATCGGTTCATTAAAGAAAGCAGAAACGACATTTCTGAGGATCTTGCGGTTAACCTTGTGCAAGGCATCAGGGATCTGCTGACCATCCAAGTAGACTTACCGACCCTTGATAGTTCCGATGACGATCTCTTGTCGGAGGCGATAAAAAACCCTGGATTGTTCGACTCGCAGCTCTATTTGTTTGAGACATTGGGCACACTCATATCTTTGGTGTCAAAATCTCCCGATCAGCAAGCGAGCATGTTACTCTCGATTGTGACACCGCTGCTAGATGAGCTTTCCTCGAATTTGCCAGCGGCAAAAGGGGGGAAAGATCCCATTCCAATCCTTCGCATTCATCACAGTATCATGGCACTCGGCAACGTTGCGAAAGGATTTCCAGATTATCCTTCTCCAGTGCCGGAGGGGTATTCTCTTCCATCGTTAGACGTGTTTCGGCAGGTTGCGCAGGCTATTTTAGCATGTCTGGAGGCCATGAACGTTTTCAAAGATGTCCGCGACGCAGTAAGTTGGTTTTTGTTCTTGACACATCCCATGCTGATCATTTGCAGACACGACATGCGTTTGCGCGAATCATTGCCACGACAGGATCCAGTGTTACTCACTTGATCCCGTCTTTGATGGCCAACCTTCTTGCACAGTTCGAACCCTCTGAGCTCGTTGACTTCATGAACTTCATTGGGTTGTTGATTCACAAGCTTCAGGTGAGCATTGCGCTTACTTGTGCGTTCATACCTGACTATATACCGACAGAGCGAGCTTTT